TAGTCGATTGGCGGATTGCTTTTCCGGGGGTAATAATCCCTTACAAACAATAATAATTTGGTAACTCAATCTACGCCTGTTTGCTGTATGCAATTGGCTACCATGTTTCGCCACAAAATATCGTCAATTCACTTTGTAGTATATTCTGTGAAGCGCTTTGAGGTGCCTTGAAGACATGAGAAGGTGCTATATCAAATGCAAGGATTATTATTATTATTATTATCATTATTATTATCAACATGCATAGTCAGCTCTGAAACTCAAGGTGCTCGCTCTTGTTGTAATGATCCAACATCAGTCATACTCACAATCTCGTTGCACCCTCACTCACTGATACACTTACAAATGCAAAGGAGAATGATGAGAATCTCATCTCCCACTCGCACTCAATATGGTTCCACAGAATGAGACCTGGCTGCGGTAAACCCATGTGTTCGAATAACCTGACTGTCAAGATTCACTCACAGGTAATGGCCACTTGGTCTTGGCACCAGAAGGTAATTTTTTTATTGTTATTTTACAGCTGGAATCCTACCCTCTCCTCATGTCCACTTGCGTGCAATCCTAGCAGCCAGTCCACTAGGAAGTGATCAGGAATGGGAACCCTTGGCTGTTTTTTTGCCTGCCCTAGCCCAGGGGCACTGAGACTGATTGTAACTGCCGTGTGGAGTCCTGTAGCCTATTGGTTAGAGCACTCGTCTCGCAAGTGAGAGATACCTGGGTTTAATTCCCAGGCAGAGTGAAACGTTAGGCAAGTCTCCTTACTCCTCATGTCTCTGTTTACCCAGCAATAAGTCGGAACCCGTTTTTTAGTCGATTGGAGGACTGCTTTCTGGGGGTAATAAGCCTTCCCAAAAAAACAAATTTGGTCACTCAATCCACGACTGTTTGTGGTATACTGCTGTGCGCAATTGGCTGCCGCATTTTACCCACACAATATACAATCAAATCACTTTACAGTATATTCTGTGAAGCTCTTTGAGACAGTTTCAACGACGTGATAATGCGCTATATCCAATGCAAGGATTATTATTATTAATAAGTGCAAAAGCTCATCAAAGTTATTCCCAAGCTTTAGACGGCCTCAGAAAGAGAGAGAGAGAGAGATCTGATTGTATGCTCGCTGCAGGTCAATGAACATTCCAGGACATTACTGGTAACCCCTGAGAAGGAATGCTCAGGGTGGGAGATGCAGTGAATGAGGAGGTGGGATACGCTCTCTGTGTGGCAACAAGTGGGAGATCGACAGGGAGCTTTCTTCTTCAGGCCACCCAGCCGTGGCTCTGTGTGTGTGTGCGTGTGTGTGAGAGGTGAAGCAGTGGCTTCACTGGCAGACAATGATGGCGATGTCAGCCCCTCTGTGAGTTCTGCAGTGTGGAAAGCTGTGAGCTGAGTCAGCTGTACCTGTCATGCTCTTTATTAATGCCGCATTGATAGTAAGTGGCGATAGGGCAGGATTGAGTTGGAGACACTCCAGTTATGTGACTGCATGTCACAGGAGAAAATCCACATGCCGGATTATTCTGTTTTGCTTTTCTATGCGCAAGCTTGAGATTGATAGATTTCTTATGGATAAAGGGATTAAGGGATATGGGGATAAGGCGGGTAGGTAGAGTTAGAATAGATCAGCCATGATCTTACTGAATGGTGGGGCAGGCTAGAGGGGCCGAATGGCCTACTCCTGCTCCTAATTCTTATGTTCTTATGTTCTTATAATAATAATAATACTCCTTGCATTTGATATAGTGAATTGACTGTGTATTTGTGGGCGAAACGCAGCAGCCAATTATGCACAGCAGTGCCCCACAAACAGTCGTGGATTGAGTGACCAAATTATCTTTATTTATTGGAAGGGATTATTACCCTCGGAAAAGCAATCTGCCAATCGACTAACAACCGGGTTCTTACTTACTGCTGGTGAACAGAGACGTGTGGAGTAAGGAAACTTGCCCAACATTTTGCACTGCCCGGGAATTGAACCCAAGTCCTCTCGCTTGCGAGGTCGAGTGCTCTAACCACTAAGCTACAGGACTCCACTTATATAATAATAATAATCCTTGCATTTGATATAGCATCGTTGATCCGTTACTGTGAAGCGCTCTGAGACGCCGTCCCGGGTGGAGGGCGTTATATAAATCCAAGTTGTTGTTGTTATTGTGACATCTCAAAACGCTTCACAGCATATATATAATAAAGTGTATATTTGATTGTCTATTTTGTGGGCAAAAAGGCCACATTTATATTTATCAAAGTGAGGCAAGAGGCACAATATAAACCAGTGTCAGCTTCTCTGGGATACAATCTGAACCATTTCCTGGCTTCTTTAATGCCCTGATAAATGGTTTATTGGGCACACTGAAAGATTGCATCTCAAAGCACTTAATACCCTATTTTGTCTTATCATTTTGTGTGTGCCACGTCTCATCTTTTGATCACATTTTGTGTCCTAACAGTACTCTGACAACAAGTGGTGCTTGTCTTAACATTGCAGTTTTGTATTTGCATTTTAATATTGCAGTTAATATTGTAATTTAATATTGTGATTAACTTTAATTGCAGTGCAATTTAAGTTTAATTGCAGTGCAGTCCTGTGGCATATTGGTTAGAGCGCTCGCCTCACAAGCAAGAGGACCCGGGTTCGATTCCCGGGCAGGGCGAAACCTTAGGCAAGTTTTCCTTACTCCGCACACCTCTGTTTATCTGGCAGTATGTAGAAACCCGGTTGTTAGTTGATTGGTGGATTTCTTTCCGAGGGTAATAATTTCTTCAAATTTTTTTTAAAAAGAATGTTTGTGGGACACTGCTGTGCACAATTAGCTACTGCATTTCTCCAACAGAATACACAATCGATTTACTTTATAATATATTCTGTGAAGCGCTTTGAGACGTCGCGACAACATGATGAAGTGCTATATCAAATGCAAGGGATTATTTAATATTGCAGTCTAATTTTGCAGTTTAAGATGGTTATAGTTTAGCAAGGACTAGGTTAGAGTCACAATAACTAGGAGAAGATTTTTTCTGCTGCAGAAATGAGACACGCTATTTAATACATGGTCGGTGGAGCAGCATTTGTGAACCATTTGTATTCAAAACCAATGTTCTTAATTTCTCAGTGAATATAGTTACGACCGGCAATTTGAGCCACATGAGAGGCTGGACAGTGAGTGCTGGCAGCTCTTTGACCATGGGTGGCATCAGAGTCGACCCCAATCTTGACCTCTTTGGATGTGCGCTTTCCAGCAGGGGTCACTGGATTGCGATCAGTAGCAGAAACATCGGCTGGCTTCCTCCCGCCCCAACCCCCCTCCTAACCATAGGGTACCGAGGTCAACTATGCCTCCTTCATCACTGCTCTGGCCAAGATTAGCTAACTCAATACAGGCAGGGATTGAACCTGGGTCCTTCCTGGTTTGTATGGGTCAGTACCATCTTTTTAAAGGAGTTAATTGACCCAATATTGACCTGAGGAGTCTATTACACATATACACTACTTCTGGACGCGATGGCATATTCGTCTGCTCTCTCGTCTCATTCGGAGGCTTGTCATTTTTTTCTTACTGGCGTCCTCTAGTTCTATCATCAAAGATTATGTTAAATAAACTGCTTATAGCGGTATTGTTCATACATCTGAGCACATTATACCATTAAAAGCTTGGTGAGCACATTATGTGACAGTGTTAAGTGAACCGCAGGGCTACCAAGTGGTCAGAGTGTGTTAACGTGCTGGTACAGGATGCCCTGGTGCACATCACCACCTAGTGGTTACACAATGTTTGCGTTACATCCAGAGGCATAAGAACATAAGAAGTTACTGGACGGAAGAAGTCCAAGGTCCATCCAGTTCGCCTTCCACCATCCTGGCGGTCGCGTACACGTGTCATGTCTCAAACTACATCTTGTATCCCAGCGTTTCCTAACAGAAAGTCGTTTCGTCCACAAAGTATACAGTCAATTCACTTTACAGTATATTCTGCGAAGCGCTTTGAGACGTCTCGAAGACGTGAAAAGTGCTATGTCAAACCAAGGATTATTATGATATAAGTTAATTATTCAATTTATTGCGCTTTAGATCCACTATGGGCAGGGGATTGAAGTCCTGGAACACATTATATTTGGGGATGGCCACGGTAACTGCAAAGTGAGTTCTCCTCCTTACGTTTCCATCTTACAGGACACAAATCAGCAATCCAAATAGGTTAAAGTGACTGTGACAAGAGTAATTGAATATAGATTAGCCAACTGTATATATGTTCCTTAGCCAAGGAACTATAGATATCTGATGAAGTGGTTGCTGAGAGTATAGAAAGACAGGTAAACTAGATTGGCCGAAAGTCTACTCCTACCTCTTTTTTAAAATCTTTAAACTAACCCCCAGTGCCTGAGTTAGGAATGGGTGTTGAGTGCGGTGCAGAGGGGAAAGAAAATGTGGTCAAAGAGGTACTTCTTGAGGTGTGCCTTGAAATAAGGAGGGAGCGAATAAGTTGGAGGGACTCTGGGATGGAGTTCCAGAGAGTGGGAGCAGAATGGCTCAAGGACCGCCTGCCTATGGTGGGTGGGATAATAATTCTTGCATTTGATATAGCGCCTCATCGTGTCTTCGGGACGTCTCATAACACTTCACAAGATATACTGTAAAGTGAATTAACTGTATATTTTGTGGGCGAAATGTGGCAGCCAATTGCACACAACAGCGTCCAACCAACAGTCCTGGATTGAGTGACCAATTTATTACTGTAATTTTTTTGATGTGATTATTACCCAACAACAACAACTTGGATTTATATGGTGCCCTCCACGCTGGACGGCGTCTCAGAGCGCTTTACAGTAACGGATCCCGGCGCCGAGCCAGGGGGAGGGGGAGGAAGGTGACCAAAGGTGCGGTTGAAAAGAAAGGTCTTCAGCAGAGACCTGAAAATAGGAAGAGAGGGGGCGAGGCGAAGGGAGTGAGGAAGGGAATTCCAGAGCCTCGGGGCTTAGTAGCTGAAGGCACGGCCGCCGAGGGTAGAGCAGAGGACTCAGGGGATGAAGAGGAGGCCAGACGTGGAGGAACGAAGGCAACGGGTATTGTTTTGAGGAGAGAGGAGGTCAGAGAGGTCGGGGGGGGGGGGGGGTGCAGAGGAGTGGAGGGATTTGAATACAAAGGTGAGGATCTTGAAGTCGATGCCCCCGGATGAAGGACGAAGCAGACTGGCGAAGGGAACAGCTGGGTCAGTAGAATTTACGGAGTTTGCACAGGTAGAGATGGGAGAGCCAACGAAGGGATTTAAAGCTAAGAATGAGGATCTTGAACTCGATCCGCTGGGAGCCAACGGGACTGGGCGAGGGCTGGGGGTGACAGGCTCACGGAGCCTGGGATCAGATAGGACCCTGGGACGGTGGGGTTTAATGGACCCGTAGAGCCGGATGCCGGAGAGAATGTGGGCTGTGGAATTCTGGAGCTTGTGGAAGGCAGAGCCTCAGTAACAGTAAGTCCTGTGGTTAGGACGGAAGGCAGGTTTGGGAGGGGAGACTTGTGGAGGGAATGGTGGGAGAGGAACGAGCGACGCGGTGAGGGAGTGTACCGTTCGAGCAGTTTGCAGCGGCAGAGGGGCTTGGAAATGAGGTGATACACGGACGGTTTGGAGGTTTTTTTGAAAAAAAGAGGGGCAATGATAGCGGTTTTCAAAAGGAGGGGACAAGGGAACTGTGCCAGAGGACCGCGAGTGGCCCCTCCCCCTCCCCAGGCTGCCCCGCCCCCTCCCCAGGCTGCCCCTCCCCCTCCCCAGGCTGCCCCTCCCCTCCCCAGGCTGCCCCTCCCCCTCCCCAGGCTGCCCCTCCCCAGGCTGCCCCTCCCCCTCCCTAGCTGCCCCTCCCCCTCCCCAGGCTGCCCCTCCCCCTCCCCAGGCTGCCCCTCCCCCTCCCCAAGCCGCCCCTCTCCCTCCCCAGGCTGCCCCTCCCCCTCCAGGCTGCCCCTCCCCCTCCCCAAGATGCCCCTCCCCCTTCCTAGACTGCCCCTCCCCTTCCCAGGCTGCCCTTCCCACTCACTAGGCGGCCCCACCCACTCGCTAGGCTGCCCCGCCCCCTCGTCAGGCTGCCCCACCCCCTGCCAGGATCAAAGATGGCCGCCGCAGTCACAGCCTTGTCCCTGCCCGGCACCACTGAGCATGCGCACAGGCAGTGCCAGGATCCCAGTCATCCGGATGTGGAACCGAGTGGGTTCAACGGTTGTCAGGTAACAGCCCTGAGAGAGGGAGACAGAGCGGTGTGGGGGAGGGGTGTGTGTGTGGGGGAGGGGTGCGGGGGGGGAGGGGTGTGTGTGGGGGGAGGGGTGTGTGTGGGGGGAGGGGTGTGTCGGGGAGGGGTGTGTGTGGGGGGAGGGGTGTGTGTGGGGGGAGGGGTGTGTGTGGGGGGAGGGGTGTGTGTGTGGGGGGGTGAGGGGTGTGTGTGGGGGGAGGGGTGTGTCGGGGAGGGGTGTGTGTGGGGGGAGGTGTGTGGGGGGGAGGGGTGTGTGTGGGGAGGGGTGTGTGTGTGGGGGGAGGGGTGTGTGTGGGGAGGGGTGTGTGTGGGGGGAGGGGGTGTGTGGGGGGAGGGGTGTGTGTGTGGGGGGAGGGGTGTGTGGGGAGGGGTGTGTGGGGGGGAGGGCTGTGTGGGGGGGGAGGGGTGTGTGGGGGGAGGGGTGTGTGGGGGGGAGGGGTGTGTGGGGGGGGAGGAGTGTGGGGGAGGGGTGTGTGTGGGGGAGGGGTGCGGGGGGAAGGGGTGTGGAGTGGGGGGGTGGCGGGGGGGGGGTGTTGTGGGGAGGACGGGTGTGTGTGGGGGGGAGAGGGGTGTGTGTGGGGGATGGAGGGAGGGGTACGTAGAGCAAATTCATAATGTACGAACAAACGACGCGCATTTACGCTGAGAGCTGCTGCTCGGCCACCAATATAGATCGTGGCTAATAGATGGAGGTTTGGATCTTCTAAAAGTTAAACTCTCCTCAGCTCTAATTTCTCGAGATTCACGTCGTGCAACTTCGCAAGTGATAGATGTTAAATAATTCCAATTACGTGGGTCCAACATTTATATGCATCTCCCCTGACGGTTCAGTGGCTATAAACTACGGCACATATTGTGGAACTAACTGAGTCACACATACCAGGGAAGGTCTTGGCTTCAGTTCCTCGATCTTTGCCAAGTTCTAAATGTTCAGCCTGAGAGTCGGAGCACTGCCCACTGCTGTCACGTTGATCACCGTGTTTGGCCACTGCAGGATACAGTTGATATCTGCCAAATGTACCTACTCTTGTTATTCGACAGTGATGCCTCCTCTCACCTATTAGGCAAAGCAATGCCTGTCCTACTACAGCTTGGCTGAGTTGTTAGCGTTCTCACCTCTCGCTCGGTCAGAAGCTTGTGGGTTCAAGGCCCACTGTGCGACTTGCTCGCATAGTCTAAGCTGATGTTGCAGGGTAGTTACATTTGTTTAAATTATTCACCTGCCCCTTCCCTTGTCAGCCGCGCCTTCGTTCACTCTCCTACCCCTATCCTTCCTGCCCTCCAACTCTTTTGATCCCAACCACCAGCTCGGGTGTGGATCCCTGACTGTCCAGCACCTTGGGACGTCCTCCTGACGTGAAACGACAACAGCAAGATTAAATTTGTATAGCGCCATTCACGTCCCAAGGAGCTGGACAGTGTGCAGCATTTCAGACCCGAGCTGCGGTCAGAAGGGGGGGAGAACAGAGGGGAGGGAAAGCAGGATGGCCAATGGCATGATTGAAGAGGAGGGTTTTGAGTCGAAACTTGAAGGAGGCTCAGGAGGGGCCGAGGTGGAGTGACTGGGGGATGGAATTCCAGAGGTTGGGGGCAGAGAGGCTGAAGGCTCTCCCGCCAATGGTGGGGTGGGTCGGGGGACGTGGACCAGGCTGGAGCCGATTGAGCGGAGGGATCGGGCGGGTTGGTAGGGGGTTAGGTAGTTGCCGAGATAGGGTGGAGCGAGGCCATGGAGGGCTTTGTAGGTGAGGACCAGGATCTTGAACTGGATCCTCTGAAGGTTAGGGAGCCAATGGAGTCGGGCGAGAATGGGGGAGATGGGGTCACCGAGTTTGGTGCGGGAGAGGACACGGGCTGCAGAGTTCTGGATTATCTGAAGCCTGTGGAGGGAGGAGTTGGGAAGACCGACAAGCAGGGCGTTTGCATAGTCGAGCCTGGAGGTGATGAAGGCAGTATATTCTGTGAAACGCTTTGAGACGTTTGAAAATGTGAAAAGGTGCTATATCAAATGCAAGGATAATTATTATTATTATTATTACCTAGTCTCAACTGGTGAATCATGTCCACGATGCATCATTTCTATTCGTAATGTCACACCAGGCAAAGTGCTACATTAAACGCCTATGACCAGATATTAGTTTGAAACCAAGATGTGATTGAACCGTAATGATGCCTATCTATACAACATTTAGGATTATTTGGCAAATATACAGTCAATCAATCCACTTTACAGTATATTCTGTGAAGCACTTTGAGACGTCTAGAAGATGTAATAAGGCGCTATTTCAAATGCAAGGATTATTATTAGTATTAATATGTGGGCAGCTGAAGGCCGGCAACTTCCCCTGCAGATAATTAATGTTCAATTAAATGTTCAGTTGCTCAGTTGCTCAGCAGAGAAGAGTGTAACATCTCAGTCCCTGGAACATCTGCCACAATTGGGCACTGTGAACGGTAGAAATGGAACAGCTGTTCAGTTTAGGCCAACCAGGCAAAGGAAGGTAGGCTGCAGATGACCCTCAAACCGTATTACGAGCTCCACTGTTATGATGGATGGCACAGACTGGAATGTATTTCAAGATGAAACATATCAAGTCAAGCCCAAAGATCGGTTCAAACTTTTGTTTGTGTTCAAATTGTTTAAACAGTTCATATCATCTCAATATTGAGATGTATCAAAGGTTTTAAATACAATTCCATGTAGTGCTTTGTGCTATGTTGATGTTGTGATTTCTTAGAGGTATTTTTGGGGGGAGTGGGGTGGTGAAGAGAAAGGGTTGCGTTTTGAATTGATTACCAGATGTTGAGGTTTTATTGCTAAGTAAAACTGCATTTTTTTGCATATAGCAACTCAACGTCATCCATTTATAGGTATGTTAAAGAACTGTAAACCTGTAATATGATAAAATAGTTTTTTGTGATGCCCCAACAATTCTCTGTATCGCTGAATGCATGTTCAGAGCTCTGCTGCAGGCCATTGTGGGGTAGAAATCGGAGGTGAGATGTCCACTTGCCATTAAGTGTAGAGGGTTTGATAACGAATAGGATCTTTGTGTAGCTCACCTCCAGCCTCCACTGCTCCCCTTCAACACACCTCCGACCAGCAACTTCACGATATGGGGGAATGCTCAAGTCAACAACAACCAGAGCATGATGCAGACCTGGGGGGAGGGGGGAGATGCCCATAGGCACGGTCGAAGAGAAAGGTCTTCCAGCGTGACCTGAAGATGGGGGAAGGATGGGAAAAAGCGGAGGGATGAGTATTAAAAAAAGGATATGTTTTTCAAAAAAAAAGTATAAGTCAAACGTGAATCCTTGAACTCCATTTGAGTAATGCTCCGTGAGCCTGGGGAGCCTGATGTGTTATAAATCTTTAGTCTATTGGTTTACCCTTTCAAATGCTAATAGGATGGTTGGATGTTACACAAGCAGATGACTGAATAATTTGTTGCTGTTATCGTTTTGTCCCAAGACCCCGCTGGAGAAGGAGGAGTTCTTTGCATGGCAGCAGGACGTTGAGGTGTCTGATAAAATAGCCAACCAGGCTCGCCCCACAGTGTTCCGGTGGAGAGGGGGAGGAAAGGAGGTCTTTGTCTCCGGTTCCTTCAATGGCTGGGGTAGCAAAATCCCACTCACCAGAAGGTAGGTGATTCCTTTCGGTTCTTGTTTCAGCCCTTTGTTGTTGGATCGACACAAGTACAAACCTGGGCCCCACAGACCTACATAGCTCCCATCGTCGCTGGTTTGGACCAGACCAGAAGAGGTTGCTGTTACCTGTCCTACAAAGCTGTCCTTAGCTTAATGTACAAGATATTAGACAGAGACTAATGTGCTTCTGTTTCACAGTCACAATAACTTTGTGGCCATCTTGGATCTGCCAGAGGGAGAGCATCAGTACAAGTTCTTTGTGGACGGTCAGTGGACCCACGATTCATCAGAGGTATGAGATTGGTGTGTTGTATGCTTTGTTGTATGCCTGACCTGATATGCCTTTGCCTACAAAAACACAGTCACTACACAGAATATCATATGAAGCACTTTGAGACGTCCTCATGATGTGAAAGGCGCTATACAACAACAACAGCTTGCATTTATATAGCGGGGTAGTGACCCAGAGCCCTTGAAAATCCTACACCAAATAATAATATTCTTATTATTCATACTCTGTCCTATGTGGATGGGACAGGTAAGTAATAATAATAATAATAATCCTTGCATTTGATATAGCGCTTTTCACGTCAGGAGGACGTCCCAAAGCACTTCACAGAACACACTGTAAAGTGAATTGACTGTATATTTGTGGGCGAACGCGGCAGCCAATTGCACACAGCAATGTCCCACAAACAGTCGTAGATTGGAAACGACCAATTTATTATTGTTTTTGGTTTTGGAGGGATTATTATTAGGTGTGTGGAGTAAGGAAACTTGCCTAAGGTTTCGCTATACTTCAGGCTTCCTGCTCTGAATCCATCCAGCAGGGTTAAAGGGCCGTTGGACAGATTGAGTACATTGGGGAAGGTGAGGTGGTGGGGAAGGGAGAGTGAGAAAGTGCTGGTCGATCACTTAATGGACTGCTGAAGGTTTTGATGTAATTACTGATGGTGAAATCTGTCCGCAGCCTGTGGTCACCAGCCAGATGGGTACAATCAACAACGTGATCCAGGTGACACAGACCGACTTCGAGGTGTTTGATGCACTGATGGTGGATTCACAGAAGTCGTCAGAGGCATCGGGTGAGAATTAGCCCAACACAGTGTTCATTTAAAGTATACGAGAAGGACATGGTTTTCAGTTAGCAGGAGGCTAACAAAGCTAACCAAAGGCAGAGGGAAAATAAGGATTCGCTTATCAAAGCGATCAGGAATTGCAAACTGAGAATTCCATGCATCCCACCTAGAAGTGGTAACTCCAGAGATAGATTGTCAGAATGGAATGCGCACTCTCTATAGCTGGAGGGACACATCCTGCTTACCTAATTTCAGAAAGTATTAGGTTCAGGTTGGCAAGAGCCAAGGCTTGGAGACCGCAGAGTGTGTGTTGGGGTAACTGCTGGAGTCTAACCACCTAAAACAGCAAATTTACCATTGACAGCACTGTCTGGAAAGCCTTTTTGTGCCCCAAATTTGAATTGCTAAATGTGCTGCTTGGGCCCAGTATCCACTGAGCCAAAGAGACCAGGTTCTGTTGTCTTGGCTGATCTCAGCTGGAGTAACAATAGGAGAAATACAGTCAACCTCAGTGGAATGGGAGGAGAACATGATAATCCTCTGATTACTGTTGAATGATCTCTGCCTGTGTGAGCATCAGGAGATCAGTTCCAGGCTTGGCTGTGAGTTAGTGGTCATTACCACAGTAATTAGACCTCTTCTTCGAAAACCAATAAAACTCTTCCCCAGTTGCTTGACTCTCTGCCTTGGTTCGGTACCTAGTATTTTATCAAGCCAAGCAGGGTTTGTGTTAAGATTGCAAGCACTGAAGAAAGAAATCCTATCTCTGGATTTGTGTAGGTGGGATGCTTGGAATTCTCCTCTTGGTTTGGAGACTCTTAAGCAACGGTGATGGGTTTCCGCATGTGTCAGACACCCGGCTGAAGAAAATAAACAAAAAAGAAAGATTACTGGTCAGCCTTCAGCCGACCCAACACTACAGATAACAATATGTCTGAATATTGATACTTCATTTCTTCAGATCTGTCAAGCTCTCCCCCCGGCCCATATCACCAGGATCCCTATGTCTACAAAGTGGAGGAGAAGACTAAAACACCTCCTATTCTACCGCCACATCTACTCCAAGTCATTCTGAACAAGGACACTGGGATTTCAGTGAGTACTGACTGCAGGGCTAGCTTAAAACATATAGTATAGTTAAATGAGTCAGCGTTGGACCAGAATATCCCTGTCAGTAGGTTATCAGATTGAACAATGTCAGTAAAATGTTGCAATCACCTAAGTGTAGAATTACGTAGCTCAATGGTTAGTGCGCTCGCCTCACAAAGGAGAGGAGCAGGGTTCGATTCCTGAGTGGGGCAAAACCTTAAGACAAGTTTCCTTGCTCCACACGCCTCGGTTTACCTAGGGGTAAGTAGGAACCCGTTTGTTAGTCGATTGGCAGGTTGCTTTCCGGGTTAATAATCCCTTGAGAGAGAAAAAAAATGGTCACTCAATCCACGACTGTTTATGGGACACTGCTGTGCACGATTAGCTGCTGTGTTTCGCTCACAAAATACACAGTCACTACACTTTACAGTATATCCTGTGAAGAGCTTTGAGACAGCAACAACAAATTACATAGCACCGGTCACGCCAGGAAGACGTCCCAGCATCTCAATGAATAATAAGGCGCTACATCAAATGCAAGAGTTATTATTAATAACTGACTGTGATGTGTCTGCTCTTACAGTGTGACCCTGCGCTTCTGCCAGAACCAAACCACGTGATGCTCAATCACCTGTATGCCCTGTCCATTAAGGTGAGTATTACACAACTCGTTTGAATAAAAACCGGCTCGTGACGATCACTGGTACTTGTATCTCCGACTTCTACCCACCTGCTTACTTCCCTCCTGAGTTCTGCTCCCTATCTACAGGATGACCAAAATGTTGTGAAGCTACAAAAATATATCATCATTTTCTTAAGCCTTATTAGACATTGTACTGGTCTCACAACATTTTTTTGGTCACCCTGTATTTATTCATTTCTGCTCCATCCCTCTCAACTTGCTTTCTGTTCTGCCGTCACGTTGACTAATTGGAAACTAGCTACAGGGATTTCAGACTGAGAAAGTACACCATGACTGAGCCCAAATAAGAACAATTGACAGATCAAGGGAGCCAGAGCTTGTTCAGTTCTTCTGCGAAAAGAACCAACTTGAATTTTACAGCGTTCAAAATGTCTCAAAACACATCATCCCTGTCAATTGTGGTTGCTGTTTTTGTAGGCTAGCATGGCAGGCATTTTGCACGCAGCAGTCTTTGAGGTGAATGATCAATTTATCGGTTGGATTGTTGGCTAGGACCTTTCTCTATTTGAAAGTTGTGGGTTCTTCATCATTCACCCGAACAGGCAGAATGGACCTTATCCTAAGGACAATGCCACTGACATTGCAGTGCTCCACCCAGTGCCGTACTTGAATATCAGCCTCGACTGTGAGCTCAAGACCCGGAAGGGACAGGTTCTTATTTGTAGCGGGTTTCAATGACTTGTTTGTGTTTGTTCACAGGATGGTGTCATGGTGCTGAGTGCCACTCACCGCTACAAGAAGAAATATGTCACCACTCTCCTCTACAAGCCCATATGATGTACCAAAACCACCTCTTTTTTCCAGCGTAAAAGTTTATTTTTCTTCAGCGATTGTCCCTGCTCACATATACTCGTCCAGGATCCATTCACGAGGACCTTACGTGATCGCCTAGATGAAAAGCACTGCAACTGCAGGAAACCCCATCTGTCATTGAAGGCTCTACACTCCCCCCACGTCTCTGTCACCACCTTGACTGAGTAAGAAAGCAAATGGAAAATCCAAAATTTGGGGCCTTTGCCTCTTTCCCCCTGTCCTTCAGACAACCCCAATGGGAATAAAGCCTGAGTATTGGAGCCCGTCCCCCCGGTTGTGAAGCCATTCTCTTCATCGCATTGTGGTTCTCCATCCTATCAGCCCGACTCTCGGCTGCTCCACTTCATCCTCTGGTGTGAACACCAAGTGCTCGTGTGTTTCATTCGATCTGGTGGTCGTGTGCAAACTATATAACCAATGGGTCACACACAGTCCCACAAGCACCTCCTCTCTCCCCCCCCACTTCCCCCCCCACTCCCCCTCGCCGTCATTTAGCCACAAGTCCTGGCAGACTACCACAGTATAATGGCTCCCCAAGGGGTTAAATAAGGGATGGTGCTCCAGTTAGAATAGGGAATCGCCAAAAAGCACTTGGGTTAATGCAGATGCAGAGTACAAAATACTGAGTATTGTAATGTATTGAATAATTGGCTGGGGTCTTGGGCTTCTTTAATCATGTCCTTGTGTGTGTGTGTGTGAGTTTGTATGACCACTAGAGAGATTGTAATTGTTATGCATTCACTTGTACTCTGATTATTCATGGTTTTGTAAAATGCTTTTATACCAGTTTATAACCCCAGTACTAAATGAACATATTGATGGTGAGCAGTGGCACCCGTCTTCCTCGTTTACAGCAACGGGATCCTATTTTCCTGAGCTGATGGCATCCAGCTCTCATTCCCTGTTTTGTGTATGTGTATACACACTGCACTCACACCGTGGTTGCGATCAGCCTTCCGCTAGAAATGCAATGAAAGAATGAGTTCGTTGCCACACGTCATCCTCCATTCCTTAGTTCTTCGTGTCCACTCCTTTCTATCCCTTTCCACCTGTGCTAATGTGGGTCGAGCCACACACGGTAGGAGTGGATATGTGAGTAATGCAGCACAATTGATGGGGTAATTCGCTATAGATTTTATACGCACTCTGTTTTAGTACTTTTAAAAAAAAATCCTGGAATCGGGAAGGATTCTTGAGAATATCAGTTCAGCATTGTGTACGAGCGGGTAATTGTACGAATGACTAGTTTGAGTGAATCCAGGGCGGGATATCCACCCACTTTTTCCGTCACGTGGTAACCGACCTTTCCCTCGTTGAATAAATTCTGAAATTATCATGTAAATTGAATTGTATAGTGTTGTGATTCTGGCCTCTTTAAGTCAGATGAAGCATCATGAAGCGTGGGCCAGACCCCTCCGCCTTTGTAGGAATCTCAAGGCAATTTATCCTGTGGAGAAAGTGAACCCGTCACCGTATTTTAATTTCTTGAATTGCTTATGTTTTCACAGGAAATCAATAAATGATCTGGGTTGAGATTTCTGAGTCAGTCATTTCACAGCGAATCTGTTGTTCTGCTTCACACAGTATCAGGGATTCAATCACTGCCCCAGCTCGACCACACAGTATTCTGTAATCATAGTCTCTTATTAGAATATGCATTAAGTCACATTTCTACAGTTACCGTACTGTCATAACTGTGTTACTCAGACCCCCATTAGATAATAATAACTAATATTTTTTTTAGCGGTGGGGTGGGGGGTGTTCTGTAACTGCAAATGTAAAAAAAAGAGGACAGGGCAGGCACTGATCTGATTCACATCCCTCGCTCTGCCTGCCCCAGGTCAGGCTTTCAGTCGATCTGCCCCAAGCTCGGGTCTGAAATGCTGTACACTGTCCAGCATTTACATTTGTAAACGTCCTCCCAAGGCAGTATACAATTGTAATGTTGTTGTTGTTCTCTGGAACTCCATCCCAGAGTCGAGTCTGTCTCAAGATCTTCGGCTTTGGTCATCTCTCCAAATCCAGCCCCCAGCCTGGGTGCAATTCCTCGATTGTCCAGCACCTTTGAACGTCTTCTTGATGTGAAAGGAGCTACATAAATGCAATTTATTATAATATAAATAATATTATAAATAATCCTTACTTTTTTTTTACATTTGATATAGCGCCTTATCGCGTCGTTTAGACGTCTCAAAGCGCTTCATAGAATATATTAAATGTAATGACTTGTGGGTGAAAAGTGTTGCTATTGGTGGTGGTGATTAGAATATGATTAGAAGTATGGTGCTGCACTGCTCCTTAGTTGTGTATAATTAATCCTAAGTAATTATTGCATTTGAGGTAGCACCTGTCACGTCAGAAGAATGTCTAAAAGCGCTTCACAGGATTGAATGAAAAGTAGTGACTGGAAAGAGAATTTTTCGAGATGTTCTGCGGTCGTTAACCACAAGAGGGCACTATGTACTTTGACTTTCTTCTAATGTGTTTATTTTTAAATTTAAATAAAACTTTTCCTTTCCTACCAATTTTCTCTCCTCTGAAGCTGATTCGCCCCTGTTAGCTCTCACTGGGCGAGGTACACAGGTAGGGAGGGCACCTGTTGATGGCTGAGTGCCACCCTCTTCGGCCACAGTAGGCACTTGATCCTGATCCTGTCCTCATCTGACGTCCACGCATATGTGTCTTGCTGGATGAGTCATTGGATAGCGTTCAGGAGTTCTGGCTGACGTTTCTCCCCTGAACGAAAGGATTTTGAGGCCAATTGAAACACCCCGGCTCAGATAAGCTAACTAAGCACGGATTGGATTTGAACATGAAACCATTGAACTGTATGACCCTCTACTGCATTGGATGGGACCTTAACCCAGCAGACCATCAGGGGAAGCCTGTAATTTACATAGGTTTGTGTGTGTGTTGCCCACAAAATACAGCCAGTCAGTCCATTGTCTGCAATCCATTTTACAATGTATCCTGTGTAGCGCTTAGACCTTTGAACGACATGATAAGGCGTCATATCAAATGCAAAGATGATTATTATTATAAAGTTGGCGCTTCATTACTTATTTTTTAGCGGTTTGGTGGGGAGGGAATAGACATCAGAGTCAGGAAAACCATGAAATATTCTTGTCAAGTGTTGCACTGTATTGAAGCTCTCCAGACTTGAAGAATGGCAATGCGACTGGTATCAGAGAGTTACTGCTTCCTGCAGACAATGCCACTGCCCCCAGCGCCCCCCACACACCCATCGCGAGTCCCCACCTTCTGGAGAGGAGGAGTAAAGGGAGAAGGTCAGCGAGAAAATTGAAGGAGGAAAAATAGACTCTTCAGTCACAAGACTGCCCTTTGGTGAGGAGTCACAGTTTCCCTGTAAACTGCGCCCTATCAGTCACTCTTCTAATCAGACATTATGAACTGAGTCATGAAGGGATTCAGTCAACAACAACAAAATTACATTTTGATGTAACCCTTTTGATTTCAGCCATCGCCATGCAGGAAATTCACAAACAATAATAATAATAATCCTGGCATTTGATATACAACAACAAGATTCAATTTATAAAGCGCCTTTCACGTCAGGAGGACGTCCCAAGGCGCTGCACAGTTGGGTCATGACCCGAGCAGGGGGGAAATGGTCAGGGTGAGGGGAGGGAAGGGAGGGAGCGAGGAGGGGGGAAATGGTCAGGGTGAGGGGAGGGAAGGGAGGGAGCGAGGAGGGGGAAGAGAGTCGAGAGGGGAGCTAAAGGCTCGGTCAAAGAGAAGACCGGTCAAAGAGAAGATATAGCGCCTTATCATGTCTTTGAGACGTCTCAAAGCGCTTCACAGAATATACTGTAGAGTGAATTGACTGTATTTTGTGGGCGAAACATAAGGCAAGATCTGAAAAGAAGTCAGGATCCTTCTGTCCAAAGTCCTGACCCTGTATCATACTCACTGAGATTGCCTTACTTGGAGGGAATGAGCTAATTAAATATAGTGTGTGATTTGCCGAAACATTGGATTTTGAGGCTCAAGCCTTGTTGGGTGTGTGTTGTTACATAATCACACATAGCACATTAGCACACAAGGCTGAGAAAGAAGGAAGGAAGGAAAAAGGATGAGTAATTTCCGGGCTTTTTCCACGCCTTCTCATTCCACAAACCTGCCAGTTTATGTCAACGGCCAAAAAAAAGATTCATTAATTAAGAATTAATCTGAGAAAAACTCAGTTAGTTGTTAGTTGTCAGGACTGAAATGCACCAATTATTTTGAGAAAGGACATGATCCATTTTTTTACATCCCAGCTGTCTATTTCCACGCATTTTTCTTGTAGCCTTTGAGACTATCAGGATGATTCTCGACAACTTAAGTTTATAACCGTTCTTTTTCAGATGTGCACCCAATCGCTGTTTGCATTCGGAGTCCTGTAGCTCAGTGTTTAGAGCGCTCACTTTGCAAGTGAAAGACCTGGGTTCGATTCCCAGCAGAGTGAAACCTTGGGCAAGTTTCCTTACTCCACACGCCTGATAATAATCCCTCAAAAAAAAATTGGTCACTTCAATCACGCAATCGGTTGCCGCATTACGCTCACGAAAAAATACAGTCAATTCACTTTACAGTCTATTCTGGGAAGCGTTTTGAGACGTTTGGAAGACGTGAAAAGCGCTATATCAAATGCAAGGATTATTATTATTATTATTCAGGTTATGAGCTTCTGAGCGAACACAGTTTTCTATAATTAGCCGAGTGCACTATAAGATTACATCTCGAAATGCAGGCCTTAACATGTGGCCATGTAATGCACCTGTCCAAGCTTCGAGTCTCAGACACTGATACCACAGCACCCGCTGAGCCAGCAGTTCAGGAACCACATCTGTCGTTGCCAGTAATAAGATGTGCCTTGGGAATGGACTGTGCTTCTCCAGAATCGAGGCTAGACCTGTTTACATAACGTAACGGTCTCCAAATACTTTTGCCAATGTGCACCCAAGCATGCTATGCTCTCTTAACCCAAATGACAACTAGATTAGTCTACACTGCAGCAAGTGTTTTAGATATTGATGTTAAACATTTTTGGGGTTTCACTGCACAGGGTGGGGTGTGGGGTGGATGGGGGTGGGGGGGGCGAGGGGGGTTAGGGTTAACACATGCAACAGATTCCCCAAGGAAATCGTGGCAGCAGACTTTGTCAACAACTTCAAGAATAAATCAGAGAGGCACGTGATGGCTGTGAGGAGTGTGAGTGAGACGGTGAGCAATGGTAATTTGGATGCATGGGTGGATTGTGATGTTATTTCCCACGTCGCAAAGTCTGAAAATACCAGAGTGACGGGATTCCTAGCTTGTTTTTGTGCTGTAGCGGAGTTTCCTTGGAGCTGTGCTGTGATGGCAATGCAATTCGAGTAAATTCTCTGGGCTGGTTTTTCATGATCGCAGACTTTACCATGAGACAGGCTTTACTCCAAAGCACTATTGATAATCGGCAAGCATGTCTGACTATGCGGCAGCAGTTGGAGGGGCAGAGCAGACACTGGGACAAGCCAAAGTCCTAATGGATAGGGTGGTTTTAGGTGGAACAGCCAGCAGGAAGCTTGCCAGGCAGTGCTCATGGTTCTAGCTGATTAAACTCCAGCATTACCATACTGTGAGCTCCCCACAAGCCTTGGCTCTGCCCAACCTACACCTAATACTTTCCAAGTATCAGGGTGTAACACATTAGGGAGAGAGTATGCATTCCATTCCAGATTCCTGACAGAGTGGTTCCATTCCAGACAGAGGAAACTTTGCATTCCTACGTGGAACGCTGTCTGATTTGGATACTGTTAAGTGTGGCAATGGGTTTCCGTGTGGGTCAGACCACCCACTTGACCAAAAAAATCTTAGTTTGCTTGTCTGAACTCACCGATGTTTTAGTACAACAACAACTTGCATTATTACCTATTAAATTACTTAAAGGTCTTTCCTGCAAATTGGACGAACACAAGAGAGGTTAGGATGAAAAAGACCCTTCAGCTCATTTGATCCCATCCTTCCAATACTCACTCTACCATCTTCCCATTACAGCATCAAACCATTTCTTAAACGAGTCTAATGTCCTGACTTCAACCATTCTTTTTGGCATTAATTCTCCTCCATGTAAAGTAAGACTTCCTGATGTCTGTCGAGAAAATGCGCTTCACAACTCAAAACCTGTGCCTTCTGTTCTGCTGCCTGGCTTGGCACATCTGAATTATCATGTAGATAGTTCTATTGTACATCTATATTTGCTTTCAAATGGAAACAGATGGATATCTAAAAAGGAGTATATTATAGGGTTATAGGGAAATAGGCAGGTCAACGGGACTAAAAGGATTGTTCTTTACAAGAACCGGCACAGACATGATGGATGAATAGCCTTCTTCTGTATTGTAAATGACTACGGTTCAAAAAATGAGAATAATGTCTGTTTAAATAAAAAACATTGCTAATGCACTGACAGAAGGAGAGATGTTGATAGACATACCGTTCGACGCTCACCTACGTACAGTACTGTACACACAACCAGAGAAAGCCCTGGCACTTACCTAGGGAGGCAAATAGGCCGGAGTTATTGGGAGCCAAGAGGTTCAAGTCAGTATGGAACCTTGGAGTCCTGTGTGACTCTCAACTGTCCTTTAAATATCTGTGCCATGACCTGATCTGCCTTCCCCCACCTCCGCAACATTGCCTGCTTCTCCCCTCACGCTACCGAGACCCTCATCACATCCAGCCTCGACTACACTAACTCCCTGCTCACCGGACTTCAAGTTTAAGTTTTAATGAACAGATCACCTGGTAAAGCTTTTCGCTTTATTTTTTAATGTCACACTAATTGTGCTTTTGCAACTTCTACAAGACAACAACAACAACAGTAGCAAATTGCATGTATAAAGCACTGTTCACATCAGGAGGATGTCCCAAGGTGTTGGATAGTTGAGGGTCTGCACCTTTACACAAAATTATTTACAAGAGACATTCAAAGATACAACAACAACAAATTACACTTATGCAGCACCTTCCATGTTGAAAGGACTTCCCAAGGCACTGGACAGTCAAGGGTTTGCACCCGAGCCGGGGGTTGGAATCAAGAGGGCTGGAGGGTAGTGGGGGCATGGGAGGGTGGCCAAAAGCACGGTCAAAGATGAAGGTCTTTAGACAGGCCTTGAAGGAGGCAAGGAAGGGGCTGAAGTGGAGGGACTCTGGGATGGAATTCCAAAGGGTGAGGGCCGGAAAGCTGAAGGCCCGACCACTAATGGTGGGCTGGGCAGAGCGGGGAACATGGAGTATTCCAGTGCCCATCGAGTGGAGGGAGCGGACAGGTTGGGATGTTGTTAATAGGTTGCAGAGGTAAGGAGCACCGGAGTGAAGGGCTTTAAAAGTGAGCCGAGGATTTTAAACACTGGGGAATGGGGAGCCGGTGGAGTCGGGCAAGGATAGTAATAATAATACTGCTTGCATTTGATACAGCGCCTTATCACATCTTCTAGACGTCTCAAAGCGCTTCACAGGATATACTGTAAAGCGAATTGACGGTATATTTTTGTGGACAAAACGTTAAACATACATAACAGGATGGGGTGATCGGTTTACGGAGCTTAGTGCGGGAGAGCACACGAGCTGCAGAGTTCTGAATAATCTGTAACTTGTGGAGGGAAGTGTTGGAAAGTCTGGTGAACAGTTCAGTGGTACGCACCTGTGACTTAAGGTACAGAAAAATAACATTTTATCAGTCACTGAAAAAACTTTTTTTTTAAATATATATATATAAACATTTGCAAATATAAAACAAATGTAAAGTTCTCTATAAACGTTTCCAATCCCTCACAATCTGACATCAAGCACCAAGGGCGCGGTGAAGGGATTGAGGGAGGGAGCTCCAAAGTTTCGGGGCGCAGTGGCTGAAGACTCGGCCGCTGATGGTGGAGCGGAGGATTCGGGTGGAGTCATCCAATTCTGCTTGAGAATCGCTTCTGCCGCACGACTTTACACATGATAAGATGTTGCCCTGCCTGGGTGACCACGTGGTGCATTAAATTAAAGAGATTTGTTGTTACCAAACCTAACATCTAGTAATAATTATTGATGCTGGTTTGCTTCTAGTTATCCACGATCTGATTGCAGAGAGAACTTGTATTTTTTTCTCGACAAATGTCCTTGAACTGAAAATTCCCCAAACTGTTCCTTTTTTTAAAAAAAAGTTGCGTGTGGGATTTAAAACAAAAACACACACAATCAGGCCTGAAAGTCAACTGAATGAGAGAGATTATGTCAATTATAACAAACTGCACGAGACGTGAGCTGATTAAGCGTAACGCCTTCCTTTTCTTGGGGTGACATGATTACGTGTGGACGAGTTTCTCCCGAGACTCTGAACTTCCTCAATGTTTGGCAGGTGTCATTGGTTCTGTAAGAGAAGCAAATGCAAATGAATGACTGAGATTGATAAGAATTAGACTCACCGAACCAGCGCGCAATTTAGGCGTCAGGTTCGATCCCCTTCCTACCCCACATCCGCTCCCTGGCCAGATCCGCTTTCCTCCACCTCCGTCACATTCAGTGACCACATCACTCCCACCTTCGCTCGCCTCCACTGGCTCCCCATCCCCCAGAGGATCGAATTCAAGATCCTCATCCTCACCTACAAGGCCATTCACGGCCTCGCGCCCTTACCTCTCTGACCTACTATCCCCCTACCTACCTGCCCGTACTCTCTGTTCCTCCGGTCTGCTCCACATCCCCCGCCCCAACCGCCCTACCATCGGTGGCCGGGCCTTCAGCCTCTCAGCCCCGAGGCTCTGGAACTCCATCCCCCAGTGCCTTCGCCGCTTCCTCCCTTTCTTTCTTCAAGGTCGGTCTCAAGACCTTTCTCTTTGACCGTGCCTTCAGCTCCCCTCTCGACTCTCTACGCCCTCCTCGCTCCCTCCCTTCCCTCCCCTCCCCCTGACCATTTCCCCCCTGCTCGGGTCCTGACCCAACTGTACAGCGCCTTGGGACGTCCTCCCGACGTGAAAGGCGCTCTATAAATGTAATCTTGTGTTGTTGTTGTTGTTGTTGCCTGGCTCCCATCATACCTTACCCCAAAAGCAGCTGAAACTCTCTGACTGTATCGCATTTACTGCATAAGATCACTGTGGTGTCTGTATCTCTGGCCAGGCTTATACACGACAGGTTACATTTATATACATTTATACCGATGGCACGGTTGAAGAGGAGTCTTCAGAGGAGATCTGAACACAGGCAAAGAGGGGGCAAGGCGGAGGGATTGAGGCCGGGAGTTCCAGAGATTCATCACACTTTTACATACAAGAATGGTCCCATTTCCTGTATGCCTGTATTGATATCAGTAAAAGTGTAGTCAATTCAAACAATATGTAAGATTTATTCCATATAGTGGGGAAAGATGTAAATGTTGATAGTGATAATATTTAACTGTTAATAATTCTATTTTGTAACAATAATTAGAATACTGTTTTACCAGTAAAATTACTAGTATAATCAGGAGGATTCATAATTCATTGCATTAATTTCTGAGTTTGAAATGTAATGATAATAATAATAACAATCCTTCCATTTGATATAGTTCCTTATGACATTGTTGAGACATCTCAAAACGCTTCACAGAATATATAGTATTGTGGAGTGGATTGACTGTGTATTTTGTGGGCGAACTAATAATAATAATAATAATAATAATAACAATTCTTCCATTTGATAGAAGCACACGTCGTGCCTGGAGGACATCTCAAAACACTTCACTGGATAAACTGTAAAGTGGAGTGACTTTGTGCCTTGTGGTGAACCCAGCATCCAACGTCCCACAAACCGCCAGCCGTCTGTACTTGAAGAGTAACCTGCTTTAAATGATATGAAATGAAAGCTTGCCTACCGTAGTGAAGTGAACGATGCAGAAGATCCCAATAACTAATAATCCAAGGATGATAGCTGCAATGGCAACCAACTTCGCTACACGCCCCAGCTTCTTGGATTCGTCGATATCACCTCGATTATAGCTTTGTAGAGACTTAAGGGAGAGAGGGGGAAAAAACATCAGTCAAAAAGTGATGATGGATTTTACATTATTGTGTCGAGTATCACTGAACACACCAACACTAGGGATAAACTCCATTTCTGTCCACATTTATCCTTTAGCACTTTTTAGCAGAATTTGGCAACCTGTTGAATTCAGTCTTAACTTTGAACTTAGTTTCCTATAGGTCTTATGAGAAAACCAACGCATTTAGGAATTTGCCAAATTCTGGTCGCCTGAAATGCTCGACAAATACAGTAAATCTTACCCCCTCCCCCACCCAGAAGGATAGTCAGTACTTTGCCATTTGACAAAGTGCAGATTTGAGCCCTCACGAGTGGGATAAAAGGATCTCCCACGAGCTTCCTGGTGAGCAGAACTGTTCACTATGAAATGCACAAAAGCATTGACACCATCTGATGGGAAGTGTATGGGAGGGATAATGACTCGCAGCAGTTACGATCAGACACGATTTGATGGCGTGTGTACAATTTCTTACGCGGGTCTGTCAGGACACTAAACATTGCTGACTCATAATAACCCACGGCGTTAGCCTTAATCCAGGACCAGTGACTCATCAACATTCTGCCCACAGTGAACTCACATCAAATCAAATCAAAAAAAAAATAAAAGCCAGAAGCTTTGTGAGCAAGGAGCCCTCAGCAATGAAGCAAATGATTCCTGATTAAGCACGGATGTGTAATTAGCATGTTTCAACACAAGGCAAATATATTTTTCCCTGAAATGCAACAGAACAGATGGCGTTTCATTATTTCATATTGATTAAATGATGTGCGTATCGCACAATATTACGTATTTAAATTGCCAAAGCCAGTGAGGCATCATTAACAATTGTGCCACATGAAACGTAGACTGTGACCAAAACATAGACAGCTGGGTACCGTTTATAAACAAATAATGAATCAGGCAGACCAAAGAGAGAGAGATGCCAATGACAAATAAGCACACTGTTTCTCAGTGATTCAATTTTAATAATCCATGGAATTGAATGAACTGAATCCTCTGTGCACACTCTGTCAAACAGCTAAGGTGCAATCGAGCTGACTTCTGATAGAATGATTTTTTTGGTCAGCCGGGTGTCTTTGTGCATGCGGAAACCCATCACCATGCTTAAGATTAGACAAACAAGCACACTGTCACATACAGTCAAACAACAAAATTAGACAGGTAAACATAGCAAACATAGTAAACAAGCACTGAACTAGACATAATGACAGTCACACACATTAACAAACAACAGTGAATTCAGATGAACAGAGAGACATGAGATGAATCGTCAACCTTGGCCATGCAACCCTCTGTAAACCTGACCTTCCACACTCAGTGAACACACCACAGCTTTATTGAATGAAACAAACACTCACCCTCCACGGGTGAAAGAATCATGGCACATGAAAAAACACTTGCATTTATTATCATGCCTTATCACGCCGTTAAAAGCGCTTCATAGGATTTATTGTAAAGAGCAGTGAGTGTATTAGCAGGAGAACACGGCAGGCAATCTGCACAAAGCAATGTCCCACAAATAGCCTTGACTTAACAATTTTCTTTGGGAAATTATTGGCCAGAACATTATTGGCATGAGAAACTCCCTTCTCTTTTGTAATAATATAATATAATAATCCTTGCATTTGATATAGCGCCCTATCACGTCTTCGAGACGTCCCAAAGCGCTTTACAGAATAGACTGTAAAGTGAATTGACTGTATATTTTGTGAGCAAACCGTGGTGTGGACTGAATGACCAAATTATTATTATTATTTTAAAAACACGATTTTAAAGGGATTTTTACCCACGGAAAAGCGATCCGCCAATCGACTAACATCCAGGTTCCTACTCGCTGCTAGGTAAACAGAGGCGTGTGAAGTAAGGAAACTTGCCTAACGATTTGCCCTGCCCAGGTACCATGGTATCTCTAACATCCACCTAAACAGGCAGACAGGATCTCAGCTCCCTGTGATTTGGTGCTATATCAAATGCGAGGATTCCCACAAAATACACAGGCGACCCATTTTACAGTGTAAACTGTGATGCACTTTGAGACTTCTCGATGACATGAAAGGTGGTGTATCAAATGCAAGGATTATTATTATAAAGGATTATTATCTTATCTGAAGGATGGCACCTCTAACAATGCAGCACTTCCCCTGCACTACAATGAAGTATCCACCTAAACTATGAGCCCAAAATCCTGATATGAGGCTTGAACCCCCAACTTTCTGACCCAGAGGCGAGAGTGCTACCAACTGAACCAGACTGACATTTAAAATATCATCAGAATTTACAACTCCTGCAAAATACTAAGTAGTTGAGATAAAATGTCACTCCCACACCCTTCCTACAATAAGGAAACGTCAGCAACACTTTACACCGATGAGCAGAGGGATTCAACCCCATATCACAGCAACGCATCACCTATTGGTGTGAAGCTCACACCAGAGAGCAGGGGCTGTGTTTTTGATGGGAGACAGGACAGCCTCTTGGGACTTTCTGCCAACATCGCGTGGCAGAAAGACACCTCAGAAGGGGTTAAAATCAGCCTGCGTTTTCCACCAAATCATACACTACGACTGTAAGAAAACATCTGCTAGCAAAGGACACATTCCCATCACTGGAGAAGTCAGATGTTCAACGACACCAAGAATCAGTTGAGCCTTTCAACAAAGCTGTAAATTACACCAATGATCCCTGTGAGGACACAGGCGCACATATGGACAGAAGATATCTAAGATATTGGAAGATACTGTGCTTTGGTGGAGTGGGTCAGCCTTAACTCGTGGTAGCACTCTCACCTCTGAGTCAGAAGGTTGTGGGTTTGAATCCCCCATTGGGACTTGAACTCACATAGTCTCAGATGACACTCCAATGCAGCGCTGGGGATGTGGGGTGGTGGGTGGGGAGAGAGAGGGAGAGGGGGTTGTTGCATTGTTGTAGGTGGCGTCCTTCGGATGAGACGTTAAACCGAGGTCCTGTCTGCCTGTTTAGGTGAACATTAATGATTTCATGGCGCTATTCGAAAAGAGATGGGAGTTTTTCCCAGTGTCTTGGTCAACATTCCCCAAATAAAAGTAGTCACTCGTTTCATGGCTGTTTGTGGAACATCGATGGGCACAATTCTGCTTCCCCCTTTAGCCTATAAATACAGTGCCTCCGTCTCACAGTAAATCCTGTGAAGCACTTTGAGATGTCCTTCTGATCTGATAAGGCACTATGTATAGCAAATACTACTATACTAAAAGTGCAGCAAATGAAACAAATCAAAACAGGTCTATTAGATGAGGGTCTGGAAAGGACCATTGACTGAAGAGATTCTATCCACAGCATAGGGCAAAGATTTCCTTCTCTTTTCCCCCGAAGCCCTGCATGGGATGTGGGTATTGAGATGTCTTAGCCACGAATCACAAATCTTCACCGTTTCAAACAACAAATGGACCACCTGCAATCTGGATTCTACTAACCAGCTCAGCTACTGTTCCACCACTGTTGCAGATCAGCAGATGCATTTGTAAGACTTGGTACTTGTTGAAGAAGATAATAATAATAATCCTTGCATTTGACAGTGCGCCTAGAGCATCGAGAATGTCTCGAAAATGCTTCACAATGTTCCTGTGAAGTGTAGTGACTGTGTATTCGCAGGCGAACGTGGCAGTCAACTTGCACACAGCAAAGTCTCGCGAACAGCCAGGAAGTGAACAAAAGCACTGTTGGACCTCCACCTTTGCTCTGAGAGATTCTGCACAGGGATGCAATTCATGTGTGGGAAGGAAGGTTTGTCAAAGCTTTTAGATGCCATATAGACTGGTTTCAGACGCTGGGTAGTGGAAATCACATTGGAGCAAACCTTAGGACATGAGAGACAAGTCATTGGCACTCCTGTCAGTGATTTACTCAAGCTTTATATTCACAGAGGTATATGAAGCAATATAGGATCCCTCGTTCTGACAATTTAAATGTTAACACATTCCTTGCTAGAACCAAATACACACCAGCTATTAAAACCAACTCTACTGCTGTCCCTATCATCTAAACACAACTGTTGATGTCACTCTTTGACCATACGACAAGCACTTCCAGTATTAGAACACACTTCAGCACAAATATCAAATGCAATGATTGATATTAAACACAAATGCAACGAGCTAGAGTTTCAAACAATGCTCAAGAACTCATCCTTTAGGGTTACAAGCAACAAGCAATTTCAAGACAGACACCAGGAAGTATTTCTTTACCTAGAGGGTAATTAAAAACTGGCACAGCTTATCAGGAACATAAGAACATTTGCATGTATAAAGAGTCCAAGCCTTTATGATTGTTGTACAGTATTGTATCTTGACCTGTGTCATCTGGACTGTTGGATATCCTGCTACTGACTAGTTTAGCAGTTTGGCCCCAGAATGTGTGTTAGGGAACTCCTAGAGCTTAACCAACTAAAATTGTATATCTTAATAGAGAGCACTGTGGGAGGACTATAACGTGGGTATTCTTAAAGATAGGGCCTGTGTCCAAATAATATTCATAACAATAATCCTTGTATTTGATGCAGCAACTTTCACATTGGGAGGACATCTCAAAATGCTTCACAGAATACCCCACCAAGTGAGGTGACTGTGTATATTGTAGGTGAACGCGACAGCCAATTCACGCAGGGCAATGTCCCACAAACAGCCATGAAGTAAGTGAACGGTGTGGGTAATGGGAAGACAATAGACTTGGTGGTGTAGTCTGGGAGGATAAGATCAAATTGGCCGAATATCTTCACGCCTTGAGTCACCAAACCGGTTTCCCAATTCCATAAGATGTACAGCAGTTCAATCCCTCTGGAAGCAGTTAGCCATTCAATGTGACATCTCACTAGGCACAAGATCACAAGATTGGTCTAGATGGAGAAGGCCCTTTGGCGCAGATGATCTCCTGCCTCCAGAACAACCTACCCACCCTACCCTACCCCCCATCACAGAATCAAGCTGCTTTCTAAATGAGTGCCTGGTGCCCTGGGAGCTACCACCGTCCCTAATAACCCAGTTCCAGTGGTTGATTAGCCTCTGAAGCAAAGAAAAACTTCCTGGTAGAATCCTGTGATTCCAATAGCAGTGGGTGGATTGATTTCAATGAAGGTTGGATTCCTCACAATCCATATCAGATCGAGTGGGGGAGACCTGGGCCACTTGATGTAAACTGAACGTGTGTTACTTATTTTCCAAGTCCACGGTTGATGGAGGAAATCAAAACCCCCCCCTCCAAGCCACGTGAGTCAATCCTTAGGCAAGTTATGCCACCTTCCGTCACGCATTGAAAACCGAACCCAGACTTCCGGACGTTACCGGAAGTTTTAGTGGGTGTGTGAAACTGTAAAGTTGACTGACAAACTTTGCAATAGTTCTCTCTCTCTCTCTCTCTCGCACTTCAAATCGTTTTTTGAAACAAACACCAATCTGAAACCGCCACGAATTTAGATGATAAACTAATTGAACGCTTAAGCCGAATTTAAGAGCGTTTCGAAACAATAACCTCATTCAGTAGCAATCCATGAAATAACCTAAGAATATATTCGGACTCAGTTACCTCTCTGGAGAAATGTTTATGACTATCAGCGGATATTAAAAAATAAAGCATTAAAAAAAAATTAATCCTCTCTCAAAATGTCAGCGGGCTTACATACTTATTATAATAATAATAATACCGGCATTTGATATAGCGCCTTATCACGTAGTTGAGACGTCTCAAAGCGCTTCACAGAATATAAAACAGTAAAGTGAATTGACTGTGTATTTTGTGGGTGCAATTGCACACAGCAGTGTCCCACAACATAAGTTGAGTGACCAAATTATTTAAGAAATTAACCCTCTCTCAAAATATCAGCATGCTTACTAACTTCTAATAATAATAATAATAATAATAATTCTTGCATTTGATATAGCGCCAGTGAGATATCTCAAAGTGCTTCACAGGATATACTTCAGAGTGTATTCTGTGAAGCACTTTGAGATGTCCTGACGATGGGATAAGGCGCTATATCAAATGCAAGGATTATTATTGTATTATTATTATTGCTGCAAAGTGGAGTGACTGTGTATTTTGTACTCACTCACTCACTCACTTATTTACTCACTCACTCACTTATTTACTCACTCACTCACTTATTTACTCACTCACTCACTCATATATTCACTCACTTATTTACTCACTCACTCACTCACTCATATATTCACTCACTTATTTACTCACGCACTCACTTATTTACTCACTCACTCACTCACTTATTTACTCACTCACTTATTTACTCACTCATTCACTCAATCACTCACTTATTTACTCACTCACTCACTTATTTACTCACTCACTCACTCACTCACTTATTTACTCACTCACTCACTCACTTATTTACTCACTCACTTATTTCCTCACTCACTCACTTATTTACTCACTCACTCACTTATTTACTCACTCACTCACTCACTCACTCATATATTCACTCACTTATTTACTCACTCACTCACTTATTTACTCACTCACTCACTCACTCACTTATTTACTCACTCACTCACTTATTTACTCACTCACTCACTTATTTACTCACTCACTCACTTATTTACTCACTCACTCACTTATTTACTCACTCACTCACGTATTTACTCACTCACTCATATATTCACTCACTTATTTACTCACTCACTCACTCACTCACTCACTCATATATTCACTCACTTATTTCCTCACTCACTCACTTATTTCCTCACTCACTCACTTATTTCCTCACTCACTCACTTATTTCCTCACTCACTCACTTATTTCCTCACTCACTCACTTATTTCCTCACTCACTCACTTATTTCCTCACTCACTCACTTATTTCCTCACTCACTCACTTATTTCCTCACTCACTCACTTATTTACTCACTCACTCACTTATTTACTCACTCACTCACTTATTTACTCACTCACTCACTTATTTACTCACTCACTCACTCATTTACTCACTCACTCATTTACTCACTCACTCACTTATTTACTCACTCACTCACTTATTTACTCACTCACTCACTTATTTTCTCACTCACTCACTTATTTACTCACTCACTCACTTATTTACTCACTCACTCACTTATTTACTCACTCACTCACTTATTTACTCACTCACTCACTCATTTACTCACTCACTCATTTACTCACTCACTTATTTACTCACTCACTCACTTATTTACTCACTCACTCACTTATTTACTCACTCACTCACTTATTTACTCACTCACTCACTTATTTACTCACTCACTCACTTATTTACTCACTCACTCACTCACTCACTCACCCACCCACCCACCCACTCACCATCATGGAAAAGACGAAAGCCACGATGTTGATGGGGTAGGACGGGCAGAAACAGGACAGGACGGACAGGATGATGGAGTTGGGAGACAGTCTCTCCCGTTGGCTCTCATTGTCGATGTGGGTCTCTGGACTTTCCTCTAAAGATCGCTTTAGTTCCCAGTGGTTCACTGAATGAGACATTGAGCGGACGGGGTCTTCAGCAGAGAAGAGGCGGTGTGTCAGTGTGTGTCTGCACTGGGATCTGACTGTCTGTCTGTCTGTCTGTCTGTCTGTCTCACACACACACTGACTCTAACACACACACACACACACTGAGCACTGTGTCACTGACACACACACACACACACACTGAGCACTGTGTCACTGACACACACACACACACACACTGAGCACTGTGTCACTGACACACACACACACACACTGAGCACTGTGTCACTGACACACACACACACACTGAGCACTGTGTCACTGACACACACACACACACTGTCACTGACCCACACACTGTGTCACTGACCCACACACCGTGTCACTGACCCACACACTGTGTCACTGACCCACACACTGTGTCACTGACACACACGCCTCAGCTCTGCTGATCACTGATCTGGTTTGCAGGCTCCAGCAGCCTGACTCCCAGGGTATCACCCTCACCCTGGACAGACAGTCAGCCAACACTCTCCCCCCCCCCCCCCCCACCCCACCCCTCCCCACCTCCCCCCCTCCCCCCCTCCCCACCTCCCCCCCCTCCCCCTCCCCACCCTCCCCCCCCCACCTTGCCCTGCACTCCCTATATGCCAGTTCCTCAAAAAACATGGGAGCACATGGAATCATTTCCTACTCACCCTGTTGAAGGAACAGGTGTATATGTGTGTGAGGGTGTGTATATGTGTGTGTGTGTGTATATGTGTGTGAGGGTGTGTATATGTGTATATGTGTGTGTGTGTGTGAGGGTGTGTGATGTGCTGTATCAACCCATTCAGTGACAGTGAGGGTTAATAATGTAAGAGGCATCACTTTGCTGTGCATTAATACAAATATCAAATGAATTACAGTTGCTGCCTCCAGAGTGTTTAGGTGTGTGGTGTGAAAGCAGATTTGCTGAGGTCAGATCACTTGGCATTTCAATGAAGATGTTGTTGGAAAACACAGTAATTACAATTCACAGCTTTCCAGCAGGGAATAGATCCCTTTTGCAGCTATGTGCTGATTTATGATACTTCTTTCCCTGCTTCTCACTGTAAATAACTCAGACTGGACAGACAATGTGTTGCTGAGAGATGGGATTGAGCCCTCTCTGTTTATTGGTGTTAAATGTACAGTCAATCCAAGGACTGTGTTACTTCGTGACTCAGTAATGAAACATTTTGTTTCTATTCATTGTGGTTTTTTTTATTTTACTCGAATAACATTTCATTACAAAACATTAATTTTTAAAAAAATAATTAATCCGCTCTCAAAATATCAGCTCGCTTACTTACTTATAATAATAATCATTCTACAGTGCAATGTTTAATTGAATTAATACACAACACCCAATGATATACAATGAAATAATAATAATAATAATAATCCTTACATTTGATATAGCGCTTTTCACGTCGGGAGGACGTCCCAAAGCGCTTCACAGAACACACTGCAAAGTGAATTGACTGTATATTATGCACTCATCATAATATACAGCTAATTGTTATATAGAACAGCACATGGAAATATACAGCTAAATTAATACACTAGTAATACATTCAATTCACTTTACAGTATATTCTTTGAAGCGCTTTTTAAGATATCTGAACGACGTGATAAGGCGCTACATCAAATGCAAGAATTATTATTATAATTTACACTTTGTTTATTAAAGTAACATACTTTACACTTTGTACGTGTGTACTAATACACACATCACCATAAACAACTGACTGTAATATACATTGTATATACATGGAAAAATGAATAACACAAATTAATAAATTAATAACTGACTTTAATAATCGTTGTAATACTGAAATAATAAACAACAAAATGAATACACACTACAGCACACATCGTAATATGCAATTGAATACAATGATACTCAACACATCTAAACTAAAGCACATCACACACCATAATATAACATACACCCGAATATGCAATCATACACAACTAGATTAACATGCATTGTAGCAAACTCTATAATGTATAGCTCAATTAAATTTGTCTAAAACGCGTTGTGTAATGCACACAACAAACACAAAACACCCTCAATTAAGTCATTAAGATCTAATCAAGTCTTATTTTCTCCAACTATAATATGTAGCAAATCATTCAAATCATGTTTGATTCATACTTATTATCTTTGATCAAAAAAAGTAGGAAATTTGCATTGAGATTCGGATCCCGACAAGATTTCTAACTTGAGATTTGAACCCGTTCGATTTCTTTCCGACAACGCCTCGGCATATTCCAAAAATACAGGTGGTGGCCAAGCCAAAAGCTCTGTATGTTTGTGCACATTCTTGAACGCGTCTGCATGTGGTGTCACTCCCAGATCAAGACTTCAGTCCCCCTGGTTCGGATATCATGTCATCCACACAGTTCAGCCAAACTCTGCAGTGGTGTTACTGCTGATCGAGGGAAAAGAAGTTTATAACCTCTACCCAAACAACTTTCCTCACTGGTCAGCTGATATAAATAAGAGCCATTAGATGCTACTCCTGTTGGATCTTGAGCTCCCCACTATACTGAGTCTCCCTACCGGTGGTTACCATCTACAGGGTAAAATCCTGTTACCGCCTTATATTTTTCCCCCTACAGCCCACTGACCAACAACCGAAACATGTGGAAGAACGATGGCAATTGTGTTTAGAAGTTACTTCATTGTATTCAGTGCAAATGTTTAACTGCATTTAGACGTCCAGAGGATACGTGTGTGTGTGTGCGTGTGTGAGCGCCATCATCTTCGTGGTAGATCATGATCCGTTGCCACGTTCGGTGCAAAATCTTCCGTAACGTGGAGGAGCGAGGAGGCCAAATGCATCTCTGACATTTTGTTTCAGCTCCTCGTTAGTCTCATATCACTGTTTCATACGGGGAGGGGGGGGGGGAGGGCGGGAGGTAACAGGACTTTGTGGACACCCTGTGCTTTGAAACAATATTTGTGCGCTCTTCACTCACATTTCCAAAAATAATTTCGCTGATGGACAGTTATGTTCATTGACTGATGATTATGACGTTTAAGGCCAAACGATACACTAGTCCTCCATCGCCATCTAGGGGATCAAGCAACCATGTTGCCGGAGATGTTTGACCTGCCCATTGGGGAAGGTAGTGGCAAATGTCAGCAAGACCTGGGATATTGGAAACCAGTGAGCAGGGCGAGTGCTCTCGCAGAGTAAAGTTCTGAGGCTGCCATGGATTAATCAGGCCAAACAGTGGGGATAGTCCTTGGAAAACACACATTCCCTCCCGCACCAGGCTCTGTGAGCCCATTACCCTCATACACGCCAAGCTCCAGTGGCTTCCTATTCCCTACTGCAATGTTGTGGAAGGTAGAGCCACGAGTCCCATGTGGCTCCTGAGGTGTGTCTCACAGCCACCTCAGCTTCAACAGGAAGCATGTGTCTCATATCATTCCCACTGACGATTTCCAGGCTTGACTACGCTAACTCCCTCCTCGCTGGACTTCCCAACTCTACCCTCCACACGCTGCAGGTTATTCAGAAGTCTGCAGCTCGTGTCCTCTGCCACACCAAGCTCCAAGAGCTGATCACTCCTATCCTCGCCCGGCTTCACTGGCTCCCCATCCCCCTGAGGATAGAGTTTAAGATTCTTGTCCTCACTTTTAAATGCCTCCACGGTCTTTCCCTAGCTTACCTCTGCGAGCCTCTTGAACCCCACCAATCCACCCGCTCCCTCTGCTGGGTGGGCACTGGGCTGCTTCACCTCCCACCCACCCCCCACCTTACCTGCCCCACCATCGGCAGTCAGGCTTTCAGGCTTTCAGGCTATTGGCCATTCAATCCACGACTGTTTGTGGGATACTGCTGTTGGCTGCTGCATTTTGCCCACAAAATCTAGTCAATTCACTTTATAGAAAATTCTGAAATGCTTTGAGACATCTAAACAAAGTGATAAGGCGCTATAACAAATGTAAGGATTATTATTATTATAATAATAAGATAAGATCAAATGGGCCACAAAGGTTCTTCGTCAGAAGCTTTGGTGATGTTAGGTCATCGGTTCATCAAAAAGAAGTGTTTGGACAAAGAGCAGGAAACATAATAGAAACAAAATGCAAGAAAGTACAGAGAAGACATTGGGTTCCCATCGCTATTTTTCTTTATTATTACAGTGGTTCGTGAACATACACACTTCATAGAAATATCTCTTTAAGGAGTTTTCCAATCTCCCTACAAGACAGGACTATATAAAAAAAGCAGCAGCATGTTTTTTTTACTAAAAAATAAGCATTTGTATAACGTGTCTCTCTTCATATACAAATTAAACAGTAGATTGTATTTCATTTACAAATAATTGTACCGTTTTATGAAACCTCCCTCCAAATATAGAAAACAAATACAAGCTCTATGTTATGTATACAGCAAGCCGAAACCACTCTGTGACATTCATTGCTTAGCGTTCAAATGCTCGACAGCGCCCCCCCCTCCCCGGTTCTGGATGGGATTTATTCGCCGTACGAGCTGTTCATCGTCCCGACACCGTGAGCCACGGGTTCAGCACAAGGAATTTTCTGCTGTCTCCCAAAGTTACTTTGTGGAACGTTGCAGTGGGCCATTCCTGCATTCTCTCCAACTCTCTCTTTGGGTTAAGGTTTTTGCACAAGGCTTTGTTCCTTTGCCTGGAGGGGCGTGTACCCAGGTAGAAGCAACCCATAGCACTCCAGTAGACTCCAGGTTACCGGCACTCTTTCTGAACCGGATCTCAACCTTGAAGGTGACTTTAAGAGCAATGACTTTAAGATCAGTGGCATTGGGAATTCTTTCTGGCTGCTCGGAAGAAAGTTCCTGATAAAAGATGGGGCAGATGTAATTTTGGGATCGGAAACGGCGGGACCAGTAATGAATGCCTCCTCTCCAATTCCCAACCAGAAAATGTCCCGCTCCTTGTAAATCTCTGACCCCATCCCATTCAGGGCTAATACATTTAAGGCAGTGATCCAGCGAAGGGGTAGAACGCAAGAGAGAAATACAACTACGGTCATTTATTTTCAGTTTTCAACCCCCATCTCCTCCCCGCCCGCTTCGAATCTCACAGCAACTCTCACCACATCAGTAGTTGTTGCTGACATGTGTTTGTGTGCTGTGTTGGGGTCGCACCTGGCTGCTGATTTTTGGAAGGATTTTATTGTTAGAAACTCGTACCAAAGGCAGCGCTGGATCAATCTTACAATCAGGTTTATTTATCATACAATCAGAGCCCAGTCTCAGTCTACCACTAACCTGCATCATCAGTAACTGGTGTTACTGTATAAACAGCCCTCCCTGATACTCCGGTCTAACAGGATTTTAAACCTATCCATTGGTACCACAGGTGACCTTACAGTATATTGTGGGTCAGCAGTTTAAATGGTATCAGTGCCCCAGCCTATGTCAGTGTCAAAGACTTTGCTTGCCAGGTTAACTCTGGGATGAATCCACCTTAGCTGACCACACGTTTAAAGCCTTACCTCCCAGGCTCGAAGATGTAGCATTTCAGGGAAAAGTATCGCTACGAAAGGAAGTGCAGGTTAAATATAAAAAACCACACACTTTTTGAAGCAATGTGAACAGTTGAGCTGTTCTCTGCAGTGATCCAGTCAGTGTTGGCAAGCAGAATAAATGGCTCAAAGCCCTCAAACTGGAGCTTCAGATGTCATCCTCTGAAACAGAGACTCAACAACTCAACGTCTGCTTAGGACGACACTCAGTCATCAATAGCACTTTGGCTTCATTCTAATACAGTAAACCTTGCATAAGTCTGAATCTGTATAAATCGTATAATTGCCCAAGTCACACATCTGCCCAAGTCCCTTTCCAAGAGTTTATCATTCTAAGCCAGTTTGATATAACTTGTACTTTGCGTAAGTCTTATTAAAAGTATGGTCCCAACTGCTACGACTTGTGTGAGGTTTACTGTTTTGTGAAAAGTGGTCCAATTCTTTCCCAATTTAGTTTACGAAAACTGTGGACCACTTTTGTCCTTAGACACGCGTGTATGTGTCCATTTCTCTCTCTGGTACTTGAGTTTCAGGGAATCTCCATTGAAAGCGATGGATTGGGTCAAGCTCAATACTCATATTCTCCCCTGCACAAATTCCCCAAACGATTTATGCTTTGAGCTCAAGGCGAGCTGCACAGGGTGAATGTTCCTCAGCACATTTGAACCCCTGTCACAGGCAAAGACGAGGATATGTTGGCACTTTCTGTGAGAGTACGGAATGCAGTGACCTGAGTTTACACTCGAACCTAAACCCGTCTCATTGTGGTAAACATATCAATTTAATCAGCCGGTCCACAATATCAGACAAGTCAGCATATGAGACATTACCATGTCTGTTCCACAATCGAACGCCACCTTATATACTGTAGTTACTCTGTATTGTGTGTCGGCTTAGAGCAGTACTCCATGCTAGATTATTCATAGTGCGATCACACTATTCAGGCATGTGAAACATTATCCAAATTGTTCTGTGAAAGCACCTGGCACCTGTACACTTTATTAACACTGTACTGTACGCTATCTATTCCGCGCACAGAAATAATGCACCGTTTTATTCTACGCTGTTCAGGGGCCTCATCCACTCTCCAACACTATGACACAGGAGACGGCGAACTCTCCCATCCTTCACTATACAGGCACACGGTAAATATTGCCGCACTGTACTGTACACTGTGCAATAGCCCACGCTTCATTATAAAGCAAACAAGACCCAACCCACACCAGTCCTGCGCAGGCAAACCAACTCACACTCGGTACCCAATGATACATTTACGATTGCTATGCTATGCTGTATGAGCACTGTACAGATGCCAGAATAGTACACTGCATTGGGCACACTATCCACAACCACATTGTACATAGGCGATGACGGTCTATAAAGCACAATATTGTACATGGTACAAAACCTTAGTGTCTCACACACCACACTGCATTTGGTGCACTTTCAGTTTGAATAACTGAGGCACACATATGTGCGCACACACACACACACACGCACGCACACACAGCGCGCATACACACTCCATCCCATGCCATTACATACAACACACGCTGCTCTACACTCTCCTGCAAACTACAGTATGTCACATTTCATCGAGAAATACAGAGCATGATGGTATATTACGGTGCGCAGACACAGAGTGCAGAAACTGACCATACGACAAATGGATGTTGAGGCACACAGTAACTCACGGCCCCGTCCACTACTGGACTGGACGTACAGGGTCAATTGCCTCACAAAACGTAGCTGATTTGGGGGGCGTTAGCCAACACTAAACAGCAGCACCGGCACACAATGCACACACTTCACACGCCACTTCACAGGCACACAAACAATTTCAAACTGGACACAGCGGATTATCCCACAGTAAACCGCCAAGCTCACAGAGCGGAACCCACACCATACTCTACACATACACAGTGCTCAAGTCCCACATTATAATGTGCAAGCATGCGGCAATCTATTCCTTACTATTATAGGTTTGAGGCACATAGTAAGCTATTTCTTCCCTATATTGTTTGCACACTTTCCCCAAATGACTCATATCACACTGCGCATTAGCACACTGTCCTGTAAAGACAAAAAGTGCAATATTCTGTGTCAGAACAATGGGCAAAGACCTGATGCACAATGGCCACAGAACTCTGTGTGCGATATCCTATCATATCACACCATGGCACAGGCTCACAGTGAACTGTCCTACATCATGTTGCACGGACACCATGTACTTTTGTGTACTGTACTGTGCAGGCAGGTTGCACACTGATTCAGCAGCGCGCTTTACAGGTTCATCAGAGAACCATGGATGGACAACTATTCCCGCTTTACAACACTGACACACGGTGCAGTAGCGAACCCCAGTACTGCGTAAGGATCAACACCAATGACCGTACGGAAAATGTGCCCGATGCACAAATGTGTGCGACTGTGGCGCAAAATTCTTTTTACAGGCTTCGCGCCATCCCCACCGATGGAAATTGCACCTGGTGCATCGTTTCACACGGTAGACAGTCGCACTCCTGCTCAGGGCAAGCGATGTGTCCATCCACACAACTCACTACGTGCCATTTAAAAACAAAACAGGCGCGCAGGCCCGCAACATCCTGTCTCAAACATGATGAGGTACCGCGCGCACACACACACACACGCACACACAACACGCACACATACGAAGGGAGCTCTGTACACACTCTGCTATGTCACTGAGTGCAGGAGTATTGTATACGATAAGGAATACTGCACCATATATTGTACACTCACTGCGCACGCGCGCACAGGCACGCGCGCACAGCCAAACAGCGCAGTACTTCTCACTGGTCAACACTTTAAAGGCATACAGTGCACTCACTGTGCGGAACAGGTGCTCACTCTCTCTCCCTACATTGCACTGACCTGCTTTACCCTCTGCTGTCAGACATTGCACAGTATCACATCATCCCACACCTCTCCTGTCCTCCGTTGCGCTGCTTGTGTTGAGCTGCGCTTTGCCCTTTAAGACTCTTCACAGTGTGGCACCGTAACAGGCTGCGTAACACTGCGTAAACACTCAATACTTTACCGACTGCGCATAGAGAGATCTGACAATCACTCGTCGATTGCACCCTCCCTTCTCTCTTTTTCTCCTTCATGTTTTTCTCTCGGTTTAAAAAAAATTAAACTTTTTGGTTTTCTTTTGAACGCCCCCCCCCACCCCACCCCCTGGGCTTTACGAGAACCTTAAACTGGCAAAGCGCTCGGGCATCTTCCCCTCCCAGTGCTGGGTGCGCAGATCAGCCTTTTATAACAGCGGGTGGCATTGCCCAGTTAAATCCCGGCTTGTGCCACTGTGCCAACGCCTTCACTCCTCATTTACCAGCGATCTCTCCGAACTTGAATTGGGGGGATGGGTTGGGTTGGAGGGGGGGGGTTGAAGAGTGAGATAGAGAGAGAGACCTTGTACATTAGAGATCGTTATAGTCCTGCCACCCGCAAGGAACTGTGGTGCTGGAATAATTCTGCTGGACTGAGATCGCCTGAGGAATTCCCATTTAAAATGACCACACGTGCCGTGACGTCAAGCCGACTGGAGCATTATTTGAGCCTCGGGCTTCCTTTCTAAATCGTTTCAAACTCACATTACGCACAGAATCTCTTAAAGTCCTCCCCCGATTCCATGCCGGTCGGCTGGCCTGTCGGTCGGTCAGTCAGTCGGTGGCCTCCCCCCTCCCTCCTCCCTTTTATTGGTGACGCAAAGAAAATTAATTCTTCTTGAAGAACGAGAAGAGGCGTTTCCCTTCCGCCCCAACGACGTCCTCCCGCTTGCGGTCCGGTCTCACCCAGGAGCCGGCTTTGCGCCTGGTGCTGTAGCCGTTCCTGTTGGCTTTTGCCGGTGGCCGACACTCCCTCTGGTGTTTGTCCATTAGCTGCTGGTCAATGACCCTGTGCATGTCATCCTGCGGCACAAGGGAAAGAAGATGTGGAGGGAAAAAAGATGGGAGTGAGCGCTGGTCACAAGCTCACACCGCAACGACAACAATTTGCATTTGCACAGCGCCTTTCACGCGGGGCAGCGTCTCGGAGCGCTTAACAGCGGTGTTGCCTGACGCCAAACTGGGGGGAGGGAGGGAGGGAGGAGGTGACCATAAGCACGGTCAAAGAGGAAAGTCTTCAGTCATGATCTAAAAGAAGGGAAGAAGGGGGCGAGACGGAGGGATTGAGGGAGAGAGCTCCACTTGTCACGTACAATGTTCAGGCTTATTGGGAACAGAATCAAAAGCAAAAATGCCTCCCAAATTCCACCCTTTTAAATGTTCACAAGACCATTTTCCACTACATTTAAAGATGCCGTGGAACCGTGGAAAATTCTTAAATTCAGTCGGAAACTGTTTTTTTTTTCCACAGGTCTTGAAAAGCACCAGCGTCCAAACTTAAGGCTGAGTTTAATAGTTTTCCACAATTCTTAATTTGATTCTACAGGTCTGTGGAGTCCTGTGGTTTAGTAGTTAGAGCAAGCGAGAGGAGCTGGGTTCGATTCCCGGGCAGGGCAAAAGATTAGGCTAGTTTCCTTACACCGCACGCCTCTGTTTACCCAGCAGTAAGTAGGAACCCAGTGTTGTTAGTCGATTGGCGGATCGCTTTTCGGGATAATAGTCTCTTCCAAAAAAAAACAATAATAATAATTTGCTCAGTCAATCCCTGACTGCTTTGTGGGACACTGCTGTGCGTAATTGGCTGCCATGTTTTGTCCACAAAATATAGTCAATTAACATTAGAGGACATTCTGTGAAGCGCTTTGAGACGTCCCAACGACATGATAGGCACTATATCAAATGCAAGGATAATTAATTATTAGTAGTATTATTATTATTATTATCTTGAGGCATAATAGTCTCACAGGCTGAGACCTCGGGCATCAAACATGGTTAAAGGTTACACATTTACGGTGCTACATGCAGACACACAAGAGAGATGCTACATTTGCTGCTGATGGGGAAAGTGAATTAGTGTTGAGGCAGAGAGTCAATGGTGAAGGGAGGGGAGGATGGTTGGCAGTGTGGTCAGCGGTGAGGAGAGGAACAGACAAGCCAACAGGCATAGGAGGGAAAGGAGATCATAGGTTTGAGGCACATAGTAAGCTATTTCTTCCCTATATTGCTTGAGTTAGAGGAAAGCCAATGGTGGCCTGAGCAGCGTTACTTTCAAGTGACTTTACAGGGACAGCAAAATTAATCCAAAGCAAATTCCTCTCGATTCTCCTCAGTAAAAAAAAACCTTGTGATACATGGCAAGCTCTCCCGCTGGAGTCTCATTGTCAGTTGCCTCAGTTCCAGAAGTGCTGGAATTGCAAACAAATATCGATGCTGGTTGCAATTTTCAGACCTTTTTTTATATTTTTAAAAAAAAAGTTTTTTGTTTTTTTCAGCTGCGAGTCTGGAATGGCCAACGAAACAAAAGTTCCGAGAACTTAACGCCAGAGTTGACAGGAATTAACAGAGACAGCAACTGGGACATGCTCATACTCTGCATTGCAAGCAACGTCCTTGGATGGTGAAAGACTCTCTCCCCCCTCCCACCTCCCCACCAACTTAGATACATTCTGACCAGAGTGTAAAATCTGGGTCAAACAGAGGTGGAAAAATTCTGCGTGCAATCCTGGATGCAAACCCAACTGTGTGCGATACTTTGCAAAAAGGACTGGCTGCAATTTGGGCCAGCCACTGTATGGAGGGTCTTACACCACAGGATTTGGTGTGCGCATTGCTCTGAACACAGATCTGTTCACTAAACAGGATTGGACTTCCAGTGGGACTGATTGACGTGATGCTCTGGATAACTTAAGCCCTTGAGGCACTGACAGCAAAACCACTCGACGGTGCGCTTTCCGACTGCGACCATTTTAAGGCTGAAAATTGGCAACTGCAGTGACGTGGGATGTCTGGATGCCCACATACTGTACTGCACGTGTCTCTGTAACTGGCTGCTTGGCGTGGCTCCTTCAGAGCTCTGGGAGTAATACCAGAATCTCTCGGGAATGGAGCACGATTAATAAATGACTTGTGGAGGAGAATGGGCGCAGGGCGGTGTAGGGGCGGTGAGGGGGAACGGTTAACCCGGACTATTCCTTCACCAGAAAAATAAAAGCTGGAGACCGACAGCAGCCAAAGAAGGAACAAAAAAAGATGGAACGTGGAGAGTGGGGATGATGATAAAGTGGATGGGCTGAGATGGGCTGACGATGTCAAAATGAAAGCTCACCTCAGAGGTAGGAGGGGGCTTAGAACAGTCTGCTTGAACAGTAGCTGGCAAAGGCCACTAGATGAGAAACCAGAGGAGCCAAATAGTGAAAAGCCCTGAGGAAGCAAACTGCAGCAGGAGATAAAAAAAAGAGAAGGAAGAAAAACACAGGCTCTGAAGCAACGAAAACACCAGCATTTTATTCCGGTTTGACGACTTTTCTCAAAAGTCCCAACTTTTGGGCAGAATGAAAGCGCACGTTTCACCGTGTTAGTCAGTTAGTTAGGGAAGTATCGACTGTGAATGGTTCCTTCCCTCCCACCCACACACTCACCCACCCGACCACTGGAACACACACAATACTCACCTGACACCCAAGCCAACATCCAAGTCATTCATGTCTCTTCCCGTAAGAGGACGGGATCGTTTGCCCACAAAACACACACAAGCACCGGACTTTAGAGGAAATACCGCAAAGCACTTGGAGACGTCTTCCCCACATAAAAGGCGCTTACACCAGATGTAAGGATTATTATTATATTATATTGTGAACCCACAAGGCGCACCCGTTGAATCATCGTACTGCATGGACTACGATTGAGCGAGGTTTCAATGACGAGGAGAGTGAGGCCAATGGGTGCCAGAGTGAAAGGAGTTCTGTGCTGAGGCTGAGGAGGGCCCAATGGTAACCTGAGCAGCTGCACATTACAGGGATAACAAGCTTAATCTGGACCTGAGACAATGAAATCATATCGCTCTCCACAAAAAATCCACTAAAATCAAACCAAGTGTTCCACTGATCAAACAAACACAATTCAATTGGTTTAAACTTTAAGGGAGTTTAATCTTCAAGGCTGAGGTGGATAGATATTTGTTAGGTCAGGGTATTAAGGGATACGGGACAAGGGCGGGTAATTGGAGTTGAGGTACAGATCAGCCATGATCTTATAGAATGATGGAACAGGCTCAAGGGGCTGAATGGCCTATTCCAGTTTCTATATTAATTACTTTCTTAATTTATAATCTCCTAAACCATTCCCCATTTCTTTTTACGTTCCCTTCACTCTACAGAATCTTGCTGCCCGATTTAAGAACTCCTGTAATTCATTGGGCGATTTGTGGTGGTTTCCAATCGTTTAAAATAAATCCTACCCTTTGACTGTTCATCATGATGGTTTAGTCTGTGACTATGGCTGAAGGGTGGCAGCAGAGAGGTACCAGGAACAGGTCAAATGTACAACAACTGGCATTTCTGCAGCACCTTTCATTGAGGATGAATGTCTCAAAAGGTTTTCGCTGGAACAACAAGGAGGACTAAGCAGGGAATAGAGGCGTTTACTTAAGGGTGTTGACAAAAGGCATGGAGTAAGAAGAGATATTTAGTTGGGTTTTCAAGACAGGGAAAGGATGAAGGCAAAGGGAGAGTTCTCAACAGGAAGGGCAGAGTGACCAAAGGCCACAAGTTACATTAGTTATTCCACGTTACTTCTAACCAATGGGTTATCTCTGGGTAACCCTCAATATTGCTACTAGTCACCGATATTGCAGCCCATTATAAAATAATCAGTTGAACGGCTCCTGTGGTATGAAAATACTATGTTGAGATACATTCAGAATAATTCCAAAAAGACGTCCCACTGGGTGAAGGTAAGTAAGCCAGCCATTGTGAGGTGAGGGGGACTTTATCACTAACCTGCTGGCCGTACAGAAAAAAAAAACATGTGTGGTGACAGGGAAATCACTTACAATGGGATATTTGCTGAGCTCCATTACACGAGCACAACGTAACTCTCTGTTTAAGCCTCTTATCGCTGGATCCAAAACAAGATCGAGGATTGCATCATCAGCATTTTTAACCAGATGAACATAATTGGATACTGTATATCTGTGGACTTGGGCTTATCTTGTGTCTTGACGTTGATATAGTATCAATATTGGTATCTTTCTTGTGGCTGTTAGAAGTTGCACGAAACCCAAGCTACAGCCATTCAAACTCTGTTATGGCACAATTGTCGGAGGTGGTGTCCCTGGGATGAGACGTTAAATTAACCGAGTTTCTCCAGGCCAACAATTGCCCATGACTGTAGGACATTGATGGCAGCAATAATATAGATGGCATAGGGATCATTGAAGAACAATTTACATTTACATACACCGCCTTTCATGTCAGAATGACATCTTAAAGGACTTCACATAAGTGAGTGACTGGAAGCCTGAGCTGGGGGTGTGGAGGGAGGGATGGGATTAAGGGGTGCAAACTGGGAGCTGGGGAAAGCTGAGGGCAGTGCTGAAGAGCTAGGTCTTGAGGTGTGTTTTAGTGACCGCAGCCCTGTGACCTACCTGCCAGGCCTCCAGCTGCTGGGAGAGGTTAAGCTTCTGCTGGATTGCGTCTAGGAGCTGGCTGTTCAGTGACATCATGTCAATCTTACACTTGGTCAGTTCCATCTCCAGTGCATTCTTCCTGTAACAGAAACAGAAGGTTACTGGTCACCACACTGACCAAACCACATCACACTGAACAGGGGATCCACAGTCACCTAGATTCTCCATCAGAAACACTATCCTCCACATCTAACCTGAACCTCACCAACCCAGACTCCACCTAGTTTGTTACACTGGCAGTCAGAGGTCCTATCACCCAGTGTTATTTCTTCAGTCCGCAAATCTGTTTGATGAATTTGCCAAACACGACCGTCATCTCGTAACACACAACGCTGACAATTTTCTTCCACTCAGCATCGTGTAAGTGTACATTTCAGGGCAGTTTTCTCGAGTCAGACACACAGAAAGATGATTTTTTTCTTGGTCGGTTGAGTGTCTGACACATGCAGAAACCCAGCTCCATCTTTAAGAGTATCCAAGTCACACAGAGTTCCAGGTTTGTCACTCACACATGGAAATTCCTGTGCCTGGACTGGAATACTTTCTCTCTCTCTCTCTCTCTCTCTCTCTCCATGGAAGGATACACCCTACTTAACCAATTCAGGAGAATATTGGGTACAGCCAAGGGTTGGTGATCCCAGAGTTTGCTTTGGGGTAACCGCTGAAGTCTAACCAGCTAAAACTGCATAGTTTGCCATGGTAAGCACTGCCTGGCAAACTTCCTATTGCTTGCCCAGCCTGGATCACCTTTCCCGTTAGGGCTTTGACTTCAGGGTTAATAGGAGCTGAAAGGGTTCCTCTTACAGGAGAAAGGTTACTTACTTTGCAATGGCTTCATCCCGGTCGCTGATGGCCTTGTGAAGCTGCTTATCTTGCTCCTTTTCTGCAGACATCACCTTTAACTTGTCTCGTTCCTCTTTCACCGCAGTCATTTCAACCCTCAGCAGCACCACCTATAAACGGAAATGCAGCATTTATTCTTTTTTTAAAAAAACACAATCTTTGCGTCTGATACAGCAGCTGTAACGTTGAAATATCTTCCAAGGGCTTTGCAGGGAATTGTTCTCAAGTGTAGTGACTGTGCATTTGTAGGCAAACACAGCAGCACTTGACAAAAATTGCCACTGTCCTGAGGTAAATGACTAATTTAGCTGGAGGATTGTTGGACCAGAGGAATTATAAATGTCAAGGCTTGTGGGGTGGGGGGGAGGGCTCCAGGGTGTGAGTTGGGATAACTGCTGCAGGTTAACTAGGATAAACGGCATAGCTTACCATCAAGAGCACTGCCTGGCAAGCTTCCCCCTGCTTATCCAGCTAGGACCACCCTGGCCGTTAGGGATTTGGCTTACAAGCTTAACAGGAGTCGAGTGGTTAGAATCCCTGCCACCCAACGCCCCAAGACAGACGGTGGATTCTAACGCAAATCAGTCATTGTGTTAAAAATAATAATCCTCGCATTTGATGTAGCGCCTTATCACGTCTTCGAGATGTCTCAAAGCGCTTCGCAGGATATACTGTAAAGTAAATTGACTGTAAATTTGTGAGAAAACCAACCAATCTCTCAGGGCTCCTGAGCTTCGATTGCAACACAATGTTACAACGGAGCGAGTTATTATGGAATCAGTTTCCTATCTCCGGTTATAACCAGCCCGAGTCAGCTTACTGAGCTGCAAGATCAGCTTTGATGAGATGAGATTTTCACGCAGAGGAAAACGGAGGAGGAGTGGGTAGGATGTTTCCCACACGTTTTATGCTGCTCGCACAGCAAACGGTCTAACATTACGTTGATCCACATCGAAAACAATTGCTCTTTCTTGGTCCATACATTAACGATGTCCAGGTCTCTAAATGTTATTGATCGCTCCCTTCCGAGCGGAGGGAGTGGGCAGGTTGGTAGGGTTTCAGAAGCTCGCAGAGGTAGGTTGGGGAAAGATCCCAGAGGGCTTAAAAAGTGAGGACGAAGACCTTGAGCCGGTGGAGCTGGACGAGGAGAGGGTGCAAGGCTCTCGCGAGAATCTTCACTGTTGTTTGTGTGCGGTTTGTGTTTGAAGTGTTAAGAGACTGGCGCGGGGTAAAAAATAATAGTAAGCCTTGCATTTGATATAGCGCCTCATCATGTCTCAAAGCGCATCATACGGTATATGAACTGTGTCTACGACTGTATATTTTGTGGGCAAAACGGGGCAGTCAATTGGTAGGGGTGGGGTGGGGGTGGGGGAGGTCACGTACCGTAGACTCGTTGCCGTCGACAATATTCTGCACCAAGCGTTTGAGCTCGTGCATTGCGGTGTGCAGGCTGCCAGTGGGGACGTCCTTCGCGGAGGAAGTGTCTGAGGAATCGTCCATGGAGGAGTCGGTGGAAAGTGCGGAGTCGGTGATGTCGTTTCCCCTCAGGTGCGAGCAGAGCGATCGCACCTGGCAGTAAGCTTCCCACATTTCCATTCTGAGCTGCAGAGAGGGGCGGGAATACATACATGGCGATAAATAAGATTTAGCGCTCGCTTCATGACTGTTCGTGGGACATTACTGTGTGGAAATTGGCTGATGTGTTCACCTACACAGTCACTGCACCGGACGCTAAATCCTGTGAAGCATTTTCAGTTGTGCTCTTGACGTGAAATGCCAGTGATTACTTTTACGTGCAAATACACAAATATACCTTGAGTGTACAAATGAGTTATCAGAGTGTGAAGTTTACATCCGTTTGCACAAGTATCAGTCAAGTGTCTTTTACCCTGAGGGTAATCAATGACTGGAACAGGTTGCCAGGAAGGGTGGTTGAGGCCAGGGCAATGGACTCATTCAAAAAGCAGCTCAATGCTGTTGAGGGGGCGGGGGTGGGATGGGAAGAGAGAACGGGCGGCAGGGCGAGTGTTCAGGAGGGATGAGATCAGATGGAATGAAGGGCCTTCTTCACCTAAACCCATCTTGTGAATATGTACATCTGTGTTCACCGATTACATGACAGCGTGAGCCCAGTGGGGGTTACGTCTCCACGAGTGAGTGAGGTCGTTCCCCATTGCTGGCCTGTGTACCTGCTCCCTTTCCTGCTCCAGTTCCTCGGCCTCCATGCTCTGCTCGATCTCAGACAGCAGCGACGTACTCGTCGGGCTCACGCTCTGCATACTCATCTCCTCGTTCATTTCGTCAACCTTGGCCTGAAGCTGTCGATGAGACAGACGGATTTCCTGCAGTTCCAGTTGATTCTGGCGCAGCTGTGAAAGCAGAGAAGAGTGCGCGTTGGAACGATCGCTGCTTACAATGTGGCAAGAGTGGAGCGGGGGCCTGATCTCACCTGGATCGGACCTCATCCAGATCAAACCAAACCCAAGATCCACCTTTGCTAGTCACCCAGATCAAATTGATCATCTTCATGGCTGTTCGTGGGACATTGCCTCGTGCAAATTGGCTGCTGTGTTCACAAACATAGTCCTCTGGACTTTACACTGAATCCTGTGAGGCACTTTCAGATGTCCTCCTGTCATGAAAGCGCTATGTCAAACAATAGTAATAATAATAATCCTTGCATTCAATATAGTGCCTGATCATGTCGTTGAGACATCTCAAAGTGCTTCACAAACTATATTGTAAAGTGGATCGAATGTATATTTTGTGGCGTAATGCAAGGATTCAAAAGCTAGTTATATTAAATGCGCCCAATTGCTAAATCAGCTAGCAAGTCCTTTGCATCGAACTGAAAATGAAAGGGTAATTTTTTTAATTGCATCGTGCGGCTTCGCAGTATTTCTGTTGCAACGGAAAACATTATTTCAGTCTCTTGCAGACAACATTGCTCACCTGCTCATGCAGGCACTGTGCCACCAACTCACAAAGGCATCCCTACAATAATAATAATAATCCTTGTATTTGATATAGTGCCTGATCATATTGTTGAGACGTCTCAAAGTGCTTCACAGAATATACTGTAAAGTGAATTGACTGTATATTTTGTTGGCAAAATACAGCAGCCAATTGCACACAGACAGTCGTGGATTGAGTGACCAATTCATGATTTTGTTTTGAGGGAATTATTACCCCCAGAAAAGCAATCATCCAATCGACTAACAACTGGGTTCTTAGTTGCTGCTAGGTAAACAGAGGAGTAAGGAAACTTGCCCAAGGTTTCGCCCTGCCAGGAATTGAACCCAGGTCTCTCGCTTGCGAGGCGAGTGCTCTAACCACCTAGCTAGAGGACTCCAACATCGAGGAACATCCTGTACCAAAATGTACACATCTGTGTTCAACCACATATACCCAGTCCCAATGTGCCCGCACAAGTACGTGAAAACCAATCCAATCAGCTCTTACATCCAATTGTAGCAGCCCAAATGCTGCCCTCCGTAAATCAATATGAACTAAGTCCACTTGTCAATGGATTGGTGTGTGAAGGCACCATCTAATCTAATGTTCATTCAACAGACCAAGAAGGCGGTGGCTTCAGTTCAGACCGGAAATTAAACCCATCACCTTTTAGACTGCTGAATGAATGCTACCTCAGGTGGTGCCTTGGCCCACCAATCCAGCGGAGAAGTCCAATTGATAACTGTTGACATTCTCCGTATCTTCTCTCGCAAGAGGACCTGGGTTCAATTCCCGGTTGGGATGAAACGCTGGGCAAGTTTCCTTACTCCACACGCCTCTGTTTATCAAGCAGTAAGTAGGAACTTGGTTGTCAGTCGATTGGCGGATCGCTTTCTGGGTGTAATAATCCCTTCAAAATAAATAATAATAATTTGGTCACTCAATCCACGACTGTTTGTGGGACACTGCTGTGCACAATTTGGCTGCCGAGTTTTACCCACAAAGTCAATTCACTTTACAGTATGTCCTGTGAAGCGCTTTGAGACGTCTCGAAGATATGATGAAGCGCTATATCAGATGCAAAGATTATTATTGTTATATTCCCTTTCCCCCACCCATCGTCCAATGAGTCATCATGTTTCTGAAGTGACAGTCGCTACGCCAGCAGACAGTTTTAAGTGCGCAGAAGTTATTTCTTAAAACGCAACTTGTTTATAATCATGGCCTATGATTCTGCCATCTGGTTTCTCACATCCTTAACTCGACGTGTGGTCTCCGCGATGCTTTATATAGCGCGTCAATAACACTTATTTGGGTTTATATTCTGTGGATTCACTTGCATCACTCCAGCATTTTAATTGCCAAGGCAACCGGTGCCTCAAACTGTGATGATATAATTTCATGTTTGTTAAAACCAGGATTTTTTTTTATTCTCCACTCACTTTACGTAATGATGCACCTCACATTATGTAATCATATTTGCTATTTTTAGTACCTTATAGCCCCAGACACTTCAATATTGAGCTCTGTTTGCGATTCAGATTTCTGTACATTGTCCCTTGCCTTTGACAGACCTACTTTCCGCAACTCAAAATTGAATCAATGTGTCTTTCCAACCCAAGTCTGAGCCTTGCTGCTGCCTTACACATTTTCTTGTTGGTCAGCCGGGTGTCTGACACGTGAGGAGACCCATCGCTGTTGCTTAAGAGCAACCAAACCCACTGAGAATTCCATGCATCCCACCTACGGATGGAGATTCCAGAGATAGATTGTTGGAATGGAATGAGCACTCTCTCTCTCTCTCTCTCTCCCTCTCCCTGGAGTGACGCATCCTGCTTACCTAATTCCGGAAAGTATTAGGCGCAGGTTGGCAAGAGCCAAGGCTTGGGGGAGCCCAGAGTGTGCGTTGGAGTAACTGCTGGAGTCTAATCAGCTAAAACTGCAATAGCTTGCAGTTGATCTCTTAATTATTGGAGGACAGAAACCCTGCTGCTATTGCACCCCACGTCTTTTTCTGATCAAAGGCCACCCCGAGCGAAGGACGCCAGATAAATGCAGGTTGCTGTTGTTGTGATTATTGGAATTGCATGATATCAATGCACCAGGAACAGGCAATCTGTTGCAGATACCATCTGTGCCCACCTGTAGATCCTTGTTTTGGCTCTGTGTCTCTGCCAACAACACACGGTCTTGGAGGTCCTCGATGGTACTCTGTAACATCTCATTCTCCTCGATCATGGTGCTGATGCGTCGCTCCAGTTCACGCTTTCGTTCCGTGAGCATCTTTATCTGCGAGCGGGAGATAGGTATAGTTTAGCTTTTGGAACGCGACGCAGCGAAGGACACAGACAAAAGGAGGGAGTGCTCAAGAGAGGGGAAAGAGAAGCAGCGCACAGGAGAGGGGGAGCAAAACAAAAAACACAGCAAACAAAGAGGAGAACAGCGCTGATAAGAAGAGCGAAAGCTGGGAGAGAGGTGAGCGAAACAGAGTAAGAACCTCTGTGTTCCCACCACCCTGATGAGACATGACCAAAATGTCAGGGAAACACACAAGTTTAGCACAGGTCAAGTGGTCTTTGTTAACAGGGCAATGGGCTGTGGTTACTGTGCACACAGGACTGTAAGGTTGTCTGTCTTCCGCACCCAAGTGGGACACTGCGACTTGGACAACCAAGACAAAGGGACGTGGAGTTTACAACAACAACTTGTATTTAGATAGCGCCCTTCACGTCTCGCAGTGCTACGGAAATGCTCGAATGACTCGTGGCCATTGAAGGGTCAGACAGAAACTATTCAGTACTTACTTCTAGAACCTGCTGCTCCACATCACCCCACAGTCAACACAGGAAACGGGAAAAGAGGGAACATTAACAGTCATGAGAAATTCCATTCCAAAATTATTTTTACATCAGAGAGAGAATTTTTTTTTTTTTTTAAATCGCTTGCAATTCTGATCCTGCAGGCAGATAATTTACTTTGTAATGAACGTCAGTGCTGGTCAAAGCAAGCATCTGCTGGGCAACCCTCACCCCATCAAGGTGGTTAAAACTAGTGAGTTTTAATTGTTAGAGAAACTATTTCCTCTGGTGGTGGGGCGGGGGGAATCCAGAACAAGGTGGAGGGGTATCATCTTAAAATTAGAGCCAGGTCATTTAGGAGTGAAATTAAGAGGCAGTTTTTCATCCAAAGGGCAGTGGGATTCTGGAATTCTCTCCCTCCAAAAGGCTGTGGATGCTGGATCCATTCACATTTTCAAGACGGAGGTGGTTAGATATTTGTTAGGTCAATGTATTAAGGGATGTGGGGCAACAGTAGGTAATTGGACTTGAGGTACAGATCAGCCATGGTGGGGCTCAATGGTCTGAATAGCCTACTCCTGTTTCTATGTTTTTATGTTGCTCTGAGCTGAACTAGGGGCCAAAGCTACTAGCCTGGCTGCTGTAACCCGAAGCAGTTGTGAGCTGACCAGCCTGCCTTTGCAATGAGACTTGGAAATGCAGTCTTTACCAGAGCTCTGTCTGACTCACACTCACACCTGAGTCATACTACAAAAATGTTCAATTCCACTCACACCCAGCGCACCACAAAGCCAGTCAGTCAATGCAGCATAAGGAGGTATGCCATTCATACCGCAGAACAGTGCCTTGAACTATGAAACCAGTCCCCACCCACACGTTCATCTTGAACACTTAAACTCACGCCCGCATCTCAATCCATCAGAGAGGCCTTGCACACTCACACCCATCACACCCTCGCACACTGCTTAACTGCAAAAGGCTGCAATTTGCTACAAAAAATAAATAATAATCCTTGCATTTGATATAGTGCCTTATCTCGTTTTCGAGGCTTCTCAAAGCGCTTCACAGAATGTACTGTAAAGTGAATTGACTGGATATTTTGTGGGCAAAACGCGGCAGCCAATTGCACACAGCAGCGTCCCACAACCAGTCGTGGATTGAGCGACCAAATTATTATTTTTTAAAGGAATTATTTCCCCCATCCGCCAATCGACTAACAACAGGTTCCTACTTAATGTTAGGTAAACAGAGACGTGTGGAATACGGAAACTTGCCTAAGGTTTCGCCTCGCCTGGGAATCGATCCCGGGTCCTCTGGCTTGCGAGGCGAGTGCTCTAACCATTAGCTACAAGACACTACTTGGTGTCAAAACAGCCACAGGTGCACAAACCACCATCCGACCTTATCCTTTCCATTGAGCGTGGAAAGTAAGTGTGTTCGCCAGTGGGGTCTCACCTCAGCCTGTAAGCTCTCCAATCGTGCTATGTGCTGGTTTGCTGAGATGCTTTTCTCCCTGAACTCGTCACGAAGATTGTGGACCTGTATTGACAGTTGCTGTTCGATCTCAGCGGCCTGTGGGGAGAACATAGGGAAACAAAAGATGTGGGACTGAGTACTGAGCAAACGTAACCAGGCTCGGGTGCAACTTGACTCAATGCCCATGGAGAGTGGGTATTGCAGGTTGGCTTTCTATAATCCCGTCACATAATTGAACAATCACATCTGCAAAGAATATCCAGAACAGCAACAGCTTGCTTTCTGCTCCAGCTGGACACATCTCAATAGCTTTCCTCGCCCGTCAAAGCAGCTGGACACATTGCAGCACTTTCCTCCTCCTGTCAGCAATGTCCGAATCAGCTGGATGCACATCAACACTCGCCCAGCCTCAATCCGTCTCGACTTACAGCAACAGCAGATGCCAGCAGCAGAACTAGCTGGAGTGAACGCGAGGTGGTGTGTTTCTCCCCTCACCACGTGCCTACGGTAAGTTAGACTCAGTACATTGACTTGTGAGCCTGACCGAGCGAACCAGCCTCAAATGGACTGAGAAGGACAACACAGCAAGCGAACATAGGAAAAGGAGAAAGAGGATGACATAAGAAAAAATACGTACCTACAGGGTGACCAACAAGTCATGATGCCATTACGATGTCTAATACGTCTTAAAGAAATTATGATAATTATTAATACAATAAATGGTATCAAGACTTTTTGATCACTTCTGTATACGTGTATATAAAAAAACTACTCAATAATTGCAGTTTTCATTCAAGAATTAATTACAGGTTTACTTTTTTTTGTCAGATTTTTGTATTTTCTCTAAAGTTTTCTTTTCTGGAGCAGAATCCGTCCTGGTTCAGTGTCGTGGGACCCAAGACGTTCAAACAAACCTCATTAACTTGGGCAATTCTGTGGCTGCGTATAAATCCAAGTTGTTGTTGAAGTTGTCGTTGTTGCGCTGAGTTCCTACCTCAATTCATTTTGTCAATAGTTTCTGTTGGACCCACTGTAAGTTAACAAGACTATCTGCCACAGATAAAGACAACTTTGAAGGTTCTGGATAATAATAATAATTATAATAACACTAATAATCCTTGCATTTGATTATAAAGCCTTATCACGTCTTCGAAAGTCTCAAAATGCTTCGCAGAATTTACTGTGAAGTGAATTGATTGTATATTTTGTGAGCGAAACGGCAGGCCAATTGTACACAGCAGCGTCCCACAAACAGTCATTGATTGAAGTGACCAATTTTGTTTTGGAAGTAATTATTACCTCCGGAAAAGCGATCCGCCAATCGACTAACAACCAGGTTCCTACTTACTCTTAGCTAAGCAGGCGTGTGGTGCAAGGAAACTTGCTCAACATTTCGCCCTGTCGGGAATTAAAACCAGGTCTCTCGCTTGCGAGGCGAGTGCTGTAACCACTGAGCTACAGAACTCCAATCCACTGCTGGTCCAAAGTAGCAGCAAGGAGAATGTGCTGTACAAGCAAGGTGCAGTTTCAAAGTCTGGCTGAAAAAACACAAACCAATAGGATTCTACACGTTTCCGTAGTTTTCATGTGGCTCAGAATTTAGGTCTGTCTGATCTAATCAGGCCAAGGCAGTAGTTTCACTCTAAAGATACATTCAGGACATATGGGAGGAGCTGTGAAGGCCACTCCAAAAACCACCTACAATTAGGACACAGAAAAGCTTATCATTGAACCAGTCGCCAGAGGGGAGTTTTCATGAATGGGGTTACATTTCTATGGTTCAGATTTCTCCTGCGCTCACAAGAACTCCTGTAATCATGGCATTGGCACCCACACAATCTGGTATCTCCATCGAGAAAAAAACAAACAGATTCTCTCTCTTCCAAAAACCCAACCCAGAGAACAGGAGATTCATAATAAACCAACATTGTAGAAAGGGACCCGGAATGAGCCACTTTGCAACAACAACAAAATACAACTAAATTACATTTGTATAGTGCCTTTCACGTTGAGAGGATGTCCCAAGGCGCTGGACAGTCAGTGTTTCGGACCCGAGCTGGGGGGTCAGGATTGGGGAGGGTGGAGAGCAGGTGGGGGGGTGGTGGGGGGGGGGGAAGGAGGGTGATCGAAAGCACGGTTGAAGAGGAGGGTCTTGAGATGGGTCTTGAACAAGGCAAGGGAGGGGGCAAGTTGGGGGGACTGTGGGATCAATGGATAGCCAAGGAGGAAATAGTAGCAAAATATCAATACCTAACAAAGGGTGCATCATGCAACGAAATCTAATTGGAAAATGTGCTACTGAAATGTTAAATAGCTCTTAAGACTAATAACAATAATCCTTGCAATTGATTTAGCGTCTTCTAGATGTCTCAATGCAGAATATACCATAAAGTAAATAGACTGCATGCTTTGTGGACGAAACGCGGCAGCCAATTGAGCACAGCAGCGTCCCACAAACAGTCATGGATTAATTGACCAGATTCTTCTTATTTTTTTTAAAATGTTTATTTTTGAAGGGATTATTACCCCCAGAAAAGCAATCCACTAATCGACTAACAACTGGGTTCCTACCCACAGCCGGGTAAATAGAGGCACGTGAAGTGAGGAAATATGCCCAATGTTTCTCCCTGCCCGGGAATCGAACGCAGGTCCTCTCGCTTGTGAGGCGAGTGCTCTAACCACTAAGCTACAGGACCCTTCATACTCCATGGCGTCATTGTGTGGACAGGAGTCCTTGGAACTTATGTTGACAATCTATAAACCATGGATGAATACAGCACACATCTAGCACTTCTTTTTGCAGTACAGTATTTGGAAGAGGATTTGGAAGAATCATGAGTCAGGGTTCAAAAATAACCACCAGCTCCCATGAGATATACATGCCTTATTCTCAACTGAGATCCAATGGGTCTTCTTGATCCAGAACTTCCTTCAGTCTGGATCAACATAAATGGATGGGAGTACCCTGGGATTGTAGCAATAGGGTATAATTTTTGATACAATACAGTAAGGAACATGGTAAGAATTCCCATCACCCTGCAGGATCTCCTCTCTGGCAATATATTGTTAGAGCGAAGACCTCACCAGTCTGCGTGACACGGCTGGTTACTGGACAAAGTCCAAATTTTACAATGATTGTGATTCCTTTCTAAGCAATCTTGATAAGATATTACACCACAACAAGTCAACAACAATTTCCAAATGCAAAATATAACATTTCTATAGCGCCTTTCACAGCTGGAGGACATCCCAAGGCACTGGACAGTCAGGGATTTGGCTCCGATCTGGGGGTAGGGATCAGGGAGGATGGAGGGCAGGGAGAGTAGGAGGGAGGGTTACATTTGTAAAACCCTTTCATGTTGGGAGGATACCTCAAAGCGCTTGACAGGGCTGACTGGGAGCCCCAGCGTGGGGATGGAGAAAACAGTTGAGGAGTGTGTGGTGGGGAAAGGTGACCAGAATTGTGTTGTGATGTTTTGGGCATAATACACATCCTGTGTGTTCATAGAACACAACAAGGGTGGAACACAAGGTCCCCTAAGTTGGGTGGGGTAACAGAGCCCTGTGCAAGGCCTTCACAGAAGTCCCTCTGGGTTGCTGGAAGATATATAGGTCTTATTAATGGTGATGAAAATAGCTAAGCCGAGCAGGTTAGTTGGTTAAAGGCGCACAGCTCAGCCACCACCATACGCAAGGCTAATTAGCTTCGTGAACACTTAATAGGAATTAAAATTAGCAACTGACACAACAGAGAAATCAGTCCTTCAACTGAATTGATGGGAACAATCTGTGAGATTCTATTTCCACATTCCTCCCAGCAATGCTGGGACAGCTTGAAGCCTGCACCCAATGTCAAAACCATAATCTCAGTCTTCTCCTTGGCACTCTGCCAGTTCACCACCCACCCCAAGTCCATGTTTGCCAACGTACTGAAAGATGTATTCAAATGTTCAGCTGGTGCCATATGAATTTTTGTACATGGGCATGTTGGATTGATCCAATGCTGCTAACTCAGCCTCGCACAGTGAGAGCACTCTTACCTCTGAGTCAGAAGTTTGTGGGTTCAAGCCCCACATCGGGACTTGGAATCAAGATGATCGCAGCAGCCCATTTGCGCACAGCAACGTCCCACAAACAGGCAAAGAGTGATTGGTCAATTTTATTTTGGGGAGATTGTTGGCCAGGAGACCGGGAGAAACTCCCTTCTCTTTTCAAAGAGCGCCGTGGGATCTTTAACAACCACCTGAACAGTCAGACCTGGCCTCGGTTTAACATCTCAATCCGAAGCATGGATTAAGCAGGAGTTAAGAATTGGCAGATGGGTTTTAATGCAGATGAGCAACACAATGAGCGCCAGCACAGACGACAACAAAAGCATTCACATGACGTCTGTTATCTTAGGTGGAAAAAGGATCTTGTGTGATCATTGACTGAACATTTCAGTCAATAATATGCCATAATTAACAAAGCTAATCAATGGCCAGGGTCCACTTTGTGTTGCTTTAACCTCTAACAGGTCACTGACTTGTTCACATTTGGGATGTTGTGTGTAATAATAATAATAATAATAATCCTTGCATTTGATAGAGAGCTTTTCACGTCGGGAGGACATCCCAAAGTGCTTCACAGAACACACTGTAAAGTGAATTGACTGTATATTTGTGGGCGAACGCGGCAGCCAATTGCACACAGCAATGTCCCACAAACAGTCGTAGATTGAATATGACCAATTTATTATTGTTTGGGGTTTTTTGGAGGGATTATTATTAGGCGGTTGGAGTAAGGAAACTTGCCCAAGGTTTCGCCCTGACCTGCCTGGAATTGAACTCGGGTCTCTCGCTTGCAAAGCGAGTGCTCTAACCACTGAGCTACAGGACTCCACAAATTTGGGTAACTATATACAAAAAAGGACATTATTAGCTCAAGAGAGTGACAAAATGATCCCATTACCGAAGCTCACCATTTATATCGGAAAACAATATTGCGGGGGTTTTGTTTGGGGATTTTGTTTGCCCTTAAGTTAATCAGTTTCCAGTTTTGAGCATCCACTGGCAGCCTAATGTATGCCCAGATCACACACAGCACTGTCTAGAACCAGAGTAAAGATCCCTCAGCTCTATGGCAACAACATAGTGGAACTTGCCACACGACAAGTGCAAATGCTCCTGTGTTGCTATCTGTGAAATGCTGCGGAAAATCCATAATATATTTAAGCAAGAAAAAAAATGATTTCATGCAAACAAGGAATTGGCAGGAATTTAGAAACCAGAGAGATGTAGGAGGCTTAGCACTTTTTTTTTTCCTCCTCTCCTCTCTGGTCCCATTTTATTTGGCATTTTTATTTCTCGATTGGAGAAAGATCATGAATTCGGCTCCACCTGCAGAGAACTTCTAACTGCAACGAAATTTACAGAACGGGTAAGTGGCCTAACCTCACGGAGTAATTCATGCAGTCCCCGATGCTGTCAGTGTTATATCAGTCACATTGTCACATCAGTCAAACGGTCACTTGCTCAGGACTAGAACCACAGACATCCACAGCGTAGAATAAGGCCATTTGGCCCATCGTGTTCTGTGCTGCTTCTGTTAAAGAGTCATCCTCTCAGTCCTATTTACAGTGCATTAATCTGTAAACTCTGACTTTGGAATGAACCAGTTTGGGAGAGAGAGAGATATTGTTAAAAATGTCTGTTCCCTTTCCTGAAGTTCGAAACTGTAATAGTAAAACTCACGTAAGTCTGATCTGTATAAATCGTATAATCGCCTAAGTCGTATATTAGCCCAAGATCCATTGAATTTCCCATTATTTATAAGTTTCACTTAACTCATACTTTGCATACATCATGTTAAATGTACGGTCCCAACTGGATACGTCCGGTATGAGGTTTACTGTAGCAACACCTGGGATTAAATCCTGAAAGAATTGCAAATTTTTTTAAAAAAAGTCTTTTTTGCAGGATTCGTTAAGTGATGCACTTTGTGATGATAGTTTTCTTTTACAAATGGAGAGGCCGTGTAAAGTACGAACGAGTGAGTAAAATAGTTTGCGGGGGTGGGGTGGGGAGAGGGTGTGGGGGAAAGAATGTCTCCAAATGGATTAAAATCAACAGCAACAGGATGACCTTGATTAACTTTACTTTCTTTTTATATATTCCATCTCAGCAAATACAGCACTTCAAGCAACATAAACACTGCTCTAACCTGCCAGACTGCCATCCCGGGAGTCACGTTCAGTTACAAATCACAGGCTTGAGCGAAAACTACTCATGATGGGTTTAAAGTCTGAACTATCAACATAGCAATGACTCACTGCGGGATTGATACTGTTTTCACAGCCAGAACGTTACAGGAGGCTTCAGAAACCTTTAGAATTTGCACCCTTCACCAACAGATGCAGAGGGATTCATGCCTATTCCAAAGACAATAGTCCTTATTGAGTCGTGCGGGCTGTGTAATAATCCTTGCACTTGATAAAGCACGTTATCACGTCTTCCAGGCGCCTGTCTCAAAGCGCTTCACAGAATGTACTGTAAAGTGAATTGACTGTATGTTTTGTGGATGAAACTCAGCAGCCAATTGCGCACAGCAGCGTCCCACAAACAGTCGTGGATTAAGTAACCCAATTATTATAATTATTATTTTTAAGGGATTAATAATCCTTGCATTTGATATAGCGCTTTTCATGTCGGGAGGACGTCCCAAAGCGCTTCACAGAACACACTGTAAAGTGAATTGACTGTATATTTGTGGGCGAACGCGGCAGCCAATTGCGCACAGCAATGTCCCACAAACAGTCGTAGATTGAAAATGACCAATTTATTATTGTTTTTAGTTTTGGAGGGATTATTATTAGGCTCTGTGTGGAGTAAGGAAACTTGCCTAAGGTTTCGCCCTCTGCCTGGAATTGAACTCAGGTCTCTCACTTGCAAAGCGAGTGCTCTAACCACTGAGCTACAGGACTCCACGATTATTACCCCCGGAAAAGCGATCCGCCAATCGACTAACAACCAGGTTTCAAGTTACTGTTAGGTAATCAGAGGCAAGTGGAGCAGGGAAACTTGCCCAACGTTTCATCCCGCCCGGGAATTGAACCCAGGTCCTCTCTATTGCGAGGTGAGCTATTACACTGAGCTACAGGACTCCACAGAGGGCTACAGACTTTCCAGAAGGGATCATGATCATCGGGAAGCACTGACCTTATCCGGGATACACTTTACCAAGAGCCTATTCCCTACAGTAACAGGTAAAGTATAACGATGCAGGAGCGATGTACAGTGGCTGAGATATGCTGAGCCTATAAATCTTTCTCACACGCACACGCACACGAGATTCAAGAAAGAGCTTAAAGATCGGGTGACATCTGAGAGGGACGAGGCACACGCAGGGCCTGACCCCAACCAGAGCCGCTCCTACACCGACCGCAATGACAGCACCTGAACCCCAACGCGCCAGGGGTTCCCAACAGCGCGTAGGCCGACATCCAGGGGACGCTGGCCGAGCAGAAGAGCTCCCCGGCAAGAACGGAACGTGTAATAACGGAGCAGAAGATGTTGTGCTCTGCGGTTTTGTTGTTTTTTTTGTTGTTGTACCCAAATGCCATATTTTCAAATAAATATATATTTTTTTCACAACGTTAATAAAAAGAAAAGGATGGAACCGAATTCGAGGCAGCCGGTAGCGTTATAGTCGACGCACCAACACGCAAGCCCGTGGAAAAGCAGTTAAGACTTTGTAAAAGGACAGTGACAACTCTGGGAAATACAACAATAATAATAATAATAATCCTTTGCATTTAATACAGAGGAGTATCACATCACTGAAAGATCTCAAGGCACTTGATAGGATTTTACTATGCAATAGAAACGCGGGGACTATATTTGCTGCTGAATGTGGCAGCCAATTTGCGTATAGCAATGCCCTGCAAAACAGCCACAAAGAGAACGCCTAATTTTAAGGACACTGGGAGAAACCGCCTTCTCTTTTCAACTAGTGCCACAAGATCATCAACACCCACCGTACACGCCTCCTATGTTACAGGGGGCACGGTAGCCCGATGGAAAAATGCGCAGCAGTTATTCATACGTGTGTCATACCGGAATTGGATTGGGTTCATTGAAGTTCGACTGGAAAAAAAAAAAGTTTTGAATAAGGGAATTACGAAAACAAAAATTCTCTAAACTTTCAATCAGACCAGGAGCAGGAAACAGTGAATGGTGTAGCGTCTACTGCGGATTAGATTTGGTTCTTTTCCAGGATAAGCCACTGAAGTGAAAGAACTCAGAATTTGCAGCAAAATTGTAACAAAACTATCTGCACGATTTTCCAGAAATCAGAGGGACACAAGTTTGTGGCTGTTCAGCAAAGAGGTTGCGTTCTGGGCTCACATTGACTACATTCTCAACTCTGCGCGTGCACACACTCACACCACACACCACACACCACACACATATCCACACCACAGCCACGCAAAACCCACACCACCCACCACACACACCCACCCACCACCACACACCCACCCCACCATACACACACACTCACCACACACACACACACACTCACCACACACACAAACACCCACCACACACACCCACCCACAACCACACACCCACCACACACACACACACACTCACCACACACACACCCACCCACCAACACACACACTCACCACACACACACACACCCACCCACCACACACACACCCACCACACACACACACCCACCACACACACTCACCACACACACACCCACCCACCATACACACACACTCACCACACACACAAACACCCACCACACACACCCACCCACCAACACACACACTCACCACACACACACCCACCACACACACACACATACACACTCACCACACACACACCCACCCACCAACACACACACTCACCACAACACACACACACACACTCACCACAGCACACACACACACACTCACCACACAGACACCCACCCACCAACACACACCCACCCACCAACACACACACTCACCACACACACACACACACACACTCACCACACACACCCACCCACCACACACACAAACACCCACCATCCACACTACACACATATCCTCACCACGGCCACACAAAAACCCACACCACCCATCACACACACACACACACACACAAACACCCACCACCCAGACCACACACAACCCACACACACCACACCCACACAACCACCACACACACAACATTCTGGCTCAAAGGGCGCAGCATGACCTTGCGATTCCGGAGCTCAGGGTAGCGGGCAGGAACATGTGAAAGCAATATGATAAACATCATTGAAGCATAATAGTAATAATCTTAAGATTTTAATAATAATTGAAGGGCCTTCTTCATCCAAACCTCTTTGAAAAAGAAAAAAATGTGGTCACTCAATCCACCGCTGTTTGTCGGACGCTGCCGTGCGCAATTGGCCGCCGCGTTTCGCCCGTAAAATACACAGTCAATTCACTTTACAGTGTATCCTGTGAAGCGCTTTGAGACGTCCCAAAGACGTGATCAGGGGCCATATCAAATGCAAGGATTATCACTAAGTTATTAGTGGTAACGTGGGACTTACCCTGGTGATCTGCTCCAGGAGTCGCTGGTTCTGTTCAGAGAGCTCTTGCATGGCTCTACCTTTCTCTTTGTCGGCCTCTCGTAACTGAACCTGCTGCCTCTCCAGCTCGTCCTGAAGCTGCTTGAGGTCAGTCTCCAGCTCCACCACTCGCCCCTCCCACTCCCCCTCTCGGTTCTCGAAACGTCTCCGCAATTCGTGCTTCTCCTGGGCCAGGTGCTGTGGGAGGGGGCGGTGGGGGTGGGTGAGAGGTAGGGGAGCGGGTGGTGGGAGGGGAGAGAAGGCGAAGGAAGAAAGACGGAGAAAAGGTGACCTCGGACCTTCAGCTCGTCAGCAAAAGGATTTCGACAATTTATGAAAACAAACCCGAGCAACCGTGTTGCCTGCGAAACACACAGTCACTACACTTTACAGTAAAGCCTGCAGAGCGCTCAGAGACGTCCTCCCGACACACGAAAAGTGCTACCGTCAAATGCAGGGATTTTTCGTTCCGTTGCATTTACAACAACAAGAAAAAAAACTGGAGCGAAATCCGTGAACCGTTACCACAAGGAACACATTACGAAAGGGAGAGAGAAAGAGCGTCCATTCCATTCCAGCAATCTATCTCTGGGATTACACCTGTGGAGGTGGGATGCATGGAATTCTCATACATGGTTTGGAGGCTTTTGGGCACGGTGATGGGTTTCTGTGTGTATCAGACTGACCCCCACCCCCACCCTCCAAAAAAAATAACTAAAAAAATAAATAAGCCATTTCCTCCAGATACGCAGCCCCTTCTTTTACCTACGTTTTCTGTGCTGTGTATTCTGGTTTACTTCTGCAAAACATTTCCAAACTCCAGCAAGCTATTTTACGCCTGTTAACAGATATCGCTTCCAACACATTAAACACCTTCTGTATTTATACCAACATCCCCATTATCGAGGCCTGGCCAAATGGTTTCCACAGATGATATTTCTTTGGTCTTAATGACAGAGAACCCATTGTATTCAATGGAGTATTCAATCATCTCTCTCACGCACACTCTCTCTCTCTATCCACTTACCTCTAAAGCTTTCAGTCTACTGTATTTCCAAACCCAAGATGTTTATCTAGCTCCTGACTGTGAGATTGACAAAATACACATGTAAAATACACAGACGCAACAGTTAACAGTAAATCTTGTGAAGCACTTTGAGAAGCCTGCGCGACATGAAAGTCACCATATCGAATGCAAGGATCTTTATAATTATTATTTAATCACCACAGTATTAACTGTTCTTCCAGGCGGCTGTTGTACTTTCCCATGAAAGTAAATGCTTTTTCCACCCTCTGCGTGTTGCTGATTTGCATTCCGTGCAATGCCATTTTCCCTTTGAAATCATGTTCCCCCCCCCCACCTCCCAAATGATAACGGGTTCAAATCTGTGACTCACTCCATATCACTTAGGAGTTTTAAACAGTCTTTGCTTTTAATTTGCAATGCATCAATTTCTTTTTCAATATTGCACGCCCAAATTCAGTCAGCAGCCTCACCGGTGATGGACACATAGGTAGGACACCACCTGTTCAACCTAAAATTAAATACCCGTGAGACGCAATCCAGTTCTTCGCTAATTTTGTTGATGACAACTTAATGTGGACTGAATAAATGGACCAAATGGTCAAATCCCTCACCCAAACCCTGTCCTGTGCCATGTTTGTCAACGGACAATAGTAATAATAATAAGCCTTGCATTTGGTATATCGTCTTATCACGTCTTCGAGCGTCTCAAAGCGTTTCACAGAATATATACTGTAAAGTGTATAATTTATTATGCATCTATTTCAGGCTTTCCACCTTCGCACGCCCATCAAATCCATCATCACAAAACTTTACTCTGTCAATAGACATCAAAATCTTTGCCTGCTCACCTCTTTCATGTCCTTACACCTCCCTACCCCTGAGGTCTCCAGCCTCATTCTTCTGGCGACCAAACTTAGGCCTCCTGCCCCATCGTTAGTGGCCACTATGCCCCCATCCTCTGGAACTCCCTCCCTCTCCCCTCCATCTGGCCCTCACCAGAAACATGTAAAAAGTTACCTCTTCAACCATGTTTACAGTCACCTCCCACCACCACAACCACCTCCACTCGGTGTCCAGCATTGCCTCTATAAAGCACTTGTAGCTGTTATTAACTGTATGCGAAGGGTACTACTGTATATGAATGCCAATTGCAGATGTTGTCCATTGCGTATTACCTTGCTTTAATCCCCAATTCCAATCTATCAGACGCCGCCTGCTGGATTAATTTATCCATTCTATAATTAATGGTTATAAATTGCCCCTGAACAAGTCGCTTGATCACAGAGCTTTTTATCACCGGTACTTTTATACACTATCCACATATTGGTTGTGAATAGTCCTGAAAGCTGTTGGCCATTATAAAAACGCTTATGCTATCTCTCACATCTCGCGGGAGCTATAGATGGTTGATCTGGGCGAGTCTTGAATCCTCGAAAATTCAATCTACTTCACAGACAACGGCTTAAATAAAAGGATTTCGACAGAACCCTGGTTTGAAAGAGATCTGCTAGAAAAAAAATGGGGTGAAGTGTGAGGTGACTTTAATATCACTGAAACAACATCAGAGAAAGAGGGGAGCAGGTAAAAGGGATGTTAAAGTGGGATATTCTGGGAGGGTGAGATCAAATGAGCCAAAGGGCCTTCTTCATCCAAACCTCTCTCACGTGATCTTATGTGTGAAAGAAGCAAAGATGAAATGACCCATCACCACCACCACCAACAACAAATTACAATTACACTGTGCCTTTCAGGTCGAGAGGACGTCCCAAGGCGCTGGACAGTCAGGGATTTCGACCCGAGACGGTGGTTGGGATCAGGAAGGGTGGAGGGCTAGGGGTAGGAGGATGGGTGAAGGCGCGGTCAAGGAGGAGTGTCTTGAGAATTGCCTTGAAGGAGTAAGGGAGGGAGGGAGGGAGCGAGGCGAAGGGACTGTGGGGTGGATTTCCGAAGGGTGGGAGCAGAGAGGCTGGAGGCCCGACCGCCGATGGTGGGGAGTGCTGGGCAGGGGAATGTGGAGCAGGCCGGAGCCCGCTGAGCAGCAAGTCATCCAAATGATGAACAAGCCATCAAAACCTCGAAGGTCGAGCTCGGCAGTTAAGGCAGCAATAGTTCAAACATGATGACCTAAAAGGCCCTCTTCTGTGCAGAAAATCTCAACGTTTCTACGTCACTGCATGTTATCAGCACAGAACTAAACAAACTAAACAAACAGTTCAGTGCTAAACGAGCATTAGAAAGAAGCCACTGCCGGGAGTTCCTCTCAACAACTCAACTCAAAATATTTTTGCAGGAATTTTCATTAATTTCAGAAATATTAATCTTGGCCTTGTAAGTTTAACAATGACCTAGCTTTACTGCGCTGAAACAAATGGGATTAATCTATTCTCTAATTATAAATCAGTCCAATCATCAGCATCACAAGCACCGCAGCACTCTTATAGGGAATTATTTGCATCAGCATCAAAGAAAGGCCTGTCAATTTATTCACTGTTTGTGATGAGGGAAAAGTGCAGAGTAATAAGGGGCTAAGAATAGGGAATAGTATAAATAATGGAAAATGAATCCTTTAGTGCCATAAAGAAGGTAAAACTGTCCTCACAGAGCAAGGTCTCACTGCTCTGTACCCGACATAGAATTATAATAATAATAACATGTGATAGAGCACCTTCTACGTGAGGAGGACAACCCAAAGCACTCCACATGATATAACGTAAAGGGGAGTGACTGATGTTTTGTAGGTCAATGCAGCAGTCAATTTGCACACAGCAATGTCCCATAAACAGTGATGCAGTGAACGACTAATATTATTTAGGGAATTGTTGGTGAGGACACCGGGAGAAACTCAATTTTCTTTTTCAATTTTCAACAGAGTCTTGAACATCAACCTTAACAGGCAGAGTTTAACATCTCATCCAAAGGACAGGATCTCCAACAGTGCAGCACACCCCCAGCACTGCATTGGAGTAAAAACAGGGCTCGCTGGGAACACTCAGCAGGTCAGGCAGCATCTATGGAGAAAGGAACGTGGGTCCTTTCTCCATTGGAATGTCAGCTTAGTGTCTGCTAGTTCCAGCTACCCCCACAAAGCAAGGTCACCTTACACTCCAGTATCGGATGCCGTTAAACAAGAGCAGCCTTGACCAGCAAACAGACACAATGCAATTTAATCTGGAGATAATTCTCGGAAAAGCTGTTTTGCAGAAATTGTAATAATCGGTGAAAAAGTGACGAAACCTCCAAAATCCTAATAACTTGAATGCTTGTTCCATTCCCCGTAGCAAACAAACTGGGACCTTTGCCTCCTGGATTGAAATGAGGATGACATCATCCCGAGTGATAACTTTATCTCTCTACACGCTGATTGTTATTCTTTCAGCACGGATAGAATTCAGTAAGATACCGAACAGGAGGTAAAACACAAGTTTTTTTTTTACAAAAATAAGACACAAAAAAGTTCCGTGAGAGAAGAGAGGGTGTCATCCGGGAGAAGTGGACTGGCGTTAACATTGCACAGTACTCCAATACTCTTTCTCTCCCGCGAGGGTCTCTCATTGGAGTTCATCGGTCTCGACCGCATTCATTAGGCCATGAAAAGGTTGGGGAATGAACCAGTGATGTACGAGCTGTGTACTGGCTAATCTGATCCATTTGTCTAGTTCCGGAGAAATTAATACACTGAAGTGGAACCCAAAGCAGACTTCAAGTTTGTTTATTTAGTGCTGGGCTGCATGTCTCGAGCAGGCCGAAATCCACCGAGACGAGAATTTGCATGTTTCCCAAAGCAGCGGAGTAGTTCGGCCTCCCCGCTGGAGATCAGCACAGTGACGCTGTCGGTCAGGCCACTTTTGAAGCATTTTAGTGAGCTCCAGCCTGCAGCAAGTCAACTGTCATCAATCAATGCGCTTTTCCAAATCGCATTTTGAAGGGATCGATTCTGCACTGAGAGTTGCAAGTCACCCCGACCAGGGCTGATTCTGCACAAGTTTCATCTCTTTTTTTATTAAGTATGGTACTAACATAACAGCGACGTCAACCGCAACAACGATTCGGACGTCGCTCTCTTTGATGTTTAAAAATAGTCGAAAGGGCTAGATATCACCTAATGACGCCTGTCACCAGTTAGCTCCTGTGTTATTTCTGAAAATATGGCTCCATTCCTCCAAAGGATGAGGAGAGTCCATCTGTGAGAGTCGAACACAGTTGTCAGAGCTCTCGTCAGAGGACAACAGGACAGGTAGACCAGGTGATGGCTTGAAGAGTCTTGGATGGGAAGTGTTGGGTTAAGGGCAATGGACTTGGAGGCAATCCGTGGGGATATGTAGGATGTCATAGAAGGTGCTAGGATAAGGGACAAGGATTGGAATGGCACTGACTCTGGGACATGAAATAGGGTGAAGTATGAAGCTTTGGGATGCATAGATTGGAATTAGGACCAAGAGATGGGACAGACAGTGTTGGGATGAAAGGAATAGAATTGAGGGCATAGGATTTTTTTGGGGGGAGGAAGTGGGGTGGACAGGTGCACAAGTGATTACACATATTAATCGGAGACTAATGAGTTCCTGCACTTTATCCAAAGAGATAAATACAAGAGCAGGAACATTACATCATTTGTAAAGAACACTGGTCACAACTCAACTGGAGTATTGTGTTCAATCTTGGGTGTCCCATCTTTGGAAGGTTACACTGCCTTAGAACATGTCCAGTGTGGAACCACCAGGACGATATCTAGGGTAGAAGGACTTTGTATGAGAGGACGGGTAAATTTGGGCTATACTCCATGGAACTGAGTTTAAGGAATTATACGATTAGGAGCTTTAAAATAATGGCAACTGACAACGTAGACTTGTCCATCTAGTAAGGGGGGAATTGGGTTAAAGGGAACGTAATCATTCAATTTAGAGTTAAAACTCAAAAATTATTCCTCCAAAAACTGAGTTGTGAGAACGTGGAATTCACTCTGGGCACTAGGCCGGAGATGCAACATCAATGGAAGCGTTTAAATAAATGAGAAACAAGGGCGTTCGGGAATAAGGAGGAGAGAAAAAGCGGGGAGATGGAACAGAAAGAGAAGTTCCACTGAAGAAAACAGTGGGCGGCACAGGCTGAACAGGAACTATAACAGGACATCTGGCCTAAGCCCTGAGGCAGGACAGTTGGAACACAGTGGGATAAGTCGTATGGGATAGAGTACAAGGCAGTGGGATAAGGCGATAGATGGGATTGTTGGTTGGGGTAAGGGCCATTGGGATTGAGTAAAAAGCACCGGATTGAGGAGCGTAAAGAGTGAACGGGATGAAAAGACATGAGATAAGGGTCACGAGGAAGGGGTAGGATAATAATCCTTGCATTCGATACAGCGCCTCATCACGTCGTCGAGACGTCTCAAAGCGCTTCACAGCGTGTATTGTAAAGAGGATTGACTGTGTGTTTCGCGGCCGAAATCTCCCCCACAAAATAGACCTGGCTGTGGCACTCGCTCCCCCAATCCCTCTGCCTCGCCCCCTCCTTCCCCTCTTTTCGATCACGACCGAAGACCTTCCTCTTCGACCGTGCTTACGGTCACCTCACACACACCCCCCCCTCCCCCCCCTTTCTCCCCCAACCCCCTCCGCCGCCGATAAGCGCCCCGAGACGCTGCCGCTTGCGGGAGCAGGCGCCGTATCCAACGACGGGGCGATAATTCTTCTTCTTGGGCATATTATGAGTGGGAAGGAACGACCGAGCAGAAAAATGGGACGGCTGGACAGGTGGGTCGGTCTGCGGAAGGGGTGAAACGACCTCTTGAAGACGAACACCATCACCATCACCCTCTCCCTCCCTCCCTCTTACCTCCCTCTTACCTCCCTCTTACCTCCAGCTTGTCAGTGAGCTCCCGTTGCATCTTCTCGAACTGGCAGTGGAGTTCTTGGTTCCTCTCCAACAAGGCTTTGCCCAGTCTGGCGGCCAGGATCAGATCACTGTCCTTCTGCCGGAGCTGAGACACCAGGTCCTGGATACCCGGACCGGTCAGTGCCTCCTCCTCCCCCTCCTCCTCCTCCCCCTCCTCCTCCTCCTCTTCCTCTGCCCCTCCAGACAGAGCCACGAACTGCTCGTCCAGAGGGAGGAGGAGGCAGGAGCCGCTGAGCCCGGGGGGAGCGGAGGGAGAGAGGAGAGGTGGAGGAGGTGGAGGAGGTGATGGAGAAGATGATGGAGGAGGAGGAGGAGGAGGAGGAGGGTGGGATCGGTGTCGGCTGCTGCAGCTCTGAGGCTCGGCCTCTTCCTGGGGCTCGGAGGCTGAGGCTGGGGGGTTGGGGTCGCCCTGCGGGAATTCTCGCCACCACAGAGCCGCCATGGGCTGTTTGCGGGGTCCGCTAATAGCCCGCACTGACTGCCTGGCAGGGCTGGGCTGGCAAGGGCTGGGCAGGGCTGGGCTGGCAAGGGCTGGGCAGGGCTGGCAAGGGCTGGGCTGGCAAGGGCAGGGCAGGGCAGGGCAGGGCTGGCAAGGGCTGGGCAGGGCTGGCAAGGGCTGGGCAGGGCAGGGCTGGCAAGGGCAGGGCAGGGCTGGCAAGGGCTGGGCTGGCAAGGGCTGGGCAGGGCAGGGCTGGCAAGGGCTGGGCAGGGCAAGGCTGGCAAGGGCTGGGCAGGGCAGGGCTGGCAAGGCAGGGCTGGGCAGGGCAAGGCTGGCAAGGGCTGGGCAGGGCAGGGCTGGCAAGGGCTGGGCAGGGCAGGGCAGGGCTGGCAAGGGCAGGGCAGGGCAGGGCAGGGCTGGCAAGGGCTGGGCAGGGCAGGACTGGCAGAGTTAGCTGCCGCTCTCTCTACAGCGATCTGCTCAGCGCGGAGATCGCCCCGAATCCCATCGACCTCACCCAACCCTGGCCCCCGGGCCGCCTCCCCTCGCCTTGGCCGCCTCTCCTCTCCCCCTCCTCCTCCTCCTCTCCTCTCCCCCGGGCCGGGAGCTCTGCTCCGACTCCGAGAGCCCGTGGCTCGTCGCTCGCTCTTCGTCCTGTGTGTTGCTCTTCGCTCTCTCTATCTCTCTCTCTCTCTCCCTTCTCTCCACCTCTCTCTCTCTCTCTCTCTCCCTTCTCTCTATCTCTCTCTCCCTGGTCCCTGGTCCCTTGTCCCCTGTCCCTCTCCAGCCTCGGGACCATGAGCCCATCCTTCACAAGGATGAGACTGAGGAGGACATGATGATGATGGTGAGGATGGGGAGGGGGGGGTGAGGATGATGAAGGAGAGGGGGGGGGGAGGAAGGAAGGAAGGAAGGAAGGGAGGGAGGGAGGGAAGGAGGGAGGGGGTGAGGATGATGTACTGACTGGTGGATTGGGACTCAGGCTTCCACACCGCCGGACAACCTCCCAAACCAGTGGTCCACAGCCATCACACCACACCCCTCACTGACGCCATCTGACACCTGCCCAAGACACCCATCTCATTGGTACAGAGAGGTGTCCCCATCCTTAGCGCACCCACACGCACAGAGAGAGGGGAGGGAGGGAGAGAGAGAGAGATATTCATAGAGAGAGAGAGAGAGAAGGGGAATAAACAGAGAGAAAGTGTTGGCCCAACACAGAGAAATTGGGAGGAATGATCTGTGAATGTAGTCCTCGGGTCAGAGAGTTCTGACCGTCCATTCACAGGAAGGAACCTGTGAATGATGAGTTCCTTGGTATCATTTGATCCGAAGGAACATCCTACCCTTCGTATCGGACGCCCGCTCGTCGTCTCGCAGGAGGAGTGGATAGATATCTGCCTCGCGAACAGCCCGTGAAGCGAGCGACCAATTTTATTGAGGGGCTTGTCGGCCAGGACACCGGTGAAAGAAAAAGAACTCCCCGCTCTTTTCGAAAAGGCGGGCACACGGCCTGGGTTCAATGGGTCCACCCGAACGACGTCGCCTCCTAAAATGCAGCCACGATGCTTCGGAGGGTCACCTTGGACTCTCGAGTTCAAAGTTCCAATGCAGGGGCTTGAACCCACACCCTCCTGACTCATACGCAAGAGCGCTAGCAACTGATGGGACCTGCGAGTTGTTCGGGTCTGGATTGCGTGGCCCGAAAGGGTGGCGGAAGCCGATTCGATAACAAGCTTCAAGAGCAGAGTAGATAGATATTTGGGGAGGACAAATTTGCAGGGCCATGAGGAGAGCGCGGGGGAATGGGACCAATTTGGACCGTTCTTTCTTTCAAAGAGCTGGCACCGACACGATGGGCCGAATGGCCTCCTTCTGCGCTGTCTAATTGCATGACATGCTGTATCTGGGTGAGCGACATGAGAATCTTAACTGCCGGGCAGAGCACACGTCTGCTTTGAATGGGAATCCTCGCACTTTACAGGGTTATTGTGTGGGAATAATATTTGTGTTCAATCCTTGAGACGGTTTGGTTTAATCCAACGACATTGACGTCACAAAAACCTAATTGACAAGCTCTTTTTAAAAAAAAAAGGTAATCACCGAACCAATTCATTCCCTTCCAAACACGAACTGAAGGGAATAATTGCGTGTAAATAATTAAATGACAGCAAATTAATAAATAAGTCATCGATTGCCTTTCGGTAGCAGCGTTGATTCACGGATTGAAGGGAATAAATATTTAATCCAGTAACTGAAATAAATTTAAATCTATCGAAATGACTACACAGAGCATTCCTTTGCTTAAAATAAACTGTTTGAATGAAATTAGAAAAGAGGGGACTTGCACTGTTGCGGGGCCTTATCGCATTGGAACATTTCAGAATTGTCACAGGTCATTTTTGTCAAGTGTAGTGACTGTTCCTGGAGGCCAACAACAACAAATTGCAATGTAAAGAATGCACCAGCATTGCTCAATGGCCATAGAGTGTCCGAACAATTTATCAGGATTATTGGCCGAGAGAATATATGAATGGAATCTCGATTTGTTTGACAAAACATACCACTGACTGATAAATCTGTTAGTACTCTGATCAGCAGCCGAAATGTGCAATGGTCAGTATTGACTGTGCGTTCTTTTTTCCTGGGATTATCCAGGTTCCTATTGTGATTTGAAAAGAGCCTCCACACTCACTGCCACTGCACACACAAAAAAAAACATTGCGTTTACATTCAGCACCGTGTCTCAAGCTATAGTAAAATGGAGTTAGGCACCCGCCCAGAGCTGATTTTTTTCACGTCGCAGTGCAACAAAAACACGCCCAATTGGGCATGAACCTGGTAACGTTGCATGTGTGTATGCGTATGAGTGGGTATCTGTGTGTATGTGTATGTGTGTGGGTGTGTGAGAGTGAGTATGTGTGTGAGAGTGTTTGTATGTGTGTGAGAGTTTATGTATATGTATGAGTGGGTGTCTGTGTGTATATGTGTGTGTGTATGTGTGAGAGTGTTTGTATGTGTGTGAGAGTTTATGTATATGTATGAGTGGGTATCTGTGTGAGTATGTGTGAGTGAGTACGTGTGTGAATGTGTGAGAGTGTATGTGAGTATGTGTGGGAGGGTATGTGTGTGAGTGTATGTGTATGTGAATATGTGAGTGTATATGTGTGTGAGTGTATGTGAGAATGTGTGAGAGTGTATGCGTGTGAATGTATGTGAGAGTGAGTGAGAGTATGCGTGTGAAAGTGTATGTATGCGGGAGTGTGTATGTGAGTATGTGTGTGAGAGTATTTGTGTGAGTCTGAGTATGTATATGTGTGAGAGTTTGTGTGTGAGTGTGTATGTGAGTATGTGTGTAAGTATGTATGTGAGTGTGAGTATGTGTGTGAGTATGTATGTATGTGTGTGAGTATATATGTGTGTGTGTATGTGTGAGTATGTATGTATGAGTATGCATGTGTCCCATGTGTGAGTGTGTGTGTGTGAGTATGTGTGTATGTGTGAGTATGTGACTGTATGTGTGTGAGAGCATATGTGAGTATGAGTGTGTATGTGTGTGAGTGTGTATGTATGTGAGTGTGTGTGCATGTGTGAGTATGTGTGTGTATGTATGTGAGTGTGTATGTATGAGTGAGTATGTGTGTGTATGTGAGTGAGTGTGTGTGAATGTGTGTATGAGTATGTGTGTGTATGTGAATATGTGTCTGTGTGTGAGTGTATATATGTGTGAGTGTGTGTATGTGTGTGAGCATGTGGATGAGTATGTGAGTGTTTGTGTATGTGTGAGTGTGTATGTCTGTGTGTAAGTGTGTGTATCTGTGTATGTATGTCTGTGTGTGTGTATCTGTGTATGTCTGTGTGTGTATGTCTGTGTGTGAGTGTTTGTAAGTGTGTGTATGTCTGTGTGCATGTGTGAGTGTGTATGTCTGTGTGTGAGTGTAAGTGTGTGAGTGTATGTCTGTGTGTATGTGTAAGTGTGCGTGTGTATGTAAGTGTGTTAATGTCTGTGTGTGAGTGTAAGTGTGTGTCTGTGTGTGAGTGTATGTCTGTGTGTATGTAGGTGTGTGTGTGTGTCTGTGTGTGAGTGTATGTCTGTGTGTATGTAAGTGTGTGTGTGTCTGTGTGTGTGTATGTCTGTGTGTATGTAAGTGTGTGTGTGTGTCTGTGTGTATGTAATTATGTGTGAGTGTATGTGTGTGAGTGGGTGTCTGTGTATGTAAGTGTGTGTGTGTGTCTGTCTGAGTGTATGTAAGTGTGTGAGTGTGTGAGAGTGTCTGTGTGTGTGTGTGAGAGGGTGTCTGTCTGTCTGTCTGTGTGTAAGAGGATGTCTGTGTGTGTATATCTGTGTGTGAGTGTGAGAGGGTGTCTGTGTGTGTATATCTGTGTATATCTGTGTGTGAGTGTGTGAGAGGGTGTCTGTGTGTGTATATCTGTGTGTGTGTGAGAGGGTGTCTGTGTGTGTACATCTGTGTGTGTGTGTGTGAGTGTGTGAGAGGGTGTCTGTGTGTGTATATCTGTGTGTGAGAGGGTGTCTGTGTGTGTGTGTATATCTGTGTGTGAGTGTGTCTGTGTGTGAGAGGGTGTCTGTGTGTGTGTGTATATCTGTGTGTGAGTGTGTCTGTGTGTGAGAGGGTGTCTGTGTGTGAGTGTGTGAGAGGGTGTCTGTGTGTGTGTGTATATCTGTGTGTGTGAGTGTGTCTGTGTGTGTGTCTTCCCCCCACTCCCTCACTGTGGGCGGTGCCCACGCGTTTATTGACCAATCACAGAGGACGGCTGCCGTTGGTTACATTATGCGGACCAATGAGCGGACAGCGTTCAGAGCGTCACACCCACCGCCCCGCGATTCAAACCGCGCAGAGGGCGGGAAACAGGAGAGAGGGAGAGAGAGAGAGAGGGGGAGAGAGAGAAGGGGAGAGGGACAGAGAGAGAGGGGGAGAGGGACAGAGAGGGAGAGAGAGGGGGAGAGGGACAGAGAGAGAGGAGAGAGAGAGGGGGGAGAGGGACAGAGAGAGAGGAGAGAGAGAGAGGGACAGAGAGAGAGGGGGAGAGGGACAGAGAGAGGAGAGAGAGAGGGACAGAGAGGGGGAGAGGGACAGAGAGAGAGGAGAGAGAGAGAGGGGGAGAGGGACAGAGAGAGAGAGAGGGGGAGAGAGAGGGGGGGGGGGGGGGGGGAGAGGGACAGAGAGAGAGAGACGCCATGGGGAGAGGGACAGAGAGAGAGAGAGAGACAGAAAGGAGAGAGAGAAACAGGGAGAGAAAAGAGAGAGAGAAAGGAGAGAGAGACAGAGAGAAAGGGGAGAGAGGAGTGAGACAGAGTGAGTGAGTGTGGAGGGAATAACACAGAGGGAGAGAGACTAATAGAGAGAGAGGGAGGGAGGGAGGGGGAGAAGCCCGGGGAGCAGAGGGCAGGTCAGGGTGGGGGTGACACAGGAGACGTGGGCCTGGGGGTGGGGGACAATCCAGGACCAGCAGCTGGAGCCACAGCAGTGAAGCAGAGGCTGGGGCTGGGGTGGGGCTGGGAGGCCCCCAACAGGTAACCAACCGACTGTGAGTTGGCAAAATGTGGGTCTGGGCTGAGCCCCACACAGTGTGATGATGATGATGATGATGATGATGATAATAATAATCCTCGCATTTGATATAGCGCTTTTCACGTCGGGAGAGGACGTCCCAAAGCGCTTCACAGAACACACTGTAAAGTGAATTGACTGTATATTTGTGGGCGAACGCGGCGGCCGATTGCGCACAGCAATGTCCCACAAACAGTCGTGGATTGAAAATGATCGATTTATTATTGTTTTGGGTTTTGGAGGGATTATTATTAGGCTCTGTGTGGAGTAAGGAAACTTGCCCAAGGTTTCGCCCTCTGCCGGGAATTGAACTCAGGTCTCTCACTTGCAAAGCGAGTGCTCTAACCACTGAGCTACAGGACTCCACTTCCTGGCTTCCACTCGGGCTGTTTTCCCAGTTCCTTTCAGACGTGTATAAAATACCTTGTTGGTATATATTCACGTGGAACCATGGCTTAAAAGATGTTTTAAAGATGTTCCTTTAGATTCACTTAAACGAGAATCACCGCAAGGAATACTACTACTACTACTACTAATAATGAATATAATAATAATAATTCTAATAACAATAATAATCCTTTGCGTTTGACACAGCGCGCCATCACGTCTGCGGGACGTCTCACAAAGGGTTTCGCAGGATATACCGTAAAGTGAAGGGACTGCATTTGTGGGCGAAACACGGTGGTTAATTGCACACAGCAGCGTCCCCACAAACAGTCGTGGATTGAAGTGATCAGTTTATTATTATACTTATTTATTTTCTTGAGGGATTATTATCAGCCGCGTGGAGTAAGGAAACTTGCCCAACGTTTGGCCCTGACACGCATCGACCCCAGGCCTCTCGCTTGCGAGTCGTGTGCTCTTAACCACTGAGCTACAGGATTCCGGAAGGAAGGAAGTCATTACGCCCAGCCTTGTCTGCGCTGGTTGCTGCTCATTTTCCTAGTGGAACCAGGACCCCATTTACAGTAAAACTTACATAATTCTGATCGGTGTATAATAATAATCCTGGCATTTGATACAACAACAACAACAAGATTCCATTTATAAAGCGCCTTTCACGTCAGGAGGACGTCCCAAGGCGCTGCACAGTTGGGTCATGACCCGAGCAGGGGGGAAATGGTCAGGGTGAGGGGAGGAAGGGAGGGAGCGAGGAGGGGGAAATGGTCAGGGTGAGGGGAGGGGAGGGAGCGAGGAGGGGGGAAATGGTCAGGGTGAGGGGAGGGAAGGGAGGGAGCGAGGAGGGGGGAAATGGTCAGGGTGAGGGGGGGAAGGGAGGGAGCGAGGAGGGGGAAGAGAGTCGAGAGGGGAGCTGAAGGCTCGGTCAAAGAGAAAGGTTTTGAGACCGGCCTTGAAGGAGGAAAGGGAGGAAGCGGCGAAGGCACTGGGGGATGGAGTTCCAGAGCCTCGGGGCTGAGAGGCTGAAGGCCCGACCACCGATGGTAGGGCGGTTGGGGCGGGGGACGTGGAGCAGACCGGAGCCAGAGGAACGGAGGGTACGGGCAGGTAGGTAGGGGGATAGTAGGTTGGAGAGGTAGGAGGGAGCAAGGCCGTGAATGGCCTTGTAGGTGAGGATGAGGATCTTGAAATCAATCCTCTGGGGGATGGGGAGCCAGTGGAGGCGAGCGAGGGTGGGAGTGATGTGGTCCCGAAGCCTGGTGCGGGACAGTACACGAGCTGCAGAGTTCTGAATGACCTGCAGTGTGGAGGGAGGTGGCGGGAAGGCCGGCGAGGAGAGAGTTCCCATAGTCCAGCCTTGAGGTGACAAAGGCGTGAACCAGGGTTTCAGCAGCGTGAGGGGTGAGGTAGTGCCGTAGTCTGGCGATGTTCCGGAGGTGATGGAAGGCGGTGCCAGTTGTGGTGCGGATGTGAGGGAGAAAGGACAGCTCAGGGTCGAACAAAACGCCGAGGTTCCTGACTGGCTTTGAGAGGTGGAGAGTGCAGCCTTGGATGCTGATGGTGTCAGCGCCTGAGGTGCGGAGGCGCTGACGTGAGCCAATCAGGAGGGCCTCGGTTTTTCGCACGTTGAGCTGAAGAAAGTTGTCTCTCGTCCAGGACTCGATGTCGGACAGGCAGCTGTCAGGACATCGGTGGTCGTGGAGTTGAGAGTAGAGGAGGAAAGGTAGAGTTGGGTGTCATCCGCATACATGTGGAAGTTAACTCCATGTCTGCGGATGATGTCACCGAGGGGGAGCATATAGAGGGTGAAGAGGAGGGGACCGAGGACAGAGCCCTGAGGGACACCACATGAGACAGTGCGGGGGGTGGAGGAGAAGCCATTCGTCGAGACAAAGTGAAGACGGTGAGAAAGGTACGACCTAAACCACTCAAGGACAGTGCCTTGAAGGTTGAGGTGGGAGGACAAGCGGTGGAGTAGGATAGCGTGGTCGACCGTATCGAATGCTGCCGATAGGTCGAGGAGGACGAGGAGGCAGAGGGAGCCCTGGTCACAGATGGTCAGGATATCATTGGTGACCTTGACCAGGGCAGTTTCTGTGCTATGGGCAGCACGGAAACCTGACTGAAGGGGTTCGAAAAGAGAATGGGTGGAAAGGAAAGAGCGCCTTATCATGTCTTCGACACGTCTCAAAGCGCTTCACAGAATATACTGTAAAATGAAATGACTGTATATTTTGTGGTCGAAACGCGGGAGCCAATTGCGCGCAGCAGCGTCTCCACAAACAGCCGTGGGTTGAGCGAACAAATTATTATTTTTTGAAGCGATTCATACCCTGAAAAGAGATCCGCCAATCGACTAACAACCAGGTTTCTACTTACTCTCCGGACGCTACCATGTGCGAAAGGCGCTGCATAAATGCAAGTTGTTGTTGTTGTTACTGCTTGGTGAACAGGCGTGGCGGGCGAAGGTAACTTGCCCCGCCCAGGAATCAAACCCAGGGCCTCCAGCTTGCGAGACGAGAATAAATCACAGGATCACCCAAGTTGTCCATCTGCCCAAGTCATGTTCAAGAGTTTATATTGTATGCAAGTCTGACATAACTCATAGTTTGCATAAGTCATATTAAATGTATGGTCCCAACTGATGCAACTCGCGTGAGGTTTAATGTATGTCACATTTATCTCAGGAGGATGTCTCATAGCGCTTGACGAAGCTGGTTGGGTACTAGAGCTGGGGGTGGGAGGTAGGTGAGGTGCGGTGATGCAGGGAAAGATGACCTGAAGCGCGGTCAAAGAGGTATTTTAATACACAAAAAGATTTTGCCTTCAGCATTTATCCGAATCCTATTTTAAAATGTTCTTATGCACAGTCGTTTATGGCAAATAATCTCGGTATTCAATAATAAACGGGGAAGTAATAAATAACAGTAATAACCACAAATCTTCCACATAAGAATAAAATGATCACTCATGTTTGTTTTGTGGGGCAAAACATGGTTGTTTGAGGGACATTGCTGCGCGCAAGTTGACTGCCGTGTTTCATCTACAAAATACACAGTCACTCCACTGCACAGGATATCCTGCGAAGCGCTTTGAGACGTCTTGACGACGTGATAAGGCGCTATATCATGTAGTTATTGTTTGATAATTATTATTTTGTTGTTGGAGCCTGTTTATAATTATTATTATTAATCCTTGTTTTTGGTCAGGGTGTCTGATACACGAGGAAACCTCTCGCCCTGCTTAAGTGTATGCCCGTCAAACAGAGTTCCACATATGTACACATGTCCCTGTGTCTGACATGAATTGCACGCTCTCTCCTGGGAAGGATGCACTCTGCTTACCTAATCCCAGACAGTATTAAGCACAGAGAAGGCAGAGCCGAGGTTAGGGAACCCCACAGTTTGCTGGGGCACGTTGGTATAAAACAACAACAACAACAACAAGATTCCATTTATAGAGCGCCTTTCACGTCAGGAGGACGTCCCAAGGCGCTGCACAGTTGGGTCATGACCCGAGCAGTGGGGAAATGGTCAGGGTGAGGGGAGGGAAGGGAGGGAGAGAGGAGGGGGGAAATGGTCAGGGTGAGGGGAGGGAAGGGAGGGAGCGAGGAGGAGGAAGAGAGTCGAGAGGGAGCTGAAGGCACGGTCAAAGAGAAAGGTTTTGAGACCGGCCTTGAAGGAGGAAAGGGAGGAAGCGGCGAAGGCACTGGGGGATGGAGTTCCAGAGCCTCGGAGCTGAGAGGCTGAAGGCCCGACCACCGATGGTAGGGCGGTTGGGGCGGGGGACGTGGAGCAGACCGGAGCCAGAGGGTATAACTGCTGGAGTTTGACCAACAAAAGCTGCATAGCTTTACCACTGAGAGCACTGACTGGCAAAGGTCCCCACTGCGTGTCCTGCTAGGACCACGATACCCATGAGGGGTTTGGGTTTCAGGGCAAATAGGAGCCGAGTCAGTGACCGTCTGGGGGCACAATCTGCCCCACCAAATCCTACTGATGAGCCAGTCTGCAGCACCTTGAGGTCCTGTGGACCAGTCTGCCTCAGGCACCAGACTGACCAAGTCTGTCACAGAGGATTGATGTTCTGGTGCCAGTTCAGCATCAAGGATACCCCACATACGTCTCTTCCCCCTCCCAGAGAATAATCGCTAGTTCATCATTTGACATCCGACAAGCACAGGTCTGAGCCCGCACCGGGTGGATGAAACATTTTTTAAAAAGGAAAATCAACATTAATGCAGTACTATCCATTTGAAACACTTTTTAAAAAAATTGAAAATGGACGAACTCTAAATTGTCTAATCCCTAACATCAGTCTGATCAATCTTTCCTGTTCCTCCTCCGCTGACTCTGATGCGCTCTCTAATAATAATAATAATCCCTCCAAAACAAAACAATAATAAATTGGTCATTTTCAATCTACGACTGTTTGTGGGACATTGCTGTGCGCAATTGGCTGCCGCGTTCGCCCACAAATATACAGTCAATTCACTTTACAGTATATTCTGTGAAGCGCTTTGGGACGTCGAGACGACGTGAAAAGCGCTATATCAAATGCAAGGATTATTATTATTATTATTATTTCTATGATGGGGTAACCCCCAAACTCAATCCAATTCTCCAACTAAGGCCTAAATCAATTGTCTTGGACATATTCAATATTACTTTCTTGTTCTTGTTTCTCTTGCATTTCAGGAAACCGTGAAGAGATGTTGAAGTTTAAATATGGAGCGCGTGGGGCTGTGGAGACCGGAGCAGTGGAACCAATCACCAGCCGTTATTCCAGACTCAACCTCCTGTTCCAGGTCAGTGGGTCAGTCTCGGGGCTTTGATCAGCTGGAAGGGAATAACGTTATGGGATATAGTACGTAGGTAGTTTGGGATATATGTGCAGGCGACCGCCAGGAAGGTGGAAGGCGAACGAGATGGACCTTGGTTGTTTTTTGGCCTGGCCTTTCTTATGTTCTTATGAAGGGTCACACAACCGTGATTGACAGCTGTCAGAGCCTCAGGAGAGGCTGGTGTAAGAAAGCTGGTATTTGAGAGAAGGAGATTGACTTGAATAAAGGAATTCTTATTCTGCTGCACACTCTCCCTCAATCCCTCTGCCTCGCCCCCCCCCCCACCCTCCACACTCTCCCCTTTTTCAAGTACCGCCTGAAAACCTTCCTTTTCGACCGTGTTTACTGTCACCTCCCCCCCCCCCCACCCCCGGCTCGGAATCAGGCTCCGCCACTGTTAAGCGCTCTGAGACGCTATCCTGTGTGGAGGACGCTGTATAAGTGCAAGTTGTTGTTGTTATGCCTAAGGTGTGTAAGCACAAGCGTATCCTGGTTACATGCGAGTAAGATAAATGCACGACCACCTTGTCTTACTGTACGGTTTGCGTTACACGAGTGAAGTGGCCGGTACTTTGCTCGGCGACTGGACCTGACTTTTGCTGTGTTCCATACACAGGGGAAGATGCCCTTCGTGAACATGATGCAGCAGTCTCGCTGCCCGCTGACCAGAGAGGGGATACTTAACGCACTCTTTGTTCTTTTCGACGAATGCAACAAGCCTGAGATGATGAGGATTAAACACGCGGCAAATTTTGTGAAGAAGTGTAAGCGATGTAACCATTTAAAAAATATATGTATATGATATATTTATCAAAATATATACATATATAATATTAAAAAAATGTAACGCCGAAACCCTCCACAACACAGTTACCTTTGTATAGCGCCTCTCACGTCAGCAGGACGTCCCAAGGCGCTGGACGGTCACTGTTTCACCTACGCGTGGAAATTCCTGAGATAGATTGTTGGAATAGAATGAGCATTCTCTCTCTCTCTCTCTCTCTCTCTCTCTCTCTCTCCCTGTCTTTCTCCCTGCTTACTTAATTCCATAAAGTTTGGGGCGCAGGTTGGTGAGAGTCAAGGGTTGGGGACCCCAGAGTGGTGGATGCATTGTGAGAGGGTCTGACTGATTCCCTCTGTTGTACAGAACACGAAGGCTAAAACCTGAGAGTGTATTATGTTCTCCGTTCCCCTGCGTGTAACACTGATGTGTTGGAGGCTGAACTCAGCAGGGTTTCCTTCGCTGAGTGCTTCTGGTCGACAACGGAGTCACACGTAGCTTTTGTTACAGAAAGAAAAGGAGAAAAGAATCAATTAAAAGGAGCAAAACCGACTGAAGTGGCGTAATCTGCTGATCTGTGTGACTGCTATTCAGAGAGATAGCTTTCAACTCTTGGCATTTTCCATTTGCACTCCAGTTGTGTTGTAATGGTCTGTTACAGTTGATTGGAGACAACCAGTGAGTAGCTGGTAGCCAGTGAATGACTAACATGCCATTGGAAATTATATAATCTAATAATAATAATGCTTTCATTGATATATGCAAGAATTATTATTGCGTCGTCGAGACGTCTTAAAGCGCTTTACACAATATACTATAAAGTGAATTGCATTTGTGGGCAAAACACGGCAGCCAATTGCGCCCCCACAGCGCCCCACAAGCAGTCGTGGGTTGAAGTGACCAAATTATTTATTTTTAAAATTTAGTTTGAAGGAATTATTTGTTAGCCCCAGAAAAGTGATCCGCCAGTCGACTAACAACTGGGTTCCTACTTACCGCTAGGTAAACAGAGGCGTGTGTGGAGTAAGGAAGCTTGCCCAGTGTTTTGCTCCGCCCGAGAATCGAACCCAGGTCTCTCCCTTGCGAGGCAAGGCGGCAAGTTCTGTTCCTGATTGCCCTTCAGATCAAACGTTAAGCTCAGATCCTTTTACCGAAGGAGGCCATTCGGCCCATTGAACCAGCTCTGAGTCTCAGAGCAAGATATCCATTCGATCCGACTGCCTTGCCTTATCCCCACACCCCTTCAAGCCTCTCCCATGTACCTGTCCGCTTCCCTCTTGAAACGCACAATAGACTCTGTCTCCAGCACATTACTTGGCTTGGTATTCCACATCCCAACAATGAACGGTCGGTGGAGGGGGTGGGGGGGAAATAAAACAATCCCCTAAACTCTCCGATCGTTTTTTGTGACTAACATTTGACTGCGGCCCCTAATCACTGACTCCGCTACCAGTGGAAGTAGCACTCTGTGGGACGTTAGTTACTGTGTGCAAATTGGCTGCCACGTTGGCCAACAGAATACGCAGTCACTACAATTTACTGCCAACCAGTCAGTCGGTCAAACGCAACAAGGCTTGTCCAAATCCTGGGAAGTGATTCGAGATGCTCAACGAGGCATTGTATCAAATACAAGGATTATTATTATTATTATTATTTCTGCGTACTCCATAGTCTGCAGCACTGCCTATTTTGGACACGCTGCTGCGACTCGCGAATTGTTGCACGGCCGCAAGCTAACGGCACGCAAAGGCGATTTAAAGATCGCCACAGAGTTGGTTTGTGTGTGTGGGAGTATGAGTTTTTGGAAGGAGAATAGCATGGAATCGAACCAATGAGAGATCAAACAGAATATGCTAGAATCTGCCTGAGTGGGTGTTCGCTTTCTCTCTCTCTCTCTCTGTCGCTCGCTCGCTCGCTCGCTCTCCTATCTCTCTCTCGCTCGCTTTCTCTCTCTCTCTCTCGCTCTCTCCCACACAGACAGTGATGCAACAGTGAGAGGCTATGTGCATGTGTGACACACAGAGAGAGAGAGAGAGAGGGAGAGAGAAAGCTTCCTCATTCACACCTCCGGATTGTGCTGTGAAAGGAGGGGGTGAAAGGAATAATCCGTCCCCTGACACTCAATCCCTGGCATTCTCCTGTACGCTGTCCAGCCTGCGTCTCTCCCAGGGTCTCGGAGTTTGGGAAATTTGTGATGTTCACCACAGGTAACCCTTTGGATGAGCCTTGTTGTTTTTGGCTGGGTGGCCGGCTGGGTGGGTGGCTGGGTGGCCGGCTGGGTGGCCGGCTGGGTGGGTGGGTGGCTGGCTGGGTGGCCGGATGGGTGGGTGGCCGGCTGGGTGGGTGGCTGGCTGGGTGGCCGGATGGGTGGCTGGGTGGCCGGCTGGGTGGCTGGGTGGGTGGCTGGGTGGGTAGCTGGGTGGCTGCTCGGGTGACCCTCACACACCGTTCCTTTCCCTTCGCAGACAGAGATGCCGTGACCGAGTTGCGGGAGCTGCAACCCGATGCCGGGGACTTTGAGGTGCGGAGTGTGATTGGCCGAGGCCATTTCGCGGAGGTGCAGGTGGTGAGAGAGAAGGCCACCGGCGATGTTTACGCCATGAAAGTCATGCACAAACAGGCGCTGATCGCACAGGACAACGTGAGTCACGTCCCCTACCGGACAGGACAGGACGGGGCTGGGGGTGGTGGTCAGGGGGGAGTGGTGGGGCGGTGGGGGTGGGGGGTGTGGAAACCTTTTCCTACTTGTATGTGTCAAGCGCTCTGAGACGCTCTACCCTGCGTGGGGAGCACCCTAAATTCAAGCTGTTTGTGGTGGTGGTGTCCGTGTCCAGCTGATTCCAGGGCTCACTGCGTCCGTGTGTCTGTATCCAGCTGTTTGTCAGCCTTACTCCGATACCTCCCCCCCCTCTACCCCCCCCCCCCCCCCCCAACCAGGCAGTAGGTCCCATCTGCTGAGCCCCTGATCTGAGCTGCTGCTGTGGAGCACTGACCACCCTCTCCGCAGAGAGAGCGAGCGAGAGAGCGAGCGAGAGAGAGAGAAAGAGAGACGGGTGGGAGGATGAGGGGGAGAGGGTGATGGAGTAGAGAGAGTTTGAGCAATATTCGGAGAGAGTTAGAATGAGAGAGAGAGAGAGAGGCAGACGACAGTATGTTGCTCCTGCTGCTTCCTTATGTTCGAACACCACTAACATCAGGCTTTCCCCGTCTGGTTAACTACAAGTAATTGCACTGATCAGGGAGATCTGTAGGGGTGACATGGAGGAACGGTGATGTTAACGTGTATTTTTCTTTCTGGATGTTGGAAGCGTTTATACTTCCTCTGGAATGTAATGGTTATACGTTGTATCTGCTCTCGGTCACCTCCTCCATTGCCCCCCCTCACCCGGCTCGGTTGTCAGGCTCCGCCACTGATAAGCGCTCCGAGACCCTGCCCCACATCACGGGCATTTTATAAACGCAAATTGTTGTTGTGTATGTGTGGTATATGAATTACCGATTGGAAAATTGGCTCGCGTGTGAGTCTGTGTGTGTGTGTGAGTCTGTGCGTGTGAGTCTGTGTGAGTCTGTGTGTGTGAGTCTGTGTGTGTGTAAATGCGTGTGTGTGAGAGTCTGTCTCTGTGTGTGAGTCTCTGTGTGTGAGTCTGTGTCTGTAGGTGCGTGTGTGTGAGAGTCTGTCTCTGTGTGTGAGTCTCTGTGTGTGAGTCTGTGTCTGTAGGTGCGTGTGTGTGAGAGTCTGTCTCTGTGTGTGAGTCTCTGTGTGTGAGTCTGTGTCTGTAGGTGCGTGTGTGTGAGTCTGTGGGTGTGTGTGTGTGAGTCTGTGTGCGTGAGTCTGTATGTGTTTGTGGTGCAGTACATTTGCACGGTCCTATTTGCCTCTTCGACGGTGCCTTCGGTCACCTTCCCACCCCTACCCTCCCTGCCCTCCACCCCTCCTGATCCCAACCACCAGCTCGGGTGCAGATCCCTGACTGCCCAGCGCCTGAGGACGTCCTCGTGACATGAAAGGCGCTGCGCAAATGTAAGTTGTCGTCGTTGTTCAGAGCCCGTGTGCTCAGCTGTGGTTGCAGTTTCCCGGCTTCACCCAGTCGGGTCTTGTCTCTCTCGTTGGCAGGTGGCTTGCTTTGAGGAGGAATGCAGCATTCTGTCACGCAGCACCAGTTCCTGGCTTCCCTCGCTACAGTATGCGTTTCAAGACAACACTCACCTCTTCCTGGTGAGTAGGGGGTTGGCAACAATGGGTGACACAGCTGGAGGGGAGGACGTGAAGTGTGGGGAGGGGGGGGAAAACAGGGGCGGGGGGGAATGATACCCTTCTGGAAAGTGTACACATGTGAGCAGGACAGGAGTTTGACCTGATTACAGCAAAACTGGCATCGGTCGGAACCACTACATTTTACAGGACTTGCGCAAAACCTGACTTGCAGGCAAACTTGTGTAAGTCGTCCCAAGTCTGATTCGATCAATAATCTACCCTGTGAGTTTGTAAATCAACGCGGCCGGTAAGTGTGGGCGTAAAGGAGGAGAGAGGAGCGAGTTAGGTGATTAATACGACTCGCGCAAAGAAATCTAAGTGGTTTTGATAGGAAACTGAATGGGACTCAGGTGCAGGTACGACTTATGCGATTGTACGGTTTATAAAGGTGAGACTCGTGTCTGGTCAACACTTTTTGCCTGGACTGACTTCCAGGGAATCATCTGGTGGGTGGAGGTGCTGATCCGGGTTCAGCGTGACTCCGTGCTTTGAGCAGAGCCGAAGTACCTCTGCCGTGGCTGGTTGAGGGACGCCACTGCGCGCACCTCCGCTTACAAAACTCACGCAGTCATGCACTTCACGGTAAATCCTGTGAAGTGCTTTGAGACGTCCACTCGAGGTGAAAGGCTCTGTATCGAACGGGAGGATTAATCCGCTCTGCCCGACGCTAGCGCGGCTTAAACAATTTCCTTTCCCGTCGCTCGCTCTACTGCCCCCCAAGAATGTGGATGGGGGTGTGATGGGGTGGGGGGATCAATCTGGCATTTGCCACGAGCTGAAAAATAAATTGCAATGAACGTCTCGAGAGATGTAACCCACCAGAAAGTAAAGCCTCCCTTTGTCTCCTTGATGACGTGATGGATTAGCGAGCAGTCTGATTGCACAAGTGAACCCCAGGTCAACGCTTCAGACGGTGGGAACAAGAGGGATTGCCGTTTAGATTTCTGGAGGCCAATTTCAAGTCAGAAGTTTTTCTTTAGGCAGAAGAAGTTTTTCCGTTGACAGGAACAGATTGTAAGGAAATGGGGTGGGGTTGAGGCCGGGACACCGGATTCATTTAAAGAGCAGCTCGGTGTTGCAATGGGGTCGTGGGGGTAACCCGCATGGGCCCTGTAGTTATTTTAATCTTGGGATCGCTGTGAGTGGAATAAACATGCGGTATTTTTAAACGGACGAGGGGAATAGAGCCTTTTAACTAGCGAACGCTTTTCTTGTGTGTTTCTTTTTAAGCCGCACTGAGATAGTCTGAAGGGCCCCGGGTTTTTAATTGGATGTAAATACATAATTCACTGCGGGAGTGGGTGTGCGTGGAAAATCTAGTTACTTAAAAACCCACTTCGGGTTGTCAGATGTTATTATTTAATTGATCGGCCGTGTCAGGTTGTCACGTGCGATGAAAACGTGGCATACAGTGGCCGCTCGCAAGCCTGTGCCAACGCACAAGCGTTTAAGCTCAACAGCTACACATGATGGGTTTGCAAATTGGGTCCGTATTTGATTAGAACAACAGGCGCACTGTGGGTTTTCTGCCACGAGATGTCACTCGTGTTCTTTTTAAATTGATGCGCGTTCTCTCTCTCTCTCTCTCTCTCTCTCTCGCTTTCTCTCTAACCTGTTTGGAGTGAGTGAGTATAACGTGGGGAGGAATTTCACCTGGGTCTAGATTTAAACGGTGCAGAATTTGGGAGCTTGTTAAATTCAGTCGTTTTTTTTTAAAAACAAAACAAACAAAAAAATAAGCCAAGAATAATTTGGTCACTTCAATCCACGACTGTTTGTGGGGACGCTGCCGTGCGCAATTGGCTGCCGCGTTTCGCCCACAAATATACGGTCAATTCACTTTACAGTATATTCTGTGAAGCCCTTTGAGACTTTAGAAGACGTGAAAAGCGCCATATCAAATACACGGATTTTTGTTATTATTATTTACTTTGTCAGTGGTTTTATGCGGTTCCTGAAAAGCAACTTGCAGAGAACTGGCTTCAGAAATGAGCCCGAATTTTAAAAAATTGCCCAAATCCAGCTCTGCAATGCTACATTAAAATGCGTTAAACCAAATTCCCGTATGTGGCTGTTCAGGTGGATGTGAAGGATCAAATGCAAAATACAGTCACTTATATAATGATTCCTGTGAATTATTCGCCCAGACCGTGACAGGAGTGATTTTACGTGGAAACACTATTAATAATTAGTACTAGCTGTGGATTTCGGGTGATTGACTGTTTACTTTGGTCTGATTTTAAAATAAAACTGTGCTACACGCGCGCACATACACACATGCGCACACGCAAGCAAGCACGCAAACACACACGCATACACAGCTTGCCCGGTGGCATTGACGTGCAGAGCCTGTGCCGACGTGGTATTCTCTTTTGCTCCCCAGGTGATGGAGTATCAGCCGGGAGGCGACCTGATGGCGCTGCTCAATCGCTACGAAGACCAGTTTGACGAGAGCACGGCCCAGTTCTATTTGGCCGAGTTGGTCCTGGCCATTCACAGTGTCCACCAGATGGGTTACGTTCACAGGTTAGCGTCCATGGGATAGCCCCGGCTCTGTGAATCCACTGTAAATAAGGACCGGCAGCTCAGGTTTAACGTCTCATACGAAAGATGGCACCTCCAATGATGCAGTTCTCCCCCCCCCCCCCCCCCACCCCGACACTGTATTGGATTGTCGGCACGGGCAGAATCCCATTTGGGGATAACTTTTACCAAGACTTACTCCATTTCTGTAGCGTTTCTGAACGGCTAGGATGTTGGCGAGTGCCGGGAGCTCAGGTGCTGGGGACAGGGCTTAGTGGGGGAATCGCTTCATGATTTATCTGAACACTTTGTTCTGTTCCGACAACCGAACTGAATGTATCTCAGGCCGTGCAGCAATGCTCCAACGCGCAGCTCCTCTCCTTTGGGTCAGAAGGTTGCGAGGTCAAGACCCACGGCGGGACTTGCGCTCGTAGCTACGGCTGACGCTCAGCAGCTCTGGGTCAAAGCTTAACTATCTGACGTGCCCGACCTTCAGATGAGACTCTTACCAGCGGTCACGCCTGCCTTGTTTTGTCAAGTCAGAAGATCTCATTACCTTGCCAAGAGAACGGAGTCTCTCCCGGTTTCTCTTCCCTCGCCAACAATCCTCCAGATAAATTGGTCATTCACCTTCTGTTTTGTATGGATCTCGCTTTGCGCAAATTGGTTGCTGCGTTTTCCTACAAAAACAGTCATTACATTTGACAGTAATTGCCTGTGAAGCTCGCGTGAGACTCTTTGGATTAAGATGCTGCAAAAACAGGATCTATTTCTCTAGATTATCAGTTCTGCTGTTTTCTTGTCCAAACAGTCTTGCGATAACTCCATCTGACTAAAGTAGCAGTAAGAAATCAGGAAAAGAGTTACTTTAACTAATGCGAGTTCCTGACGTACGTTTCAGATTTAGTATCCGCTCTTTTCTTTAATTGAACCTTGTAAACGATTCATTTTTAATGAGCGTCCATTTTGCCCACAAAATGCACAGTCAATCTACTTTACAGTTGGCCACCGCGAAGGGTTTCGAGACGTCTGGATGACGTGATAAGGTGCTATATCAAATGCAAAAATTATTACTATTATTGTATGAATCTGAACTAAACTGCTGCTTTGTTTTTGTAATCAATCTATAAAAATCACAGGCTATTGTTAAATCAATTGAGTTTATATCCCCAGAAATCACACTCAGGCTATATAGTGCTCTGGGGAACAGTATTCCATGCCTAGAATACTGTAAAAATTTCTGGTCAGTGATAAAGCGTAATATCAAATGCAAGGATTATTATTATTAATTAACGACTGGAACTAGTTGTCAGGGAGGGACACCGGGACTTTAAAAAACAGCTTGACACTGTGATGGGATTCGAGATGGATGTTCTTGAAGGCTAAAGTGCCTTGTTCATTGAAACTAATCTTGTGATCTTATGAGTAGTTGATTTTTATGATGCATCTTCCATCAGTTGGCTGCCTCGTTTCACCTGTAAAATACACGGTCAATATATTCCGTGAGGCCGTTTTTAGATGCGTCTCAACAACGTGACAAGGCTCGATCTCAAATGCAAGGATTATTATTATTATTATTATCTTTTCTACATGCCACTCAGTCTCATGCACCCTTTCTTCCAAAGTATAGTATTAGAAGGTAATTAGTTACAAAAGCCGTCACTAATACAAACCCTACATGACTGGGATCGAATGGATGTTTTTCTTGCCAAAGTGTGACGGTTCGGCTATTGCAGGGTGAAGACATGATTTTTTGTCCCCTCTCCTCGCAGAGATCTCAAACCCGACAATGTCCTTATCGACCGCACAGGACACATCAAGTTGGGAGATTTCGGATCCTCGGCCAAACTCACGGCAGATAAAACGGTGAGCTGAGGGTTTTGTGCTCTGAGCGCAGCTCGGCGGCAATATTTTCCAACCGAGGTCCCGCCTGCCTGTTCAGGCGCTCGTGAAAGATCCCGGGACACGACTCTGAAAGACGAGGGAGTTTCTCCCAGCGTCCTGCCAACAATCCCTCCGGATAAAATTGGTGACTCGCTCCACGGCTGTTGGTGGGAAATTGCGTACGCAAATTGGCTGCTGTGTTTGCCTAGAAAATACAGTCACTACTCTCCTCGTTAAACTCCTGCAGATGTTCTTTTGACGTGAAAGGCGCTGTGTGGAATGCAGAGATTATTATCATTACTTTTTAATGCGGCGTCTTGGTTTAACTCAGGGGATTTATTTATTTTAAGTGCGACTCTAGCACGCGATCAGTGGCCCTGTTCCTGTTGCTGGCTTGTGTTGCTGTGGCAATGTTAAGAATGCAGTCAAATTGTTCAGATCCTTCCCCCTGATGTGTTGCACAACGCAGTTTGCACACTTAACCCACTCGCTGCAGTGATTAACCAGTATTTACCCGCAGGTAGTTGTGGTCACTGTTACCTTAAGTAACACCATTTACGCGAAATGCTAGTTTCCGGCCTCCTGCTTGTCCCCCTCGACCCCTCCTCGCTCCACCATCGGCGGCCGCGCTTTCAGCCGCTACGCCCCGAAGCTTGAGTACTCTTCTCCCAATCCCTCCACATCGTCCCCCCTCCTTCCCCTCTTTTAGATCACGACTGAAGACCTTCTTCTTCGACCGTGCTCAGCGATGGGCTCTGCCACTGTTAAAGCGCTCTGAGGCACTGCCCCGTGTTCAATGGCGCCAGATAAATCCAGGTTGTTGTTGTTTCTCAGTGAGTTGTAATCGCCGAGCTTTCTGTGTCTCCCGCTCTGTGTATAACAGGTGAACTCAAAGCTGCCGTTAGTTGCCCCGGATTTCATGGCCCCCGAGGTCCTGACGGCTCTGAACGCCGATGGAACCTGCACGTACGGTGTGGAGTGCGACTGGTGGTCGCTGGGAGTCATCGCTTACGAAATGATTTACGGGAAGTCCCCGTTTGTGGAGGGAACGGCTGCCAAAACCTTCAATAACATCATGAACTTCCAGGTTTGTCTGTTACCGACTCGTCCACTCCATCCACCTGCTCAGCGGGCTCTGGCCTGCTTCGTGGCCCCCCTACCCCCCCGCTTTGTGTGTCATTGTGAGGTGAATGGTGTATTTCCATGCGAGGATTATTTACTGTACAGAGCAGTGACTGCAGTGTGTAGGTGGGATACTTCGCTTTGCAATTGGATAATTGGATGCGTCGGTCACTTCATCTACTCAGTCTCTTACGTCCTGTATCTTAAGTCCGAGTTGCTCCCCATCGCAGAGATTCCTGAAGTTTCCGGAGGAGCCGAAGGTCAGTAAGGAGTTCCTGGACCTGGTGCAGAGCCTGCTGAGTGGGGCCAAGGAGCGTCTGGACTACGAGGGACTGATCTGCCATCCGTTCTTTACAAACATCGACTGGAACAACATCAGACAAGGTACGTCAGTCAGCACTGGCGGGGAGGGGTGGGTGGGTGGGTGGGAGGGTGTGGATCTGTCTGCCCAGTGGCTCTGCAGCACTGCATAACTGCCCAGCACCTTGGGACGTCCTCCCGACGTGAAAGGCGCTGTGCAAAAGCCATTTTGCATTGTATTTTCTATTGTATTTGGGCACTGAAGTTGCCTCAGTTTGGAAGTTCTGCAAAGTTTTTTTTTTGACAGGGCTACTCATGTTAAGTTGGATTCTCACTCGGCTCCTGTTAACCCTACAAGCCAAAGCCAGGCTTATCAGAATGCTTTCAATGGCGAGGTATCGTTTCGCCCACATACTAATACTACTTACTATACTAATAATAGAAAATACAGTCACTGCACCTCACAGTGTATCCTGTGAAGCGCTTCGAGATGTCTCGGAGACGTGATAAGGGGCTGCATCAAATGCAAGGATGATGATTATTATTATTATTACTATTAGTATTGAAGTACTTGGCTTTAAGCTGATTGAAATCCAGCCGTGGCTGAATGCACACACCCTTCGTGCGCCCGTTGTGCGGGGGCGGGGGGGGATAACACGTGCGGGATTCTGCCTGGTTCGGACGCTCTTGAGCAAGGTGACGGGTTTGCGTACGTACCAGACGCCCGGCTGACCGCAGAGGGGATGACTTGGCGTATTGATTTTGACGCAGTGTTGACACTGGCCAAATAGTCTCTGTGACGTGGAGCCCTCGCTCTCTCTCTTTCCACAGCACTTCCCAAATAATCTAAACGTGCCGTGCGGTGTGATTGATCGTTCTGGTGCCCCTGAAGATTAATGTTTCATAGGTGTAAAGGAGCTTTGGTAATTGAACCCATACATTATGGTCACCGGGGCGTTTGGGAAATGAAGGTAGAGCAGTGCTGGGAGGTGCGAGCCGTAAAACTAATCACGAAATGTCTGGACAGAAGAGTTCGGTCGATTTATTTTAAGGATGTCAAAGATCAGCAGAGAACCCGCGATTTAGGGATTAGTCGAGGTTGTAAGACAGCCGGCAGTTCAAGGGGCTGAACTGGATTCGGCGCAGCCTCTGCCTTTGACGTCCGCAGTGAACGGGTCATTTGGGAAATTGGACAGTGAGAGAGTCATGTGAAAAAAAAATGTGCGTTCTTTTGGAAATTCTACCAAATGGTCCCGACTTAATGGCAATCGGTTTCTCCTGTTATTGCGCTGAATGCAGGTAAGAGAAGCCACGTGAATGTGGGCAATGGGGCTGCTGTCCTTTTAAGGCTTTGCCACGAACCCACCTAATTGTCTCATCGTTTGATGTTGCTCCCCTGGGCCGCCGTCTTCAGGTCATCTGCACCAGTCGCGCTGTTAATGTTGCTCCTCCGTGCACATGCTCGATTAGCTTTGAAGAGCCTTCCTTTCACCACCGGCTTCAGGTGCCGTGAGCTCCAGGAAACCAGCCTCAGCTGCAGCCATCACCAGTCTCTGGTGTCTCCTTTAGACCGTAATCATCTCAATCTGTCAATTCCACTCGTGCCTTCGGGAGGGTTCATAGGAACAGACACTTGAAGCTGTCGTTCTTAAGGTAGAGCACAGGAAACAGGAGCCGGATTATGCATTACATACATTGGCATTTAAGTGCAGATGGCCAGTCAGCTCTCGGAGCTCACTTAACGACCGGGCATTCTGTGACCCACTGAAATGACTTCCCTGATGTTTTTCCCTTATAGTGTGTTCTTAAATATTGTAAACTCCCGCTAACTGAACCCTGGCTTAACTGGTCATGACAGTCACTCCACTTCGCAGTCACTACACTTTACAATGTACTCTGTGAAGGGCTTTGAGACGTCTCGAAGACGTGATAAGGTGCTTTATCGAATACAAGGTTTAGTAGATTACTGTCATTGTTATGATCGCTTATTTATTATTTGTGTGTATGTTTGTATCTTACGTATCGATGCTTAACTTGTTACACCGGAAAACTCGTCACTGGACAGGTGCGAATCCTGGACGCGAATCCAAATGATAAAGCTGTGCAATGGCTCCCGAGCTTCAAGGGCAGGCAGTCCAGCAGCAGTGCCTTGCCTTTGGGGAGAAGACGTCTCTGTTTAATCAACAACGACAACTTGGGGGGAGGGGGAGAGGTGAGATTTGGGATTCCTGTATGTCAGAAGGCTGTCCTGTCTCTCTGGATTTATAGTATTCAGCAATACAACAGCACTCTGGCAACAACAACAACAATTTACATTTGTATAGCGCCTTTCACGTCAGGAGGACGTCAACGCAGTTCTTCGCCCCAGCGAGAGTGAAGGATCAAACCGTACGTGGGGAAATGTGGCTCAATGAGTACTCCTAGCTCAAGTACTCTCACCCACTGCCTTCTCCATTGTATCTGATCAAACGTACAGATTTTCTACCTTGATAGGCGGGGAACTCGTCCATTAAATCTTCCTCCTCCGGCGTCATGTGAACAGGCTGTAATGCCACGGCTGGCACTTTAACACTGTCAGCCTTCGGTACTTGACTAATTGATTCACTACGACTTCACACCGTGGCTTACTATTGACAAGTCTTGTAATACGAGAGACATCTGTCAACACAGTCACTTGGAGTTGAGTTTCATCGCGTGCTAAATTAGCCTGACTTAACCACTTCTTTCAGCCACTGCCCTCCGAAGCTGTGGAACTCTCTCCCTCGATCCCTTCGCCTTGTCCCGCACCACCCCCACCCATTTTCAGGTCGGGCTTGAAGACCTTCCTCTTCGACCGTGGATCACCAGCCTTTAGGGTGGACGTGGAGTCCTGTAGCTCAGTGGTTAGAGCACTCGCCTCACAAGCGAGAGACCCGGGTTTGATTCCCGGCAGGGCGAAACCATGGGCAAGTTTCCTTACTCCACACGTTTGATAATAATCCCTCAAGAATAAAATAAAATAATAAATTGGTCACTTCAATCCACGACTGTTTGTGGGACACTGCTGTGCGCACTTGGCTGCCGCGTTTTGCCCACAAATATGCAGTCAATTCACTTTACAGCATATCCTGTGAAACTCTTCGAGACGTCTCGAAGATGTGATAAGGCGCTATATCAAATGCAAGGATTATTATTATATAGTTATGAGTTGATGAATGGCTAACTGTAGAGTTGACTGCACAAGAAAGACCTGCACATACATCCTGCCCAAATTCCCTCGGATAGTCAACTTGAACCTTGCGTTGCGGTGAGAGTTGGAATCGTTTTAAAAAAAACACACAGAACAGCTTTCTCCAGCAACTGCTAATGGGAACTGTTACTCCTGGAACATAGTAGTTGCTGCCAACGTTGACAGTGTTGTCCAGATTGAAGTCAGGGAGAGAGAGAGCGGGAGAGAGTCAATGTGCTATATTACCCTACGATGGCCTGATGATAACGAGAGGGCCTGGCCTGACTGCTGGGTTTTGCCCGGGGTCCCTATTTGTTCAGGTTATTCTCTCATTTAACGTCGAGAAATGTTGAGACCCACTGATTGCCTTGATTTGCACGCTGGAATAATTTATACCCGCTCCAATCTGCTTCACGAGGAACGCTGTGGTACTGAGGAGATGTGAGCGTGTTTTACTTCAAATGCTGAACTCATCCATGTCTAATTCTGCCTTCGTGTCTGAATGGAACCGGATGCCATGGAAACAGGATTGTCAGTGTAAGCAAGTGCTCCAGTGTATGAACAGTGTGTAGGTGTTCCATCTCGCTGAAAGATATGTTCATATTGAACCACAGCATAATTATAGTCTCCGAACTGCAGTCTACTTTTGCTGAACGTTAACCGTTTCAACACTGTCCCTCCACTTTGCCCCCTCTCGTCCCCTCCCACTGGCTGGGAGTCGGGCTCCGCTACAGTTAAGTGCTCTGAGACGCTACCCTGCTTGGAGGGCGCCATATAAGTGCACGTTGTTGTGGTGGCTGTTCTCGGGAGAGTGGTAATCTCCCCCCCCCTTCCCCCCCCAACTCGAACAGTGACCACTACTTGCTGTCCAGGTTACGGGCGGAAGTTGCCACCTTGACTGAACTGCGGCTTGGAAATGCGGCGACAACTTTTGTTCCAGTTTTCACCGGGAGAAGAGCTCAATCCTGAATTCCACGCCCCGTGAATATTGAGTGAACGTAGAATGGTCTGCGGATACTCTGCTGTGCGCTGTACAGGAGTCACATCTCTCCGTATCTCCGGATTTGGATTCAAGGCCTCTCTGCCTGTTTGCGCAGGTCAAGCAAGTGGAATTCACAGCGTGTGTGTTTAAGCGCTCCGAGACTCCGTCCGACATGAAGGGCGCTATGTAAACGCAAGTTGTTGTTGATGTTGTGTTTGTGGGGGATAGAATAGGAGGTAACTTTGACTAAAGATCTGGCCACACATTGCTTGTCTTCCTTCTTGCTCTGAGGAATTGTTTCTAAGTGTCGGGGGAACCTGGTGCTTGAAAGGGAGAAGAGTAAACTTGGATAGAAAGTGAATAACTGATTAACTTTCTAACATGGCTCAGTGTTCTGCTGTCTCTCACGTCAACTTCTTCTCGGTGTTACTTTCAACTGAAGATAGAAAGTGGGATCAGAATGGGAAATTGTCATTTATTCAGACTCTATGGTTGACCCGGACCATAGTGAATGACAATAATAATCTTTGCATTTGATATGGACCTTAATCACGTCTTCGAGACATCTCAAAGTGCTTCACAGAATATACTGTAAAGTGGAACAAAAACAGAAGTCGCTGGGAAACACTCAGCAGGTCAGGCAGCATCTATGGAGAAAAAAAAAGTGAGTCAACGATTCGGGTCCACGAGCCTTCGTCAGAACTGGGGCAAGTTGGGAGCGAGAGGCTTTTAAGGGCTGACAGAGAGGGGGGAGACAGGGCAAGGAAGGCAAAGGAGAAAATGGGGCAGAGGACAGGGGATGATGGGTTAAAGAGTTGTTACTAATACAAAACAAACGGGGAAGGGGGAAATTACAACAAAATAGGCCGACCAGAGAGACAGAAAAGGTGTGTCTGGGACCCAGATGATGTGGTAATTGTCACAGAAGAAGGGGATGGTGGGGGGGTGGTCTGACATTGTTGAAATCAATATTGAGGCCAGTTTTGACCCTCCTAAGGCAAGAGGGGAGATTGCTTGATCCTTAAATCACGTCCATCCACCGAGCAAATGTACACAACGTGAAAGCAATTCAACAAGCCAACCCCTGCTTATAAATACCTGGTAGCTGGTATGGTAGAGAAGTTCTGATCCTTCATTTATACCTCATTTATGTGGTTTTAGCTGGTTAGACTCCAGCAGTGACCCCTAACATCTACTCTGGGGTCCCCCCCAAGCCTTGGCTCTTGCCAACCTGCACCTAATACTTAGTTAAGAGGGATGCGTTCCTCCAGGAATAGAGAGAGAGAGAGAGAGAGAGAGAGAGCGCATTCCACTCCAACAATCTATCTCTGGGATTTGCATGTGCAGGTGGGATGGATGGAAATCTCTTGGTTTGGAGACTCTGAAGCACGGTGATGGGTTTCCACATGTGTCAGACTCCCAAAAAAAACATATTTAGACCTCATCGCTCGCAACCCATTGGCGATAACCCACCCAAATGACTGCCCATTAGTGAATCTCCAAGCCAGAGACTTACTGTATTCAAAGTACCTTTAAAGATGTGGTGTAGGCAGGTCTGTAACCTTGCTCTCTGATACACGCACTTGTACGATTTTTAATCTGTCTCATCAGGCTCTTAATTAAGGCTGGTCAGTTGCTGATCCCCTCTGCGCCCATCTCGGGCATTGTAATGTGGGGGGCGATGAGGGACAGATATTTGATTGACAGCTTGTTATCTATCGAGTATTACGATTGCTTGAGTGGCCTGAGAGCTGAGCGACCCACAGTGTTGCCATTACTCTGCTTACCCGTGACGATATTCTGACGTGAAAGGCGCCATTGTTGTTGCTGTTGTCGTCGTCCCCTGCCTCGCCCCCCCCTCCAGCCACTCTGACCCCACCCTCTGGAACACTATCCCGCAGTCCCTCCACCTCGTCCCCCTCCCTTGCCTCCTTCAAGTCCCGCCTCAAGACTCTCCTCTTCGACTGTGCCTTCGGTCACCCTCCTTCCCCCCCCCACCCCCCACCCCCAAAACCCTCCCACATCGATGTTCCTAGAAAAAGCTTTTATCCTTGTTATGATGTTCCCTCTGTTTAAACCCAGGAGCAGTGCTTGGGGGGGGGGGGGTGGTTGTGAGATAATGCCACGATTTGGGCTGAACACTGTAATCCGTAATATGATGAATTAATAATATGTAATGTAATTGTAATGTAATGAGGCTGCAACGTGCTGGACAGCTTGGGGCTGATGTGGTTAAACCTGTCGTATCGTGGAAGGAAATATGTGTTTACAGAAGCGCTGCTGTGTTAGCGGAGTCTAAATTTGTTATTAGCGAATGGACCTTAAAAGTGCTGAAGGAAAGTCGTTGTTTTTCTGTGCGCGGAGCAGACATTAAAGTCCCATAAGCGTAGTGGTTAGAGCAATCGCCTCGCAAGTGAGAGGAACCAGGTTCAATTCCTGAGCGAGCGGTCTTAGGCAAGTTTCCTTACTCCACACACCTCGGTTTACTGAGCAGTAAGAAAGAAGCCGGTTGTTAGTCGATTGGCGGATCGCTTTCCAGCGGGTAATAATCCAATCCACGACTGTCTGTGGGACGCTGCTGTGCGCACGCAATTGGCTGCCACATATCGCCCACAACATACACAGTCACTCCACTTTACAATATATTCTGTGAAGTGCTTTGAGACGTCTCAACGACATGGTAAGGCTCTGCAACAAATGCAAGGATTGTTGTTATTATCATTAATATTATACTCTGACATTGGTAGCGGTTTCTGTAACATCGGGAATGGTGGGTTTCAGGGATGGAATCTCCATGGTAGCAGCATTTTGATGCTATTCTAAAATGCTCCCACATTTACTTCTGTACTTCCGTTCTGCACCCCATTCCTCGTCAGGCTCCATTGACTCCCTGCTTCTCGACGGAGCGATTTTCAAGATCCTCACCCTCTCCTGTAAATCCCTTCACTCCCTATCCCTTCCCTACCTCCCGCTACCCCACTCCTCTGCTTACACCCAACCCTCCCCCGTCCTCCATGCTCTAACCTCTGGAACTCACTCCCTCAACCCCTCTATCTCGCTCCCTCTCATACCATTCTCAAAGTCCTGCTTTAAAACCTTCCTCTTGGACTGCGCCTATTCTTATCTCACCCTCTCTCCCCTCTCCTTTCCCCCCTCCCTGCTTGTCATCAAGCCCAGCCACTGTGAAATACTCAGATGTTATAATAATAACAATAATATAATCCTTGCATTCGATCGAGCGCCTTATCGCGTCTTTGAGACGTGTCAAAGCGATTCGCAGAATACACTGTAAAGCGAATTGACCGTCTATTTTGTGGGCGAAATGCGGCAGCCAATTGCGCACAGCATTCTGCACGAAGGGCGCTATACAAATGCACGTTTTGTGGTGGTGGTGGTGGTGGTGGTGGTGTGGTCTGTGGTCTATCCCCCGTGTCACAGTCCTGGGTGCATGCAATCACCAGGGTCGGGTAATGAACCCACTGGTGCCTAATTGCTGCTTTTGCCTTTTCGTGGCTATAAAATGCGAGAGAGTGTTGCAGACCGATTGTGGATCTCTGCACTGCTAGAAACCGTGGAGATTTCTAAACGGGGGGTGGGGGAGTGTGACGTGTGTCCATTAGCAGCAACGGCAGCAGCAGCAGGAGCAGGAATAGGAAAAATTGCTTCTAATTTCTCCTTGGGATTTTTGTATCGATGATGATGGCATCTTTATGTAAGAGAAGTGAATATGTATGAGGGTTTCACTGACACTGCAGAGTTTGGGTTGCCTCTGCAGTGAATGTGTTCGAGCCCAGCCTCGAGCCTGAATGTCTGCCTGTCAGGTTATCGGTGAGTAAGATCCACTTTTACCTCCGCCTGATATAACGAGCTGTGACAGCCTATTGAACACACACACACACACACACACACACCCGCGCGCACGCAAGCACACACAGCTTCCAGTACAGTACTGAGTCACCGCAGTTTTATTGGTAAGGTTCACACACTCCGGGGCTGTTGCCTCCTCGGGTCTCCTCTCCTGCTCTCCCTGAATTTCCCCGGCGTGTAATCTTGGGCCTCTCCCGCAGTGCCACCCCCGTTCGTGCCCACACTCGACGCTGACGACGATGCCTCCAATTTTGATGAGTCGGAAAAGATCTCGTGCCCGGCCGTCAAGCCTCGCCAGCTGAACCGATCGGGCTTCTCGGGCGAGGGTCTACCCTTCGTGGGATTTTCCTTCACCAAAGCGCTGGCTGTCCTCACCCGGTCAGAGTAAGTGTGAGCTCTCCGTTTAACCCTTTCGACCCGCACAGTTGTCTTATGTATGTCCTGTACCAGCAGCCCCGTCTAAAGACCGTCCTCTTCGACCGTGCCTTCGGGCAACCCTCCTGCCCCGACCTCCACCCACCCACCCACCCTCCGCCCCTGCCCTCCACCCCCTCCTGATACCCACCAACTCCCAGCTCGGGTCCAAAAAAAAAGACCCTGACCGTCCAGCTCCCCGGGAACGTCTTTCCGACTTGAAGGAGCGCTATACAAGTGTCGTTTGTTGGTTGTTTGTTTCCATGGCACAGAAAAAAATCGAGGAATTGTGCTTTGAAACGTTACATGCAATTGCCTGCTGGCTGTTGCTCTTACTGTGGCTGCTACTGCTTCTATTGCTGCTGCTGTGCTTTTCTTCAATCGCAAGGTACCAAGTAACACGCAAAGACTGCACAGCGAGCCGGCGGCTTTCTTTATTAAACTTTGGAGAGAGAATGTCGCCGAGCAAGCAGAGGTTAATCTCTCGCAGGGAATTCTTCGGCGGGGGAGGGAAAAAAAAGAAATGAAAACGAATTGCTGAGCTGGGAGTAAAAAAAAAATCAGCAACTATCTGGCACTGTGGCAATCAGAAACCTATTTGCTTTTCTCTTTCTCTCTCTCTCTGCTGTAGGTCCAAGGCTTGAGCTTCCTGGCTTGAGGCTGATTTTTTTAATGTATTGATAGATATATTATTGCACTGGCTGTTACAGTCCCTTTCCCTTCTCTAAATCTGCAGATTTCTACTGTATTTGAATGGGATGCTCCTTGAATAATCTTAACCCCCACCCTGTGCCCTTGCGTCCGTCAAGTCGTCTGCTCAGATTCTCCTTCGATGGCACATTCGAACCATATTTGGCATCTCACATCAGGACTCACACAGTCTAAGATGACGTTCTAATGCATTGCTGGGGGGGTGCTCTTACGTTGATGGAGGTGCTGTCGTTTGGATGAGGCGTTAAAAACCCAAATCCCATCTGCCTGCTCAGGTGGACGTTAAAGATCCCACGGCACAATTCGAAAAGAGAAGGGAGTTCCTCTCTCCTGGTGTCCTGGCCAACAATCCCCCAAATAAAATTGGTCACTTACTCCAAGACTGTTTGCGGGACATTGCTGTGCGCAATTGGCCAGCCGCGGTCACCACACTTCACAGTAAAATCCTGTGAAGCGTTTTGGGAGGTTCTCTGAATGTAAAAGATGTTGTATCAAATGCAAGCATTGGTTGGCTTCCAAACATGTTGAGATGCCTCTTATCTCACGGGACTCAGGTGTGATCGTACGTGTGCTATTGTTCACTATCGTTTAATAAGACGTTTTTAACCTCTGATTGCTGCACGACTTGAGGCGAAATGTGAACCCCCTCCCCCCCATTCTCACTGAAACCAATCCTGTTCTCGTTTCCAGGTCAGTGAGTTCATTGATGGACTCGCCAGCCAAAAACAACTCGTTGGAGAAGAAGCTTCTGCTAAAGAATAAGGAATTGCAAGAAACCCAGGACAAGTGTCATAAGGTAAAGACACAATATTCTTTGAAATTACTTTCTAACAATCCCCCTGTATAGTACAGGAAGGAACAGACCAGTCACTGGGGGCGGGTATTCTTCTTACTTGGCACCTGTTAACCCTGCACGTCAAAGTCCTAACAACTAGAGGGTTATAATAATAATAATAATCCTTGCATTTGATATAGCGCTTTTCACGTCGGGAGGACGTCCCAAAGCGCTTCACACAATATACTGTAAAGTGAATTGACTGTATATTTGTGGGCGAACGCGGCAGCCAATTGCGCACAGCAATGTCCCACAAACAGTCGTAGATTGAAAATGACCAATTTATTATTGTTTTGTTTTGGAGGGATTATTATTAGGCTCTGTGTGGAGTAAGGAAACTTGCCCGAGGTTTCACCCTCTGCCTGGAATTGAACTCAGGTCTCTCAGTTGCAAAGCGAGTGCTCTAACCACTGAGCCACATAGGGTTCCTAGCTGGACGAGCAGTGGGATGGCTTGCCAGACAGAAACTTGCTCTCAATGGCAAGCTCTACATGTTTAACTGGTTATTTTTAAACTGGTTATCCCAATGCACGTTCTGGGGCCCCCAAATCTTGGCTCTTGCCAACCTGTGCCTAGGTAAACAGGATACATCCCTCCAGAGAGAGAGGGAGAGAGAGAGAGCAGATTCCATTCTAGACATGGGGCAATTCCTATGTGTAGATGGCGTATATATATGCAACCCTTAGTCTGGATTTAATGCTCTTAAACACGAGGATCGGTTTCTACGTGTCTCAGACACCCAGCTGATCGGGTGGGGGAGGAAGTACAGATAATTACTCCCTCTTGATGTATTGTCTCACATGAACCGAAAACCTGCGGCAAAGCATTCTCTAATGTCATAACATTGACTGTAAGTAGATGAAGAATAAATTGGTCACTCAATCCACGGCTGTTTGTGGGACGCTGTGCGCAATTGGCTGCCGCGTTTCGCCCACAAAATACACAGTCAATTGACTTTAGAGCATATTCAGTGAAGCACTTTGAGACGTCTCGAAGACTTAATAAGGCGCTGTATCGAATGCAAAGATTATTATTATTATTATTGGTTCAAGGGCAAGTGATGATCTGTTATGTTGTGCCATTCTTTTCAGATGGACCAGGAAGTCACCCATTTACAGCGAACAGTCACTGAGTTGGAAGCGACGTTGGGGCAAAAGGAAGTGGAGCTGAAGACCTCCGAGTCCCAAAGATCCGTCCTGGAGCAGGACCTGGCCACATACATCACAGAGTGCAGTGTAAGCGTTCATCTGCAAAATACGCAGTCACTACACTTGACTGTCAAACCCTGTGAGCTCTCTGAGACGTGCTCTAACAAATGCACGAGTTATAACTTGGGCGCCGAGACGTCTCGAAGACGCGATAAGGCACTATATCAAATGCAAGGATTATTATTATTACTATTACTCATTATCAGGTTTCGATAATGAAGATTCTTGGATTATTATACGTGAAACCAAAGGAATGTCCTTTTTTTTAAATTTTTAATTCAAAAGGGAAGATTTTGTGCAGTAACATGCTGAGGTTTAAACACGTCGAGGGCAAAACCGTTGTTGCTTTGATATTGTGTAATTATCTCATTCTGCCGGCACACCACAAACATTCTTGACGTAGGCAGCAGAACATTACTCCCCTTAGAGGCAGTAATGGGGTTATACCCACTCTATAAGCTCTCTTCCTCGGGTTATAGCTTCCTGGAGACTGGGAAATCGGGGAATAGTCCTAAACGAGTGGGGTCGTTTCATCCATTCGCCTCCCCCAAAACCCATCCCCCCCTTTCCCTTCATAAACACGTTTCGTTTACATCTTCGAACTCACTGAAATTAATATCGTTCGAGTTTGTATTGAATTATTGTGTTCTGACAAAGCACTGTCCCGGGTGACGGGCACTACATAAAAATCATAATAATAAATAATAATAATCCTTGCCTTTGAGAAAGTGCCTCATCACATCTTTGAGACGTCTCAAAGCGCTTCACAGAATATACTGTAAAGTGAATTGACTGTATATTTGTGGGCGAAACGCGGCAGCCAATTGCGCACAGCAATGTCCCACAAACAGTCGTAGATTGAGCGACCAAATTATTATTTCTTTTTCTTGAACAACAACAACGTGCACTTATATAATGCCCTCCCCACACACAGGGTAGCGTCTCAGAGCGCTTAACAGTGGCGGAGCCTGACTCCAAGGGTTGGGATTGGGGGACAAGTACTTTAAAGATGATCGATTCAGGGATAAGGAGCCAGTAGAGCAGCTGAGGGAGGATAGGAGTGATGGGGTCTCGGAGCCTGGTACGCGAGAGGGCAGAAGCTGCAGATGATCTGGGGCTTGTGGAGGCACAAAGGCATCTCCAGATTGCGGTGAGGCTTTTGGCTGTGACTCATGTGAGTTGGTGGCACAGGCCAGTGATGGTAGAGTTGAGTTGGTAGAAACCAGACTTGGTCAGAGTCTGGAGGGAAGGTTTAAAGGAGAGTTGAGGGTTGAACAAACCTGCAAGTTTTCGCACAGGTCCGATGTGAAATAGGTTTGGACAGTTCTTGCTACAAATACTTGTGTGCCTACGGCAGATAAGCTGGATTTGGAGTAAACTAATTGGGGCAGATGTCCTATGAGATTTTCCCTGGCAGTTGAGAGTGTACAAAAATCTGCCTGAGGGTATGAAAGGGCAAAACCCATGAGCTTCCCAATGGTTTGAATGTCCTTCAAAATTCTTGGTTCAGCGACTGATGGATAGTTGAGATCCAAATTGTGGCATGGTGAGCGAGACCACATCTTCCTCCCATTTCCCAGGGAGAGGAGATGTGGTTCTATATTATTTGGGTTGACCATATTCTTGACCTAAACGATGGTACTCCGGGACACTGCAGATGACAGCACGGCCAGGCTGGACCTTGGAAGGGCAGACCAGTCACTGGGCACAGGGAATTGTCCCACTCAGCTCCTATTAACCCTGCAAGCCAAAGGCTTAATGGATAGGGTGGTCCTAGCTGGACAAGCCATGGGAAAGCTTGGCAAACAGTGCTCTCTCAATGGCGAGCTTTGCGGTTTTAGCTGGTTAGACTCCCAACGGTTAGCTCAACTCATGCTCTGGGGTCCCCATGCCTTGTTTTTTGACAACCTGCACCTATTACATTCCGCATTCCATCCCAATTATATATCTCTGAAATTTCCATATGTAGGTGGGATGCACGGAAGTCTGTCTGGTTTGGATACTCTTAAGCACGGTGATGGGTTTCCGTGTGTGTTGGACACCAATTTCCAAAGTGTTGACCAGAAAACCCTGAAAACCAACATGTTCTCCTGTGCTGCTTTCAGGTCCTAAAGAGCTAGGAAAGAGCAAATCCTTTCTGGACTCACGATCCATAACTCGCTGCTGAGGAAACAGCTAAGACGTTAACGTTGACTCAGAAATTCTGACGTTCAGATCTGGAGTCTGGGTGGCACCACCACCAAATATTAATAATAATTTGGTCACTTCAATCCACGACTGTTTGTGGGACTTTGCTGGTCGCAATTGGCTGCCACGTTTTGCCCATAAATATACAGTCAATTCACTTTACAGTCTATTCTGTGAAGTGCTTTGAGACGTCTCGGTGCAGCGATAAGGCGCTGTATCAAATGGCAGTGTTATTATTGTTCACTTCAAAGTTGCTTTGCTTTCTCATCGAGAAACTGATCCCGAAAACAGGAGATTGTGATGTTCAAGAGAGGGTTAAATGCAATTAAATTTCTTCCCTCTTCCCTTGTGGACATGTCCAGTATTTTTAGTTCTGTTTGTGCTTCATCAGGTTCCAAGTGTGTAAGCTTTTTAATAGGATAAATATTTATGGACATTAATATTTCATCCCCTGCTCTCTTAAATTCATGCTTTAATAGTTTGTACAATGACTGGATGTAATGTGATATCCCCGAGACTGTTTAACACAGTAAACCAGCGTGTTGTAAATTTAATTCTTGTCCATCATAAACAGTCTCATCGCTGAAACTTTCTAAGAAGATGCTTCTTTTCAGGGTGACTGAAGATGGTGCCTGGAATCATGTTCTTGTAAGATGCAACGATCAGATGAGTTAGGGCTCTCCAGCCTGGAAAAGAGAGGGGAACTTGTAGAACTGTATAAGATTTTAAACAAGACAGAGAAAGTAAACCCAGAACAATACTTTCAGATATGCCAGTGCGGCAGAGCAGGAGAGCATAGATACAGGGTAGCAAAGGCTGATCTCAGGACAGACACCAGGAAGTATTTCTTCTTTACCCAGAGAGCAGTTAACAACAGGAGCAGGTTACCAGCAAGGCCAGTTGAGGCCAGGACTCTGGATTCATTTAACAAACATCAGATGTTTGACTGGCCATACTGTTCTAGCTGTACCCAAATCATCTGATCTTGGAAGCCAAGCAGGATTAGGCTGCGTTAGTGCTTGGATAAGACACAGCCTGGGATTACCAGATGCTGTAGGTTTGTCAACCACGGTAGGGGGTGGGGAAAGGGCAGGCAAATTGGACTGAAAGGATTGCTCTTAAAAGAGCTGGCGCAGACGCGATAGGCCGAATGGCCTTCTTCTGTACTGGAGAGTCCTATAGAAGGGATCTGGTAACTAACCTCCTGCATTTCCCAGCTGCGTTACTTTATTCTGATGGCATATTTTTAAAAAATAAATAAAACATCCTTTCACAGTGTGTTGCTGGCTGTTACATCAGCAGTTCTTCAATAGTAAGAGGAAACCACTTGATGAATAGAGAGGTCTCTCTGTCAGAGTTTACCCGTCAGTCCTATTTGATGGACGGAGACTTGAACAAATCTATTTACTTTCCACCCTCCTTAAGATTCGACAATCTTCACCCTGTTTCTGTAATACGGGCAGAGTATTTCAAATCAAACATCGGAGGCAGGGATGGTACGTTAAGTAAACTAGACCCGTTCCTACACGGACAGATGCCTTGAACAGCTTCTTTGAGATCTGTCGGCTATGAATCATTGCTAATGGATTGTGTGGGAGAGGATCATTTGAACGAAGGTCGTTCATCTAAAGAACAAGACAGTTTGTCACGAGTCATGAGTTTGCGCGTGTGCGAGCGTGCGAGTGAGAGAGTGAGTGCCCGTGTGAGCGTGCGTGTGAGAGAGAGTGAGTGCCCGTGTGAGCGTGCGTGTGAGAGAGAGTGAGTGCCCGTGTGAGCGTGTGTGTGAGAGAGAGTGAGTGCCCGTGTGAGAGAGAGTGAGTGCACGTGTGAGTGCGCGTGTGTGAATGCGCGTGTGTGTGCATGCGAGTGAGTGAGTGTACGTGTGAGTGTGCGTGCGTGTGTGCATGTGAGTGCGCGTGCATGCGCGCGAGTGAGTGCGCGTGCGAGTGAGTGAGTGTGCGTGCGAGTGAGTGCGTGTGCGCGGTTGCGTACGAGTGCACATGAGTGCGCGTGCGTGTGAGAGAGTGAGCGAGCGCGCGCGCGTGCATGTCTCAGAGTAGAATCGCAGGACTCCACTTGGCAGCCCCTTGCGTCTGATTGTCTCGCGTCTTGAATCTGTTCTCAGAGTCTGAAACGCAGCCTCGACCAGGCTCGGATGGAAGTGTCTCAGGAGGATGACAAAGCTCTCCAACTTCTCCAGGACATTCAGGAGCAGAGCCGGAGGCTGCAGGAGATCAAGGAACAGGTACGTGCGTGTTTGGAGACTGCAACAGCAACGTTTTTGTTTTTAATCTCGCGCTTTACTTTACATTTTGCGTCCTGCTTGATACTGAGCCGTCTTCATTGGTTTTTTTTTGTGTCCTGGGCGCTCGGCCAACATTTGCGCACGAGGAAAGCTGAAAGTTCGGGCCGTCCTCGAACGTTTGAGACGCGAAAATATTTACCTGGACAGTATCTGCTTTTCCACCAAGCCTTCAATCCGATGACGCCGTTTGCCGCCCTTTACAGCGCGCAGGATATTTTCAGTTCAAAGATTGGCCGACGGTGTATTTTGCCGAAGACGATATGCTGAGGGCGGGGAGAGCATGGCAATTGCCGCTGGATAAGTGGACTGGCTGTTGGTACCTCAATCCCAACGAGGAGCAGTGTATCAGTGTGCGTTCAGCTAATTGCAGTCTACGGTGTACCTCCAGGCCCCATAATAATAATAATTAATAATAATCCTTGCATTCGGCACAGCGCCTTATCACCGCTTTGCGTGTTGGAAGGACAGACACCTCAAAGTACTTCACAGGATTTATTGTGAAGTGGAGTGACTGTATTTGCAGATGAACACGGCAGCCCAATTGTACGCAGCAAAGTCCCACAGAACGGCCATGAGAATGACCAATATTATTTGGGGGACTGTTGGCCATGGGCAGCGGGAGAGAGAAACCCCCTTCTCTTTTCGACCAGTGCCGCCGGATCTTTTGACTTCCACCTGAACGGGCAGACGGGGCCTGGGTTTAACGTCTGATCTGAAGGATGGAAACGTGGCATAAATTAGAACTTGGAGAGAAGCGAGCGCTATGGCAACTGTCACGTGCACTAATAACTGTAGCCACAGCAAAGCAGCGCTTTTAATAACGTTAAATACAATATTATAAGATCGTGTTCTGCAATTATCCCTCAGCGTATTCAGTCGTTCATTGTTGGTCACTTTGTATTTATTATCCGAGAATGAGCACGAGGGCCTGAGTCACGGCTATTTTTCCTGACGAGGCGACGGCCTGAAAGGAACACTTTAGCAGCTCCGTAACAACAGGGCTCGCTGGAGCTGTCTCGGCATCCCCTGCGTATCTTCCAGGTCCCAACGCGGTTTGAAACGTTGACGTTCGGTTTGCGAGCGCGTGGTCTCGGTACGTTGTGCGTAGCGAGGCGCCGCAGAAACAGGCCGTCGATCCAACTGTGCTGGTGTTCGTACTCCACACGAGCCTCCGATCCCTCCTAATCCTCTCTCCTATCCCCTGTTGCCTTCGCTCCCACGTACGCAGCAAGTTTCCTTGTAAATACATTGACGCTTTTTGCTTCCATCGCCGCTTCCGACAGTGTGTTCCTCATTCTCTTTCCCCCCCACTCCCCCACCCCCACCCCCCCCCTCCCCCACCCACCCCCCACCCCCTCCCCCAACCCAATATTTGTTCCCCTACAAAACACACAGTTGCTAAACTTTACACTAAATTTTCTGCGAAGCTCTTTGAGACATTCTCCTGACGTGAAAGCCCCCGAAACAAATGCAAGTAACAATTATTATTATTATTACTACTTTCTAACATGGCAATGGACACTGGGGTGAGATTTTGCTTCGCAATCCCGGCCTGTGTCTGGCGAGCTAAAAAAAAAACATCCCGACTTCTGGGTCGTCAGGTTATTGCCCACGTCACTTCCTGCTCACGCGCGCAATCGGCGCGGAGGCGTTGATGATGGTCGCTCGTTGGGGTTTCGGGGATTTCCCCCCACCCCCCCCACTCAAAACTACCATGTTTGCGGAGTCAGAGCAGCCTCTATGCTTTTTCTCTCGCTGTTTCTCTCAAAGAGTTTGCTTCCAAAGGGGAGCTGGTTGAAGGGAGTGCGGAGCTCGGCCCGTTGATCTGACTGCTCGGCTCAGGGTATTTATTACAGCGACGCTCCAGTGTAATGCGATCCACGGATTCGAACCCGTGCTGGCAGCTCGTGTGTGTGCGTGTGACTTTATTGGCCAGGGATCGCTGTCTTGGCTCAGCGCTTTGTTTAGTCGAATCCCTTCCCAAGTACGCTCTCCTCCCAACAAAGGGAACAAGGCTAAGACTCCGGGGATAATTGGGGAGTCTCGCTCCGCCGCCGTCGAGCGCTCCGGGACGCTACCGATCTCGAGCCGGCCGGTCGCGGTTGGGTCTTCGCCGCGGCTCTCACTCATCGCGTCTCTTTCGTTTTCCCCGTCCCTTTGCTCGCCATCGCTCGGCGCTGGACGCACGCGGTGCTGACCAGGAGTTCCAGGCCCAGATGGAGGAGATGCGAGTGGCTGTCCGGCAGCTGGAGGAGGATCTGGCCGCCGCCCGCAGACGGGCGGACCTGTACGAGTCCGAACTGCGAGAAACCCGGGTCACAGCTGAGGAATACAGGCGGAAAGCAACCGAGTCCCAGCAGAAGCTGCAGAAGGTAAGAATGTTTCCTCTTCGGGTTGAGCTGTGTGTGTGTGTGGTTGCACGCGTGTGAGTGTATGTGTGGTTGCGTGTGTGTGTGTGTGTGTTGTGTGTGGTTGCATGGTTGCGTGTGTGTGTGGTTGTGTGTGTGGTGGGTGCGTGTGAAGGGGGAGGGGGAACATGTCTGTGTGGCAGGAACGTGCGGTGAGAGAGGAAGGAGAAGGACATGCCTCGCGTACGGTTTAACGCTGATTTTTTTCCTTCCATTCACAGACGAGAGACCAGGGCAAAGCGGAAGTCGGAGAGGTGTACGCCAAACTGGAGAAGGTTCACTAACTTTCCTACAATGACCGTTCTGTTATAGTGTAGTGTTCTGTTATACCGCAGTCCTCGCAGTAAATAGGTCGTTAGTTTCTGGGGGTAATAATCCCTTAACAAAATAATAATAATAATAATTTGGTCACTTGAACCACGACTGTTTTGTGGGACGCTGCCGTGTGCAATTGGCTTCCGTGATTCACCCACAAAATATACAGACAATTCACGTTACAGTGTATCCTGTGAAGCGCTTTGAGACGTCTCGAAGACGTGATAAGGCGCTGTGTCCAACTCAAGGATTGTTATTATGATAGCGACGATGGTTTCTTTGGCTTTTCGTCAATCAGACGTCCACTGTTCCCACATCTGTACACAATTGTGTTTGATGCAGTTTTCTCGCTAAAGGTGTGATGTGGATGGCGGTGGAGGAAAGCTCTTAAAAGAGACTGTGACCATTGCACAACCTCCTTTTTGGAGGGGTGGGTGGGTGTCTGGAGAGAAAGCGAGAGTGAAAGAATTTATGCGTGTGTGTGTGTGTATGTGTGTGTGTGTGTGTGCGTGTTGCTCTGCTGGTATTTGCTTGACTTGTCCCTGTTGCTGATCTGTAAGGATGGAGTAGTCGTATGTACATTAATTATATTGCAGAATAACTACAGATTTACACATAATAATTATTAGACACAACACTATTATAATAATTACTATAAGTACCATTTTATATAAAAAAAACTTACAATGCATAAAAAGTATTTTTGTATATAATTATACCAGAAACATAATAGTATTTTATCATAGTAATGCATAATAAAGTATTTTATATCTAATTATACCAGCAATGTAACAGTATTTTTATATATATTTACACTAGTAATCATAATAGTATAATTATATATATAATATACAGTATGCTGCATTTAATACAGTATATAAAATACTATTCTGCATGAAGTATCTTTATGTATAATTATACATCCTTATAGTAATTGTTATGTTAGGATTATGCGCAATAACTATTTTGTATGATATTGTGTCCTGTCCAATAATTATTCTGTCTCATTACGTATCAATTTGAGGTTATTCTTCGAAAGTGTGTGGTGGGGAGGGGGACAAGGTTGGACTCTTGTTTGCGATCCTAGAAGCCTTTCAGCCGTGTGCTTGAGCTTGCTTCAGCTGCTGCCTGGATTGATCAGGATGTGGTGTGTGTGTGTGTGTCTTTCAGATGAACACAGAGCAGCAGAGGAAAATACAAGAGCTGCAGGAAAAGCTCGGCAAGGTCAGTGTAACTTTTTCAGTGCTGAAGATTTCTCCCCACCGACCCCAATTCTCCGGGGGTGTATCGGAGGAGTCTGATGGACAAGCTCATCGCTTGTCTAGGTGGAGGGAGGGGTGGAGTGTAATTGGCATCCAAATATGAATATACTTCCTGACTCTTTAACTTGAGCAATTTTAGTTTTGTTGGAGCGGTTTAAAAATTCCACTGATCCACTGAGTGATCTCCCAGTGTTCGAGGAATGAACTATGAGCAGAGATTAGACAAGAGGGGGCAACTTCAGTCTTGAGAGGACAACTCAGAGGGGATCTCGCAGCGATGGATAAAATTTGAAATGGGATTTTAAAAAAAAGTAAACTCAAACCAATACTTTAGGATTCACCAAAACAGTAGGACTTAGGTTGGGAGTTATATAAAGGGTAATTTCCGGCTTATTGGCGCCTTTCCCTTTCCTTGTCTGTCTCAGGCCGTCAAAGCCAGCACCGAGGCCACAGATCTCCTGCAGAACGTGCGTCAGGCCAAGGAGAGGGCCGAGAGGGACCTGGAGAAGCTGCAGGGGCGGGAGAACTCCAGCGAGAGCGTCCGGAGGAAGCTGGTGGAGGCTGAGGTGCGTCAGGCTCCATCACTGTGACAACGACGACACCCGCGTTACATTTACACGGGGCCTTTCACGTCGGGAGGATATTCCAAGGCACCGGACAGTCAGGGATTTGCAACCGAGTTGGGGGTTGGAATCGAAGGGGTGGAGGGTAGAGAGAGTGGGAGGTCGGCCGAAGGCAAGGTCAATGAGGAAGGTCTTTAGCCAGGCCTCGAAGGAGGCAAGGGAAGGGGCGAGGGGAAGGGATTCCCGGATGGAGTTCCAGAGGGTGGGGGCAGAAAGGCTGAAAGGCTCTTTTAATGAGGAATGAGATGTGGTTAGGAACGTTGGCAATGTCGGGAATAGCGAGGTTGCTGATCGGACGTACTGCTCTCTGCAGGAGCGTCGCAAGTCTCTGGAGAACCAAGTGAAGCGGCTGGAGATGGTGGAACGACGGGAGAACAAGCTGAAGGAGGACCTGCAGACAAAGTCCCAGCAGATCCAGCAAATGGCTCAGAAAATCCTGGTGCGTGTGCGCAAAACGCGGACTGCTGCTGCTGCTGGCGGCGGGATGCGGGGTTTGGAGGGGAGGGAGTGTCGCATCAGAGAACGGCGAAACGGGAGGGAGGAAAGGGAAGGGACACCGTCACTGCCTGGTTGGTGCGAGAGGCTTGTTTGCCTGCTGTACGGTCGATGTAAGCCAATTATCTTGATCTCTTCTTTCTCTCCCCTAACCCAGGAGCTGGAGGAGAACTGGTGTGAAGCGCAGGCGGTCGCACAACGCACAGAAACACACCTCCGCCAGAAGGAGCAGCTCTACGAGGACAAGATGAAGGTAAACAACCAAACAAAACAAAAAGGGAGGAAAGCAGAGAGCGTGCAATGCGTTTGGGTGACGAGACTGGAGCCGACGCAGTTGCTGGAGAGCTGCCGAGGTAGTGTTACGTTTCAGGTGGCAAACTCCAGCCCTCCTGCCCACCCGGGCAGATCACAGGGTGGCAGAGATTCCAGTGCAGAACGGAAGACCCTCATCGCATCGATGTAACACGAATCTCGCTCAGTAATAACACGGGGTTTTGTGGTGGGGGGGTCGGTGGGGGGGGTTCTCCTGGGCTGAGCTTAAAGCAGCGGCAGGAAATTTACTCGTTCCTTCATTTCCAAGTTGAAGAAAGTGGGGAAAAAGCAGAGATTTGGGAAATCGGAAAACGCTACAGCCCATACATTCATCCTTACCTCTCCGTTCTCCTCACCATCAGTTCCTGTGGCCCTGACCCTCTGGAACTCTTCCCCTTCTCCCCCCACCCCCCAATTCCCTCCCATCTCGCTCCTCTCTTTGGGTCTTGAATTCCTGCCTCAACACCTATCTGTTTGAATCCACCTGTGGCCACTCGTGCCCTTCTCCCTGGCTCGGATTTCTGCAGTGTCACACGTCAACCCCTCCGAGACATTGCCCTATAGAAGCGCACTCAATAAAGCGTGTTGTGCAAATGCAGGAGTTTAGATTGTTTTCCCTTACGTCCTGCGCTGAGCTGTGCTGTGCTGTCTCTCTCTCTCAGGTACTGGAAGCTCAGATGAAGATGGACATTGCGGATAAAGAATCGCTCGAAGAGTCTCATCTCAGGGACGAGGAGGATTCTCGGGAGAAGTGCAAGCTGATCAGCGAGCAGAAAGCGGTGCGTGCGAGACTCTGTCCAGGAAAGCACGGCGTCTCAAAGCCGCTTAAAACCCGCGCATTTGTGTTGCGACAAAAATTGTCGCGGTCCCTTGTTCGAGATGGTATTTTTTGATTTCGAAGTTCAAATAAAAAAGGGTTTTACTTTTTGTTTTTTTTAAAAGAAATATGACAATATTTATATGAGTAACAAATCAAATATAAAAATATAGTAATAATAATCCTTGCATTTGATACAGCGCCTTGTCGCGTCTTCGAGACGTCTCAAAGCGCTTCACAGGATACACTGGAAAGTGAATTGACTGTATATTTAGTGGGCAAAACACAGCAGCCAAATATATGTCTATATATATGTATATTTCCTCCTATTTGGACCCTCTCTGCTCTCTACTGTTTGAATTTCAGTTCCAGTGCTGGGCTGGGCGGTGGGGGTGGGGGAGAGCGAGAGAGGGCTGTATTGAGGGAGGTACCGTCCTTCAAGTGAGACGTTAAGTCAATATCCCATCTGCCTGACCAGGTGGATGTTGAAGATCCCAAGGCACCACTCGAAAATAGAAGGGAGTTTCTCATGGTGCCCTGACCAACAATTCCCCAAGTAAAATTGGTCAATAACTTCATGGATATTTGTGGGATGCAGCAACGAGCAAAGTGGTTGCCTCCAAAATGTATGTAAAGTGGTCACTCCACTTTTACCGTAAAATCCCGAGAGGCTCTTTGCAATGTCGCCCTGATGTGAAATGCGCTGTATCAAATGCAAGGATTATTATTATTATTATAGTTATTATTATTATTAAGGCAGGAATAGGAAGCACAAAGATTGCTTTGCAATAAAGACCCTCAGAAACTATATCAAGTGCAAAGGTTATTAGGAATCTGACAAATGTGTCTTGACCCTTCAGACCATCAATGCCATGGAATCGAAGATGAAATCCCTGGAGCAGAGGATTGCGGAACTCTCTGAGGCTAACAAGCTTGCAGCAAACAGCAGCATCTTCACCCAGAGGAGCATGTGAGTGTTCGTAGCTGAGGTCATGAGCTCTGCTCAGTACATACTCAGCTATCTCCTCGTTTCTCCCACGAAATACGCGGTCAATTCACTTGATTGAATTTATTTGCCATGCGGCGCTTTGAAACGTCTCAACGACGCGATAAGGAACTATGTCAAATGCTATCAAGCGAGGATTATTACTATTGTTTATTATTATTATTATTATTATTATTAGAACCGGCGATGTCTTTTTTTCTGATTGCCTGACCTCCGGTTCATTTCTCAGCAATTTACCGAGCGCAGAACTATAGTGGAAAATCTATTAACGGAACGTTTCACTGCGCCGTTGGTTGCGGGACATTGCTGTGCGTCAAAATTGTGCTCCTGACAATATACGCAACCGGTTCCACTTTACTGTAAATCCCGCGAGCCTCTTCGAGACCTGCTCCTGATGCGAAAGGCGCTGTATAAATGGAAATCGTCGCAAGTCTTCACACTTGGCGAGTGACTCTGAGCGACTGCTTTTCTATGTTGTGGTAGGAAAGCCCAGGAGGAGATGATTGCTGAGCTCAGGCAACAGAAGTTTTATTTGGAGGCTCAGGCTGGGAAACTTGAAGCTCACAACCACAAACTGGAGGAGCAAATCAACAAGATCAACCAGGACGAACAGAGCAGCAAGAACCGGCTCCAGGATCTGGAGACCAGGCTCCGCGAGGTGAGAAACTCAGTCCATCAGACGCCGTTCATTCCACTTGTTTTACTTGTTCTCGCAATTGTCTGTATTGATTCACTGAAGGTGAATAGGACAGACGTCCATTGCCGTGTATCTCCCACTAAAATGCACAGTCGATTTACTTTACACGATATTCTGTGAAGCGCTTTGAGACGTGATAAGGCACTGGATGCAATGATTATTATTGTTATTACTCTTGCTTTCAGCCACTACGCCTTGAAGTTTTGAAACACTCTCCTCCCCACCCCCCACTCCAATCCCTCCTCCTCCTCCTCGCCCCACTCCCTCCCCCTCTTTTACATCACGACTGCAGACCCTTCCTCTTTGACCGTGCTGGATGCTAAAAGCGGCTTGATGCCGTGATGGGGGCTTGGGGTGGGGGAGGTGGGGAATGGTGAAGTGGATGAGATCCGATGGGGTCCAAAAGCCTTCCTTCCTTCTTGTGGAAATCGTTCCCGACCTTGAAAGCTCGCGGTTGTGTCTGTGCGGAGAGCAGCTCCGCTCCGTCCATCGGTGGCTCCAAAACACACAGTCATTACACTTTACAGTATATCCTGTGAAGCGCTTTGAGACGTCTCGAAGGTGTGATGAGGTGATGTATGAAATGCAAAAGGATTATTATTATTATCATTATCAGTGGATAAATCACCCAGACTGTTTGCTTGACGTGATGCGATTTCAGGTGACCCCAGGGCAGTGAGTGCTGCTGCCCCTGTCTCTCACTCGCTCACTCATTCTCTCTCTCACTCTCACTCACTCTCTCTCTCACTCACACTCTCTCTCTCTCACTCACACTCTCTCTCACTCGCTCTGGCCTCCTCCCGCAGGTTGGCCTGGAGCACGAGCAGCAGAAGCTGGAGCTGAAGAAGCAGGGGAACGAGCTGCAGCTGGCTCTGCAGGAGAAGGAGGCTCAGCTCCGCAGTCTGCAGTGCACCAAGTCCGCGCTGGAGACCCAACTGCAGACAGCCAAGGCCGAGCTGGAGGAGACCACAGCCGAGGCCGAGGAGGAAATCCAATCCTTGAGGGTTAGCGCAGAGTCTCTCCTGGTGTCCCAGCCAACACACACCCCCCACCCAACCCAGCCCTCCTCCCCCCCCATCCAGCCAGCCCCCCTCCCCCCACCCCAGCCAACCCCCCACTCCGTCTTTCTGTTGTGGAGAAACTATTTCCTCTGATGGGGGAATCCAGAACAGGTGGGTGGGGGGGCATAGCTGTAGAATTCTGGACCTCTCCTTCAAAAGGCTGTGGATTATGGCTGAATCCATTCACATCTTCAAGACTGAGGTGGATAGGTGTTTGTTAGGTCAGGGTATCAAGGGATACGAGGCAAGGGTGGGGGGTAATTGGAGTTGACGTACAGATCAGTCACAATCTAATAGAATGGCGGAACAGGTTGGAAGGACTGAATAGCCTACTCTTGTTGCTACGGAAGACGCTGTATCAAATGCAAGGATTATTGTTATTACTGGGATTGGCAGCCGCACATCAGTTAAGCAGGAAAACCAGTAGCTTGTGAGATCCACTGGCCGCTCCCAGCCCTTCAGACTCGTGAAAACACAGCTCAACCGGGGTGGGAGGAGAAGAGAGGAGAGAGAGAAGTCGCGAGCCGAGTGGAGGAGTGGGGGGGGGGAATGGAGGGGTTTGTTTCAGTAGGTGGGCAGTGACTGAAATTGCCTCCCATGGTTTACGAGTGGGGGGGATGGGTGTAGTCAACGGATTTTTACTGCTTGTCACGAGCTGAGATATTTCTGAATCTCCCCCTCTTTGTTTGCCCGTTTCAGGGCTTTATGTAACAGAGTAAATTTATACATCGCAGCTTGTAGCTCACTGCCTGCCCCTTTTCAGCTTCGTGTTCTGTCACTAGGCTCTGCACACACTGGCTGCTGCTAATCAGCAGATTTAAAGGATAAAAAGGGTAACGAGAAGTGACAGAAACCTTGTTAAAGCTCTAAATCATAATAAACCCTTCAGTAAATAAACAGATAATTTGGTCACTCAAATCCACGACTGTTTGTGAGCATTTGGCTGCCCTCGTTTCTCCCCACAACATACACAGTCGCTCCACTTTACAGTATATTCTGTGAAGCGCTTTGAGACGTCTCGACGTGATAAGGCGCTGTATCGAATGCAAAGGGTTACTATTAGTATTTATTATTCATGATTTTATTATTCATCCTGTTACTTAAGGTCGTCTTCAATGAGCATTTTATTTAGTTCATTAAAAGAATATAATACTGTTGATTTATAGTCATAAAAATATACAGAGAGAATTTATCTCCGATAGCGATTGATGCCTCTTTATGTTTTTCCTCCTCCTCCTCCTCCTCCTCCTCCTCCTCCTCAGGCACATCGAGATGAAATCCTTAACAAATTTGAAAGCCTCCGTGAAAGTTGCTCGGTATGTAAACGGCACAAAATGAATGTTTCATGGGATTGCAAGCGGGGTGGGGGAGTGGGGGGGGGGTGTTACTTTACTCCGATCACTAAAACTCGTCACCCGTTCCTTACGTCTTTAGAAGGGAAAATCTTTTTCCGAAATCTGTTGCGAACTGCACAAGTTGAAGGACTATTTTCACCCTCTCCCTCCCTCCCTCCCTCCCTCCCTGACTACAATAAGTAAAGTAACATGGAGGATTCCCTGGTTGGGTTGGATGCTGAGCAGTTTGCTTTCCGTCAGATCTTATCAGATTGGCCATCACTGGACCGATGGGAATATTTCCAGTTCCCAAACCAGCACCCTTGTTTGCCCACGTTCCTGTGAAACATTTTGAGACCTCCTCCAAATGGGAAAGTCGTTGGACCAAATGCAAGGATTATTATTATTATTATTAGTTAATATTCGTGCAGAATTTTGTCTGTAGGCGTCGAATTTGATACTCTGGTTCCAAAGGGGTGGGTGTGTGTGTTTGTGTGACGCTTTTGCTCTTTCCCTTCTTTTTCTCTCACACTCTCTCTCACTCCCCCTCCCTCTCCCCCTCTCTCGCCCTCTCTTTCTCTTTCACGCTCACTCTCATTCCCTCTCTGTGTGTGTCTCTCTCTCTCTCTCTCTGACTCATTCACTCTCTGTCTCTCTCTCTGTCTCACTCTGTCTCTGACTCTCTGTCTCACTCTCTGACTCTCACTCTCTGTCTCTCTCCGCCACAGGTTATCACTGATCTGGAGGAGCAGTTAAACCAGCTGAGCCAGGAAAACGGGGAACTGAACAGCCAGAACTACTTCCTGACCAAGCAGCTGGAGGAGCTATCCTGCATTACCGACGAGCGAGCCCAGCTGAGGCTGGAGATGGACAGGATGCGACAAGAACTGTCTGATCAAGAGATTCAGCTCAGTAACCAAAAACAGGTGAGATCGCGCCTGCCTCCTGCCGATCTGATGGCACGTGATCACGATGATGATGATAATAATAATAATAATCCTTGCATTTGATACAGCGCCTTATCGCGTCTTCAAGACGTCTCAAAAGCGCTTCACAGGACACACCGTAAAGTGAATTGACTGTTATTTTCCGTGGGCAAAACCAGATGAACACAGCCTTCAAATCTTTTACCCCGTTCCGCAAATCTGCTTCGCAATCTGCTTCCGTTTTCTTACTGAGGAGTGTTTCGGGGTGTCTCGATGGCGGTTTCGCCCACTCCCCCCCCCAAAAAAAAATTCACAGTCAATTCGCTTTACAGTATAATCCCGCGAAGGGCTTTGAGACGTCTCGAAGACGTGATAAGGCGCTGTTTCGAATGCAAAGATTATTCTGGTGTTATTACAGGGCCTCATCAAATGACTTTTTAACCAGGTTGTTGGCCTGGCTCCGTGGCGCTGCTCGAAAAGAAAGCGGTGTTTCTCCCGGTACGCTGTCTAATTGGGCTATTGCTTTCACTTGCAATGTGAGACCCACTTTGCTGTAAAATCCTGTGAAGCGTCTTGAAACCTCCTCTTGAGTGTGAAAGGCACTAAAACCTATTGCAAGGATCATGAGTATTATCACCATTTAAGATTTATGCAGAATTTCGGAAAGCCCTTCAATTGGATCTTCATTTAGAAGCCGGTGAATAAATTGACTTTCGACGCAAGAGCCATTTGGGAGAATTTTCCAAAATTCTGCACAATATTCAATGTTGAGACAACTCCTCTTATGGCTAAGTGCAGGTGGGAGTTTCGAGCCTCCAAGTGGTGTCTTGGTGTCTCGTGTGCCGAGTTAATAATCATAATAATAATCCTTGCATTTGATACAGCGCCTTATCACGTCTTCGAGATGTCTCAAATCGCTTCACAGGATGTACTGTCAAGTGAATTCACTGTATGTTTTGTGGGCGAAACATGGCAGCCAATTGCGCACAGCTGCGTCCCCACAAACAGTCGTGGATTGAGTGACCAAATTATGATTGATATATTTTGGAGGGATTATTATACCTTTGGAAAGCGATCCGCCAATCGACTAACAACCGAGTTCCCACTTACTGCTGGGTAGACAGAGGCATGTGGAGTAAGGAAACTTGCCTAACGTTTTGTCCTGCCCGGGAATCGAACCTGGGTCCTCTCGCTTGCAGGTCCTCTTTTTATTGCTCTCTCTCTCTCTCCTCTCAGACAATCGAGACGTTGAAAACGACCTGCTCGATGCTGGAGGAGCAAGTGATGGACCTCGAGACGCTGAATGATGAACTCCTCGAGAAGGAGCGTCACTGGGAAACATGGAGAACCGAGTTCGAGGAGGAGAAGGCACAACTGGAGCGCCGCATTCAGGAGATGAAGAGGCTGCTGGAGATCGAGAAGCAGAGCAGGTCATGATAATCTCTAAAATTAATAGCAACAATAATAATTCCATCGTTTTTTTAAAAAAAAAACACAATTGGGTCACTTCAAATCCACGGCTGTTTGTCTGGCACTGCTGTGCGCAATTGGCTGCCGCCTTTCGCCCGCAAAAGTATACGGTAAGCATACGGTCAATTCACTTGATGGTGTATCCTGTGAAACGCTTTGACACGTCTCGGAGACGTGATAAGACGCTGTATTCACACGCAAGGATGATTATTATTATTATTATTAATTATGATCATAACAATAATAATCCTTGCAATTGATATGGCGCTTCATTGAGTCGTTAAGACGTCTCCGAGTGCTTCGCAGAATAGATTGTCAAGTAGAGCGACGGGGTTAGGGCTAGCGTGGGCAAAACAACGGCAGCCAATTGCGCACAGCAGTGTCCCACGAACAGTCGTGGATTGAGTGACCGCATTTCTTTTTGCATCAGGGTGGGAGAGCGGGCACTGAGTCATGGAGTGGATACTGTAGTGCGGAGTGGGTGGCAGCTGAGTGGTAGAGTACGGGGGCGGGGAGGGTTGTTGGAAGGTTGGGGGGGGGGGGGGGGAGCGGGTGAAGAGAGGGGGCGCAGGTGCTGAATAGATTTACAGATACTATGAGTTACCAAGAGCATCACTTAATTGGGCACTGAGTGCTGACATTCAGTGACAGTCGTACGGGGCACTGACTGACTAACTAATGCAGTGGGTAGTTTGTAGAAAATCATCCAAACCTTGAATCATTTGAATTGCAGCACGAAAGGAGGGCCTGTGTCATGCTCTCGCCCCACTGGAGCTCTGTATCCGCTCAGCCCACCGGCTTTCTCTTCCCTGTTGTTTCTTTTTTATATTTGGGTTCTTGCATTGTTCACCAAATTGACTTGGCTTCAATAAGTATTCGTTAACAACTGGTTCCGTGAGTGAAACGACGTTCTTGTAACCTCTCTTTCTTTCATTCTCTCTCTCTCTCTCTCTTTATGCCCCGAGTTATAATCTCGAGTTCCTGCCTCGTGCGTCAGCCTGGCACAGTGGTAGCGCTCTCTCTCTCTCTCTCTCTCCTCTCTCTCTCCGTCTCACTCTCTCTGTCTCTCCTGCCTCCGAGTCAGAAAGTTGGGGGTTCAACAGTCGTCCCCCCGTCCCCCCCCACCGTCTTTCGGACCAGACACTAAGCCGAGGTCCGTCTGCCTGTTCAGGTGGATGTTAAAGATCCCCTGGCACTATTCGAAAAGAGGAGGGAGTTGCTTTTGCACTCTATTCCTCTGGAGAGCAAGTCGAGAGCGATTCTAGTTGCTGTAAATATCAATGCCAAGTCGCTGCTCCCCTCTGTTCAACCCTCTCCTCGCGTCATCGCAACACCCTCGAGGGTTGTAAAGTGTTTCGTGACCCTCCAGTGTATCAGTGCAAGGTTGTCTGAGTACGGTGGGAGCAGGGTGGGTGAACGGTAGAACAGTTACAGGAGGTAGATTGAGTAGCAAAGTGGAGACCCACGGCATTAACAACAACAACAACAACAACCACGACAGCAGTGACTTGCATTTACATAGGTCCCTTCATAGGAGCCTCGGAACGCTTAACATCCCCACAGCGCAGCTTAATAAAGTCTTTATTTTTTTGTAAGTGACTTAAGTCGATTCACTTCAACCCCAAAACCTCGGGTGGTGGCAGTCATTTTAAAAACACTTCTAAGTGGCAGTCGAGTGTTTTTTTCTAACGTGTCGAATGTCGTGAGGACCGAATAAATTCTATCCAGGAGCCTGGGTTGTGGTGATGTTCATCAAATGTCAAGGCTATCACACAGCAAGTACGCTATTAACTGTGATTTTTATAAAAACACTCAAACGCAGTGTTGTGGGCTGAGTGCTCAAGTTATTAGAAATCCAATTCCCCTTCTGCCTCCAGTCTTTTAACGTCACTTTTGGTTCCTTTCGAGGGTTTTTTTTTTTCGACAATAAAAAAAGCACTTTACTTTGCTCTCATTTGAAACCGTGCTCTCAGAACAAGCGCACGAACATAATATCTTGATGCATTTATGATTAGTCGTTTTTTTTTTTAAGTGTGTTCTTTTCAGCCTCCCTTGTGCTGTCTGGAGGAGGGCAAATAGCTCATTATAACTCATCGACTGTTGAAAAAGACGGTTTGTGGGGAAAAGCATCAGCTGAAAGGGTTTGGGTTTAGGTCCTTGCTGTTTTTTTTAACAGCTTATTGGTGTCGGCCTGGCTCAGCTGGTAGTAGTCTCTGAGTCAGAAAGTTGTGGGTTCAAACCCCGTGTCAGAACTTTTGAGTTCAGTGCCTAGGCTGGAACAGTGCCCTTCGAATGGGGTGCCATCTTTCCAATGGAGTCCTGAAGCTCAGTAATGCGTTTGATGAGATCAAATCGAATGCATCGTGACGTTGCAGATGTTAGAAGATCTTGGATTATATGTCAATGCACAAAATCTTAGTTTGTTCTACTTCTCTTGCAACTTCCGAGTCAGGAATTGACTCTCTGTGTGCGAGGGTATGTGTGTGTGTGTGTGTGGGGTGGCGGGGGTCTCTCTCTTCCCTCTCTCTCTCTCTCTCTTCTCTCTCTCCCCCCTCACTCTGTGTGTGCGTGTGTTGCGTTGGCTGCCCCTCTTGTTGCCTAGCCATAGATCGGAAGCTATAGTGGCCAAGATGCCTTGTTACTGTGCTGATCTCCTTACTTTAACTTCACAGGATGCGCTCAGACCAGCGCAGCAATGAATCCCGTCAGGCTGTGGAACTTGCCGTGAAAGAGCACAAGGCCGAGATCCTATCCCTGCAGCACGCTCTGAAAGAACAGAAACTCAAGGCGGAGAGCCTTTCTGATACGGTCAGTGTTTGCCTCAGTGCACCAGCAAATTTAATTCCAAAGTCTGCCGAGGTATCTATCACTCTCGTCCTTGCCAGGCTCCACTGGCTCCCTATCATAGGACAGATTGATCTCCAGATTCTCTCACCTGTCTCCAAATCCCTTCATGCTCTGGCACCTCCCAACCTTTCTGACCTCCTCTCTCCCCACTCCACTACCCGCTGCCTCCCCTCGACTGGCTCTGGCCTCCTGCTTGTCCCTCGTCCCCTACGCACTACCATCGGCGGCTGTGCTTTCAGCCACTACGTCCCGAAGCTTTGGAACCCTCTCCCCCAATCCCTCCGCCTTGACCCAAGTTGTTATTGTAGCGAGTACTATACAGACAGCTTATTTTATATATAAAGTGCTAAAGTGATAACTTAATTTGAACACAAAACAATAGTGTGATTGGCTCTGTGACCAGGTAATTGCTTTTTCCATTGCTTTGGGCAACGTTTATCATGTAAAAAAAATTACAGGCACTTCATCATCGAAACAATGGTACTGTTATGCTTGGAGTCTGTCTATCTGGTTTTCTGGGCTGATGGTTCAGTGGAGGTCACATCCCTCATGTGCTTCGTGTCAGGAGGTATATAGTGCAGTGGTACTCATGTCTCAGCCTGGCTCCCTTGGCAGCACTCTGGTCTGGTCTCCGAGTCAGAAGGATACCTGTAGCTCGGTGGTTAGAGCGCCTGGGTGAGAGGACCTGGGTTCAATCCCCGGCCGGGGCGAAACTTTAGGCCCGTTTCCTTACTCCACGCTCCTCTGTTTACCCAGCAGTAAGTAGGAACCCGGTTGTTAATTGATTGGCGGATCGCTTTCCGGGTGTAATAATACCTCCAAAAAATAATAATTTAGTCACTCAATCCATGACTGTTTGTGGGACGCTGCTGTGCGCAGTTGGCTGCCGCGTTTCGCCCACAAAATATACAGTCAATTAACTTCACGGTATATTCTGTGAAACGCTTTGAGACGTCTCGAAGACATGATAAAGCGCTGTATCAAATGCAAAGATTATTGTATCATTATAAGGTTGTAGGATCAAGCCTTCACCAGGGGACTTTGAACTCACAGTCCAACCAGTGCAGAGGGGACCAGAGGTGTTGTCAGAGGTGCCGTCCTTCCAATGTGACGCTTAACCAAGGTCCCGTCTGCCTGTTCAGGTGGACGTTAAAGATCCCATGACTCAGTTCGAAAAGAGCCGAGCGTGTCTTCCTCCCCATGTCCACCCCCAGATAAACTCGGTCCTTCACTTCATGGCTGTTTGTGGGGTACGGCTTGCGTGCAAATTGTCTGCCTCTGCATTCACCTACAAATATAATCACTGCACTTGGCGGTAAAATCCCGTGAAGTGCGTCAGATGTTTTAATGATGGGGTACGGATCTATATCAAATGCAAGGATTATTACTCTGTTGATTATTATTACCTTTATGATTAATAGCTGCTATCCACATTTTAAGAGAGCTTATATTGACAGCTGAGAAATTGGATGCAACCTCAGAAAGGAGACGGTGACAGGAGCGTGGCAGCAAAATACTGCAGTCGTGATGAAGGTGTGATTGGCAATTGTTGACTCAAGCTGAGTGAGAGCTGAATAGGCGAGTGAGAAGCTGTGGGAGTTCATTCGTGATGTAAACTGGGGTCGTCCAAGAAACTGAGCAACAGGATATCTGTATGTGCTGCTGTGGTGTTTGGAATGATACCCACCTTCCCCAAGCTCTCCTGGTTGGATCCCAGTGATTGGTACAAGATTGTGACGCACTTCTCTTCCCACCGCCCCCCCCCACCCTGTTCAGTCTACCTTGCTGTGCCAAGATTGGCTTACGGAGTTTGGGTTCAGCCCCGAAGCTCTGGAACCCTCTCCCTCTATCCCTCCGTCTTGCCCCCTTGCTTCCTTCCCCATCTTCAGGTCGCGCCTGAAGACCTTCCTCTTTGATCGCGCCTCCGGTCACTCCTCCACACCCCCCACCCGGCTCCGCCACTGTCAAGCGCTCCGGGGACGCTATCCTGAGTGAGGGGGATTCAGGTTGCTGTTGGTGAGTTAATGGTCGGGGAGGAAAAGTCCGAATTCCTTTACATGCCCCCTCTTCCCTGAAGCAGGAAGCGTCAATGTATTTAAGAGGAAAAACTTGATGCACATGTGAGGGAGAGGGGAGTAGAGGTACCCGTGTAGGGAAGAGAGGGCTAGGAGGGATGGAGGCTCCTGTGAAGTACAAACACCTGCTCTGTGATATTCTATCTCAATTCCTCTGCACCGCTTGGGAAACCAAGGAAGGAGCTTTCGGTTAAAACATGTTGGTCTGATTGTTTCCAAGCCGATTGCTACGAATATTTCTCGAAGCACAGAGGCCCTTGTTTGGCACGGGAGAAAACACTTGAGTGGTGGTTGGGGTTGGAGGGGTGGAGGGCTGCACCCACAGTCCTATAAATTATAGATGTTTCTGTGTGTCTATTCGTGTCTTGAGCACTGGTGCGACACGCAGGGAAAGAGATTGGAATAATCAGGCCGACGCTAGTGTGTTGTGTTTGTTTCTATTCCCCCTGCGCAGGAGCCTCTCTCCTGCCCTCGTGCCTGGAAGGTGCTGTTCTGGTTTCGCTGTTGGAAGGAAAATAGGATTTTCACAGTTCAATGAATTAAAGTAATTGTCAAGTCCTTGAGCTGAAACATCACCCTGTCACTGAGTCACTGCTGCAGTGTGTTGCTCAGCTCTATTTTGGTCTGTAGACACCCCCGCAAATGCAATTCAGCGTCGCCCACCCCAACCCCTCTCCTCCTCTCTTCCCCCCCACCCACCAAACCCTCTCCTCCTCTCTTCCCCCCCGCACCCTCTCTCCTCCTCTCTTCCCCCCCACCCTCTCTCCTCTCCCCCCTACACCTCAATCCCTCTCCTCTTCCCCACCATACCCCAATCCCTCTCCTCTCTCCCCCACACCCCTTCCCCTATCCTCTCTCCCCCACACCCCTTCCCCTATCCTCTCTCCCCCACACCCCTTCCCCTATCCTCTCTCCCCCACACCCCTTCCCCTATCCTCTTTCCCCCACACCCCTTCCCCTATCCTCTCTCCCCCACACCCCGTCCCCTATCTTCTCCTCCTCCCCCACACCATCTCCTCCCCATCCACTCCCCTCCCCTCGTCAAAAACCCTCTCCTCTCCTTCCCTCCAATCTGAAACCGTCAAAGCAACACATTTTAAATTAAAGCTCTTTCCTTGGTTTCCCAAGCAGATCAGAAGAATTCCACAGAATATTACAGAGTAGAAACAAGCCGTTCAGCACCCCCTCTCCCCCGCCCCCTTCCCCCCCGGAGTGAGGAGAGAGAGCAGCATGATTAAAGCGCTCTCTCTATTTGCTGTGGCGCTGGGTTCAAAACGCCTTCGATTCCCTTCCTTTTCAATGTTTAACATTAACCCATGACTCTGGCTGCTGAGCGGAGAGAGAGGGCCAGGTTGTAGGGTTACAGGGTGTTGCGAAGGTAAAAGAATAAAAGGTGTTGTACATTTTTGGAGCCGGGCAGGGTGGTGGGGGGCGAGCAGAGAGGTTTAACTAGTCCGTGCTGGTGTTTATTCTCCACACTGGCCTCTTCCCTTCTATTTCCATCCGTTCCCATTTCGCTCCTGGATGCATCGAGTTTCCTATCAAATACATTGATTCTTTTCTGCTTCAACCACAGTTTCCGGCCGTGAGTCAGTCCCACGTTCTCACCGCCCTCTGCGCAAAGTGTCTTCTGCCTTTGCCTGTAGAACACAGTCACTCCACTTTACAGTAAAGTCCTGTGAAGTGCTTTGAGATGTCCTGACATGAAAGGCAAATACACTGATGATGATTATTATTATTATTATTATTATTAAGACATAAATGACAAGAGTAATCCTCAGGTTAGTTGAGATGAAATACGTGAATTATTTGACTTATTGCACAAGCATTGCATTGTTTGTAAAATGTTACCTTGACTGTGTTTTTTGAGCTGAAATGCTTTGTCGATTCGATCGGAATCAACGGTATAATTTTCCTGCCTGTTCGTGATAGCCAGACATGCGACAAGCACCCTGTTAATCCGGTTCAGACGCTCGTGTGCGAATGCTTAGCGCGTTATAACGAGTCGCGGAGCACGCTAGCAACACGGCAGAGCGAACTTTGCTATCTGTTTGGGAGCCTCGTTTCTCCAGCGTAGCTATTTAAGTGCTGTACAGCGATCGGATTTCCCCTGTCCTCGGTGATCGCATTCAGATGCCCTGCCACGCTGCACGCTTCTCCTTTTGCGTATCACGCCATTGGGATTGCCGTTAACGGGATTCCTCTTCAGCTTAAGCGAGCGTGACAGATAGGTCCACCTTCATTCACACCCACAGAACAGTCAATGTGTTAGTTATCAAAAGACTGCTAATTTCAATGCACGTGTTAATTAGCCCCATAGGTGTTAATCAGCGCATCACAGTTTTCACCCTGTCTCTCAGAAATTGCTAAGAAGCCAGTTTAATAAGCAGTGTATTTGGGGTACGTTACAGTAAAGTGCTATATAAATGCAAGTTGTTGTTGTTCAGTTACTTAACCCGGAATGCACTGCCTACAAGAGCGGTGGAAGCAGATTCAGGACTAACTTTCCAAAGGGAATTGGATAGATACTTGAAAAAGAACGGTTTGCGGTGCTAATGGGTGGGTGGGGGGGGGGGGGGGGTAAGAGCTGGGCAGTGGGACTTGTTGGGTAGCTCTTTCAAAGAGCCAGCACAGGCACGATGGGCCGAATGGCCTCTTCCTTCTGTGATTCTCTGAATCTAATTTTTTTTTAAAAAATTCCATTTGTTCGAGCGGCGAGATGACTAAGTGTGTCTGGACGGACTTGTTATCGTAGCCCTTAGATTACGGGTGTTTGGTAGTCAAGCGCCAGCAGAGATACCGACCTCAATGGCTATGATCTTGTCTTGTCTGCAGCTGAGCGACCTGGAGAAGAAGCACACCATGCTGGAGATGAACGCTCGCGGCCTTCAGCAGAAACTGGAGACTGAGCGGGAGCTGAAACACCGGCTCCTGGAGGAGGTAGGGCTGCACACAGAGATTGGGCCTTCTTAAAACAAAGGACCTTTTTTTTTTCTTGCTGTCCTGTAGCTCAGTGGTTAGAGCACTCGCCTCGCAAGCGAGAGAACGTGTGTTCGATTTCCGGGCGAAACCTTGGGCAAGTTTATTTACTCCATACGCCTCTGTTTACCTAGCAGTAAGTTGGAGCCCGGTTGTTAGTCGATTGGCGGATCGCTTTTCTGGGGGGGGTGGGGGTAATAATTCCTTCAAAAAAATAAAATTAATAATAATAATTTGGACACTCAGTGTTTGTGGGACGCTGCTGTGCGCAATTTGGCCGCCGCGTTTCGCCCACAAAATATACAGTCAATTCACTTTACAGTGCACTCTGTGAAGCGCTTTGAGACGTCTTGAAGATGTGATAAGGCACTGTAACAAATGCAAGGGTTATTATCCTTGTAAGCGCTCTGAGACGCTGCCCTGCGTGGAGGGCGCTATATAAGTGCAAGTTGTTATTGCGTTACAATTCAATTAATATATCTGTATTAACGCAAGTCTAACCGACATCAGTGTCCAGACACTTGATGGGGTTAATCAAACTGGGGAAGGGAAAAGAGCCTCCCACAATGTGGGGTGGGGGGGGGGAGAGGGGGAAAGAGGTGGATTTCTTTTCAATGATGGTTCTGTTCTATATATTGATCCTTTATTCCCCCCCAACCCCTCCCCCTGGTAAGTCACGGGCTATGATCTAATCTTGTGCAGTCCAACCTTGCTAGTCTTTCTCAGGCACTTGTTCCAAGTGATACAAACAGCAGTCGCTGGGAACACTCAGCAGGTCAGGCAGCATCTATGGAGAGGAAAGTGAGCTCTGACGGAAGATCATCGGCCTGAAACGTTAACTCCCTCTCCCCCCCTCTCTAGATGCTGCTGAGTGACCCCAGCGAGTTCCGTTTTTATTTCAGATTTCCAGCAGTATTTTGCCACTTGTTCTAAGAGAGATGCGTAAGAGTTTCCCACGTGGAATGGGGGGGTGGGTGGTGTATAGGAGGGTGTGGGGGTTCGTGTGGCCTCTTTCTGTGCTATAGTAGCGCCCCGGGATGCTACCCTGTGCGAAGGGCGCTATAGAAAATGAAAGTTGTTGTTGCTGTATTACTCTCTGTAACGATCCATTGGCTTCTCTTTATCTCAGCAAACGAAACTGCAGCAACAGCTGGACATGCACAAGACTCACATCTTCCGGCTGACACAGGGACTGCAGGAAGCTCTGGATCAGGCCGACCTGCTGAAGACCGAGCATAGCGACCTGGAGTACCAGATCGCTAACATGCAGGTGACGGGGAGGGTTGGGTTGAGAAAGAAACAAGTCGATGTCATTTCAGATGTGGTATCCGTTAGATTCATCATCCTGTCTACGATTCAGATCACCCTAAAGTGATTTCCTCTGGTGGTGGTGGGGGGGGAATCCAGAACAAGGGGGGCATCATCTTCAAATTAGAGCCAGGCCATTTAGTAGTGAAATTAGGAGGCAGTTTTTCACCCAAAGGGTAGCGGGCATCTGGAACTCTCTCCCCCAAAAGGCTGTGGATGCTGAATCCATTCACATCTTCAAGACTGAAGTGGATAGATATTTGTTAGATCAGGGGATTAAAGGATACAGGGCAAGGGAGGGGAAATTGGCCTTGAGTACAGATCAGCCAGGTTCTTATAGAATGACGGAACAGGCTCGAGGGGCTGAATGACCTCCTCCTGTTTCTTAGGGGGAAAGTGACTTAATTCAATGGGTTTCTAGCATGCAAACCCATCTCGTAAATCATCTACCCAGTGATCAGGGAGTGGACCGTTAGACGTTGCCGTGCACAAATCGCCGCACTTGCCCACAAAATTACCAGTCACACCACCTTACAGCGTGTCCCATGAAGCGCTCTGAGTGGTCTCTGCGACGTGATCAGGCGCCGTATCAAACGTGAGGACTGTTATTACTAGTGTTGAGATCGACTCCTTTAACCTTCTCTTCTCTCCTACTCCCACGCGCAGATGTTGTTCTCCCACGACAGAGTGAAGATGGAAGGCACCATTGCCCAACAGTGTAAACTGATAGACTTCCTGCAAGCGAAAATGGACCAACCCATCAAAAAGAAGAAGGTGAGAGCGCGGGTTGGGGTCTGGTCTGTCCGGTGTAATCCGGGAGAGGGGTTTCGCCCGCAAAATATACAATCAATTCACTTTGCAGTGTATTCTGTGAAACGTTTTGAGACGTCTCGAAGACGTGACGAGGCGCTGTATCAACTGCAAGGATTATTATTATTATTATCTCACATCCAGGGCTTGTTTGGTCGCCGACGGGAGGACCCGAGCCTCACCGTTCAGGTTCCCGTGCAGTACAACGATCTGAAGATCGCGCTGGATAAGGAGAAATCCCGGAACAGCGAGCTGGAGGAGGCCCTACAGAAAACCCGCGTGGAGCTGAAGTCCGTGCGGGAAGAGGGTGAGGGCCTTGAGCGATCCTGTTTGACACCATCCCCCTCAGGATGTTGTGTATGTGAGGGTGCGCGCGAGGGCGTGCGTGCGTGTGTGTGTGCGCGCGCGCATGAATTGAAGGTTCGGCCGCCAATGGTGGTGTGGAGAGTGCAGGACAGGTGCTCTCAAGACCCTCCTCTTCGACTGCGCCATCAGCCACCCTCCTACCCTTACCCTCCCTGCCCTCCACCTCCCCTCCCGATCCTAACCTCCAGCTTAGGTCCAAATTCCTGACTGTCCATTTGCCTTGGGATGTCCTCCCGACGTGAAAGTACAAATATGATTTGTCGTGTGGGGGTGTGGGGGTTATGATCCTCAGGAAAACCTGTGCCATTTTAACCCTTTCTGACCTGTGTTTCTTGTAGCCGCTCACCTGAAGACAGTGGACCACCAGCCCCAGTCAACACCGGCCACAGCCAGACACCAGATCCTCATGTCTGCCATCGTCAGGTCCCCCGAACACCAGCCCAACCCCAGCACTCTGCTCGCTGCACCCTCCAACCACAGGAAGGAATCCAACAATCCTGAGGGTAACGAGAGAGAGAGAGGGGGGGTGTTTGTGGGTGAGGGTGAGTGCGTGTATGTGTGTGTGAGGATGTTTGTTTGAGAGGGTGTATGTGTGTGAGGGTGTGTGTGTGTGGCTGAGGTGTGTGCGTGTTTGCGGGGGATGCGTGTGTGAGGGTATTCGTGCGTGTTTGTGAGGGTGTGTGTCTGACAGGGTGTGTGTGTGTGTTTGCGAGGGTGTGTGTGTGTTTGCGAGGGTGTGTGTGTGTGTTTGCGAAGGTGTGTGTGTTTGCGAGGGTGTGTGTGTGTTTGCGAGGGTGTGTGTGTGTGTTTGCGAAGGTGTGTGTGTTTGCGAAGGTGTGTGTGTTTGCGAAGGTGTGTGTGTGTTTGCGAGGGTGTGTGTGTGTGTTTGCGAAGGTGTGTGTGTGTTTGCGAAGGTGTGTGTGTGTTTGCGAAGGTGTGTGTGTGTTTGCGAGGGTGTGTGTGTGTTTGCGAAGGTGTGTGTGTTTGCGAAGGTGTGTGTTTGCGAGGGTGTGTGTGTGTGTTTGCGAGGGTGTGTGTGTGGTGTGTGGGTGTTTGCGAGGGTGTAAGCGCGTGTTTGCGAGGGTGTGCGCGTGTGTTTGTGAGGGTGTGCGCGCGTGTGTTTGCGAGGGGGCGTGCGCGTGTGTGTTTGCGAGGGTGTGTGCGCACGTGTGTTTGCGAGGGTGTGTGTGCGCGCGTGTTTGCGAGGGTGTGTGTGCGCGCGTGTTTGCGAGGGTGTGTGCGCGTGTTTGCGAGGGTGTGCGCGTGTGTTTGCAGGGTGTGCGCGCGTGTGTTTGCAGGGTGTGCGCGTGTGTGTTTGCGAGGGGGCGTGCGCGTGTGTGTTTGCGAGGGTATGTGCGCACGTGTGTTTGCGAGGGTGTGTGCGCACGTGTGTTTGCGAGGGTGTGTGCGCACGTGTGTTTGCGAGGGTGTGTGCGCACGTGTGTTTGCGAGGGTGTGTGCGCACGTGTGTTTGCGAGGGTGTGCGCGCGTGTGTTTGCGAGGGTGTGTGTGCGCGTGTGTTTGCGAGGGGGTGTGCGCGTGTGTGTTTGCGAGGGGGCGTGCGCGTGTGTGTTTGCGAGGGTGTGTGCGCGTGTTTGCGAGGGTGTGTGCGCACGTGTGTTTGCGAGGGTGTGTGTGCGCGTGTGTTTGCGAGGGTGTGTGTGCGCGTGTGCGTGCGAGTGTGTTTGCGAGGGTGTGTGTGCGCGTGTGTTTGCGAGGGGGTGTGCGTGTGTGTGTGTATTGAAGGTTTGGCCACCAATGGTGTGTGGAGAGTGCAGGGAAGGTACAGTAAGGCTGAGTTAGCTGATGGTGGGTGGAGATGGAAGAGTGGGGTTAGCAGAGGGGTGGGGGTCCCGGGGAATGGACTGAGGGCAGGTGATGTCGACGACCTGGAGCTGGCAGGACGTTCAGCGGGCGGGGGCTGGAATCCCTCGCGTTTCTTAAGACTTAAAGCCGTTGTCTGAGCATTTTAAAGAGCGCCCAGGAGCGTCGAGAAGCAGCTTTCAGTTCTGCCTTCATCCGGAAGACCAATTTTCCGCACCGTTGGCAAAGAACTGCGAAGAAAAAGAATTTTGCCCGCGGAATAAGCGGTCAATCAATCCACCTTACAGTACGTTCTACTCTATCGGAGTCCCGTAGTGTAGCCGTTCCAAGTTTAAAGCAGAGCTCAAGACCGTTTTGAAATCCCTGCGCGGTCCTGGAGTGCAAAATATGTTTGTGAGCCTGAGAACATGGGGAATTTCACGCTTGCGCCTCTCAAGCAGCAGATGGGGGTGTTGGCCTGGCGGGGGTGGGCGCATGTGTGTGTGTGTGTGTGTGTGTGGAAGGAGGAGAATGGCGTGTGAGATGTCAGCAGGGTCTGCGGAAAATACACGTGACAAAACACTGTTTAGAGATGGTCATAAATGTTTCTCCTGTTCTTGTGGAGTCCTGGAGCTCAGTGGTTAGAGCACTCGCCTCGCAAGCGAGGTGAACCGGGTTTGATTCCCGGGCGGGGTGAAACCTTAGGCAAGTTTCCTTACTCCACACGCCTCTGTTTACCCCGGCAGTCAGTAGGAACCCGGTTGGAAGTCGATCGGCGGGTCGCTTTCGGGGGTAATAATCCCTTCAACAACAAAACGTTCAGTTACTCAATCAAAGTACACAGTCACTCCGCTTGACAGTATACCCAGCGAAGCGCTTTGAGACGTCTCAACAACATGATAAGACGCTGTATCAAATGCAAAGGATTATTATTTTTATTATTATTTTCCTTCCACCAGAATTTGGCCGGCAGCTGAAGGAACGCATGCACCATAATATCCCTCATCGTTTCACGGTCGGGCTGAACATGAGGGCCACCAAATGTGCCGTCTGCCTGGATACGGTGCACTTCGGGCGACAAGCGGCCAAATGTGCAGGTCAGGGAGTCAGTGCTGTCAGGGTATGCTCTTAAAGGGACAGGGCCCCAAGAGAGCCCTACCTTTTATTGCTGGCTCAGTCGGTAGGGCTCTCGTCTCCCGAAAGTCAGGCCGTAGTCCAGGCTGCCGTTCTGATGTAGTGCTGTGGGGGAAGTTACTGCATCGCCGGAGGTGCCGTTCTTCGGACGAGACGTTAAAGTGAGGTCCCGTCTGCCTGTTCAGGTGGACGTTAAAGATCCCATAGCGCTGTTTGAGAAGGGAAGAGAGTTCTCCCTCCACCCCCTCCCCGTCCTGGCCAACTCAGTTCAAGTAGGTTATTAACCCGGTGGCTTTTTGTGGGAGAATTCTGGCCACAAATCGGCTGCCGTGTTCAAGTACATAACACACAGTGGCGGCGCTTTTACGGTAAATCCTGTGAATGGCTTTGAGTCTTCTCCCAACGTGAAAGGCGCTACATCAAATGCAAGGGGTTATTATTGCACCAAACTGTTCCGACAAATGTTTAAGGAATCTACCCAAGGCCTTAGGACGTTTTACTTCTTGGGAAGTAACATGGTTAGAATTGGAGAAGTTTATCTAGTGACTAAACTGGGTTATAATCCAGAGAGAGAGGGAGGGAGGGAGGATATTGTCAGCCGAGACGAGAATAGGAATTTTAATTGCTGGTCAGACGTATTAATCACCGTATAAATGTATCAGGGAAGTTTTTGTGAGATAAATGTTAGAAGGTTAGAAGTAAAAACAGAAGTCGCTGGGAACAGTCGGCAGGAACGTCTACGGAGAGAGAGGAAAATGAGGCAACGTTTCCGGTCGATGACTTACGTCAGAACTCTTTACGTAAGGTCATCGACCCGAAGAGTTCACTGACTCTCCTCTCTCCATAGATGCTGCCTGACCTGCTGAGCGCTCCCGGCGACTTGTTTTTATTTCAGATTTCCAGCGGTACATCTGCAGCATTTTGCCTTTTGTTAAGAGTTTTAGACGTGCTGGGCAGAGTGCAGGAAAGGCAAGCGTGTATTTAAATCTGCCCTCGTGCCCTGGGTCGAACCTGATGGGTGTTCCAGTAAACACAAGACAGAGAAATAGCTTGCAATTATATAGCGCCCTTCACAAACCTTGGGACCCCGACCTAGTATTGAGACGTCCTCCTGACGTGAGAGGCGTTGTGTAAATGTGAACTCCAGTAAAACTTGCACAAGTTTGATCGGCCTAAAATCATACAGTCGCCTCGGTCGTATATCTTACCCAAACCCAGTTCAAGAGTTTATATTCTATTCAAGTTTGACGTAACTCATACTTTGGATAAATCACACAGAATCATAGAATATTACAGCGCAGAAGGAGGCCATTCGGCCCATCGTGCCTGTGCCAGGCTGCTCGCGTATAACGTGTGTTTTCCCAACTGACAGGACTTATGTGAGGTTTACTGTATAATTGTGTTGATGGCCATCGTACCCTCATTACACAGTGTGGATTTGTTTTGCCCAGAATGCCAAGTGACGTGCCATCCCAAATGCTCCTCCTGCCAACCAGCCACCTGCGGGCTCCCCCAGGAATACGCCACCCACTTCACCAAAGCTTTCTGCCGGGACAAAATGAACTCTCCCGCCTTGCAGATGAAGGACCCGGGAGTGAGTGTGCGACTGGAGGGGTGGATGAAGGTTCCCAGGTGAATATTGTTTGGTGCATCAGCACCTCGAACGCGTCTGAGTCGATTGAGATGTTTTAAAGGGCGTTTGGCCCACACAATATACAGTCAATTGTCTTTACAGTTTAGTAGTACTTTGAGGCATCCTGAAGCATGTTGGTTGGAGCACTCGCCTCGCAAGCGAGAGGACCCGGGTTCGATTCCCAGGCAGGATGAGTTTCTTTACTCCACACGCCTCTGTTTACCTAGCATTAAGTAGATTGACGGATCGCTTTCCGGGGGTAATAATCCCTTTAAAAAAAATAATAATCATAATAATTTAGTCACTCAATTCACGACTGTTTGTAGGCCACTGCTGCGTGCAATTGGCTGCCAGTTTCGCCCTGAAAATAAAGTCAATTAATTCACTTGACGATATCTTTTGTGAAGCGCATTGAGACGTCTCAACGACTTGGATAAGGCGCTATACCAAATGCAAAGATTTTTGTTATTGTCACACGGGAGCCCTATCCAGATCTTCAGCCGCCTCTGAGTGAAAGCAGTTCTTCCTCGCGTCCGGCCTCAAGTGTTGATTCCAGTCTGAAGGAGGCGACCTACAGTTCTGGAAACCCTCGTTGACCGCGAAAACATTGTCGATTGCCGTTTCGTCAGTCCCACCCAAAAGATTTCATTGAGATCACCCCTCACTCTCTCCACTCCAATAATAACCAGCCAAATTCCTGGCTGTCGCGTTTTACCCACAAAATGCACAGTCACTCCACTTTACAGTATATTCTGCGAAACGCTTTGAGACGTCTCGAAGACGTGATAAGGCGCTAAATCAAATGCAAGGATTATTATTATTATCGTCTAATGCAAAGATGCTGATTATTTTTGTGACTTCCTTCCCCAATTTTCCTTTCCCCATGACTGGGAGATGGTTAACGTTAAGAATTTACTGCTGATCTGTTTCGAAACCCACTGAAAAATATCCCTTCGATCTCGGCGAGGCTTTGAAACGCCGAGATGAGGTTCTATTTCTGTACCTGAACGTCCAGCCTTGGTATCAGCCGGTTTGTTTAGATCGCATTATCCGTCCCTTTTCAAAAATTCAGCAATTCTACTGCAGAGCGAATTCGATCAATTATTTAAGGGGATTTTTTTTTATTATTATTTATTTCGAGCTGCTCACATCAGGAAATTTATTTATAGCGAGAAGTTACGAGAGTCGATTTACCACATCGCTCGCTCTTCAGCTCTTCTATGGCCCGTCGCCAACCGATGACTTTGTGCCCCCCACCCCTCAAACCGCACAGGCCCGCCCGCCCACTCCCGGCCTGCTTCACATCCCCCCCCCCCCACCCCACCGCATCGTTGGTGGTGGGGCTCTCAGTCTTTCTGCCCCCACTTTATGCAGGGGTCTGCCCGACCTTCTTCTCCCCCCACCCTCATCTCGTTCAAGGCCTACCTCTTCGACCACGCTTTCGTTCGTCAATTGGCTGTCCACCCAATGCACAGTCACTACATTTTACAACAACAACAACAAAAAGATTACATTTGTATAGCTCCTTTCACGTCAGGAGGACGTCCCAAGGCGCTGGACAGAGAACAGCATTTCAGATCCGAGCTGGGGTTGGGGGGGGGAAAGGGAGGGGAGGGGAAGGGGGGTGGCCGATGGCATGGTCGAAGAGGAGGGTCTTGAGGCGGGATGGAATTCCAGAGATTGGGGGCAGAATGGCTGAAGGCTCTCCGCCAATGGTGGGGTGGGTGGGTCGGGGGATGTGGACCAGGCCAGAGCCGGCTGAGCGGAGGGAGCGGGCGGGTTGGTAGGGGGTTAGGAGATTGCAGAGGTAGGGTGGGGTGAGGCCATGGAGGGCTTTGTAGGTGAGGACCAGGATTTTGAACTGGATCCTCTGAAGGATAGGGAGCCAGTGGAGTCGGGCGAGAGTGGGGGAAATGGGGTCACCGAGTTTGGTGCGGGAGAGGACACGGGCTGCAGAGTTCTGGATTATCTGCAGCTGTGGAGGGAGGAGTTGGGAAGGCCGACACGCAGGGCGTTTGCATAGTCGAGCCTGGAGGTGATGAAGAGTTTCAGTGGCCTGAGGGGTGAGGTAGTGGCCGAGTCGGGCGATGTTACGGAGATGAGGGAAGGCAGAGAGGGTAATGGCTTGAATGTGGGGGAGAAAAGACAGTTGAGGGTCGAACAAGACAACTCGGTTCCTGACTGGCGGTGAGTTGAAGTGTGCAACCGTGGAGGTTGATGCTGCCAGAGCCTGAGGTGCAGAGGCGCTGGCGCGAGCAATCAGGAGGGCCTCAGTCCTGTTCATATTCAACTGTAGGAAATTTGCCCTCATCCAGGACCTGATGTCCGACAGATTCTGTGAAGTGCTTTGAGGCGTCTTGAAGACACGATAAGGCGCCATATCAAATGCAAGGATTATTACCTTGCCCATCCCCTCCCCACCCCCCACCATCACCCTCGATTCTCACCTCCAGCTAGGAAGCCAGGATTGTGAAAACACCTTGGGATGTCCTTCTGACGTGAAAGGCGCTGTGTAATTGTATTGTGAAGTCTCGGACATGGAGAACACTCCTAGCCTTGCTGGGAACCATTGGCCAAGAGATAACCGGCAAAGGCTAATGTCTTACATATCCGTTTTGTTCTGTCTGAGCACGCAGAGCTAGTGAGCTGTGTTAAAACTACACCCTCTACTGCCTTGAGCTCTCGCCACAGGCTTTCTCCCCTGAAACTTCGAGCCCCACTATACGTGGCCAAATCCACTAAGGTGCCACATCGCTGTGTTTTCCTGAGGGTCGTATTGACTGTTATTGCCGCGGGTTGTGCTTCTCGATCGGTGGCCTTGCCTCAGGAGGTCCAAGTAATAATAATCCCTTCAAAAAAAATAATAATAATAAATCGGTCACTCAACCCACGACTGTGTGCGGGGACGCTGCTGTGCGCAATTGGCTGTTGCGTTTCGCCCCCAAAATATTCAGTCGAGTCACTTTACGGTATATTCTGTGAAGCGCTTTGAGACGTCTCGAAGACGTGATAATAATAATAATAATCCTTGCATTTGATATAGCGCTTTTCACGTCGGGAGGACCTCCCAAAGCGCTTCACAGAACACACTGTAAAGTGAATTGACTGTATAATTGTGGGTGAACGCGGCGGCCAATTGCGCACAGCAATGTCCCACAAACAGTCGTGGATTGAAAATGACCAATTTATTATTGTTTTTGTTTTTGGAGGGATTATTATTAGGCTCTGTGTGGAGTAAGGAAACTTGCCCAAGGTTTCGCCCTCTGCCTGGAATTGAACTCAGGTCTCTCGCTTGCAAAGCGAGTGCTCTAACCACTGAGCTACAGGACTCCATGAGGCGCTATATCAAAATGCAAGGATTATTGTTATTCCTTAGGCTATTTGTTCTAATCGTGGCCTGTTGTTGGGTGCTGGAAAGGTGTCCAAGCATCATCCTCCCTCCCTGACCTCCGCCCCTCCCCTCCCGATCCAACCCCCAGCTCGGGTCCAAATCCCTGACTGCCCAGCGCCTTGGGAGACGTCCTCCCAATGTGAAAGGCTTCGGTGTAAATGCAATTTGTTGCTGTTGTTGTTGACGTCGCTCTCTCTCTCTCCGTCAGGAACGGGAAACGAGGCCAGCAAGGGTGGGAGCGGAAATATATCGTGCTGGAGGGATCAAAGATTCTTCTTTTTGAGAACGATTCGAAAGATGGTAAGTTTGTTGATTTCTGAGCTGCTGAGAATTCATCTCGAGTCTCGAGTAGTTTCTGCACCACTTGGGTTTCCGTAAACAAAATCTTTTACCCCCCCCTTCAGGTCTTACTGAGGCTATCTCTGCAACGCAGAATTTCACTGGGACGGGCTGCGCATGTGAAGTAACTGTTATATGGAATTTGAAGCGCCCACATTGCATGAACAGAGATAAAGATAATGCATATGTTATAATTATTTATTTCGCAAGCGAGAGGACCTGAGTTCGATTCCCGGGCAAGCTGAAACCTTAGACGAGTCTCTTTGTTCCACGCGCCTCTGTTTACCCAGCAGTAAGGGGGATCCTGGTTGGTAGTCGATTTGGATCACTTTCTGGAGGTATTAATCGCGCCCAAAAAAAAAAAATGTAGTCGCTCAATCAACGACTGTGGGACTCTGCTGTGCGCAATTGGCTGCCGCGTTTCACCCACAAAATACACAAGTCAGTCCACTTTACAGTGTATCCTGTGAAGCGCTTTGAGACGTCTCAACGACTTGATAAGGTGCTATATCAAATGTAAGTCTTATTATTTATATTGTAAAACAATAGACATAATGTATTAAATTATAAATATTGCAGAGAAGCTGAGAACAAGATTCTTAAAGTCGATTTGTGGGGCTGCAGTATGTCCAGGGCGTTTATCTTAATGAAAGTGATTGTTGTAAGTGCATCGCAAATAGTTCCTGTTAAATGTTTGTAGGTGAACGCAGCAGTAGTCAGTTTATGCACAGCAGGTGCCCCACAAACATTGTGATACACAGTCACTACACTTCACAGTGAGGCACTTTGATACATCCTTCTGACATGAAAGGATATCAAATGCAGAGATTATTAGTATCATGTGGAGGATTCTTGGCCAGGACATCAGGATAGACTGCTCTTCTCTTGTCAAATAGTGTCATGGCATCTTTATCAGCCACGTGCACACAGCCAGACTTTGATCTAACGTAACATTTAACCTCTGACGAGGCAGATCTTTCCCCCATAACTGCACTGGAGCGTAGGGCTGTTTTCTCAATAATAATAATAATAATCATAATCTTTGCATTTGATATAGCTTTGGGACGTCCTCCCGACGTGAAAAGCGCTATATCAAATGCAAGGATTATTATTATTATAGCGCCTTATCACATCTTCGAGACGTCTCAAAGCGCTTCACAGGGTATACCGTAAAGTGAATTGACTGTATATTTTGTGGGAGAAACGCAGCAGCCAATTGCGGACAGCAGCGTCCCCACAAACAGTTGGGGATAGAAGTGACCAATTTATTATTATTATTTTTCTTGGAGGCTTATTATCAAGCGTGTGGAGTAAGGAAACTTGCCCAAGGTTTCGCCCTGACCTGCCGGGAATCGAACCCGGGTCTCTCGCTTGCAAGGCTCTGTGGCTCTAACCACTGAGCTACAGGACTCCATTAGGACTCCGACAGTGAACACTGGTTGTACTGTGTGCAGTGATGCTCCTTTCTCTTTTCCTTCCTCTCGACAGGCCAGCGGCCGGTGGATGAGTTTGAGCTGTGCCAGCCCGATGGAGTTGTGAGCATTCACGGAGCCGTTGGAGCTTCTGAACTCGTAAACACCGCGAAGACGGGTGAGGGACGTGTGCAAGGATCATGCGCGTGTTGCGTGTTTGGAGCGCGGCGTGCAATCTGTTAGTAAGACATTGCTGTGTGCGTGCGTCCATTGGCCCACAAAATACACGCAGCCACATCACTTTACAGTGTATCCTGTGAAGCGCTTTGAGACGACTCGACGACGTTATTTGACGGGTAGGTCGCGTGTGCGCTGGATGTTCAGCCGTTTCCCTTTCTCCGCAGACGTGCCTTACGTGTTGAAGTTAGAATCCCAGCCGCACACCACCTGCTGGCCCGGTCAGACCCTCTATTTGCTCGCTCCAAGCTTCCCAGACAAACAGCGTTGGGTCAACGTACTGGAGTCGATCGTGGGTTGCGGGAGGATCTCGAGCGACAAAGCAGAGGCGGCTTCCGTAAGTTACTCGCGCGGAACTTGCCCGTGACTTCATCCATTGTGGGGTTGACGTCCTGTGGGTTTTTACGCTTGTGCTGTGATACGGTTTCCCCTCTTTCGTTTGCCATGAGAGCAGTCGATGCGTGTAACTGAGCGTGTGGTCCTGTGAGCGTGCAATGATACCTGTGTCACTGTGTGTGATAGGCTGAAGGGGCCCTTCAGACCGAAGACGAACTTACCCAATATGCCCAGGTAAAACCTTTGCACACTCCTTCCCGCTTCTGCTTGGGGCTGCCCCCCATTGTCGCAGAGCATGTCGTGCATTTCCAGCTTCCCGCTGTTTGTGGTTCCGACCGACTGACCAAGCCGGCGTTCTCCCTGTCGGCAGTGACTGGGAGCTCTCACGCTTTCCTGTTTCGCAGGCCTTTCTGTAATAGGTCTCGTGTTCAGTGTTTGTGCCACCTGTTTTACCACTGTTAGCTCAGCTGCACACACACACACACACACAACACACATGTTTCCTCTAAGCTAACCTGCAAAGTGTGTCCGTAGAGACGATAGAGAGAAGCGTGGGGAACCACCTCTTTGTGGGACGCACCTCGCCTGCTCCCTTGCATGCTTCGATCTGTACGCATCAGGCTGCATGCACAGCTTCCCCGGGCAACCCCGCAGTTTCACGCCGTCCATTGTGCTTTCCGAGGGCAGGGTTCAAGACGGTCTCTGCGTTCGCTCTCTCCCCGCGGGAGGAGGAGATGCCGTGGGAAACATCCCTTGGCCGATACACTTTGACCCGAAAGGGCATGATTCTGCAGACACACCACAAAGCCACGTGTTGTTCCTTTGGCTGCACTGAATGATCACAGGCTTTAAAGCACCCCCAACTCTGTTCTGCTGGGGGTAAGGAAAAGGGGGTGACAAGAGACACTGCCCCCCCCTCCCCCCCACACACACACTCACCACACGCCCCCCAAAAAACTAGAAGTCATCCCAAAGTAGAGATGGATTGCTGAATAATCCTGCCACGCTAGTACCCAGCACCTCATCAGTCTAAGGGAAGGGGCGTGTGGTGCTGTAGGCTATTACGACCAGATAGCGACTGAATAATGTTGAACGGTTGAAACAGGAATTCTCTGACTGGGAGCTGTGTTGAACTCGCCTCACGTGTGTGTTGGCAGGAACCCTTGGAGCCCAAAGTGCGGACTTGGGGTTTTCTAACGCAGCGCTTTCACATTTCACACAAAGTGCTTGTAAGATGAAGGGACTATGAACCATTGCTTGATACTATCTGACTGCAACTTAACCTAAACTCTGTAGGTTCCTGTCTCTTGTCATCATTCAGCATCCTATCCTTGTCTCCGAGCTGGCTTATTGTCTCAATGCAAGAGTGACTCAAGAGGAAGAGAATCTCTGCCTAAAGTCAGAAGCTCAGTTTCCAGGTCTGTTTGTGGACGGCTTCTGCTCATCTGTGTGTAGGATGTCTGTATGTGTGTTTGAGAGCAGCCTCGGTGTTCTCTCTCATGTCTTGTTGTTTCTCTTTTTTTTTTAGCTTTCTCTCACAAACACACACCCTCCACTCCCCCCTTTATTTTCCTTGTTGTATGTAAAAGAAAGTTCATTTTTCCCCCCTATAAATTGTAGGAATTTCCATAGATCTGGGAACGCCCGAGTGTTTTGTTTGGCGTGCGGGCCACAGGCGGTTAAATGGTGCGACTTGTTTTAATTTCTGCAGAAGTTACTGGGAAACTCACTGTTGAAGCTGGAGGGAGACGACCGATTAGATATAAACTGCACCATGCCACTCACTGAGCAGGTATGTTGGCAAGAAGTGCGATACCAGGCTGCTTTCTGCGGGTAGTGCATGGTACGGTGTTCGTGGAGTCCTGTAGCTCAGTGGTTAGAGCGCTCGACTCACAAGCGATAGGATCTGGGTTCGATTCCCGGGCCGGGCGTAAGGTTAGGCAAGTTTCCTTACTCCACACACATGCCTCTGTTTACCAGCAGTAAGTAGGAACCCAGTTGTTAGTCGATGGACGGTTCGCTTTTCCAGGGGTAATAATCCCTTCAAAATAAAGAAATAATTTGGGCCCTCAATTCACGGCTGTTTGTGGGACGCTGCTGTGCGCAATTGGCTGCCGTGTTTCGCCCACAAAATATACAGTGAATTCACTTTATAGTACATTCTGTGAAGCGCTTTGAGATGTCTCAAAGACATGATAAGGTGCCATATCAAACGCAAGGATTATTATTATTATTATATGCTGGTAGCTGGAGAGTGTGGAATGGACTTGCAACCAATGGTTCTTGCTTTTCAGAGCAAAACATTTACACTGGATCTTAGGGTCTCTCAGTCGTGAACCACTGCAATGCTTACAGTACCTCCGTAGGGTACAGTTGTACTGTTATACTTTTACTCGGTCAGGGCCATCCTGGCTAACAATCTTCTCAAATAATATTGGTCTCTTTCATTGGTTAATTGCAAATTGGCTGCCCCGTTCAACTACAAAACCTAGTCACTACACTTTACAGTAGATCCCATGAAGTGTTTTGTGACAGCCTGCCATCATGAAAGACTCTGTAGTTAAGTGCACAGATTATAACAATGCATGTATCTAACTAATTACAGGAAGTTATGAGGGTATCTTTAGTTTACAGTATCACCATCTCATGCATTGTGTTATTATTACTGTGCGTCTCCACAGATTGTGCTGGTCGGGTCGGAGGAAGGTTTATATTCGCTGAACGTGGTTAAGAATTCCCTGGTGCACATTCCTGGCGTGGGCTCAGTGTTCCAGCTTCATGTCATGAAGGAGCTCGATCGACTTGTCATGATAGCAGGTAGTTAGACATGTGCCTTGTTGTGTCAGCTCAGGGCAGGCATCGCTTCAGAGGCATCGTCTCACAGTTGCAATTCCTTATCTGCAAAAACACTACTTCACTGAGCGAGTAATAAATGTACGGAACAGGCTCCCGAGGGAGACGGTGGAAGCAGAAAGGGTTGATTCTTTCAAGAACATGTTAGATAGATTTCTGTTAGGAAATAATATCTCAGGGACACAGTATATAGTTTGGGGCATGACAAGTGCAAATAACTGCCAGGATGGTGGAAGGCCAAATGGATGGACCTTGGTCTTCTTTTGCCTCGCAAATTCTTATTTCTTACGCTCTTACTTATTGCCGGAGATTAAGGAATGGAATGCCTTTAGTTTTACCTCTAAACCTCTCAAATCAAACTTCCCAGAACTTTCAGTCCTGTTAGATTGCCGTGGGGCTGACACCTACAGTCAGACGTAAATGCTAAAGGGTTTAAAAGGCTGCGTTTTTTTTCTCGTTCGTTGACTCGAGCCTGTGAAGGAGAATAGCAAGTGAATACACGAGGGATACAGGGAATGATCAATGCTCAGGCATTGGGTAATGTGCTTTCTCTAAGTAAGATCCTGGGCTGGGCGAAACCTGAGGCAAGTTTCCTTACTCCACACTCGTGTGTCTTTATCCCTAGCAGTAAATAGGAACCCACTTGTTAGTCGATTGGTGGATCACTTTCTGCGGGTAATAATCCCTTCAAAAAAAATAATAATTTGGTCACTCAATCCACAACTGTTTGTGGGACACAGCTGCGCGCAATTGGCTGCCGCGTTTTACCCACAAAACACACAGTCACTACACTTTACAGTATATCCTGTGAAAGGCTTTGAGACGTCTCGAAGACGTGATAACGCAGTACCATGCCTCTGGCAAATGAAGGGTATGTTAACACCACCACCAACACAGGAATGGAAATGAGACCATTGTAGGCTATTTGTCCAAACCCCGGCAGCATTTAGGCCGTATTGTTAACGCTGGTAGGAAGAGAGATTTTCTTTTAAACTCGGAGGGTAAACAACAGCTGCAAATTGATTATGGGGACACGCAACCTTGTTCTAGCGGAGTAATGGGACACAGTCGTGTGGTAAGCAGGAGATTGTCAATGAAGATTAATTAATTCAATCTACTTTTATCATGACTGACTCATTGCATGACGTTTCCTACTCACTGCTTTTCTATCCTACTCCTGGTTTCCTACATCCTGCTAAAGAGAGCACAAAAATACCCTTAACAATTGATTTGAGTTTAGTCCTGTTTTATTCAGCGGCTTTGTACGACAAGCCCTGACTGGGGGGCTGGAATAAGGGGTAATATGATGGCACGACTTACTGAAAGAAAAGGCCCTTTACTTAGAGGGAGAGAGGAAGCCAAAACTGGCTTGGACTTGGACAGTCCGCCCACTGTTAAGCGCTCTGAGACACTACCCTGTGTGGGGGGGCGCTATATAGGTGCAAGTTGTTGGTGGTGGTTCTGGTGTAAAGGAAGCGGGTTTGCAGAGAGAGAAAGAGAGACGCACGCATTCGTTCCCTACGCATTCATTCCCTGAATCCCTTCGCCTTGGCCAACCCAACCCCCCCCCCACTCTCTCTCCCCGTTTTCAGGTCGCGCTTGAAGACCTTCCTCTTCCAACGTGCCTACGGTTTCCTTCCCCCTCCCGCTGGCTCAGCATCAGGCTCCGTCACTATTCAGACTCTCGTGAGGGGCGCTCTATAAACAGTTGTTGTTGCTGCTGCCGCCTGTGTACGCTGAGCGTGGCTGTGTTGCTCCCAACTGCTCGTGGTGAAATCCATGCAGCAACTCGTGGCATTTCAGCTCATTTAATCCAATATTTCAATTGAAAGATGCCGTGACTCCAAGCCTTGATTCCTTATAAGGCTGCTGTCATCTTTGATTATTTCGCCCGCAAAGTACACAGTCACTACGCTTTACAATCTATCCCGTGAAGCGCTTCGAGATGTCTTGGACACACGATAAGGCGCTATATATCAAATGCAAGGATTATTATTATTATTTTGCGATTCCGATACCCAGTGCCCGAGGAACATAGGAACAGGAGGAGGCCATTCAGCCCCTCAAGCCTGTTCCGGCATTCTATTAGATCGTGGCTGATCTGTACCTCAATTCCAATTACCCGCCTTTGCCCCACACCCTTGATACCCTGACTTCACAAACATCTATCCACCTCAGTCTTGAAAATCTGAATGGTTCCAGCGTCCACAGCCTTTTGCGGGAGAGAGTTCTAGATTCCCACTACCCTTTGCCCAGCTGAGGACCTTTCTTTTTGGCCGTGTTTTTCATCACCTTTCCTGCTCCTCCTCCTTGACAGTGTACGTCCTGCGAAGGGCTTTGAGACGTCTCGAAGACGCGATGAGGCGCTACGTTCAAGGGTTATTGTGCGAAATAGTTGCCGTGAAAACATTGAACGGGGAAGGGTTTGGTGACGGGTTTGTTCCGGTGTTCTGTCCTGGCAGGAGAGGAGCGATCCCTGTGCCTGGTGGAGATTAAGAAGGTGAAGCAGTCGTTAGCTCAGTCCCATCTGCCAGCCCAGCCAGAGGTGGCACCCACTGTGTTTGACAGCTTGAAAGGATGCCACCTATTCGCAGCAGGCAAGGTGAGAATCACTGCTGTGCCCTCAGCGCTGGCACCTCGTCCGTGTGTAACCCACACGGGCCTGGTCCCTGGTGTCAACCTGCAAACAGATCGACAACTCAATGAGGGTATTTACTGCCGTGCACAATTGACTGCCGCGTTTCGCCCACAAAAATACAGTGTAAATTCACCTTACGCATTGCAGTGTATCCTGTGAAGCACTTTGAGACTTCTCGAAGGCGTGATAAGGCGCTATATCAATCGCAGGGGTTGTAAGAATTCTTATTTATTATCAAATAGTTTTCCGAAACCTTGGAACCACTGAAACTTGAGAGATCAGTTGAAGGCTGTTCGCCTCGACGTATCTGCTGGCTGGCACTTTGCAAGAACAATCCATTCAGTCCCAGTCACGTGCCTTTTCCTCCCAAACTCCCGCAAATGTTTCCTCTTGTTTAAGCATTATCCGTCTAGTTCCCACTCGAATAATATAATAATACTTTACAATATAAATGCCCCGCAAAGCGCTTTGAGACGTTTCAACGAGGTGATAAGGCGCTAGTATCAAATGCAAGGATTATTATTGTCAATATTATTGAAAACCAAGAAGGAATCTGCCTCGATCACCGTACCAACAAGGCATTCCACACCCTAACAACTCGCTGTGTTATAGATACTTTTTTAAAAATGACTCCACCGACATGATGTGACTTTGGAAAAGTTACGAGAATGAAGGCATTAAACCAAACGTGGGTCAGTGAGCAGATCTGATGATCAGGTGACACAGGCAGAAACCCATCACCAGAGTTGAGTCTCCAAACCACATCCCAGTCACTTCCACCCACCAGTATCCAGTGTCAGGAGGTGCATCGTACTTCCCGAATACTTGAGAGCTTAGGCAGGAACCAAGGCTCACTGGGGTACGCCCCCACCCTCTGCCCCCACCCTCTGGAACTCAATCCCGCAATCCCTCCGCCTCGCCACCTTCAACATCCATCTCAAGATCCTCCTCTTCATCCGTGCTTTCGATCTCCCTGCTTCCCCCCCTCCCCGACCCCTACCCCCAGCTCAGGTCCGTAACTCTATCTATCCAGCGCCTTGGGACGCCCTCCCGACGTGAAAGGCGCTATACAAATGTAATTTTGTTGTTGTTGTTGTGTGTGTGTTTGGATACTGCTGGACTGGCAAGTTTACTGCTGTTTGTCCAACCTTACCCATTTTCTGTCCTTCAACTCCAATTACAGCCTGCTAGATTAACAGGAGCTAAAGGCAAAGCACTGCAGATGCAGGAAATCTGGTATAAGTCGCTGGGAACACTCTTTGAGATATCTCGTAGACTTGATAAGGCGCTATATCCAATGCAAGGATGATTATTATTATTATAACCTGTTTGCGTTACCTCCTGATCCAGTTCTAATTGTTGCCCTTGTTTATCTGACAGATTGAGACTGTGCCATGTATCTGCGCAGCGATGCCAAACAAACTGTGCATCTTCCGTTACAACGAGGGCCTCGACAGTTTCAACATCCGCAAGGTGACTAGAAAACAGTACTCGTGAGTCATCGGTTGTTAGAAAACAGTATTTGTATCTCTTGTGACTTATTTCAGGACAGCCGGGTGTCCTGACAGTCGCAGAAACCAATCACCGTGCTTAGGAGTCTCCAAACTAGACTGAGAGCTTCATTCTTCCCGCCTACACATTGGAAATTCGGGTGTTTGGAATGAAAGGCAAGCCCGATCCCCAACAAACAACAACACATTACATTTGTGAAGCACCTTTCACGTCGGGAGGACATCCCAAGGCGCTGAAGGGATGCATGGTTGCCTAGTTCCGGAGAGAATTGGGCGCAGGTCGATGAGAGCTAAGGTTTAGGGAAGTGTGCGTTAGGGGTAACTGCTGGAGTCTAACCGGTAGCGACCGCATACTGAGCACCCATATGACAAGCTTTCCCGCTGCTTGTCCAGCTCGGACCACCCAACCTGTTAGGGCTTTGGCTGGCGGGGTTAACAGGAGCCGAGCGGGAAGGATTGATCGATGCCTTTCACTGCTGATCGCTGGAGTATTGTTCAAGTGTTTTTTCTTCACTCTACAGGAAATCGACACCTCTGAGCCGTGCAGTTGTATCCACTTCACTGCCTACAGCATCATCATTGGCACCAACAGGTTCTATGAGATCGAGATGAAGCATTACACACTGGAGGGTAAGTGGAACTCTCACACTTTGTACTGGATGTCCACATAGCCCTCCCACCCCATTTTAAGCGCCCTGGACCTTACCCCCAGGTGAAGTACTTAACTGTGTTCAGCACAAGTGTTTAACTGTATTTAGACATCCAGAGGATGGGTGTGTGTGAGCGCCAGCATCTTCATGGTAGATAATGTTCAGTGTGAGGAGGAAGTTGCTGGGATCAGATGTTGTTCCACTCGACTCACCTGCAACGAAAAATTCATTGTAAGAGAAACAAAGAAGGGTTGGGAAGGGGGAGGTAGCAGGACTTTGTGGGCGCCCTGTACAACAGCAACACAAACCAGCATCGAGGGGAGAGATTGCGCACGGCTCAAAGCGCAAGGTTCTTGTCTTCGCTCGGCCAATTTGTGCACAGCAACGTCCTACACGGAGTTAGTTACCGGTTTTATATGAGGAAATTGTTTGGCCAGGACACCGAGGGAGGGGACAGAGAGAGAGAAACTCCCTCGTGTTGGATGTGATTCCCGATCATCGAGTTGTGTTCCTTCCATTTCTCGCTGCAGAGTTTTTGGATAAGAACGACTTGTCTCTGGCTTCCGCTCTCTTCGCCGCTTCATCCTACAGCTTCCCCATTGCCATCGCGCAGGTGAACGGCAGCGGGCAGAAGGAGGAATTCCTGCTGTGTTTCCATGGTGAGTAATGCCCGGGTGCCACGTGATGCCTTGCCATGTTTAGTGCCGGCTTGTGCTTTGACAGCAGCTTCCCAGTCGGTGGCACTTCCATTCTGTACCAGATAATGATAATAATCCTTCCAGCCTGAAGCGGTGGCTGAATCAGACAGTGTGGATGCATTCAAGAGGAAGCTAGATCTTCACATGAGGGAGAGGGGAATAGAAGGGTGTGGGGGGGGGGAGGGAGGGATGGGTGGAGACTCGTGTGGAGTACAAACACTTGAGCGCCTTGGAATGTCCTTGGCAAGCCATTGGGAGAAACTCACATATCTTTTCGATTAGCGTCTTGGGATCTTTAACGTCCACCTGGACAGGCAGCTGAGGTCCCGGTTTTAATGTCTCTGATCCGACAATCCAGAGCTCCCCCAACACTGCACTGGAGAGTCAGCCTCGACTGTGTGTGTGTGTGCGCGCGCTCTTTGTCCCGACGTGAGAGGCTTGAACACGCCACCACCACCACCAAATGACATTTGTGCAGCGCCTTTCATGTCGGGAGGACATCCCAAGGCGCTGGACAATCACAACCTCCTGACTCGGAAGCCAGAGTGCTACCAGCTGACCCAGACCCCACCTAATATGACAGCTGCTTTCAACGGCATCGGGCTTGATCGTAATGCCCGAGGGGCGCTGTATAAACCCAAGTCATTATTGTTGTTGCCTCTCTCTGTACTCATCGTCAGCCAGGATCATCGTACGTTTGCAGCCAGTCTTTGCCTCCGACCTTTTTTTTTGTTTTGTTTTATCTCTTTCACCACAAATAGAGTTCGGGGTCTTTGTCGATTCTTACGGACGACGCAGCCGCACAGATGACCTGAAATGGAGCCGTTTGCCTCTGGCGTTTGGTAAGCGAGGACAGGGCCCTAAGGCTTTCCGTCAGCACTGGTTGGAAGTTCTTGGATGAACCTGTCCAATCTTTCTTGAACGTACAAACATAGGAACATAGGAGTCGGCCATTCAACCCCTCGAGTCTGTCCGGCCATTCTATTATATCACAACCGATGCGTACCTCAATTCCGTTTAACTCTCCTTTGCCCCATATCCCTGACTTAACAAAACCGATAGCCGACAGGAGAGAGTTGATGATGCGGAGTTTGGCTGTTGTTACGGTAAGCAGTCAGCAACGTGAGCTTCTGTTAAACGAAGAAGCTTTGGGTCAGTAAAGTTGCGTCGTACAGTTTCATTGCAACTTTCCGAGTGATTCCTGCTAAGCATTGAAGCGTCCGGCTTTAAGCTTCCGAACCCTCACGTGCAGCTTTGGCGTTTGTCATCCTTTCAGCTTATCGGGAACCGTACCTGTTCGTGACTCACTTCAACTCTCTGGAGGTGGTGGAGATTCAGGGTCGCAACACGATCGGGTAAGTCCTGAGTCGGGCCACTCGTTGCCGGCGTACAGTAACTCTTCCCGTTGCGGTTCATTCTCGCACGCACAGGACAGTCCGATGCTGATTCTGGGTCTCCTTTGAAACCTGCGTGGATTTGGACGGACGACACAGTTTGCACAGATGGCCTTTGAGTTGCTTGCGTTCAGTGTTCTGGGGATCCAGTACCAGAGGCTGATCTAACTAAGGGGAAAGGGGTGGGGGGAATTATTTTTTTATATACCTTCCTCTTCGATCATGCTTACGGTCACCTCCTCCTCCCTCCGTCCTTCTCCCCCCCCCCCTCCCCCCCACTCCCGGCTCGATGTCGGGCTCTGGGACACTACACAGCAAGTGCAAGTTGTCGTTGCAGTTACATTCCAGCACCTGTCGGTCAGCTGCATCTCCGATTGCTTAACAGCACAAATCTTCATCCAGCTCGTTTGTTTCTTCAGCGCCCCGGGTCGTGCGTACTTGGACATCCCGAATCCCAGATACTTGGGACCCGCCATCTCTGCCGGAGCCATTTACCTGGCCTCGTCCTATCAGAGTAAACTGCGTATCATCTGCTGTAAAGGCAACCTGGTGAAGGAGGTGAGCGGGGAGCTGCTGGGCGGAGCCAGCCGCAGGTCAGTCAAACTGTTACCGTGTAAACCCATCTTGAAATCCAACGCAGGGATTGGGATTGGGATTGGGAGAGGGATCGAAATCCAACCACAGGGAACTCCCGGCAGGGCGAAACGTTGGGCAAGTTTCCTTACTCGCACGCCTCTGTTTACCTGGCAGTAACAGGAACCCGATTGCTAGTCAATTGGCGGATTGTTTTTTCTGGTGGTAAGAAAATAATAATAATAATAATAGTAATTTGATCACTCAATCCGTGACTCTTTGTGGGACATTTGCTGTGCACAATTGGCTGCCGTGTTTCGCCCATAAAATATACAGTCACTCCACTTCACAGTTTATTCTGTGAAGCGCTTTGAGACGTCTCGAAGCCGCGATAAGGCGCTATATCAAATACGAGGATTATTATTATAATTATTCCGCTGCCCTGTCCTATCCTCATTGCCCTTCAAGCTATTTTAATAGACGGAAATTTAGATCGAACGTGTTTATCCTCTGGTTGCGAGTCACTGATGTAGAAGGAGGAGGGGAAATAACTCCCTCTGGTGTTGAGATGGAAGAGTGCTCAGCATCCCTGTGAGATTTACCACCTCGTTTCGGTACATGCACCACTCGGGGGAAACTGTCATTATCGTAGCACCGTAACGAAACTCAACAGTCCAGCTTCCAGGGGTGACGTAATTTCCCTTTGCAGGTAAATTAATAAGAAAAAATTCGAGGCAGAAGGAAGTAAATTGAAGGAGAAAGACTTTAAACATCAGAATTATTGAAGGATTGTAAATAAAGGCATGTTACAGCCGCATGTCTGGTATTTGTTTTGTGAGTTTTGCAGTAAACGCTGAACCTTTATATCATCTATATATATTATATTTATATCTATATATATTATATATTATATCATCTCAGGGGGAGTAAAAAAAAACTTTGAACCATAACAATATCATAGTTAATCTGGTTTCTTTATGTTCAGTAGTTTGAGGAATGTGTAAAAAAAAAATTGCATCAAACTATGGTCAGAGCTGGATTCAGTCGTGTGACTAGATTACACGTATGTAATGCGTGATCGCGGGTTACTCTTTCCTTCAGGACAACTGGGGCAAAAGGTATTCTGCTGGCTATTGTCTCTCCTCAATGCAGGCAAAGTCCCGATGCAGGTTAGGCTTGTAGCGTACAATACAGTATCCAAACAGTTCTCCTTCTCGCTCCTGTACATGCATCGGAGGGATTTCCTTCGGCCTGTTTGTGCAGTCCAGAACCAAGCATTGAGGTGGAAATATGGTCATAATATAATAACAATTATCCTTACATTTGGTATAGCGTCGATGAGATGGCACAAAACGCTTCACAGAATATACTGGAAAGTTAATTGACTATATTTTGTGGACGAAACGCCAATTGCCCCACGGCAGTGTCCTACGAACAGTTGTGGATTGAGTGACCAATTTATTTATTTGTTCGGAGGGATTACTACCTCCGGAAAGCGATCTGCCAATCGACTCACAACCGGGTTCCTACTTACTGCTCGATAAACGCGCGTGTGGAGCAAGGAAACTCGCCTAATGTTTCGCCCTTCCCATGAATCGAACCCCGGTCCTGTTGCTTGGAGTCGAGTGCTCTAACCAATACACTACAGGGCTCCACTAAAAAAAATTACAGGCCTCCATTTAAAAAAAATCCCAGAACAAGCAGCATATGTTACCTGTATAGAGATATTTTTTCCAAATGTGGGAACGTGTGAGAAAGACTGTTTTGAAGCGATTCAAAAGCTTCCCCCGGTCTTGCTGCTGGGACGTCTCCACAATTCTTTAAAACCATTTATACAATCTGTGTTGGTTTTGCAGGGCTGAGAAATGGGATATTTAGTTATGGATTCGCTAATTATCGAATGTGCTGTGGACCATTGAATTTACCATGTACAGAGTTCCGCTTGTGAGCTCTTCTGCCTTCTCCCACCGCCTCCAGAATAATGCAGCAGAATGGTTAGGTCTGAGGATTTCAGTTGCTGCCACTGCTGTTCCTGATTGAGTGAGGAATTTTCCATTGAGTACACAATACTCAGGCCTGAGAGGTATTGAGGAGGAGAGACACAAGAATGATTTCCCAGTGTTAGAAGGCATGAGCTGTGAGCACTGAATAGATAAGCTCGGGCTCTTCAGCCTTGAAAAGAAATGTCTCGGAAGGAGCTACACAGAAGGAGATAGAGATGTATAAAGTTCTAAATGGGAATGAAAATTCAAGAGAGACAAAACCTCCTAACCTTACTTCAGTTGCTCTGAGACGCAGTGTCGATTGGATGGGCTGCACAGCTATCTAAGCTGTAGATTTCTATGATTCAGTTAACACCTAAGATTGACGTGTCCGTTTGGCTCAGTTGACAGCGCTCTCGTCTGCGAGTCAGAAGGGTTGTGGGTTCAAGCACCACATCAGGATATTGAACTCACACGATCGAGGCTGACATACCAGCACAGTCTTTAGAAGGCGTGCTGCCTTGTCAGATGCCATCCTTCTGATGTAACCTTAAACCCAGGTCCCAGCTCTCCCTGCCCAGATGAAGGTTAAAGGTCCCGTAGCGCTATCTCATAAAAGGGAAGCCAGTTCCTCCCGGGCTCCTAGTCAACAATCCCTCAAAATAAAATTGGTTACTCACTCTGTGACTGTTTGGGCATAAATTGGCTGCCGGCAGAATGCAAAGTAATTCCTATGATGTCCTCCTTATGTGATAAGGTGCAACATCAAATGCAAGGGCTATTATTTTATAATAAAATATTATGTTATATAATATCCCTTAAATAATAATAATAATTTGTTCACTCAATCCACGACTGTTTGTGGGACGCTGCTGTGCGCAATTGGCAGCCGTGTTTCGCCCACAAAATATACAGTCAATTCACTTTATTGCATATTCTGCGAAGCGCTTTGAGATGTGTCGAAGACGTGATAAGGCACAATATCAAATGCAAGGATTATTATTAGTATTACATTTGTGCCATTCATGTCGGGAAGACATACCAAAGAACTTCGCGGGATAGACTGTAAAGTGCAGTGACTGTGTGTACTTTGTGAGCAAATGTGGCAGCCAATTTGCGTACAGCAATGTCCCACAAACCAATTTTGAGTGACTAATTTTATTTGGGGGATTATTGCCCACGACAGGGGGCAAGAGAAATTCCCTTCTGTTTTCGAACAGTGCCAAGGGATCTTTAACGTCCACCTGACCAGGCAGACAGGACCTCAAGTTAACATCTCATCTGAAGGACGGCACCTCCATCAACACAGCGCTCCCCGCAGCACTACAATAGACAAGCTTATTCTACCCGCCTACACCGCTAATTTTTTTTCTCTCTCTGCAAAACCAAGAGTGAATTTTATTTGTGATCAAATCCCCATTGTATGTTTCGCCCACAAAATACACAGTCGATTCACCTTACAGTATATTCTGTGAAGTGCTTTGAGACGACTCGAAGGTGTGATAAGACGCTATATCGCATGCAAGGATTATTATTATTATTGTAATGATTTTGTGAGTCTGGGAACTAACCTCCAGCTTAAACCTAATGATGTTGTTGAACGTCTTCTCTGTACCGTTGACTATTGTGGTTCGGAGAGCTAACCCGTGTTGCGTTCTCTGTCGCTGCCTGTAGCCCTAACAAGAGAGGCCCTCCCACCTACAATGAGCACATGTCCAAGAAGCTGGCACCTTGCCCCAGGGAAAACCCACCTCAGGAGTCCAATATGTCCGTGAGATTCCGAGAAGGTAGACAAGAGACACGGAGGGACAAGTCACCGCGGAGAGGCTTGGAGAGGGAGAAATCTCCCGGTAGAGCTTTGGACACCAGCAGAGAGAGGTCTCCGGGCAGGATGTTGGACGACAACCGAGGGGGCATGCGTTTACCTGCAGGATCCATGAGGACCCCAATGGGCCAAGTCAGCAAGGTACCATCAGCACCGCTCGCTCAGGGCTTGCGGGACTTAGGATTTAATGCTCGTAGCAGAATTTACTGATGCCCTAAAGAATCTGGACAGAGATATAGTCAACCCAGTAACAAAGTCCTTCATCAGAGGTGGATTCAAAAAGTCGGAGTGTCGATCCAGACTTTTATTTGCACTCTGAGACTCTACCAAGTTGTTGTTGTCCCCCCCCCCCCCCCCACCACCTCCACCACACACACAAAAAAAGAGTCAGATGGTTGTGGGTTCAAGCCCCATATCAGGACTTTGAGTTCATAGTCTAAACTAGGACTGTGCTGTAATGTCAGAGGTGCCATATATTGCATGAGATGTTTGACTGAGGTCCCATCTGCCTGTTCAGGTGAATGTTAAAGATCCCATGTCACCACTCGAAAAGAGAAGAGTTTCCCTCAGTTAAAATGGGTCATTCACTCCATAGCTGCTATTGGGACATTGCTGTGTGCCAACTGGCTGCCCCGTTTGCTTGCAAGTGACATTCAATGCTGGGGGGTGGAGGTCACGCAATTGTCGTGAAGCTCTTTGAGATGATGATGACAATAATAATCCTTGCTTTTGATATGCCCCCTTATCACGCCTTCGAGGCGTCTCAAAACGCTTCACAGGATATACTGTAAAGTGAATTGACTGTATATTTTGTGGGCGAAAATATGATGGTGATAATGATTATTATTTATTACTATTATTAATAAAGGTACTAAGTGAGTAATCTGTTTGTTCACATTAAACAGTCCTGGGACCAATCTGCTGTGTGAGTCCAGAGACCGATCACCGTCCTACACATGAAGATGTGTGTACTGAGCATGTGCATCCCACTCTCCAACTGCAGGGAGAAGTGTCCTCTGCCTCGGATCTACTAAACACATCAGCAAAATAAAGTCAAACTGTTCTCTTGCTTTTGTTCTGATTCTGTCGCACGCAAGGGTCGGGGAGGGAGACATGGAGCGTTGGGATGAAGGCAAGTATTTTTTTTTATCCTGTCTGCCAATCCCGAGCTACCCTTAACATAGCCGATGGGAGACTTGGCATTGTAGGAAATATCTTTTTGGGAGAAGTAGCAAATTTTGTGTGTGTGGGGTGGGTGGGTGGGTGGGTGGGGGAGGAGGGGGGGGGAATGGTTTGTTTTTTTTTAAAATGGAAAAATATGCAATTTAAAACGTACGGAAAAGCTGATTCGCTACAGCATCTCGTACGTTTTAAAGAAGGAAAAAAATTTCCTCTTTTTTAAAAAAAAATCCAGGGTGATTCACCAAGTCACTCCTCCCCCATTTTAAGAGGGATTGGCTGTATTTTTTTGGTCAGTGGATTTGGGTTGCAATTCAATGGGCGGATGGAATCTAACCCAGCAGTGGTAAGGTTGGCTATATTCTGTACACAGTTTATTACTTGAATTTTATACAATGGTTTTGAAGGGAATATGAACACGGAACTGCAGCAGGACTGAATATATTTTGTAATAATTAATAGCCCTTTGCTATTTGTTTTTTCACTGTCCTGCACCTCTGCTTTGCCTTTGGGATACAAGACGCATCTACAAACACGGTTTACTGCAGACTTTTGTACCTTGTTTTCACAACTTGCATCCAAGTGTCCCAGTGCTGAAGTGTGCTCCTGTTTTTCTGTTTTTACTGTTTTCTCCCCTTTCCCCCTCTTTTCCCCTCCCCCTCCCCACCACACTTTGTACCCTGTCAATATTGTGAATATGCAATGTCTGAGAACTAGATTTCAGTCGCGTTTCTTGTGACTCGTTTTCCATGAAAAAGACGATTAAAATTGACACTACTTTGTTTATCTTTATTCGGCAAAAGTGTTTTTATTTTTACTTATCTTATCATCAGGGGTCAGACGGGCCCAGTTGACGGCAATAATAATCCTTGCATTTGATACAGCGCCTTATCACATTGTTGAGACATCTCAAGGAACTTCACGGAATATACTGTAAAGTGTAGTGACTGTGTATTTTGTGGGTGAAACGCGGCAGCCGATTGCGCACAGCAGAAGCACTTTCTCCTCTGGTTCAGAAGGTTTGTGGGTTCCAGCTGCGTGGTGGGACTTTGAACCCACAGTCGAGGCTAACTCTCCAGTGGAGTGCTGGGGTGTGTTGCATTATCAGAAGTGCCGTCCTTCGGATGAAGACGTTAACAACAACAACAACAACAACAACAAGATTCCATTTATAGAGCGCCTTTCACGTCAGGAGGACGTCCCAAGGCGCTGCACAGTTAAACCAAGGTTCCGCTGCCTCTTCGGGCGCACATTAAAAATTCCGAAAAGAGAAGGGAGTTTTTCTCTCTCCCAGTGTCCTGGCCAACAATCCCCCCTCGACCCACCCCCCAAAACAAATAAAATAGGTTGGTCACTCACTCCATGGCTGTTTGTGGGACCTTCCTGTGTGCAAATTGGCTGCCTGCCACGCTCAGTATGTCCTGATTAGCAAACCAGAAACATCTGCCCTGATAACGCACTGAAAGAGCTTTGTCAATCGGTGCGAAAAATTGCTCATTGACCTTGTGAAACCAAAGCAACGTTGGACAACTCACCACCATAGCGAATTGTCAGCTCTGCTGTGGGTGTTTAAAACCAACAAGGAAAGGTGCCCTGGACAATAGCCCTGAGGTTCAGGTGGACAATCTACTAACATTTTGGGATTTGGGCCATCCAATATTTTGTATAACATGGCTGTACACCCATACTGACCGGAGCTCAGCCCCACACATTATGACCAACTTACAGGCCTGGGTGTCAATGCCAACATGATTTTCCAAAGCCCGGAAAGACCTCACACCAGGAGTTGTTGATAACTTGTTCCTTTGGATGAGACCAGTTAAACCAGTGGGGGCCAATCTTTTTGGGTCGGCCAACAAGAGAAATGTAAAAACAAAATAGCATAGATTTACACCAGAAATCAAGAATAATCAATCGAGAAACTTGGGGCCAATCCAGGAGGTTGCCCCGGGTCCCGTCGGCCTGTCCCGGATTTCGAAAATGGAAGCTTCTCCCGGTGGCCCGACCAACAATTCTCCAGATAAAATTGGTCACTCACTTCACGGTTGTTCGTGGATTATTGCTGTGTGTAAATTGGCTGCCACGAACTGTGAATATAAGGAAAAGAAACATGCATTAACCGTGAGAACAAACGACTTTCCTACAGTTCTCTGTGCACAGTGAGTACAGAAAAAGTACCAATCCGGAGAACAGGAGTGAAGTGGCTTCAGTGCGCTCTAGTCTGCTCCAACAAGCAACAGCTACTCCAGGTAATTGAGTGTACAGTACTAGTCCCTCCAGGGAGAGAGCGCATTCCATTCCAACAATCTATCTCTGGGATTTCCATGTATAGTGGGATGCATAGAAATCATGGCTTGGTTTGGGTACTCTTAAGCACGGTGATGGGTTTCCACATGTATCAGACACCGGGCCGACCCCCGCCCCCCAAAAAAAATAGGCGATTTGTGGAGTACTGTAGCTCAGTGTTTAGAGCACTCGCTTTGCAAGCGAGAGACCTAGGTTCGATTCCCGGCAGGGTGAAACCTTGGGCAAGTTTCCTTACTCCATATGCCTGGTAATAATCCCTCAAGGAAAACAAATGATAATAAATTGGTCATTTCAATCCATGACTGTCTGTGGGACGCTGCTGTGCGCAATTGGCTGCCGCATTTCGCCCACAAATATACAGTCAATTCACTTTAGAGTCTTCTGTGAAGAGCTTTGAGATGTCGAGAAGACGTGAAAAGCGCTGTATCAAATGCAAGGATTATTATTATGTGCGGACTCGCTGACTTCCTATTCCAAATAAAGCCACTCACCGATCACAAGCTTATTTCGGATGAAGAAGACTCTTCAGCCCATCTGATCTCATCCCTCCAGGTTACCTATCCAACACAGCATCAACCTGCTTTTTAAATGTACTCTGTCCCCAACAAATAACCAGTGGAGTAATGTAGCGTTATTAGAGCGCTCGTCTCGCAAGCGAGAGGAGCTGGGTTCGATTCCCAGCAGGTCAAAAACCTTACTCTGCAGTCCCGTTTACCAAGCAGTAAGTACGAACCCAGTTGTTCGTCGATTGGGGTCACTTTTCCGGGGGTAGTAAAAATGTGGTCACACAGTCCACGACTGTTTGTGGGACACTGCTGTGCACAATTGACTGCCATGTCTAATTTCAGTTGTGAATTTGGGTTCAGTTATGCTCCTGATCATGGGACACAGGATGTGGTTTTTGTAATGTCCGTACTTCATTTGTCACAGACTTAGTCTTCTATGGAATGATAAATAGATATGGTGAAAGTTTTTTTTACAAAAGAAATGTAGAGGTCTTCCTTCTACATAATTATTTGGGGAGGACAAGTTTTCAGGGCTAGAGGGAGAGAGCGGGGGAATGGGATTGATTTGGAAACTCTTCCCAAAGAGCTGGCACAGACACGATGGGCCGAATGGCCTCCTTCCGTGTTGCATAATTCTATGATTCTATGATCTCCTTTTGAGCTAACAAATATCTTTGCAATATAGAGTGTCTGCCTGGCAGTGAGCGTTAAAGATCCCATGGCACGATTTGAAAAGAGAAGGGAGTTTCTCCTGGTGTGCTGGTCAACAATCTTCTAGGACAGGTAAACATTGGTCATTAAATTCCTGGCTGTGTACAGGATGAAGCTGTGCCCAAATTAGCTTCAGATTTTGCCTACAAATACACAGTCACTACACATTGCAGTAAGATCCTGTGAAAGCGCTTAGAGATGGTTTGATGACCCGATAAGGCAGCAACAACAACAACAACAAGATTACATTTGTATAGCGCCTTTCACGTCGGGAGGACATCTCAAGGCGCTGGACAGCGCACAACATTTTAGCAAAATAACAAATGCAAAGAATATTTAATTTGTACGTGGTTTCACTGTGGGAATAAGTGGTGTAGAAATATCAAAGAGGATCGAGAAAGAAGAGATGTCAGCAACAGCGCATTGTGCCTGAAGGGGAACTCACAATGTTTTTTTGCGTATTTGATATACCTTTCATGGAGGGAGAGCATCTCAAAGAGCTTCATAGGGTTTACTACAAAGTGCAGTGACTATTTTGAAGACATCAGCCAATTATTACACACAGCAATGTCCTACAAACTGTGAAATAAATAGCCAATTTTATCCGGGGGGGGGGGGGGTGTTGGCCAGGAAACCAGGAAAAACTTTTTGAATAGTGGCCATGGGATCTTTAACGTCCACAGTGGGACCTTGGTTTACACTTCTCATCTGAAGGACGGCACCTCCGACAACGCAGCACACTGCGTGTGCTTAGACTGTGCGGTTCCCAAGTTCTGACGTGGGGACTCGGACCCACGACCTTCTGGCTCAGAGGCGAGAGCGTTCCCACCGAGCCAGGCTGACGCCCTGGAATCGGCCACAATTTGTCAGTAATAGTTGCACGTTATTCTCCTCGAAGGAAAGGTGTGGCATGGCTAGGGAACAGGCCAGTCCCATGTCTTCTGTGCAGCGTTTTGGAAACAAGTCATCGAGGAGAGCTCAGTTCAGCCGGGGCATGGAATGAAGAATAGCCTTCTTTGTGTTCTCTTTACTGCCCATGTGATGAGTTGCCCAGCACCGCTCTCTCTCCCTCACATACCACAGAAGATACAGCTGATCCCGTGACCAATCCCATGATGATTCTGAGCTTCGATTTTCTCTGTGGATCCGATTGAAGGAATCGCTGTGAGTGATCCATTATTGAGCGTGTCTCATTGTTAATAATAGTAATAATAATAATAATAATAATCCTTGCATTTGATATGGCGCCTTATCAGGTTGCTGAGACGTCCCAAAGAGCATCACAGGATGTGCTGTAAACTGGGGTGACTGTGTATTTTGTGGGCGAAACGCGACAGCACAATTGCGCATTGTGATGTTCCACAAACAGCCACGGAGTGAGCAATGAATTTTATTTGGGGGAATTGTTGGCCAGGACACCGGGAGGGAGAAATTTCCTTTCTCTTTTCGAATAGCGCCATGTGGATCTTTAACATCCATCTGAACAGGCAGATGGGACCTCAGTTTAATGTCTCATCCAAAGGACGGCACCTCTGACAATGCAGCACTCGCCCCCCACCCCATCCCACCCCAGCCCTGCATTGGAGCATCAGCTTAGACAATGTGATTCCAAGTCCCGACCTGGGGACTTGAACCCACAACCTTCTGACTCAGAGGCAAGACTACTACTCGCTGTGCCAGGCTGACACACTTCTTATAAAAATCAGTCATGTTTCGAACTCCTGATCTGCTTTCAGATGTTGTGTGGCATGGCTCGGGAACAGGCCAGTCCCAATGAACCCAAGCACTTCATTCCTAACGCAGAGTTAAGTTCAGGGCTTCGTGGTGGCCTAGAGGTGAGAGCTCACACAGAATGGCTAAGAGGTGACCGGATCACTCGGGAACGGTGGCAGGCAGCTATTAAGCGGTGAACTGAATGCAAGAGTAGTTGCGGTGAGGAGCAGGAAGCTGACTTTCAGCGTCCTGCATGCATTTGCAGTGTTTAATCCAGAGTAGTTTTTAAAAGGGAATGAGATTTTTAAAAAAAAGTTGAAAAGGAACACATAAAAGGTAATGGGGAAGGGCAGGGGAGTGGGAATAAAAGATAATAGTTATAAATCAGGATATACTGTAAAGTGGTGTGAGTGTGTATTTTTTGTGAGCGAACACAGCGACCACAAACTGCATTTATACAGCAGGAGGATGACCCAAGGCGCTGGACAGCAAAGGGTTTTATCGAACAAGGAAGCCAGTTTGCACACGACGATGTCCCAAAAGCAGGCGTGGAGTGAAATGACCCATTTTGTTTTAAGGGGGGATTGTTAGCCAGGTTGGGTGGATGGGGATGGGTGAAGGTTGAAACAGCACCTGTATGTGGAGCCAAGATCCAAAGGACTTTACTGGCTACTGTGTAGGGAATAATACCAAACTTGCAGTTTCACCAGTCAACAGCCCTCCTGGTCATCATGGCAAAGGGTTCACTTTTGAGTTAAACTTTTAGAGTTCTAGATGTGGGTCGGTTGATGTGAAAGGTGTCAATTAGATTTCTAGCACCAATCGCTGCCCAGGGAAGGTGTGGTTTCACAAGGTGAAGATGTAATCGACATAAAAACACTCTTACAACAACTGCGATCAAACTCTCCCACAACTGAAACATCCTCAACAGCAAGTAATGGGTTCCAGGAAGACTCCAGAAAGTGGAGAATGCCACAGCCCACAAATATAGTGTCAATTCACTTTACAGTATTTTCTGTGAGGCCCTTTGATGTCTCGAAGACGTGATAAGGCGCTGTATCAAATGCAAGGATTATTTATTACAGATCCAAATTGATTCGCTGGAGGTATTCGTTGCGGTCGGAGAGAAATACGCATGTCACATTTTGTTGCGTTAGAGCGACGTGTGAGGGTGAATGAGCTCCTTGTCAGCCAGTGTGTCCGTTTCTAATGAAGTTAACAAAACAGGAAACTGATTGCACAAAGCCGTTCTGGAGGGAGCTACAACATATATATAGATACTGTAAACACACACGTAAATGTATAACTCAATCCAAGACCGGGCAGAGTTTCAGGAGAGCAGCGTTTAAAATCATCTCCTAATGAAGTTTAATTATTTTTTTTGAAAAAAAGAAACACAAACAAGAGAAAGCGCAGAGGAATCGTGCATTTAACACATGTGAGGGGGTGGAAAGGTTAAACTTAACTGGAACTGTTTGACTCGGGTCTTTTCCCCCAAGGCTATTGGGGCACCATGGAACAACAGCCTTTGCTGAGAGGGCAAAAGGAGAGGCCAGGGGTAAGTGAGCGAAAGCGAGAGCATTCCGAGCCTTAGAGTTGAGGAAAGCCCCGGTCATAGCTGCACAATCGTTATCTGTTTGCAGTATCTGAGTTACACTTTGTAAATCAAAGTAAAAAAAATGTTCTACTGAAATAATAATAACAATCCTTGCATTTGCTATTAGACTTGCTAACAGTCCCACCACCTCCCTACCTCCTTTCCTACCCTTTAAGCAGTAAAACCCTTCACTGTCCAACGCCTCGAGAGATTAATAATAATCCTTGCATTTGATACAGCGCCTTATTGCATCGTAGAGATATCTCAAAGCGCTTCACAGAATATGCTGTGAAGTGAATAGACTGTGTTCGGCTGGACTACTCTAACTCCCTCCTCGCCGGTCTCCCATCCACTACCATCCATAAAATTCAAATCATTCAGAAGTCTGCCGCCTGCATTCTCACCCGCATGAAACTCTACTCCCCGATCCCCCCAGTCCTGGCCAGACTGCACTGGCTCCCTATCCCAGAGAGGATCGATCTCAAGATCCTCACCCTTGTATTCAAGTCCCTGCACTCCTCTGCACCCCCCGATCTCTCTGACCTCCTCTCTCCTCAGCACAGTACCCGTTGCCTTCATTCTTCCGGGTCTGGCCTCCTCCTCGTCCCCCGAGTCCTCTACTCCACCCTCGGCGGCCGTGCCTTCAGCCACTGTGCTCCGAGGCTCTGGAACTGCCTTCCTCACTCCCTTCGTCTTGTCCCCCCCCTTCCTATTTTCAGGTCTCTGCTGAAGAGCTTTCTTTTCGACCGCGCTTCGGTCACCTTCCTCCCCCTCCCCCCAGCTCGGTCCTGGGATCCGTTGCTGTGAAGCGCTCTTAGACGCCGTCCAGCGTGGAGGGCACTATATAAATCCAAGTTGTTGTTGTTGTGTATTTTGTAGGCGGAACCCTCGACAATTTGCTTTTGCAAAAGGAGTTGTCTCATGGGGGGGGGTTCAGTAGGAGTGTGACCCACATACCTACTTGTTCACAATTGCTTCCCCAGCCCAAGTCACATTAGATGAGGATAGTGTGTAAGTCAGAGGAATAGCTTGTGAAGGAGTCCTGAGGCTTGGGATGACAACTGCTGGAAGGAGTTACCTGGATTCTGGGTTCGTGAACACACGCTCCAGAGCTGGCATTTACTCGGATTGGTTTGCACAGAGCTCAGCGGCTGGTGGAACCACCTCTCAATGGGCAGTTGTATGTGTCTCCTCTCTGGTCCAGAGGTAGGTGGCAGTGGTTTTGCATGTTTAATACAGAGTCGTGGAGTCCTGCAATTACAACAATATCAACAACTTGGATTTATATAGCACCCTCCACGCCGGATGGTGTCTCAGAGCGCTTCACAGTAACGGATCTCGGGGCTGAGCCAGGGGGAGGGGGAGGAAGGTGACCAAAGGCGCGGTCGAAAAGAAAGGTCTTCGGCCGAGACATGGAAATAGGAAGAGAGGGGCCGAGGTGAAAGGAGTGAGGAAGGGAGTTCCAGAGCTTCAGGGAGTAGTGGTTGAAGGGAAATGTGGGTGGGTTTGCTGGTGGGAGGAGAGAGTGACACAGAGAGGATTTTAGGGTGTACATGAAAGATGGCTGTGGAGTGTGGGGGGAGTGGGGAGTTGGGGAGGGTACATATGAGGGAGGGAAGTTGTGTTTGCTTTAAGGAGGCGGTTTATACGGAGGGAGTGAATGATGGTTAGCTCAGTGGTTAGACCACTTGCCTCGCAAACGAGAGGACCTGGGTTTGATTCCCAGCATGGCGAAATGCTGGGCGAAACATTGGGCAAGTTTCCTTGCTCCACACACATCTGTTTACCAGCAGTAAGTAGGAACCCGGTTGTTAGTCGATTGGCAGATCGCTTTTCCGTGGGTAATAATTCCTTCAAAATATTTTTATTGAAAATTATTGGAATATAATGTATCCAATCTTTGCAGACCAGAAGCTGTTTATTTCTTGCCGAAATATGAGTGACTAGCGGTAGGGTTTGTCATGCATCCGCCAATCGACTTAACAACCAGGTTCCTACTTACTGCAGGATAAACAGAGGCGTGTGGAGTAAGGAAACTTGCCTAAGCTTTGGCCCTGCCTGGGAATCGAACCCGGGTCCTCTCGCATGCGAGGCGAGTGCTCTAACCACTAAACTACAGGACTCCACTTGTATATGACTTTGATCACTTGACCTTGAACACAGGAACCATAACATGGCCTTGAATACAGCTTTAAATCGCTTGCGGTCTCAAAACAGCCTAAAACAACGGAATTTAATGACTGAAGTGTAAAATAACGGTGGTCTGAGATTTGGCCGTGAGTGAGGGCCAATTGAGGTTTTTACAGTAATAATGTGGAACCACAAAAAAGACCCATCGATGTTTGTTAAGATTTTATTCCAAATTTCGTCATAACTGTTACAAATAATTCCAAAGAATTTGGGCCTTTTATCAGGAACTCTATCCCGCAATCCCTCCGCTTCACCCCCTCTCTCGCCTCCTTCAAGATCCGCCTGAAGACCTTCCACTTCAACCACCCTTCCACTCCCACTTTCCCCACTGCCCTCCTACCCTCCTGATCCCAAATCCCAGCTCAGGTCCAAAACCCGTGATTGTCCAGCGCCCTGGGACGTCTTTCCGATGTGAAGGGCGCTGTACAAGTGTAATTTGTTGTTATGTTGAGGATACAGTAATGATTTGTGTTGTTATTTTGCAGTGTCTAAGATCCACTCTTGTCCTGGCGGTGTTTTCCTCAGCAATTGGAGGTTCGTTCCAATATGGCTATAATGTTTCCATCATCAATGCTCCCACTATGGTGAGTCCTGGCTTTAGTTCGAGAGTGTTTCTCAGTCACCCCTCGGTCGGTCTAAGCTGAGAATATTTCATTAGCGGTAGTTCTGTGCGGCATTCCTATCATTAACCTGTAGTGGCACTGTGGTCCTGCACTTGTTAATAATTCTTGGAGTCTGACAGGCCAGGGCATCCTTTTCTGCCTCAAGTTCTCTCAAAGCGCTTCATCGAATTTACTCTAAAGTGTAGTGACTGTGTATTACGTAGGCGAAATGTGAGAGGCATTTTTGCACCCAGCAATGTCCCACAAACAGCAACGAAGTGAATGGCCAATTCTATCAGGGGGGTTGTCGCCTAGGACACCAGGAAAAACTCCCTTCTCTTTTCAGAAGATGCCATGGGATCTTTAGCGTCCACCTGTGCAGGCAAACGGGACCTCAATCTCATCCAGCAGCTTCAAGAATGCAGTGGCCCCTCAGGACTGCCCTGGAGTCTCAGCCTAGGCTTGAATTCAAAGCCCCGATGTGGGGCTTGAACCACAGCCTTCTGACTCAAGAGGCAAGAGTGTTACCAGCTGAGCCAGGCTGATACCAATTTACCGAGAGTTCGAGAAGCCTTTTGTAATTCTACTGTAGATGTAATTAACGCCATACGCCAAAAGACATCCACCTTCATATCATTTGGATTTGAGAGACCTCAGATAATAATAATTATAATAATAATAATAATAATAATAATCCTTGCATTTAATATAGCGCTTTTCACATCTTCTAGCCATCTCAAAGCACTTCACAGGATATACTGTAAAGTGAATTGACTGTATATTTGTGGGCGAAACGTGGCAGCCAATTGCGCACAGCGGTGTCCCACAAACAGTGGTGGATTGAAATAACCATATTATTATACTTTTTTCTTGAGGGTTTATTATCAGGTGTGTGGAGTAAAGAAACAAGGTTTCGCCCTGCCACGCATCAAACCCAAGTCCCTCGCTTGCGAGGCGATTGCTCTAACCACTGAGCTACAGGACTCCACGACATAAGTCACATCAGTTGGGACCATACATTTGCAAAGTAGGAGTTATGTCAAACTTGCAGAGAATATAACCTCCTGAACGGGACTTGGGAAGATGTACGACTCGGGCGATTATACGATTTACACAGATCTGACTTATGCAAGTTTTACTGCATTTTTCTCTCTGCTAATTTGGAAGGTAGTTGTGTAGAGAGAGGTCGGAAAGGATAGAATTAAACCTCTGGAAAATTGCTTTCTTAGTGCACTTCAGGCATTTGGATTTGTGATCTGAATAAGGCTGTGGTAATCTTGTCCTCAATGACCGTATTGTTTCAAACCTCCTCCAGCACATACAGGAATTCATCAACAAGACATGGGATGTTCGGCATGGCAGTCAACTCAATCAGAATCTGTTGACCCTTCTGTGGTCGATAATCGTTTCCATTTTAACCTTGGGGGGTTTCCTGGGCACGTGGGCAGGAGGACCACTGGCAATCCGATATGGTCGGTAAGTCCCTGAGTATTTTCCGTCACGGCGGGGAATTGGGATGCATGAATATTAAGAATAATGATACTCCTTGCATTTAATACAGCGCCTCATCACATCTTCAAGATGTCTCAAAGCGCTTCACAGAATACACTGTAAAGTGAATTGACTGTGTATTTTGTGGGTAAAACGCGGCGGCCAATTGCATACAGCAGCATCCCACAAACAGTCATGGATTGAGTGACCAATTTATTATTATTTTTTAGGAATTATTACCCGCGGAAAAGCGGGTAATAACAACCGGGTTCCTACTTACTGCTAGATAAGCAGAGGCGTGTGTGTAGTGTAACAAAACTTGCCCATTATTTTGCCCTGCCGGGATTCGAACCCAGGTCTCTCGCATGCGAGTCGAGTGCTCTAGCCACTGACTACAGGACTCTCAGCGCTGTGACTTGCATTGGGTCAGGAATCCCCAGCAATAAAATTAATCCCCAATTAATGAAATATCTTCAGAACTGGAGAGTAGTAGTTATCAAATACAATTATTGAAGAACGTAGGGGCCATTCAGCCCATCGAGCCTGTTCTGCCCTTTTGCCATACAGTCACTACCTAAATACGTGTCTTTCTTTCCAAAGATCCCTATTGATTCTGCCTCTAGATTTCTGGGTCAGAGCATCCCATCTCTTCACAGCTCTGTCTGGAGACCTGCTTTCCTGACCTCAGTTCTGACCGTCTTAATTCTGATTTCTGACATTGCAAGTCACCCCGCAACAAAAATAACAGGAGTGCAGTGCAAACTGATGTTCGCTAGAAAGACTCCAAATTAACAGTCATCCAACTTCAGGGGTTAATCCTAACTCGAAGTTCAGGTGACAATTTCATATGTTGTATAGGTTATTATTATTATTATTACAGTAAGATTAGAACCTGCAGTGTGTACTGATTATGCCTAATTCCACACTACATTTCCCCCCCACCCCCTATCCCCCATCACAGCATCAAGCTGCTTTTTAAGTGAGTCTAGTGTCCTGGCTTCAAACACCTTTCCTGCCAACCTGTTGCAGTTGTTGATTGCCGACTGAGTAAAGTTCAGCGAGTTTCTACTACACCACTCTGCTAACCTACCTGTGCTTTGCAGGAGTAGTGTTGGCTTCTCACACTGAGTTCAACGACAACTTACGTTATTCTTCACGTAGGATAAGGTCTCGGAGCGCTGTAGGTTGGCAGGGTTAGACATTCACATTCCTTCACTGTCGAAGAAGAAGGTCTTCAGGCGAGACCTGAAGATGGAGTAGGGATTGAGGGGAGGGGCAGACAGACAGAGAGAGAGAGACAGTGAGAGACAGACAGAGAGAGACAGACAGAGAGAGACAGACAGAGAGAGACAGACAAAGAGAGAGAGAGACAGAGACAGAGAGAGAGAGAGAGAGAGACAGACAGACAAAGACACCAACCGTTACCAACAACAACAACTTGCATGTATGTAGCGCCGTCACATGGGGGCAAGGCAGAGGGATAGAGGGAGAGTGATCCTTCTGACTTTCTTTCCCCTAGACCTTTGGTATCGATAAAGTATGAATCTGTCCTGTTGACCCACTCCATCCATATCGTATCTGATGGAGGTTTTTTTTTATGATTTGCGTTACAGGAAAGGAGCCCTTTTAATCAACAACGTCTTTGCTCTGACTGGAGCTGCTTTGATGGGTGCGAGCTACTCCGCTGGGATGTTTGAGCTTCTGATAGTTGGTCGGTTTCTTGTGGGGCTGAACCTAGGTATGGAAATTGTGGCAATACTTACACTGGCCCAGGACGCACAAGAGCATCTTCACAAGATGGGACTGGATGAAGAAGGTTCTCTGGCCCATCCGATTTCATCCCTCCAGAATACCGATAGTACTGTCAGTCCCCCCCACCCAATTCCAAGTCCTCACAGCATCAAGCTGTCCTGGCTTCTACCACCTTCCCTGACAGCCTGATCTAACAACAAAATTACATTAATATAATCATAATAATAATCCTTGCATTCGATAGAGCAGTTTACTGAGTCTACGAGACGTCTCAAAGCGCTTCACAGAATATACTGTAAAGTGTAAAATACAGCACCTTTCACGTCAGAAGGACGTCACACGGCTTTGCAGTTGCTGACCACCCTCCGCGTAAAGAAAAACTGCCTGGTAGCTGGCCCGAAGTTGTCCCTCATAACTCTAAACCTATGTCCACTTGTTCTACCGTCTTGGCACGTCCTAAAATAATAAAATGAAGTCTTGCTGTGAGTGTGTCGCCACCATGCGAGACTGCGGGACTGAGCGTGAGCAAACCAGAGCTGCTCCCGCGAAGCACGGGGTTTGGTTCCTGAGGAAAAATCCATGTATTTTTCTCATGGCAACAAATGCAGGTTGTTGTTGTCGAAGCTCAAGTATCTTTACAGTAAGAGACGCCTCTGTACATCTGCTTTCTCCACAGGGATCGGTATCTGCGTTCAGCCTCTGTACCTAGCGGAGATCTCTCCCAAGCGTCTGAGAGGGGCAATAAGCATGGGGACTTCAGTGTTCTTAACTGTAGGAATTCTAAGTGGGCAGGTGATCGGACTCAGGTGAGGTCTGAATTCAAAGCCATTCCCGTCCTCGGCAATATTCACTCAACTCGAACACATTTGTGTCGTGTTACTGCTATTTACTGTGGTATATAACGGGCGGAGCACCTGCTCGGCATTGCACTAGACATTTTAATTTATTATACTAATAATCTTTGCATTTGACATGCATTTGATATGCTAATATCTTTTGTACGTCAGATTTCTCAAACTGTACAAGATATTGTGCAATCTATCATACGCACTAAATTACACAGACCTTTAATGTATGGTATTACCAGTCATTAATTTATCCGACGTCAAACTCGCCCTAGATTTAAATGCAAGGATTATTACTATTACTATTATTACATTATACAGGATAAATTGTATTCAGCTACTAACAGTAAGGTGCTATTGCTGTAGTACTGGACATTGTTATGTCCAAGTTATCTGTTAATAATGATAATAATTAATTAATAAATAATAATCCTTAGATTTGGTATAGCACCTTTCACATCAGGAGGATGTCCTAAAGCTCTTCACAGAATATACTTTAAAATGAAGTGACAGTGTAACTTATGGATGAACACGGCAGCCAATTTGTGCCAGTTATTATCCATCACTCTGAATACACACCTTCAAGGAGGTGATAGTTAAAATAGTAGTTCCTCAGCTTTTGATGAAGATTAAAGAGAGGGAAAGATGGAGAGGTTGAGCGAAGGGGTTCTGGAGCGTGAGGTACAGTGGCTGAGAGTGCTTGGCTGCTCAGGGTGGGACAGAAGTCCGATGAGAAGCTGGGTGGGGAGGGAGGGGGTGGTTTGAAGTGGGTGACGGAGGGCATTTCTGACGGTGTCACCTCTATTGATTGCAGGGAATTACTGGGTAAGGAAGAGGATTGGCCTGTCCTGCTCTCCACCACTTGCATTCCTGCCATTCTCCAGCTCCTACTGTTACCCTGGTTTCCAGAGAGCCCGAGGTACCTGCTCATAGACAGGCAACAGGAGGAGGCGTGTGATCGTGGTGAGCACTTGACCTCATTGCCAGGGCGGAGTTCAGCACTGTAGGCTAATAGTGGCCTTTACACGCCCCATGTATATATATTTATGTTACAAAATGAGTCTAGCGTTTTAATCCTTGCCAATGCCTTTTGTTTGTTGGTACATCTTAAACGGAGCATGTAAGATGGATTTTATACATCAAATCAATTCGTCTTAATTTGCTACAACACACGTATCTTACACAGCCCAATGGCTTTCTCTGGCTACATAAATTCTACAGTTCGAGGCGTGTTTGCTCTGGTTTGTGAGTGACTGCCAGAGGAACACACCTGAGGTGTCTCATGTTCCTATTGGGACCACTCTCTTTAAAGTGTAAGAATGCAAACAATTTTGCAAAGCTTCAGGACTTCAGCCCTGGGTTAAACCCTGATCCAGTGTGGGTTTTGTGATACGAAGGCCGTGCTTTCTTTTGCCAGCGCTCAAGATGTTGCATGATCCCAGTGACTACCTGAGTGAGAAGGAGGACATGGAGAAGGAACAGGCGGAAACACAAGGCGAGAAGCCAAGGCAGGCAAGGGAGGTTCTTGCTGATCGCTCAATCCGCTGGCAACTGATTACCAGCATCGTACTGAACATGGGCCAGCAACTCAGTGGTATCAATGCTGTAAGTGCGTGAGTCAGATCACCAGAGAGTCTCCACTGCAACCTCTCACTGGCTGCTGGCACCAGAAGTCACATATGATCGTTTCGCCCACAAAACACACAGTCAATTCACTTTACAGTGTATTCTGTGATGTGCTTCAAGTCTCAACAACCTGAAGAGTCGCTATATCAAAGGCAAGCAATAATGATTATAATCCTTGCATTTGATACAGCGCCTTATCACGTCTTCGAGACGTCTCAAAGCGCTTCACAGAATGTACTGTAAAGTGGAATTGACTACATATTTTGTGGGCGAAACACGGCAGCCAATTGTGCACAGCAGCGTCCCCACAAACAGTCGTGGATTGAAGTGACCAATTTTTTTTTGAAGGAATCATTAGAGAAGTAGTATTATTATAAATCTGCCTTCGCCTTTCATGCCAAACATTTATTTCTCGCTTATTCTGCAAGTAGAGTATAAACGCTAGCTTGGACTAGTTAGGTCAAACTGCTTGTTTCTGTATGGTAGCGCTCCATGTAACATGGTTCCCATAGTAGACTTCTGTTTTGTCTGTAATTAATAATAATAATCCTTGCATTCGATAGAGTGCCTTATCACATGGTCTAGACGTCTCAAAGCGCTTCACAGGATTTACAGAATAGTGCATTGATTGTGCATGTTGTCCACAATAGTGTTAAGTGTGTGTTTGTGAATTGAGAAGTATTTTTCCTGTTTCAGATTTACTTCTATGCCACCTATGTGTTTAAGCAAGCTGGCATTGCACAAGAGTATATCCCTTATGCTGCCCTGGGATCTGGGGCATGTGAGTGTCTCACTGCTTTATCTTGTGTAAGTAGCACAGACGGCTTCAAATGCTTGAAATGCCGATTGACTTGAGAACATCCACCGTTATTGTCACTGTTATTGTGTTTAACAGTCCTCGCCCTGCTTCACTGCCTCACCATCCCTCAGAGGATTGAGTTCAAGATCCTTGTCCTCACTTTTAAGGCCTTCCACTGTCTTGCTCCTCCTTACCTCCGCGACCTATTAAAACCTTACCTACCTGCCCGTTCCCTCTGTTCTACAGGCACCGGCCTGCTCCACGTCCCTTGCCCTGCCCGCTACACTAGCAGATATAATAATAATAATAATAGAATAAAATGAAACAAAATATTTTACTTTATCAACGGATCCTGACAGTGAAGCTCCCTGGCAATATTAAACACAGCCGGTGTAACCACTGAGTGTGTGAAATCTTTTGCTCTTGTCAGAAGTACAGTTGCTGGTGTTGCTTTCTCAGGGTCTCTTGATTGAATACCTCGGAAGACGAGTACTTATTCTTGGTGGTTATTTGTTGATGGCCATGTGGTGCATTGTGATAACCATCACACTATCCGTTCAGGTAAGAAGCTTTGTCTTTTGAGGAATTGATATTAATAATAATAATAATCATAATCATAATCCTTGCGTTTGCTACAGCACCTTTGACTTCTGAAGCACATTTTTTTACAGAATGCGTGAAGGCAAATTTGTTACACTTAGTGAAAGAGCCCCAAACTGTTTAGCCCCCATTCACAAATTGCCATTGTAAACTCACACACATGGAGATAATAATAATTCTTACATTTGATGTAGAGCCTTATCACATTGTTGAAACGTCTCAAACCGCTTCATGGAATATATTATAAAGTGAATTGATTGTATTTTGTGGGCAGCCAATTGCACCCAGCAGTGTCCAACAAACCATCATGGATTGAGTGACCAAACTATTATTATTTTGAAGGGATTATTGCCCCTGGAATGGGATCCGTCAATGGTCTAACAACCGGGTTCCTACTGACCGCTAGGTAAACATAGGCGTGTGGAGTAAAGAAATTTGCCTAAGGTTTCGCCATGTCCTGCCTGGTAATCGAACCCGGATCCTCTCGCTTACGAGGCAGAACCACTACTCTAGTGGAAGTCCTGTATTGTGGAGTCCTGTAGCTCAGTGGTTAGAGCACTCGCTTTGCAAGCGAGAGACCTGAGTTCAATTCCAGGCAGAGGGCGAAACCTTGGGCAAGTTTCCTTACTCCACACAGAGCCTAATAATAATCCCTCCAAAACCAAAACCAATACTAAAAATTGGTCATTTTCAATCGCAATTGGCTGCCGCGTTTGCCCACAAATATACCGTCAATTCACTTTACAGTATATTCTGTGAAGCGCTTTGGGACGTCGTGAAAAGCGCTATATCAAATGCAGGGATTATTACTAGTCTACAGGACTGCACGAAAGTAAATGACCAACAAGCAGAGAGTTCCTGCTCCGTGGAAAAGATTGGTACCTTCGTTATCAATAACTCGCTAAGCGCCCAAAATAGAAAATGTTCCAAACACATACCTTCGTTTTAATGAGGATAACATCTCACAGCAAAAAAAAAAATCTGTATATATATTTTTAGCTCCATCTAAATGTCAGTGGTCTGCCCCGTGACAAATCCCATAACGACTGTTCTCTGGATTGTTGTGTTTGCAGACGACCTATTTCTGGATCCCTTATCTGAGCATGGCCTGTGTGTCAGCATTTATTTTGAGTTTCGGTCTCGGGCCAGGTGGGTATATTTATAATAACTAGCGGATTGATCAGCTATATTCAGGCAGGATGCTCGGGGGGGGGCTGTGAATCAAGCCTGTCTCGCTTTAAAACGATGAGGGACTTGGATGAGGAGTTGATGGAGGAGAAGTTATTTTCACTAGTTGGTGATGATGTAACTACAGGGCATTGGGTTTAAGGTACTTAGCAAAGGAGATTCAGAGGTTTTTTTTTAAACGCAGAGTTGTTCGGAATGTGGGATCCCTGTCGGGAGCGATTGTCAAGCATGATGCATAATAATAATAATAAAAATAATAATAATAATAATCCCTGCATTTGATGTAGCGCCTTATGAACCCTTTGCCACATCTCAGAGCGCTTCTCAGAATATGCTCTGGAGAAGGTCTCATGGTCTTCACTGACTGATCAGTCTGGTTTCAGTGCTTGGCAGGGAGTTTAGAAGCATTCAAGGAGATTTTCGGCCCTCTGTAAAAGGGACGTAATGAGTTGGCTTTGTGTTTGTTTGCCCTATAGGTGGGGTGACCAACATACTGACAGCTGAACTCTTCACTCAGTCCACAAGGCCAGCTGCCAGCATGATCAGCGGTTCGATGGGCTGGCTCAGCTTCTTCTTTATCGGAATCATTTTTCCCTTCATTGTGGTAAGTTGCTTCTGTCAATGAGGAAGAATCTAGAGGGTAATATAATATAATAATAATATAGTGAGAATGTGGAACTTGTTACCCCAAGGACTGGTTGAAAGCTGATAGTGGCACTGGCATGATCATTTTGAACACCCACTGGGTGGGGGGGGGGGGGGGGGAACATGAGGGTGATGTAATAACTAATAAAAAAAATGTAAAAATCACAAAAAAATTATAATAATTTGGTCACTCAAACCACAGTTGTTTGTGGGACGCTGCTGTGCGCAATTGGCTGCCGTGTTTTGCCCAGAAAATATACAGTCAATTCACTTTACAGTATATTCTGTGAAGTGCTTTGAGACGTCTTGAAGACGCGATAAGACGCTATATCAAATGCAAGGATTATTATTATTATTATTATTCTATTATTATAGTGTAGATAGTAATAGGTAATAATCCTTCAAATGCAGCAGCCGATTGCGCACAGCACTTTCCCCCAAAACAGTTGTGGATTGAAGTGTTTCCTTGGATGTATTTCAAAAGGAAGCTAGACCTTCACATGAGGGAGAAGGGAATAGAAGGGTAAGAGAGGGAGTTAGGAATGGGTTGTGCCCATGTGGAGTACGAACACTGGTTTCGCCAAATGGCCAGTTTCTGTGCTGTATAGTCTATGTAAACTACACAGCCTGAGCAACAATATGGCACACCCCAATGTGCACTTAACTGAACCCAAACACAGCAGTTTAATTTGTTTGTTGTTGTCAGCAACTCTTGTGTTCTCTCTGTTATATTGACTCACGACTGTATGGCCTTGCTTGGCAGGAGAGACTCCAGCAGTTCTGTTTCCTCGTTTTCCTGGTCGAGTGCTTGCTGATGGTCTGCTACATATTCTACATTATTCCCGAAACCAAAAACAAGAGCTTCCTGGAAATCAAGAAAGACTTTCAAACCAGGAATTTCAAGGAAGCAAGTGGGATCGGAAAGGCTTGAAGAGACAAATAGAGACAACCTGAAAAAAACTTGTTACCAGGTTTCTGAAGGGCTAAGGAGCTTCTGAATTCACCGTAAGGCAGTAACCACTTGGTGACCAGACTCTTACGACAAAGTTCTGGTGAATATTTTGCATGTCGCTGGTCACTTTGATGGTTATGAGCTTCCAGTTTAGTGTAAACTGGGAATGTTGAAGACAGGTAGGTATCTGTATTAAATATTATGATTTGTTTGCGTTTAAATCTCATTCTGCTTCAAAGACCATTTTTGACCACTGGGGATGGGGAGGACTCTTAAGACTTGTAAGACCTTAGAAAGGGAGAGTGCAGGAAAGTTCCTGTTGACAAGTGACAACTCAGGATTTTTTCACAATCATCCACCAAATTGTTACCCAACAGTACTAAAGGCTCATCAGAGGCTAAGCCTCTATCCTGTTTCTATTGCCGATAATAACAGAATCCCAAAGCTATGACTGTCAATAAAATTCAATATCCAGTTGTGTGTGTGTGTGCAACGTTGCCAGGTTACTGAATAAAATTGGTTGGTTCTTTCATGGATGTTTGTGGAATATTATGTGCAAATCATCTGCTGTGTTTCCTCTACAAAATAGTCTCTACACATTCCAGTCAATAATAATGATAATCTTTGCGTTTGAAATCGCGCCTTATTACTTCTTCGAGACGTCTTAAAGCGCTTCAGAGGATATACTGTAAAAGTGGATTGACTGAGTCTCAACGACGTGATAAGGTGCTATGTATTATAAGAAATGCAAGGATTATTATAAGGAGGAACCGAGTTGGAAGAATCCCTGGTCTGCCAATCCAAGTCCTACTGACAAGTTAGATTGGCTGGCCTGTCACCAGCAATGCCCTCGATTATTGCGGACTCGCCTGGTTCAGGAACTAGACTACCGAGATTGCCACAGAGCCAACTCAGGACCAAGGAGACTCCATTCCCGTCCTCCCAACTCCTCCCTCCCCCATGAGGATAGTCAGTAGTCATAACAGTGGAGGCTAGACTTAGAGAGAGAGAAAGTTGTAAAGGTGAGTTTCAGAGGAAGACAAAGTGAGAGGGATAGATAGCTTTTGAGGTGAGCCTCAAAGGGAGATAGAGAGAAAGAGAGACAGCTATCCTGGTGAGCTTACTAAGGGTTTGGGATATGATGAGACAGGATTTTTTTATTTAGCCTTCTTCCCCTCCTCAGGAGCTGCATAACTGTAAGGGTACGAGAATGACAGGCACCAAAGTCACCAATATGTACTAACCAACACACATTGTTAAGTAAAGACCTGTTTGGATTTTATTGATGCATCGTAAAAATATGTGTCTGCTGTCCACTGCTGGAAAGTAATGGTGTGTGGATCAGAAGATGACAAGCTCAGGCTCAGCTGTGTTGTCTTGTTACATTTTCCAATTCCTGAGAATCCTTATGTTGTTCAGAAGATTAGTTTAGATGAGGAAGGCCCTTCGACACATCTGATCTCACCCAGAATGATTACACCTTGTTTTGGTCCGTCATTAAAAGACACAATAAGGAAAATGTGTTGCAACAGGGGTTTTGATGGAGTAAATAAGGAAAAACTGTGTCCAGTGTCGGGTGGGTCAGTAACCAGAGGACACAAGTTCAAAATAATTTACAAAAGAACCGGAGGGGCAGAAGAGGAGAGTTTTTTTTACGTAGCGAGTTGTTTCAATCTGGAATGGACTGCCGAAAGCAGATTCAATACTAACTTTCAAAAGGGAATTGGGTATTTGCTTGATGGAGAAACAATCTGCAAGACTACGGGGAAAGAGCGGGGGAATAGGACTAATTGGGTAGCTCTTTCAAAGGCTGATGACTGATAGGAACTGATGTAGGACCTTCTGTACCAATCACAATCTGCTGGATTCAATAACAAAAACCTCGGTGGTGTTTGGCACCACATGCCTCTTGTTGAGGAAGTTGCCACAGCTTCTGTTCACCTCGTTCATTTTCCCAAACTCCTCGGAGATCTGAAGAAGTGTTTTCCCCTTTGTCTCTGGAATCATTGTGTACACAAATACTGCAGCAAACGAACAGGACACCAGAAATACCAGGAAGGATAGCTGACCTATTGTGTCCTGTAAGAAACATTATGTTAATTATTAATGATTAATTAACCTACACCCCCATCCTTCCTGCTCTCCACCCCTCCTGATCCCAATCCTCAGCTCGGATGCACATGCTTGACTATCCAGCGCTTTGAGATGTCCTCCAATTGTAATTTGTTGTTGTAGTTGATAAGGATCTGAAACTTTTAACACTCACAATTTTCAATGCTTTCTGAATGTAAGAATGTAAGACATCTGTTCTAAGAAATGACCATTTGAGGCTTTATGCTGGGACCCTCTGGATTACTTCTCTATACTGACTCCACTATACTTCAGGAATGGGACTCCTTTCTAATGCTAACCCCTACAAGCAGAGCTGTAACCATCCCTGTGACCCTCAAGTCTTCTCTTTCAATCAATGTCGCTCCACTTTCTTTCTACCCTTGGAGAAAAATATAATAATAATGGGATATAAGGTAATGGATTGATGGATCGATCCCACAATAGTGTAGGTATTAAATGCACTCTTAAACTTGATGTGTCAAATACTTTAGAACATAAGAACATAAGAATTAGGAGCAGGAGTAGGCCATTCGGCCCCTTGATCATGCCCCGCCATTTGATAAGACCATGGCTGATCTTCTGACCTAACTCTAATTACCTGCCCTATCCCCATATCCCCTAATCCCTCTATTTTTTAAAAAATCTATCAGTCTCAGCCTTGAAGATGTTCAAGGACTGAGCATCTACAGCCTTCTGGGGTAGTGAATTCCTAAATTCACTACCCATTCACTTTACCTCATTCCACAATCCTGGTTGGAGTTACAGACATAAATCTTGTTTGTACTATTAAACGAAGAGAAAAGAACTCCTTAATTACACTCTAGTCTGTATCGCAGTCAGACTAGACCTTATTATTAATATTAATGAAAGGTAAGTAGTCACTGAGCAACTCCAATAAGCTGAAACCCCGTGACCTCTCAAGACCTTCCTCTTCAACTGCGCCTTTGGTCATCTTCCCACAACCACCCTCGTTGCCCTCCACCCCTCTTGACCCCAACCACAGCTCGGGTGCAAACCATGTACTGTTCAGCAACTAGGGACTAGTGTAAGGCACTGTATAAATGCAGATATGTTGTTGTGACAACTTACAATCAAGAAAGGGAAAACAAGCCCCAGAACGAAGAGCCAAATCCACTGTAAGGTGCCACTAATCATTAAACCAGCGGGTCGACTGGACTGAGTGAAGATCTCCAAAATCAGGACGCTACTGACACAACCTGAGGGCAGAACAAAGGGAAGAGGGAAGAGTGAATCAAATTCAGCCATCCTGGATTTACATCAGATTTACACTGTTTTCTGTTCATGGTCAATGATGTAAGTAATGATAGCCGGACGTACCTCCTACATATACAACGCGCGTGAAACCAGGAGTGGTGCAGAGTGAACACAGAAGCTGTGCTTACCTGGGCCAAGTCCATAAGTGAAGATGTAAATAAACATGAAGACCAAGCTACAATATGGAATCCAGGCACTGAGGTTCTGGAAAGAGAACACCTCAATTTAACGTCTCAACAATAACAACTTGCACTTCTATAGCGCCATCCACGCAGGGTTTCACAGCGCTTAACAGTGGCAGAGCCTGACTCTGAGCCGGTGGGGTGGGGGGGGGGGATTTCCGTAAACATGGACGAAGAGGAAGGTTTTCAGGCGGGACTTGAAAAAGAGGAGAGGAGGGGCAAGGCGAAGGGATTGAGGGAGAGTCTCCTTCCAAAGAACGGCACCTCCATCAATTCAGGGCACCCCCAGCACTGCATTGGAATGGCAACATAGACCACGGGCGTTCAAAGTCCCGACGTGGGGCTCGAACCCACAACTTTCTGACTCAGAGGCGAGAGTCCAACCAGTTGAGCCAAGTTAATACCTTCATTTTATCAGTGATTTTAAGCTGTGATGTGCGCAAAATTAGTGGCAGTGTTGGCCTACAAAATAGTCACTACACTTTACAGAAAACTCTGCGAAGCACTTTGAGATATTCTCAATGTGATAAGGCACTGCGTCAAATACAAGAATTATGATTAATGAAATTACCTTAGATAGGTCAATGATCAACTATAAATTTCTGAAGGGTATTTCAAACTGAAAGAGTTAGAATTTAGAGTCAGAGTTAGGATTTCCTAAAACAAAACTAACAAAAAGCATTCTTGCATAATCCACTCAAGAAGTTATTGAAAAAGAAAGCAACTACAACGTTTCGCCATCAATAATCCTTGCATTTGATATAGCTCCTTATCACGTCTTTGAGATGTCTCAAAGTGCTTCACAGAATATTCTGTGAGCAAATATTTTGTGGGCGAAACGCGGCGGCCAATTGCCCACAGCAGTGTCCCACAAACAGTCGTGGATTGAATGACCCTTTTTTTTGGAATGACTTATTACCCCCGGAAAAGCGATCCGCCAATCGACTAACAACCGGGTTCCTGCTTACTGCGAGGTAAACAGAGGCGTGTGGAGTAAGGAAACTTGCCTGGGAATCAAACCCAGGTATCTCGCTTGCGAGGCGAGTGCTCTAACCACCAAACTGCAGGACTCCATACAGAACCAAGCAATTGATTGACATTGTATCCTCCCTTTGGGAGACTTACCCTCAGCGTGAGTGTTACTGTCAAGATGAGCATCCACACAGCCATGAAACTGTAACCTCTCCACATGAGAACCTTGCGTCCAACTCGTTCAATGAACAGAATCTGCCCAATAGAAGGTTTAAGAAGATAAACTTCAATCTAAAGGAAAGATTCTTCATTCTCATTGTCTTCAGACCACATGCAAGGGTCTATTAATCATTTCCAATGTAGGAACTGTGACCTCTTGTCTTCAGTGTAACTGGGGTGTAATTATTTTATCCACAACCGTAGAATTTCACCATGCCCCCTTCCTTCCCACTCTATTTCCTTCACCCCCTCCAGAAAGCATGGAGTCATTCTGGAGTACCATTTTAATGGTGCCCAATGACCTCCAGCATCACATTCTAGTGGCTGTTCAGTCTTTATAAATGAGCCTGAATGGTGAGTCCTATTGAGGGGGAAATGATCGCAGCCAAATCTGAACCAGACTTTGGCCAAAGTGCTACAACCAGCACTTCCTTGCAAGATGAGAGGGGAGTAAACAACAACAACAAATTGTATTTGTATGTCCGGAGGATGTCTCACTGGACGGACAGGGTTTTGCACCTGAGCTATGGGTTGGAGTCAAGAGTGGTTGGTGTGTGGCGGGGTGTTGGTGGGAAGATGATCAAAGATGTGGTCAAAGAGAAAGGTGTTGAGACAAGCCTTAAAGGAAGCAAGGGAGGATGGTGCGAGGATGAAGGGATTCTGTGTTGGAGTTCCAGAGGATGGGAGCACATTGGCCAGACCTCCAATGGTGGAGCGGGCATGGCGGAGGGACATGGAGCAGGCATTTTTTCCAATAACGAAAGGAGATGGTGGAGGGATTGACAGAGGGGTGTGGGAGGAGAGAGAGATGAGGAAATGGTCGGAGTGGAATGGTTGCCAGGGACGAAGACAAATCAAGGGGGTGTCCATGACTGTAGGTGGAGGGGGGAGGCGGGGTGGGGGGTGGGGTGGAGAGGGGTGGGTGGGGGAGTATATCTAATGGGAGACTCAGGAGCCTGGTCACAAAAACACAACTATATCAGATTGTAAGAGAAGCAAATCTCTCAAATATCCAAACTTCAGAAAACGTTGACACGAGGGACTGGGATACATGTTCTTACACAGATCACTGAGGTCAAAATTTCAATGAAACCTGATCCGACTCCCACATATGAGATCTTATCCTTGGGAATTCCCAACTGTTCATAAACGTCAGTAGTGTAAAAGTAGATCTGGAAAACACAAAAGACCCATTAATAATAGTCCTTGCATTTGATATTGTTTCACCCACAAAAATAGAGTAAATTCACTGAACAGTATATTCTGTGAAGCACTTCGAGATGTCTCGAAGATGTGATATGGCGCTATATCAAATGCAAGGATTATTATTTATGTAGCATATTATCATGTCATTGAGCTGTCTAAAAGTGCTTCACAGGATATACTATAAAGTGAATTGACTGTATATTTTGTGGGCAAAACTTCCACAAATTAAATATATATTAAGTACATTTTGTTCATCTGGGCTCTAACTAAGTCCTCTTTCTTCCATTCCAGCAACATGGACTACCTCTGTCCCTTGGTAACCCCCAATATAGACTCATCTTACCTCTTTTGCGTCTCCAGATTACTCTTTGCAAAACCCTGTACTCTTACCACTTTTGGGCACCTCCTACCACATCCATTCCTCCCACACACACCCTGTCAAACCCCCTATAGTTCCTTCCCAGCTCAGGCTCCCAATCAGTCTCTGAAAGATTCACCCAATGTTAAAGGTGCCACATAAGTGTAAGGTTGTTGTTTAGGTTGATGTTATGGGCAAATGTTCTGAAAAAAAACTCATTCACAAATGTAGGTGGCACTGTTCACTGGGGGCAGGGAATCCTCCCACTCAGCTCCCATTAACCCTGCAAGCCAATCAGGAGGGCCTCAGTCTTGCTGACATTCAGCTGTAGAAAGTTGGCTCTCATCCAGGACTTGATGTCTGACAGACAGTCTATCAGGACATCAGTTGTCCTGGAATCGAGTGTGGAGGCAGAGAGACAGAGTTGGGTGTCATCCTAGTACACGTGGAAGTTGACCCTATGTCCGCAGATGATGTCACCGAGGGGGAGCACTAGAGGTTGAAGAGGAGGGGACCGAAGACAGAACCCTGAGGAACACGACACGAGACTGTGCGGAGACTGGAAGAGAAACTGTTGGCGGAGACAAATTGGAGACAGTGTGAGAGATAAGACCTGAACCATTCAATGACAGAACCCTGAAGGTTGAGGTGAGAGGAGAGGCAGTGGAGGAGGATGGAATGGTCTACGGAATCAAAGGCAACATAGAGGTCGAGGAAGACGAGGAGGCAGAGGGAGCCCTGGTCACAGATGGACAAAATGTCATTTGTCACCTTGACTAGAGCAGTTTCCTTGCTGTGAGCAGCACGGAAGCCCGATTGGAGGGGCTCGTGAAGGAACTGGTAGGAGAGGAATGAGCGAAGCTGGGAAACAGCGACTCTTTCAGGACCTTCAAAAGAAAAGGGAGGTTGGAAATTAGCTGGTAGTTAGAAGGCAGGGATGAGTCAAGGGAAGGTTTTTTCAGGATGGGGGTGATTATAGCTGTTTTTAGGGGAATGGGAACGGTGCCAGATGAAAGGGAGTCGGAGAATAGAGGGGCAACGAGGTGGAGCTGGGAGGTAAGGAGAGGGATGGGGATGGTGTCTTGGAGCAGGTGGTGTGTTTCATGCTGCATATGGTGGTGATGAGAGAGGAGGGGTTCGAAAATGTGAAGGGAGGGATGGGTAGGGTATCGAATGTGGGGGGGAGATGGAGAGGGAGTGGCGGTTTGGAGGGTGGAGACAGCTGAACAGATCCCCTCGATTTTGGAATCAAAGAAATCCAGCATCTCCTCACAGTCAGATGTTGGGGAGAGAATGGGAGAGACATGGGAGGGTGGACAGAGGAGCCGGTTGGTGGTGGAGAATAGGAGCCTAGGATCCCCTTCACCTCCAAGATTATCTTGGAGTAGAAGGATGATTTGGCGGAGGCGAGGGTGGAGCGGTATGTTTTGATGTGGTCCAGCCAGATCTGCCGGTGGACCGTTAGGTCAGTCTTGAGGTGGGTGCATTCGGCGACCGTCACCTGACGCTTGAAGGAGTGGGGGAGACTGGATTTTAGCTGGTTAGTCTCCAGCAGTTACCCCAACACACACTCTGGAGTCCCCCCCAAGCCTTGGCTCTCACCAACCTGCGTCTAATACTTTCTGGAATTAGGTAAGCAGGATGCCTCCCTCCAGGGAGATGGAGAGAGAGAGAGAGTGTGCATTCCATTCCAATAATCTGTGAGGTTTCCATGTGTAAGTGGGATGCATGGAATTCTCAGTTGGGTTTGGATACTCTTAAGCAACGGTGATGGGTTTCCTCCTGTGTCAGAAACCTGGCCGACCAAAACAAAATGTACTTACCACATTGATGCCGGACAGCTGTGAAGCCATACTGATCACCATGGCAGATATTAACTGCCATCGTATGGTACGGTCTCTGAACACCTCCCTAATACTCTTTGCTCTATCGCTATCAATCGCTGCCCGCTCTGCCATCATGTCATTAATTTCCTCAGTAAAATCACCTGAACCCCACAGTCTTCGCAGCGCTAGAGAGGAAATGAAACCAGAAGGTGAAGAATTAATAATAACAATAATAATCATAATAATCTTTGTGTTTGATCAGCGCCTTATCACATCTTCGGGACTCCTCCAAGCGCTTCATAGGATACACTATAAAGTGAATTAACTCTACATTTTTGGGGCGAAACGCGATAGCCAATTGCGTACAGCAGCGTCCCACAAACAGCCATGAATTAAAGTGACCAATTAATTATTCTTATTTTATTTGAAGGAATCATTATTCCTGGAAAAGTGATCCGCCAATCGACTAACAACCGGGTTCCTATTTGCTGCGAGGTAACCAGAGGCGTGTGGAGTAAGGAAGCTTGCCCAACTTTTCACCCTGCCCAGGAATCGAACCCAGGTCCCCTCGCTAGCGAGGCGAGTGCTCTAACCACTGAGCTACAGGACTTCAAGAGAAATCCATTTCATGTAAGCGACACACTCACTTACCATCCTGGCACAGGGCTCGGTTTCCTTTCTCAATCAGGAGATATCTGGGGCTCTCTGGGAACCAGGGCAGAGTGACAAGCTGAATTAGGGCTGGGAGACCACTGAACGCCAGGAGCAAAGGCCAGGTACTTTCACGACCCAGAATTTCTCTGGAGAAGAATAAAGAAGCAGATTAGCTAAAGATAAAGCACTTCCTTCCTGACATATTGTTTGGCAACATACAAATACCCAGTCATTCCACTCCATAGTAAATGCTGTGAAGCGCTTTGATTCATCCTTCTGACTCGATAAGACATTATACCAAATGCAAGGATTATTATTATTAATAGTGTTATATATATAAAATGTAAATTGTACTGTGTAAAAAGAGTACCTGCTAATGTTGGCAATGGACAGCGGTATTGATCAGAGAAAGAGCCTCGCATTTGTCTTAACCTCTTTTAGATCTGGCCCCGTATCACAAAGAGGTGCTCCAAAATATTTTAACATCTACTTTTAGAAGGGAGTCCTACACAGCCCCTACACTGTACAGTAAATTCTGTGAAGCGCTTTGAGACGTCTTCCCAAAGGCGTTACATAAAATGCGAGGATTATTACAATAGATCCTGATTAGCCCGATATGCATTCCGAGCATTGTTTTTGGAGGGGTGTAAATTTGTCGATTTTTTCTTATAGAATTGTGGCATCTTACAGCACAGAAGGAGGCCATTTGGCCTATCGTGCCTGTGCTGACTCTTTGAAAGAGCAATCCGACTAGTCCCACTCCCCCGCTCTTTCCCCCATAGCAATGCAAATTTTCCCTTTCAAGTACCTATCCAATTCGCTTTTGAGAGCTACCGTCGAAACTGCTTCCGCCTCCCTTTTGGGTGGAAGCAGATTCCTCACAAGGATCGTAACTCCTTCAAGATGCCTGGGACGCTTTTCCCTTCGGTTTGGGGTACATTTGCCAAGTGTGTTGGTCTCCCGCGCCCCCGCCCCACCGCCAGTTCACCCAAGTGACTATTCTTTATGCTCGAGTCTCCCACAGCGCTGGGTTATTCACCGCTGTCCGATCAGAACATCAACGCATGTGAGGATTCACAGCCTGAGTTGGAAGCAAAAAACGAAGCATCTCTTAAGATCCCCTTAGCTCAGTGATTGTCTTACCTGAGCCCAACGACCTGACCCATGAACTTGCCGAATGCAAAAAGCATAGGCCGACTCATGCACACAGCTCCTCTTTGATCCTTTGGCGCACTTTCCCCGAGGTACAGACTGTGACACATTATACCGAAGCCTAGCAATAGAAATGAGGTTGGAAGTGTCCTCGGGTCATGAAAACAATCATCTGAGCCATGCAACGAGTTTAAAAATCACGGGTCCACAGTCTTAGGCAAATTCTGTGGGTAATGATAGAGAGAGTCACTCCGTTTGAAAGTAAAACGAGCTTTTTCTTATGTGAACCTCGTGTTTCGTTTTTTGTTTGAGAGTGAGACGCCTTTTAAAGGTATTTCCTCCTCTTCCTGATTCTCTGCTGTTTAGCTGGTCTCGAGAAGCCATTGGAGCATGGACAGGATAGGAGTGACCTTCCTCCCTTCTCCTCTATGTCTCTCTCTCCATCCTTCCTTCCATCTCTCTCCCTCCTTTCCTCGCTTCCTCACTCCCACCCCCTCTCAGTCCCGCTCTCCCTTACTCCCTCACTTACTCCCTCCCTCCCTCATTGCCTCTTTCACTTCCTCCCTCCCTCTCTTCCTCACTCCCTCATTCGCTCATTCATTCGCTCATTCATTCGCTCATTCATTCACTCATTCATTCGCTCATTCATTCATTCATTCCTCATTCATTCATTCACTCACTCACTCACTCACTCACTCACTCACTCACTCACTCACTCACTGACTCACTCACTCACTCACTCACGCCCGCCCGCCCGCCCGCCCTCCCTCCCTCCCTCCCTCCCTCCCTCCCTCCCTCCCTCCCCCCCTCTCTCCCACATTCACTCACTCACTCACTCTCTCCCTTACTCCCTCCCTCACTCACTCACTGAGAAAGAAAAAATGTCTCAAAGCATTTCCCAGAATATACTGGAAAGTGAATTGACTGTATATTTTGTGGGCGAAACACGGCGGCCAATTGTGAAATAGCAGGTTTCCACAAACAGCCGTGGATTGAGTGACCAAATTATTATTATTATTATTATTATTATTTTGAAGGGTTTTATTGTCCTCCGGAAAAGCGAAGTGAAAAAGTGATCACAATGAGAAATTCATACCAAGTTCATCGCAGTGATACCCAAACCTGTGGATATGTCCCAGTACCTATGCTTATTCCGTACAGGAATCTTGCCACCAGGATGATCTCGAAGTATCTTGCCCTCCGGCTCAAGCCCATGATCATTGAGATCAAGATGATCGCAATGTTATTGTACAACATGCATTTCTTTCTGAAACACAAATGTGCACGTTGCTTTTGGGTGGGTGAACGGACAGGGTTCCGACACAGTCACCCACACCCACCACCTGTAACAAGACAAAAATAATTCATCTCGACCTGGCAGAAGAGGAAGGTGGGATCTGTTGCCAATATTTTGAAACAAATGAAACACTTCCCCCTCACCAATCCTCCTCAGTTCCCCCCACCCACCTCCACTGCCCCCCTCCCCATCTCCGCACACCCCCGCCCAGCTCAGATGCGCAGAAGATTACCATTAAGTACTTTGGGATTTCCTCTCGACGTGAAAGGCGCTTTATTAATGTAAAATTTGTACTGGTACTGTACATCTGTGTAAATTGCTGTTGTTGTTAAGGGAAGTTGTACCCATGATCAGGAGATTATTTGTGAACTGTCAATGACAGCACAGAAAGCAGTTTAATGGAGTGAATGGTTTTATCTCACCCCGCAATTTATTACAATCCAATAGCTTTATTTCCCCGGCTATCAAAAGCAACAAACAAATTCAACACTTCTGAATTCTGGTTATGAGCTGAAGTGGAAACCTCCTGTGTTCCTACCTCCCATACTTTGTTGTAAGGTGACCACCAACGTATGTTCCTACTATTCCCCCAACAGGAAGCACAGACACAATGAAGGACCAGATCAGTTTGGCGGCGTACTCCTGCAGAGGTGTCTCATGTCGTTCCATCCAGGTTTCATTGATAAAGACCTTGACAAACTGCAAGAAGGAATTCATACAAAATCTTAGGCAAGTTACCTTACTCCACATGCACGCCTCTGTTTGCCCATCGGTAAGTATGAACACGATTATTAGTCAATGGGTGGATCGCTTTACAGGGGTAATAATCCTTCCTCCCCCAATTTGTTTTTGTTTTAAAAATGTGGTCACTCAATCCACGACTGTTTGGGAAGCACTGCTGTGCCCAAGTGGCTTTCACCGGCCCTCCCTCCCTCGCCACTTTCAAGACCCACCTCAAGACCCTCCTCTTCGACCTTGCTTTCGATCTTACGAGGATAGGTTGACCAATTTGGGCCTATATTCTCTAGAATATAAAAGAATTAGAGGGGATCTTATAGAAACCTATACGATCATCAAAGGGCACGATAGAGTAGATAGTGGGAAATTGTTTCCCCCGGTTGGAGAAACTAAAACCAGGGGTCACAACCTTAAAATCAGAGGCAGCCCTTTCGCACTGAGTTGAGGAAGAACTTCTTCACTCAAAAGGTGGTGGATGTATGGAACTCGCTACCCCAAAGGGCTGTTGACGCTCAGTCCTTGAACATATTCAAGACTGAAATAGATAGATTTCTTATTCCAAAAAGGATTAAGGGCTATGGGGATAAGGTAGGGTCAGGTTATTAGCTGGAGTTAGATTAGAAGATCAGAAGATCAGCCATGATTGAATAGTGGGGCAGGCTCGAAGGGCCGAATGGCCTACTCCTGCTCCTACATGTTATGTTATGTCCCTGCTTCACCCCCTACCCTCCACCTTCCCCGAGCCTGACCCCCAGCTCGGGTCCGTAACTCTGTCTGTCCAGTGCCTTCGGACGTCCTCCCATTGTGAAAGGCGCTTTACAAATGCCATTTTATTGTTGCTGTTGCTGCGAATCGCCCACAAAATATATATATTTTTTGGTCAGCCGGGTGTCTGACTCATGTGGAAACCCATCACTGTTGCTTAAGAGCATCCAAGCCAATCTGAGATTTCCATGTATCCCACCCACACACGGAAATCCTAGAGATAGATTGTTGGAATGGAATGCACTCTCTCCCTCTCTCTCTCTGTCTCTCGCCCTGGAGGGATGCATTCCGGAAAGTATTAGGCGCAGGTTGGCGAGAGCCAAGGCCTGGGGGAGCCCAGAGTGAGAATTGGGGTAACTGCTGGAGTCTAACCAGTTAAAACCACGTAGGTTGCCATTGATATCACTGTCTGGCAAGCTTTCCCGCTGCTTGTCCAGCTAGGACCACCCTACCCATTAGGGCTTTGGCTTGCAGGGTTAACAGGAACTGAGTGGGAGGACCCGCCTGGCTCAGGCTTTTCCAGGGGTAATAATTCCTTCAAAAAAAATAATAATAAATTGGTCACTTAATCCACGACTGTTTGTGGGACGCTGCTGTGCGCAATTGGCTGCTGTGTTTCACTCACAAATATACAGTCAATTCACTTTACTTTGAGACGTCTCGACGACGTGATAAGGCGCTGTATCAAATGCAAGGATTATTATTATTATTATTATTAGTAGTATTATTATTATTAGAGCACAAAGTTACACCCTAAACCTGAAAGTCATGGCAGGTCATTGTCGATTAAGATGGCGCTACTTACGGCTGAGGCTGAATTGATGACGGACACATTGAAACCAAACTGGAAACTGCAGCCAATTCCCGTCACGAAGGTAAACAAGAAAAGCTTCTTCCTGTGAAGCTGCAATATAAAAATCAGAAAATGTATTGAACTGATGATAATAATAACAATTATAATCCTTACATTCGATTACAGCGCCTTATCACGTTGTCGATACGTCTCAAAGCGCTTCACAGGATATACTGTAACGTGAATTGACTGTATATTTTGTGGACAAAACACGGCAGCCAATTGCGCACAGCAGCGTCCCCACAAACAGTCGAGGATTGAGTAACCAATTTTTTTTTGAAGGAATTATTACCCCTGGAAAAGCGATCCGCCAATTGACTAACAAGCGGGTTCCTAATTACTGCTAGGTAAACCGAGGTGTGTGGAGTAAGGAAACTTGCCAACGTTTCGCCCCGCCCGGGAATCCAACCCGGGTCTCTCGCTTGCGAAATGAGTGTTCTAACCACTGACCTACATGACTCCAAGCTCCGGGTTCTGCCTGTTTTATCAATATTTCACTTGTTTATGTTGAAATAGTGGAAAGCTACTGACCTCCTCAGAGGTTTTGGTGGGGAAACATTATTTATTTTCCACTGAGATTAAGGCTAACAGTACTGAGATATTCGAAAAGCTCACAGGGGCATTTTACCTCTAGGCTCTGAAGTGAATGATTCAATAGACAAGTTAACATGTAGGAATACAGTATAAAAAGGCCCTTCGCCTGTGTCGAGTCAAGGTCAAACAGGTGGCTGCAAAATTTTCAAGCCAGCAAAAACACATCCCTCCGTCCCCCGTGTAAAGATCCTGTAGAGCACTCACCTGGTGAGCGAGAGGACCCGGGTTCGATTCCCGGGCAAAATCTTAGGCAAGTTTCCTTGCTCCACCAGCCTCTGTTTACCTAGCAGTAAGTAGGAACCCGGTTGTTAGTTGATTGGCAGATCGCTTTTCCCTCCAAAAATAAAAGACTAAAAAAAAATAATTTGTTCACTGAATCCATGACTGTTTGTGGGACACCTCTGTACGCAATTGGCTGCCTCATTTCACCCACACTTTATACAGTCAATCCACTTTACGATATATTCTGCGGAGCGCTTTGAGATGTCTCAAAGATGTGATAAGGCGCTTTATCAGATGCAAGGCTTATTATTATTGTCAGAACAAAAGGGGTCAGAAGTCACGCTTAATTCTGTTTGAGATTATGGAAATGTCTATTTACAGTTAATGTCAAACTTCTTAATTGTGATTGCACAAGAGTGCCACTTTTAACAGTCCCTGAGTCAACTCTCTCTGTACAGTTCATTATTAACCCTGAAAAGAGTGTGTAAAAACTGTTAGATGTACTGTCTGCATTGGTGCTGATTCATGATGACAGTGTAAGTCATCTAATCATAAACCCACCTCCCTGACACTGTCAAGGTCAATATGTTTACAGTGATCCATCATGCCTGTGCTGGTTCTCCAAAAGAGCTATCTGTTCAGCCCCATTCTCCCGTCCTATTTCCCCCCTTTTTTACAGTTCTCCCTTTCAGATATTTATCCCAAAGCTCTAAAGCCCCGGTTGAAAACAGAACCTGCCGAATTCCCAGCTCAGTTGCCTCCCATTCACCACCGAGGTCAGAATGGGTGCTAGTCCGTACAACTTCCTTAGGACTCATGTAATAATAATAATACTAATCATAATTCTTGCATCTGGTAGCGCGCCTTTCAAGTCGCAAGGACGTCTAAACGCACCTCCCTACATGTACTGCAAGTGTGGTGACTGTTTTGTGGGCAAATGGGGCAGCAATTTGCACACAGCAAGGTTCCACAAATTGCACACAGCATCGTCCCAATTTCATCTGGGGGATTGTTGGCCAGGACAACTGGGAGAGAGAAACTCACTCTCTTTCAAGTAGCATCATGGGATCGTTAACATCCTTCTGAACAGGCAGACGGGGTCTCTTTTTAACATCTCATCCAAAGGACGGCACCTCCCTCTCCTACAAACCCCAAGCCCTGCCTTGGAGTGTCAGTTTAGACTGGATAGATTCCAATTCCCGATGTGGGGCTTGAACACACAACCTTGTGACTCAGAGGCGAGAGTACTACCAACTGAGCCAGGCTGACACTCAATTAAAATGTTATAAGATTGCCAAAGTTGTTTTTTAAAAAAAAACTCCTCCATTCGCTTTGTTTTCCCCTAGTGCCAGCTGTGGTTCAGACCTGCTGCCAGGCCTAAGCCAATATTTCTGCATAATTGGCCACACAAAAAATGCCTGGCATCAATTCCTCTTTTATCTCTCTTTCTATCAAGGAGCACCTCAGCTGCCCGCTCAGCCTCCTTGTGGCTTAGACGAGGAGAGGAGCACTGAGTGTGGCATGAGCCCATATCCTGCCACATCACGACATTGCGTTGTGAGAAGTGACACAATGTCACTGTGCGAATAGCTCCATTCGTCACCACTTAAGCACTTTGCATCGACAGGCGATCCGTCAGAGAACCTACGCATCACCGACACCCTAATGACACATGTGGCCCACCCCAGCATTGATCAATACAGATCTGAAGCCTAAATCAAAATTCTGCGGTTGCTTCCTCACAATCGGTCAAGATTCGGAACTCATCCAGTCTAACCCGGCACTCCAATTTTTGGTCCACAGAATACGGGGTCAATTCACTTTACAGTATACTCTGTGAAGCGCTTTGAGACATCTCGAAGACGTGTTAAGGCGCTGTATCAGATGCAAGGATATTTCAGATCTCAATGACACGCGAGAGCTCTCACCACATCTTATACAAACTTCAAACCTCATTGAATTCCTGTTGTAGTTATAGAATCCAACCCTCTCTTACGGCCATTGAAGAACCAAAACATAAAAAATAAAAGTAATACTTTTGTTGTATACTTTTGTTGTATATATACCAATATACAACAAAAGTATATTTCACTCATCTCCATCTCAATCGGAACGTCCCCCCCACGCCCCCCATCTGAGCTTTTATGAATAACTGTCAAATCCTCAGCAAGCGAATTCAACAGCTATAATATAACAATAATCCTTGCGTTTGATATCGCGCCTTATCACGGCTACGAGGTGTCTTAAAGCGCTTCGCAGGATATACTGTAAAGTGAATTGACTGTATATTTTGTGGGTGAAACGCGGCAGATAATTGCGTAATAGCAGTGTCCCACAAACAGTTGTGAATTGAGTGACCAAATTATTATTATAATTGTTTTTTGGCAGGGTTTATCACCCCCAGAAAAGCGATCCGCCAATCGACTAACAACCGGATTCGTACTTACTGCTAGGTAAACAGAGGCGTGCAGCGTAAGGAAATTTGCCCAACATTTCGCCCCCCGGGAATTGAACCCAAGTCCTCTCGCTTGCTAGTGCTCTAACCACTAAACAAACAGGACTCCACAATCTAACAACCAAGGGCTGCTTCCAAGCATCAGGTGCAATCAGGAAAAATAAATTTGAAATAATATCATACCAGCTCCTTCAGCATTCTGTCCTGAATCCCAAGCTCAATGCTGCGCGATAGCAAAGTGTTGAAATGTTAGACCTTTAATATTTAAACTGGGGTGAACGTGCAAAGCATTGCAGTGTAATCTGTTTCAAATCTAATATGTTACCTATATAAAGGCAAGTGTAAAATATCTTTGTGGTCAATTGCCTTCATTAAAGGCCCGAAGAGAGGGATTTTTTCAAATGTCCTAAGTCAATAATTTAACCTCTGGATAAACAGATCTTCCGAGGTGAAGTTCCTCATTTCTTATGATAATAACTCCAACTCACAATGAACCCAGAGAAAGAGAGAAAGAGAGCGAGATAGAAAGATAGATAGAAAGGGAGATGGAATGATATCCTTATACACAGCCAAAAAAAAGAGAAACAAGAAAGCAATAGAAAGGCATGTGAACAAACATATGGAGCCAATTGGATTAACATCAGTAGATATAGAACTCTATTTCCAGACTATTGGGTTTAAAGGCATTTTTCTGGCAATAACCCTCTATACTGTACTCACCACAAAACTCTGAGACAGAATACTCTGACCAACAGTTTACCCTTAGATTGCCGGTAGGGTTCTGAGACTCCAGTCTCTGGGTGTCAATTAATTCTTCATATATTCATCTTCAACACGGACACTGAAACAAATATAATAATATTACAGCAATAAAGCTCCTCAAACCATGGCCATGGAGCGAGCGACCAATTTTTATTTTGGGAGATTATTGGCCCAGACACTGGGAGAAACTTCCTTGTCCACTTTACTCCTTAGTTCCCTCCCATAACTTTTCTCTTCCCCTCTCCCTCATGTAAAGTTCTAGCTTCCTCTTCAATGCATCTGACTATCTGATTCAACCACCATTTCAGGCAGCGAGTTCCACATTCTCACTAGCCTCTGCGTGAAGAAATTCCTCCTAAATGTTATTTTAGCCCCCTAGTCACTATCTTATACAACAACAGCAGCAACATTACATGTGTATAGAGCCTTTCATGTTGGGAGGATATCCCAGGGCGCTGGACAGTCAGTGTTTTGGACCTGAGCTGGGGGTCAGGATTGGGGAGGGTGGAGGGCAGGGGAGGGGAATGAGGGTAACCGAAGGCATGGTCGAAGAAGAGGGTCTTGATATGGGTCTTGAAAATGGCAAGGGAGGGGCGAGGCAGAGGGACTATGAGATAGAGTTCCAGAGGGTGGGGGCAGAGTGGCAGAAGGCCCGCCCACAAATGGTAGGGCGTGCGAGGTGGGGGTCGTGAAGCAGGCCGGAGCTTTCTGAGCAGAGAGCACGGGCAGGAGGGTAGAGGGTTCAGGAGGTTGCAGAGGTAGGGGGGAGCAAGGCCCATGGAGGGCTTTGAAGATGAGGACTAGGATCTTGAACTGGATCCTCTGTGTAATTGGAAGCCAGTGGGGTTGGGCAAGGATGGAGGAGATAGGGTCGCAGAGCCTAGTCTGGGAGAGAACATGGACTGCAGAGTTCTGGATGATCTGCAGTCTGTGGAAGGAGGAGTTGGGGAGGCCAACAAGCAAGGAGTTTGCATAGTCGAGCCTCGATGTTATGAATGCGTGTATGAGGGTCTTGGCAGTGGCAGAGCCAGGTGATTGTGCGGAGATGGGGGAAGGCAGAGCGGGTCATGGCACAGATGTGGGGTAGAAAGGATAGTTGCGGGTCAAGCAAGATGCCAAGGTTCCGGACTGGCTTAACAAGGTGGAGTGTGCAACCATGGATGGTGATGCTGTCCTGAGGGACAGGGGTGGTGTAGGGGTGAGGGAAAGCAGAGAGAGGGGAGGGAGACCAAAGGCATGGTCAAAGAGCAGGTGGCCTGAGGTGAGGAGGTGCTGACGGGAGCCAATCAGGAGAACCTCGGTCTTGTTGACGTTCAACTGAAGAAAGTTAGCTCTCATTCAGGACTTGATGTCTGACAGATATTCTGTCAGGACAGCAATGGTCCTGGAGTCAAGGGTGGAGGCAGAGAAAAAGAGTTGGGTGTCATCTGCATACATGTGGAAGTTGACCCCACGTCTGTGGATGATGTCACCAAGAGGGAGCATGTATTTATTGAAGAGGAGGGGACCGAGAATAGAGCCCTGAGGAACGGTAGATGAGAAGTCATTTGTGGAGGTGAAGTGGAGGCGGGGTGAGAGGTACAATCTGAAGAATTCAAGGACAGAACCATGAAGATTGAGGTCAGAGGAGAGGCGGTGGATGAGGATAGAGTGGTCGGCAGTGTCGAAGGCAGCAGAGAGGTCAAGAAGGACGAGGAGGCAGAGGGAGTCCTGGTCGCAGATGGACAGAATGTCATTTGTCACTTTGACCAGGGTTGTTTCTGTGCTGTGGGCATCACGGAAACCCAATTGGAGGGGTTCGTGAAGGGAGTGGCGGGAGAGGAAGGAGCGAAGCTGGGAAGCAATGACTCGTTCCAGGACCTTGGAGAGGAAAGGGAGGTTGGACTTTGTGTTCCCGGGTTACAGACTCCACAAAAAGTGGGACAGCTTATTTATGCTAATAGTATTGAACCCTTTTATAATTTTGAGCACTTCTATTAGGTCCCGTTGTACTGGATTGAACTCACCAAGCAGCTCTAAAGGAAGAACTTGCATAAATCAGAGAGGGATTGGGGTGAAGTGAAGATAATAATAATAATAATAATAATAATAATAATAATCCTTGCATTTAATATAGCGCTTTTCACGTCGGGAGGACGTCCCAAAGCGCTTCACAGAACACACTGTAAAGTGAATTGACTGTATCTTTGTGGGCGAACGCAGCAGCCAATTGCGCACAGCAATGTCCCACAAACAGTCGTAGATTGAAAATGACCAATTTAATTATTGTTTGGGGTTTTTGGAGGGATTATTATTAAGATACTGCATATCAGGAGTTTCCTTCAGTCTCGTCTTGGTCACCCACGCATTCGTCACCTCAAGGCTTGATTACGGGAACTCCCTCTTCATCGGCCTTCCCTTCACAAGCTGCAGATCATCCAAAACTCTGCAGCTCGTATACTCTCGCGCACCAGACTCCGTGACCCCACCACTCCCACCCTCGCCCAACTCCACTGGCTCCCCATCCCCCAGAGGATCGAGTTCAAGATCCTCGTCCTCACCTTTAAGGCCATCCATGGCCTTGCCCCCTCCTACCTCTCTGATCTGCTGACTCCCTACCAACCTGCCCTCTCCCTCCGTTCATCAGACTCCGGGCTGCTCCATGTCTCCGGCCCGACCCGCTTTACCATTAGTGGCCGGGCTTTCAGCCTCTCTGCCCCCACACTCTGGAACTCCATCCCACGGTCCCTTCGCCTCACTTCCTCCCTTGCCTCCTTCAAGACCGGTCTTAAGACCCTTCTCTTTGACCGTGCCTTTGGTCTCCCTCCCATCTCTCTGCCTTCCCTCACCCCTACACCACCCCTCCCCCATGCTCAGGCCTCGACATCTGACTGTTCAGCGCTTTGGGACGTCCTCCCGACGTGAAAGGCGCTCTATAAATGTCATTTTGTTGTTGTTGCTGATGGACAGTCCGCATTCCATTCCAGATAATAATAAGTTGTGGATTGAGTGACCAATTTATTATTCTTATTTTTCTTAAGGGATTATTACCCCTGGAAAAGCGATCCGCCAATCGACTAACAACCGGGTCCCTACTTACTGCTGGGCAAACACAGGCGTGAGACATTGCCATATGCAGGTGCCATACACAGAACTCTCAGTCTGGTTTGGATACCCTTAGTAGGGTGATGTGTTTCCACATGTGTTAGACACCCAGCTGACCAAGAAAATGTTTTTGGAAAACATTACTGTGCAAAAAACTGTAGCTAGGACATCATCTGAATGCTCGTTAAAATCTCACCCCGTCGTCAATTAACATATTCGCCTCTCCACTCCATATATTATGGATGACCCTCGCAGCTCACTTAGATATTGTTACTAAATGCACCACTTTTCGGCAATGAGATAATGGACTTCATCAGGTCCAAGACACAGAGGATCTGCTTTGCTGCCTCAGCCACTGGCATTCCTCGTGTAGCCACCCCAAACACAACTCCCCACCCAAACGCCCGCCCTCTATCACCCCCTTCATCACCCCCACCATCCCCTCGCTCTCCCTTGTTCCCCTCTTCCACCCCAACCCACCAACTGCGCCTGGCTGACATACAGTTCCAGACTCTCACACTGTCCCGTCCCTTGTGTCTCTTTCTCCAACACATTTGCCTGAAACAGCAGACTTGATTCATTCCCTTCAACGTGATGAGGATAAAAAAAAACATACCCGACCCTTTCATTTCAACATTTTTTATTGTCACTACAGAACCATGGTAACAGGAGGTATAATGCTGGTCAATGACAGTCCTGCTGTCAGGGGAGGAGATACGCCAGTCAGTGAGTGTCAATCCCACTGTAACAAGAGGAGCTCTTCAAATGTACCTTCATCAAGCCTATTGTACATTAATGTCTCAATCAGATGGTATCAACCTCACTCTAATGGAATGCGTTGATTAGTTAATGTCAATTGGCTGCCCCGTTTCACCCACAAAGTACACAGTCACTCCACTTGACAATATATTCTGTGAAGCATTTTGAGACATCTCAACAATATGATAAGGTGCAGTATCAAATGCAAGGGTTATTATTGTTACCTCACTCTGTTGGGCTGCTTTGATCGGTTAGTGCAATTGAGAAGTGTTATCAGTCCCACTGTAACAGAGGTGTCCATCAGCAATAACCCTTCTGTGACGGAAGCCAGTGGTTGTATCAAATAGAAAGGGAAGAGTCCTCCAGTGAGTGACGGTACCAGAGATAATCAAGTCAAACATGAGAATATAACACAGGAGATTCTCTATAAATGGTCAGTGCTGCCGTGGTAATGTGTCGTACACAGCGGAATGTCTATCGATGTAATTCAGCTACATGTTCACACTTCTGGTGCGATACATTAAAAAAAATTGGAGATAAATACATGAAACCGCATTGATGGGCTATTTACCCCCAATGGATTGGAGAGAGGGGATGAGGGGGGGGAAAGAGTGGGGGAAAGAGAGGAGGGAGGGAAAGAGAGGGTGGAAGAGATAGCAGAAAGGTGGGAAGGGAAAGGAGAGGACACGGGGAAAGGAGAGGACACGGGGAAAGGAGAGGACACTGGGAAAGGAGGTGGTTCTATCACCTGCGTCAGTGAGAACCACCTGTGAGGGCCAACATATCTGCTCTCAACGCTGCCTTTAATTCACCGGCTGCAGCATTGGGGTGACGCGGATTACAATGTGACACAAGAAGCGGCAGAGAGAGCTGCCCCTGCGCTGCCCGATCACCGAGAGAGTGCAGTCTGCAGCGCGAAGACATGGTGGCAATTCCATTCCAGCCTCGCGTCAGCGGGATTCTCTCTGCGGCCTAGAAGGCGGTTGACATAATGATCTCCACCGAGTTCTGTGGCAGGGTCCTGTTAGCTGACAAGCCAAACGGCACCTTTTCCCACAGGTTTCGCCTTTTGAATTCCTCCGCGATCTCCAGCGGAGTTTTCCCCATCGTCTCCAGAACAACAAAGTACGAGAAGACGGTGAGCAGCAAACAGATCCCACAGAATATCAGGAAGCACAGGTAGCCCAGGTTCTCCTGCAGGACAACAAAAACACACGCACTCAAACAATTCCTCGCTTCGCATTTGAAATTGTAAAATAAAATAAAAAGGTGGCTGCCGCGTTTTGCCCACCAAACTACACAGTCAATCCACTTTAGTCAAGCAGGAATGTCTAGCGGTGTTCGCCATGTTAAGCTGCCCGTTTGGTCTGGTTGAATATGCAGTAGTAACCCCAATGCTCGCTCTGGAGACCCCCTCTGTTTTGGCACGTGCCCTTCTGCACCTAAACAGTCCTGTGGAGTTCTGTAGCTCAGTGGTTAGAACACTCGCCTCGCAAGCGAGAGGACCTGGGTTCAGTTCCCAGTTGCACAAGTTTCCTTATTCCCCACGCCTCTGTTTACCTAGCAGTAAGTAGGAACCCGGTTGTCAGTTGATTGGCGAATTACTTTTCCGGGGGTATAATTCCTTCAAAAATCATAATAATAATAAAAAATTGGTCACTTCAATCCACGACTGTTTGTGGGACTCTGCTGTGCGCAATTGGCTGCCGTGTTTCTCCCACAAAAAATAGTCAATTCACTTTACAGTATAGTCTGTGAAGCGTTTTGAGACGTCTCGAAGATGTGATACGATGCTATGTCAAATGCAAAGACTATTATTATTAATTATAAACAATCTGGGATTGGGGAGTGTCCATCTGGGGGAGAGGGTGCGCACTCCATACCAGAAAACAGAAGCCGCCAGGAAAAATGTTGCCGTGAGGGGATGAGTCTAATGTTTTTTTTAAGATTCAGTTACTTACAACGATGAATGAGAAAAACATTCCAATAATGAAGAGTCCGAACCAGTTGAGTATGCCATTGATCACAAAACCCGCTGGTCTGTCTGATTGGAGGAATATTTCGGTGGGTAATATGATAGTTACTCCACCTGCAAAGAAATAAAAAAAAGCTAAATCAGGAAACATCTCACTCGGACTGTATTTTGTATTGTGACTGCTCTCTCTCTCTTTCTCCCTCCCTCATACCCCCATATATTCACAAGACACAAAATTCCATCCGTCTCAACCTGTAAGTCCATTTGATTCTGAAAGTTACTGAATTGTGGTTAACTCCTATACAGTTTGGTTTATAGTCCCATTCTTTATTCTCCTTCCTCTGCATTAAATAACATTTGCCATTTTGTCCGCTCTTTCGACAGGAGTATATTACAACAACAACTTGCATTTATATAGTGACCCATCACGCATGATAGTGTCCCAGAGCACTAATACCAGAAAAGGACTGTCAAGCATGATCTAAATTAGGGGCAAATAATTTGAGAAAAAGGTATCTATTGCTGTTTAACTCACCTGGGCCAATTGCATAGCTGAAGATGTAAGCAAAGATGATGAATAAGCTACAATAAGGCACCCAGTGGAGGAAACTCTGTAAGACAAAAGATAACATTGATAACAATGCCCTATGACAGTGCCCTCACACTGGCCTTCAACCCCTTCACTCCTTTATTGGAGAAAACACCCTAATGGCCTGGATAATGTCCAGACAGATTTGATATTGTGATATTGATGTTGTGGAGTCCTGTAGCTCAGTGGTTAGAGCACTCGCTTTGCAAGTGAGAGACCTGAGTTCAATTCCAGGCAGAGGGCGAAACCTTGGGCAAGTTTCCTTACTCCACACTCCTAATAATAATTCCTCCAAAACCAAAACCAATAATAAATTGGTCATTTTCAATCCACGACTGTCTGTGGGACAATGCTGAGCGCAATTGGCTGCTGCGTTCGCCCACAAATATACAGTCAATTCACTTTACAGTATATTCTGTGAAGCGCTTTGGGACGTCTAGAAGACTTGAAAAGCGCTGTATCAAATGCAAGGATTATTATTATTATTTAAGGTTCAAAATCTCGTCTGTGCTAAATTAGCTGATCTCACCCAGAGAGTTAGGATTTCATCGTTGTGCTCAGCTACTCTGGGTCAGGAAGGGAAACATCAGCCAGGCTTTGCACCTTCTAAGACCATTCTGAAAAGCTTGGACCTTAGCTACGATGTCTCCCTCAGGTCAACAGACCAGTTGCAAAGCTCCTAGGAGTATAATAGCCACTTGGGCGAGCTATTGGAAAGTGTCTGGTCGAAGTAAAAAAAAGGAAATAATAAGTCATATCATAATCATAACAATCTGTGGATTTGGTATAGCGCCTTTCACGTCAGGAGGAGATGGGAGATGGAAAAATAATTTTTAAAAAAATCAGCAATGGAGAAAAATTGGATGAATATATTTTGCTAAACGATTCCTGAAATTTTTGCGATCAAACATTGGAGGGCGAATGAATGGTTTTCAGGCTCGCTGTTGTGTTTGCAGGAACTGCATTGGGGCCGCAGGGCACAGAATGCTTTAAATAAAACATAGGCTCCATTTCAACCCCTGAAAGACACTCTCTCCTTTAGGTGGTGCTATTTCCAAAGGACAGAAATGTTCTAGTCTTGATAGAGACCATTAAAAATCATGGGAAATTGGTCAATTCTAGCATAAATCATGCTGGGAACTTCCATCTTAATGCCAAACCATGACAATCAATATCCCTCATTCAATGTCCCTTTAAGCGCTCGGAAACGCTGCCCGGTGTGAAGGCACTATATAAATGCAAGTTGTTATTGTTGTTGTTGACCTCTTCCCAATTGATTTAATTTCCAGCACAAAGTTAGACATGTGACTGATTGCTGGCTGTGTGCTCTGCAATTAGATTTCCCTCGATAAAGACAGCGAAAACCATTGCTATTTTTGGTCAGTAGTATTAGTAAGGCGTCACTGTCTAGACGGAAGCGTGTAGAATGACTGGCTGAATGAAGACTGTCACTGCACGTGGAACTATACCCAAGAATGTGTCACCATCTTCTGGAAACAAAGCGTTGGAGGGAGACAGAAACATCATAGAATGATAGAAATTTACAGCCCATTCGACTCACTGAATCTAGCAGAGGTTCTCAGAACAAGGTATTTGGTCAATCCCACAGCCCCGCCCTATCCCCATTCCCCTTCAAACTTCTATCAACAACAAAAACAAATTACATTTGTGTAGCGCCTTTCAAGTCAGGAGGACGTCCCAAGGCACTGGACAATCAGGGTCCCAAGCTGGTGGTTGGGATCAGGAAGGTGAGGAGGGTAGGGATAGGAGGGTGACCGAAGACATGGTCAAAGGAGGATCTCAAGACTATTCTTCGTATACCTATCTATTTCCTTCTTTGAACCCACAGTGGACTCTGCCTCTACTACCATTGGTTAATAAATGTGCTGGCTGGCATTGTGTGACTCACTTCACAACCATCTCGGAAAGAAACTTCAAAGAATACACTTTTCAACATGGCAATAACTCCTCCAAAACTGATGGATGCACAGAAACAGGACAAAGAAACGAGGTGACAGAACCAACATATATGAACCCGGGCCATTCTCCCAACAAATGTTTGGTAGAGAGCCGGTAGGTGTTTATAGGTTCAGGAAAGGTTTCAGCATTCACTGAGATGTATAAAAATCAATCCTGAATTAAAGTTAAAAGGCAAGAAAACACTTAAATCAAAGTGAAAGTGTTCTGCCTGGAAGGGCAACTTAACTACACGATAACAATTTGATTATTTTGCGTTCAATGTTTGAATTATCACAAGATGTTTTAGGAAGAAGAAGGACCTCTCAACCCATCTGATCACATCCTTCCTAAATGCCCCATCTCAGCGTCAAGCTCGTTTTTTTAAATGAATCCAGTGTCCTGGCTTCATCTACCCTTCCTGGCAACCTGATGCAGTCATAGATGGAGCTAAGAATATATGTATTCCAGGGCTTCTCCTGTCAAACTCCTTTTCAAACTGGCCAAAAGCTTGAACGACGTGTCTGACGCTGCTGTTTTCTTGCAAAACTGAAATTAATTTATTTCTTTGTTTCATCTGAAATGCAAACATCTCAGCCCTCGGTTTTTGCAACATGTACTACAGCGTGTGAACCAACAGGGGGCAGAGGTAGCACTTGGCAAATGCTTAACAATCGACCCGTCCATTAAAAGTTTTTCCCGATAACATCATAAGAACGAAGGGACGTACAGGTCAGGAAAACAGGTGCAGTCCACCTGGCCTGCCTCAAGGAGAAAGCAAACAAATATTGCTTAAAAATCTCTCGCTGTTCTATCTCTCGTGCCCTTCGGTCGATTCATTTGCAAAATAAGTAGCTCAATTCTGTCTAGAATTTGTAACACAATCGTCCTTCGGATGAGACATTAAACCGAGGTCCCGTCTCCCTGTTCAGGTGGATGTTAAAGATCCCTTGGCACTATCCCCAAATAAAATTGGTCACTCACTCCATCACTTTCTGTGGGACATAGGTGCTATACAAATGTAAATTTGCTGTTGTTGTCGTTGCTGTGCGCAACTGGCTGCTGCGTTTCGCCCACAAAATGCACAGTCGATCAAAGGATTTACTGTAAAGTGTAATGACTGTGTATTTGTAGGCAAATGTGGTAGTCAATTTGCACACAGCAATATCCGACAAACAGCAATGAAATAAATGACTCATTTTACTTGGGTGGTGGGGGGGGGGGAGCGGGTTGTGTGCCAGGACACTGGGGAGAAACTCCCTTCTCTTTTCTGATAATGCCCTGGAATCATTAACGTCAATCAGATCAGTCAGATGAGACCTCGGTTTAGGTTCCAAAGGACAATACAGCGCTCTTCCAGCAATACCCTGGAGTGTCAGCTTCGGTTTTAAGTTGAAAGTCCCCAATCTCTGACCTAGTGGCAAGAATGCCCCCAACTGAGCCAGAATGACATCAACATATTCCACCATTTACCTGCATCTAAAAGAGAATATCTATATCTCAAAGGTAAGCCTCACAGGTACATCTACCTAATGTACATCTGTACTTCCCAATTTAAAGAATTGAGAGTATATCCAGACATTTACTCACAAAATAGATATACCATTCACAAAGCAGTGTAGTGTCTACAACACTATATTGTATATACACACCTGCAGATTTTACACAGGTCTTATAATAATAATAATCATAATAATCTTTTTGATTTCATATAGCGCCTTATCACTTCTTCGAGACGTCTCAAAGCTCTTCACAGAATATAACAATAATAATCCTTGCATTTGATATAGCGCCTCATCACGTCTTCTCGACGTCTCAAAGCGCTTCACAGAATAGACCGTAAAGTGAATTGACTGTATATTTGTCGGCGAAGCATGGCAGCCAATTCTGCACAGCAGTGCCCCACAAACAGTCATGGATTGAAGTGACCAATTTCATTATTTTTTTTCTTGAGGGATTATTAGCAGGCGTGTGGAGTAAGGAAACTTTCCCAAGGTTTTGCCCTGCCGGGAATCGAACCCAGGTCTCTCGCTTGCTAGGCGAGTGCTCTAACCATTGAGCTACAGGACTCCTATATATACTGTAAAGTGTATTGACTGTATATTTCGTGGGTGTATACATATACATCTTACAGAGACCACACATATCTTGGTACAACAAACAGAATCTATCCAGTCATGCTAAGCCTCTCATTGTTTCGCTCATACGCTCAGCACGTTAGCCTTTTGCCAGGGACTGTCATCCCTGGAACTCCAATTGGGATGTGCAACCACTCATCTCATAAGGTGGTGATCAGCTCAATAGAAACATTTCAGTATTCTGACAATTTAACAGGACCATTCAATGATGCCATTCCAATCACTGGTGCCATTCATTTATTAGTGCCAATCCATTGAAAGCTGACAGTCTTCATTACTGGAGTTGGAGAACAGGACATGTGAGCGTTTTTGCCAATTCCCCCCCCACCCCTTTGTAAGCCACCCCACCATGGGAGGAATTCACAGTTAATGCCAACCCTAGTCCCAACAGATAGCCACGCAAATAGAGCTTGGAGATAGCGAACCCGGGCTGGTTTCCTCCTTCTCTGGCCCTGGGGTCACTCAGGTCAACTGTACCATCCCTACCCCAAACCCAGTTAAGATGTGGTAACTCAGCACTGGTCAGGAATGGAGCATGCAACATTGAGGTCTGTAAGGCTGACTGCTATACACCAAGCAGTGCCTTTACCCATATACCCATGTAATTTTGTTGTTGCTGTAGATCTTTGGGGAAGCTGAGTACATGTTTTGCCAGAGAACCACTGACACTTACAGTACAGAAGAAGGCCATTATGAATAACATTCTGTATCGTGTGAAGCGCTTTGAGACGTCTCAATGACGTGATAGGGCGCTGCATCAAACGTAAGGATTATTATTATTATCTAACAACCACAGAGTCCCATGCTCTTTTGACCATTCTTTAATTAAGTTTCCATCATCCATGCCACCTTTTCATTAATACTAATTCATTAGTTTGACAGGGAGGGAAAGAAATTTTGCCCATTGCCCTGGCCAATAAATGCACAAAAAAAATTGGTCATTCATGGCTATTTGTGCGACATTGCTCTGCACAATTGACTGCTGTATTTGTATAAAAAATTCCAGTCACTACAACAACAATTTATTCATGCCAGGTGGTGTCTCGGAACACTACACTTTACAGTAAATCATGGGAAGGCTTTGAGAAGCCTCATATAGGTGCAACATCAAGTTATATCAAATCAAGCATTTTAATAGTTATTATAGCAAGCTACTTATTTGCATACCTTATCAAAAAACCCTTTGAAAATCTATCCAAATGCATGACATTACTTTAGTGATTTTCTCGGTTATTGCAACAAAGAACACACTATAACCCGCATTACAGAATAATAGTCTTTGGGAAACAAAGATTTTATTTTACTATATTTATAAATCATTCCCGATAGACCTTAAATCACTGCCAGTAATCTCCACATCAAGGGGACTGTCAAGGATGAACAGACGCTACACATGATATCAACCTGTAAACACTCGGAAATGGAGCTATCACGCTCCCCTGCCTTACCTTGGCTTCAAGACCTTTCTTTAGTGGAAAGAACTGAATGTGAATAAAAAGAGTAATCTGTCTTACATCGTGTACCTGCACTGTAAATGATTATCCAATCTTTGAAACATCATGTCCTCTGGTGTATAGATTGTGCTTGGAGATAGCTAGCTATCATGCCCAGAATCTAATCCATCATTTTTACATACTCAAGTTTTCCTCTTGCCTCCCGTGGGTAATAAATTCCAATATCTCCTCTTCTTAAAGTCCTGCTGTATTAACTGAAAAGCAAGGAGAAAATCCAGGTGGTTCCTGCTTTAGTTACCAAATATAGTCTACCACCACCTGAACTGCCACTGTCAATAGACCACCTCTCTCACACAGCCAGCACCACTGAAACATCAACAAGATACATGTGTGACACTAACGGGCAGAGGTGATGGCACAGAAGTGGAAAGAAAGTTTAAGTTGGTGAGTTGTGTCAAGAGGAGGAGTTCACATCGAAACAGCCTACAAGGGGGAGATGGGCAGAGAACATTGCCAAGCTGTTGAAACAACAATGGCAGATGTTGGTTTGGGACAAGGGCAGCAAACACCCACCGATAGTCAACAAAAGCCAGTACCAACAGATTCAACCTGAACATTCCCACAGAGTCAACAGCAACAGAACAGTCTCAAGACCTGCCTTTTCAACCATGCTTCGGTCATCTTCCCTCCTCCACCAACCCCTCTCTAATCCCAACCTGCAGTTTGGGTGCAAACCCCTGATGGTCCAGCACCTTGGGACCTCCTCCAAACGTCAATAGTCACCAACCAGACAACACCAACAGAGCTAACCCCAACAGAGTCAATATGAACAGACAAGGCACCAACAGAGCCAACACCAACAGAGTCAATACCAACAAGATCAGCAGCAGTAGTGCCCAAACATCCCACACCATTACCAGGGCCATACATTACACCCTTACCATCAACCCTCTACATGTTGTAGATCATCAAAAGCTTCACAACCTGTAACCTTAACCTTTCCCAGGCTCCGCCAGCCCATCACCCCCATCCTCACCAACTCCAATGGCTCTCTGTTGCCCAGTGGTTTGACCTTAAGATCCTGGTTCTAGATTTTAAATGTCTCTATCCACTGTGATTTCCTGCATTTCGACTCTCCACCCACTCGCTTCAACTCTGCCAATTTAAATGTCAGACTGGCTCATTTGGTAGCACTTTCACCTCTGAGTCAGAATTTAGTAGTTTAAGCCCCATGTTGGGACTTTGATCTCATAGTCTAAGCTGACACTACAATACTCTGTGTTGGGAGCACTTCTGACTATATATTTGTGGGTGAAACGTGGCACAGCAGTCATGCATTGAGTGACCAAATTATTATTGGTTTTTTGAGGGATTATTATTCCCGCAAAAGCAATCCACCAATCGACTAACACCTGGGTTCCTCCTCACTGCTAGGTAAGCAGAGGCGTGTGGAGTAAGGAAACTTGCCCAACATTTCACCTTGCCTGGGAATCAAACCCAGGTCTCTCGCTTGCGAGGTGAGCGCTCTAACCACTGAGCTACAGGACTCCGCTGGAACTACAGGAGATGGTAAAGCCTGTTAAAGATCTCTTAACACTATTTGAAGAGAGCGGGAGCAAAGTGGCTAAAAGCTCATCCACTGATGTAATCAGCCAGAAGTTAATGCATCTCATGTCCTACAGATGATTAAAACTGATCGCTTTCGGGCTTGAATGATTTATACGATTCTCAACTCTTGTAACTGCTCGCTGTAGATTTTGTACAATTGCTACAAGAGCCCAAGGTGAATCCCAGTAAAACTAAAAATAAATCTCATTCGTGCTGAAAAATATAACTGGGGAGTTAGCGATAAACACTGATGTTTCTGAAACTTTCCCTGATGGCCTAAGAGGTAAAAGCCCTAAAGTCACTCTTTACATTTCAAAGCTGCACCATGCACAGTGCTTCACCAATCTGTCCGCTCCCTCCGTTCGACAGGCATTGGCCTGCTTCATGTCCCCTGCCCTACCTATCTGCCCTCGGGCCTTCAGCCTCTCTGCCCCCAACCTCTGGAACTCCATCCTGGAGCCCCACCACCTTGCCCACCTCCCTTGCCTCCTTCAAGGCCCATCTCAAGACCTTATTTTTCGATCGTATCTTCGGTCATCTTATCTCCGCCACACCCCCTTGCCCTTCACTCTCTCTCTAATCCCAACCCGCAGCTCGGGTGCAAACCCCTGATTGTCCTGTGCCTTGGGACGTCCTCCCGACGTGAAAGGCCCTATATGAATGCAATTTGTTGTTGCTGTTTATTGCTGCTGCACTGAGGTCTGATGTTACCGCAGTTCAATTCACAAACTCTTCAAAGTTTCATTAACTGGATGGAGATTTAGAATGACAAGAGGAACTCTCAACAAGAGGTAGTAACTCATACAGATTTCAGTGACTGTTAAGTAACTATTGTTAGTTATTATAACATTATGAATTACTAGAAGATTCTTTCCCTTTCTTTCCCCACATCCAGTTGCTCCTCACCTGCAGAGATAGACTGATTGTCAACAGCCCCGTCCAAATAGTCATGAAAGCAAATCCTCCCCATAGCAGAACCTTTCTCCCAGCTCGTTCGATAAGACAAGCCTGTTGAACAAAATACATACAAATAAATCTGTTAGGAGCAATACAGCAACTTACTCTGGCCTTAGCAGAGTACATAGTATCACAGGAGAGCTAGTCCACCTGCTCAGGTATCTGACTATCAATGAGCCCACAAGTAGCAGACTGAAAGTCATTCCATCAATAATATTAATAATCCTTACATTGGATATAACTCCTTATCACGTCGCTGAGACTTCTTAAAGCACTTCATAGGATATACTGTCAAGTATAGTGACCGTGTGTTTTGTGGGCGAAACACAGCATCCGGTTGTGCACAGCAATTTCCCACAAACAGCCATGGAGTGAGTGACCAATTTTATTTGGGGAATTGTTGGCCAGGACACCGCGAGAGAGAAAATCCCTCCTCTTTTCAAATAGTGCATGTAACATCCACCAGAACAGGCAGATGGGACCTTGGTTTTTAACGTCTCATCCGAAGGATGACATCTCCAACAATCAACACACTCCCAAGCACCACATTGGAGTGTCATCTCAGATCTTGTGATTCCAAGTCCTGACATGGGACTTGAACCCACGACCTTCTGACTCAGAGGCGCGAGTGCTACCAGGTTGACACACAAGTCATGTCTGACAATGGAGGGCCCAATCATTGCAGGGATAACGGGAGTTGAATGGGAGGATTCTCTGCCCCCAGTGACTGGTCTGCCCTTCCAAGTCCTGCCAATGAGCCAGGCTGGGCTGTGCTGCCATCAGCAGTGCCCTGGAATGTGGACCTGCCTATCTCAGGAACCAGACTACCAAGACCGCCACAGAGGGGTGGGTCTATTCCAACATTCCATTGCCAGGCATGTCACCTTGGAGCCAGTTCAGTTCCAAGGAGATCCCACTTACCTCCCCCCCCCCCAAGGAGTTGGGTTACCAGTTGGTCGTTTGACAAGCGGAGCTCTGAGCCCTCATTAGGGTGGATGGAAGGGACCAGGAACTCCCTGCAAGCTTCCCGGTGGGCACCACAGCTCAGTATGAATACTTTATCTTTACATGGGATCTATCTGGGGCCGGGTTCAAGGTCTTCCCTGGTGCCTCCTTGTCTCCGGTCAGACATGGGTGTCTAAGCCAGGAAGGTGCACAGTAATCCAAGACACTGCTGATGGTTGACTGAACCTGTCTGGCCCATCAACGAACATGGAAATTTAGACGTGTCAGTTTATACCTCAGCCCTTGAACTTCAATAATTATCCACATTTTCTTCAAATTTGGCCAATCATACTCAACACTGCAACTGGCCCTGTGTCTAGGCATCGGTAAGCCACGTCATTAATTCAAACGAGTTTGCTTTTGATCTTAGGAGCTGTCAGACACAATAATCCTTGCATTAGTTACAACGCCTTTCACATCAGAAGGACGTCTCGAGCGCTTCAAAGTGTAGTGACTGTGCATTTTGTGGGTGAACCTAGATTCACATTAATGATTTGCACTGTTTCTCATCATTCTTACTTCAGTTATCTGGTTCAGATTGGTACCTACACATAGTATGAGGGTGAACATTTCAGTCAGTCCAGTTCCAATAGACACATATGGTATTATTCCTTTGGGTATTCCTACTGCGTAGAAAATATCAAAGGCATAAAAATAGATCTGAAAAACAGGAAACGGTCACGGGTATTTTGAGATTAAAAATATTAGGTTTGAAAGCTAAGCCACCATACAGTCACATTGTGTTAAATAATTAGGAACAATATTCAATGCCCAAATTTCCTTTTAACATCTTAGTAATTTCAGGCAAGAATAAAGCTTTAATCCATTATTATTACAGGGACAGATGGAGTCTCGATTTAATGTTTCATCCGAAAGAGCGGACGTCCAGCAACACAGCAACAACAACAACAACAAGATTCCATTTATAAAGCGCCTTTCACGTCAGGAGGACGTCCCAAGGTGCTGCACAGTTGGGTCATGACCCGAGCAGGGGGGAAATGGTCAGGGTGAGGGGGAGGGAAGGGAGGGAGCGAGGAGGGGGAATGGTCAGGGTGAGGGGAGGGAAGGGAGGGAGCGAGGAGGGGGAAGAGAGTCGAGAGGGGAGCTGAAGGCTCGGTCAAAGAGAAAGGTTTTGAGACCGGCCTTGAAGGAGGAAGGGAGGAGGCGGCGAAGGCACTGGGGGATAGGAGTTCCAGAGCCTCGGGGCTGAGAGGCTGAAGGCCCGCCACCGATGGTAGGGCGATTGGGGCGGGGGACGTGGAGCAGACCGGAGCCGGAGGAACGGAGGGTACGGGCAGGTAGGTAGGGGGATAGTAGGTTGGAGAGGTAGGAGGGAGCGAGGCCGTGAATGGCCTTGTAGGTGAGGATGAGGATCTTGAATTCGATCCTCTGGGGGATGGGGAGCCAGTGGAGGCGAGCGAGGGTGGGAGTGATGTGGTCCCGGAGTCTGGTGCGGGACAGTACACGAGCTGCAGAGTTCTGAATGACCTGCAGTGTGGAGGGAGGTGGCGGGAAGGCCGGCGAGGAGAGAGTTCCCATAGTCCAGCCTTGAGGTGACAAAGGCGTGAACCAGGGTTTCAGCGGCGTGAGGGGTGAGGTATGCCATAGTCTGGCGATGTTCCGGAGGTGATGGAAGGCGGTGCCAGTTGTGGTGCGGATGTGAGGGAGAAAGGACAGCTCAGGGTCGAACAGAACACCGAGGTTCCTGACTGGCTTTGCGAGGTGGAGAGTGCAGCCTTGGATGCTGATGGTGTCAGCGCCTGAGGTGCGGAGGCGCTGACGTGCGCCAATCAGGAGGGCCTCGGTTTTTCGCACGTTGAGCTGAAGAAAGTTGTCTCTCATCCAGGACTCAATGTCGGACAGACAGCTGTCAGGACATCAGTGGTCGTGGAGTTGAGAGTAGAGGAGGAAAGGTAGAGTTGGGTGTCATCCCCACTCCCCAAGCACTGCATTTCAGTATCACCATAAACTGTATGTGATTTCCAAGTCCCCGACGTGGGGCTTGAACCTACGACCTTCGGACTCAGAGGTGAGAGTGCTACCGACTGAGCCAGTCATCATACTTGTTAATGGTAACCCTGACTGTAAACTGTACACACAAGTGGAAAGTGAAAAGTTACAGCAAGTTACAGTCATTGACAGAAGGAGTAATTCATCATATTTGTCCGCTGACTAACACAGATTATAACTTACAGCTATTACACATATTACTGTAACAGTTATTTATAACATTGTACTTACGGCGTTGATGCCACTTAGCTGCAGAAACAACGAAATCATCAGGTTGATGATAAGCTGGCAACGTACAGATCGGTCTTTGCACAGCTCGAAAACACTCCTCGCCTTCCCATTGTTTATTGCATCTCGTTCTGCCTGCATGTCCTCAACCTCCTGGCTAAAATCACGCTTTCCCCACAGTCTCTGCAGGGCTGTGAGTAAAACAGAAAGGAGGCAAGGAACACATCACTTTAACTTCTGAGGAAACTTTGCTGTAAGATGCGGTCAGTGTTTCGACTGAGCTCAGGACCAAAGGATTTACTGTAAAGTGGAGTGACTGTGTATTTGTAGACGAATGCCGCAGCCCAATTGTGCACAGCGATGTCAAACAAACAGCCATGAAGTGAGTAACCAATTTTATTTTGTGGGACGCCGGGGGAAACAACAACAAAATTACATTTATAGAGCACCTTTCACGTCGGGAGGTCATCCCAAAGCGCTGGACAGTCAGGGGTCAGAACCTGAGCATGGGGGAGGGGTGGGGTAGCGGTGAGGGAAGGCAGAAAGGTGGGAGGGTGACTGAAGGCACGATCGAAGAGGAGGATCTTGAGACCAGCCTTGCAGGAGGCAAAGGAGGAAGCGAGGTGAAGCAACCCCCTTCTCTTTCCGAGTATTGGCTTGAGATCTTTAACATCCACCTAAACAGGCAGACAGGAGCTCGATTTAATGCGTCATCCGAAGGACGGCAACGCCAGCACTGCGCTGGAGTGCCAGCGTGAACTATATGAGCTCAAGCTCCGATGTGAGGCATGAACCCACAACCTTATGACTCAGAGGTGAAAATGCTCTCAACTGAGGCAGGCTGACACACATCTCCACCATATTTTGGGACTGAGGAATGGAGGGGATGATCTACTCACACACTAAGCTCAGGAAATACTGCATTCTTGCGTTCAGAGAATGATCCCTCATTTCTAGAGAAATTGTCCTCTGTGAGATAAACTGTTGTCACTTGCCGTTGATGGATGAGGTTCTGTTTCCTTTGTCAATCATGAGGTAGCGAGGGCTTTCTGGAAACCAGGGCAGGATAACAAGCTGCATAAAGGCAGGTATGGCATTGAAGGCCAACAGTAAAGGCCAGGTACTTTCGCTGCCTAATATTTCTCTGGGGAAAGAAAAAGAGTAGCTTATCACACACAGATCTGAGACACTCATTCTAAACTGTTAGCTTAATAATAATAGTAATAATGATCCTTGCAGTTGATATAGCGCCTCATCACATCATTGAGACGTCTCAAGGTGTTTCACACAATAGACTGTAAAGTGGAGTGACTGTGTATTTTCTGGGCGAAACGCGGCAGCCAATTGAGCACAGCGACGTCCCACAAACAGGCTTTAAATTTAAAATGCTGCAAGCCAAAAAAAAAAATCCAAATTTGTATCTATTCAAATTATTTAATGTTCACTTTTATTCATTTAAATAGTTGGTTTATAAACAATATAATGATAACTAATATTATCATAATAATTAATAATAGGATCATATTTGGAGTCGTTTCTTAAGCGAGTAAATCGTTCCGATATATTAACATCTCCAAGAGAACGGCTACATTATAATCCTGAATATTACGGATGAGATGTCTCTACAATTACTACTGTTTCTCAATACCCACACCCCTCCACCCCCATTCCTCGGTGGGCTTCACAAAGAATTTCTCCTGTGTGACATAAAGAGGTTCTATGCCAGGCCCCTCTCACGCAGCACGCAAGAAATTAATTTTACGCCTATGATTGCTTTACTGCTTTGCAAAGAGACTTACTTGAGTCCCATTATCTGTCCGGTGCATTTACCAATGGAAATGGATATTGCGATACTCAGAGTCACAACCCCTCGAAGTTTCTTTGGTGAACATTCCATTATGTAGATGCTGTGGACGTGTAGGCCAATCCCTTTAAACACAAGAAGCTCGGTAAATAAGCAACAACAACAACAACTTGGATTTATATAGCGCCCTCCTCGCCGGACGGCGTCTCAGAGCGTTTAAATTATGAAAGACTTAAAAATATGAGCCTCACACTTCCTGTACCAGTTTTGATCAAAAAAGAATCTGGTCACTCAATCCATCACTGGGTGCTGCCTTCCATCACAACTTCAAGCCGTTTTTCTAATGAATCCGGTGTCCTGGCCTTAACTGTCCTTTCTGGCAACTTGATCCATTAATCAATGCTCTTGACTGGGAGAAATTATGGTTCAACTGGTAATGATGTGAACACTGGGCAAACAAGTCTTTGCCTCTTTAACAATCAATGGCTTGAGTCTCAGCAGGTGTGTGACGCCTACTCCAGAAAGGAAAGCGAACGGAACCAAGAGAGGAGACAAGATCGACCTGGATAATAAATGAAATGGACACTGGACAGCAAAGCCACTGGCGAAAAAAGAGGACTTACGCCAGAAGCTCTAGAGTAGCCTTGACAAGTGGGAAACAAAAGCAAAGCTGAACAGTGAGTGAACGGGAAAAGCATATTTTCCAGCTGCAGCTGAAGTTATATCAAAACCCACGATAAGGCTCAAACCATGAGAGAAAGTTCTGATAAGGGTCTATTAGGGTCTATTTTAGGGGTCAAATGGGTGTAGAACATATACGGAGACCTCGTCATCGAGACGTATCAAAGTGTTTTGCAGGATATACTAGAAAGTGGTGTGACTCTGTATTTTGTGGGCAAACAGGACTATCAAATTGAGCATATCAATATTCCATAAACAGCCGTGAAGTGAGTGACTAACTTTATCTGGTCACAACATCAATTCAGCAGAATTAAGTTACCTTATTAAAAAAATAATAATAATCCTTGCATTTGATATAGCCTTATCACGTCAGCAGTTAATTACCTACAGCAGTGTCTCACAAACAAACAGTCGTGGATCAAGTGACCAAATGTTTTTTGTTTTTTTGGAGGGATTATTCCCCCCGGGAAAGCGATCTGCCAATCAACTAACACCCGATTCATTCTCATTCGCAGTACCTCCTTGTATTCCGTACAGGAACCTTGCCATCAAGATCATCTCGAACGATTTGGCCATCCTACTGAACCCCACAAACACAGCAGCCACGAGGGTCAAAAAGTTGCTGAATATCAGCGAGTTCTTCCTGGAACACAAGGCATCGGTTTGGTTTGAAAGGGTTCATCGAGCAGAATGGCTTTTCATCAATCTTCAAAATCAGAGCCTGGGATGTCTCACACTCACGCAGAGTGAGCACAGCTCCCAGCGAGCAGGCAGTCCAACCAATTAACAATGTCTTGCATATCGGGTGCAAAACACCTGCTTTCATTTATTTCAATATCCTCTCACTCGGCTACAAATCCCTTTAGGCCCTGGCACTTTCCTACCTTTCTGATCTCCTCTCTCCCCACTCCACTACCTTCTCCTTCTGTTGGGCTGGCTCTGGCCTCTTGCTTGTCCCTCGTCCCCTCCGCTTCACCATCAGCGGTTGCACTTTTATCCACTACACCCCGAAGCTTTAGAACGCTCTCCCCCAATCACTCCACCTTGACCCTCCTTCCCCTCTTTTAGATCACGACTGAAGACCTTCATCTTTGACCGTGCTCACGGTCACCTCCTCCCTCCCTCCAGCTCAGCATCAGGCTCCGCCACTTACGTGCTCTGCCACGCTGTCCCACTTGAAGAGAGCTATATAAATGCAAGTTGTTGTTCTCCAATTTATTCATGAAACATGAGGTTTAAATGGTGCCTGATTGGGGTTCTGGGAATAGGGGGGAAAAGGACCATATTCTTGTGTTCCTACCTTCCATATTTTACTGAGAGGTGTCCAGCGATCAGAGCTCCTATCAATCCGCCGATCGAATAAATAGATACAATGACTGACCAGATCATTTTCACCTTATTCTCTCCAATCACTGTCTCGTATCGCTCCCTCCAAGTCTCATTGATAAAACACTTGATGTACTGAAATTGCAGAATATAAACATTGAGATGTTCTTTCTGTCGCTGTTCAGGTTTAAACCCCTTCTATTTGTGACAATCTTAGCATTTACCTGCTTCTAATGAATCCCCAATGCATAGCACTAAGCATGCAATGTGCCAATGGTTAAGTGAGTAATATAGAGGAGGAAGGCCCTAGGTTTCATTCACAAGTCTGTGTCGAATTACCTGATCTTATCCAATAGAGGTGTTCAAAATTATGAAAGGGCTCAATCGGTGGCCATGCCATAGGCAGTTTCCGCTTGCTGTCAAATCCAAAACAAGACAGCGTAAACTAAGATAGGGGAGTTCAGAAGGAGTTCCTTATGCAGAGGTTGGTGACAATATAGAAGAAGCTATGAGAAGCTGTTGTTGAAGCAGAAAGGATAAGAGGAAACCATAAGGGAGAGGGGATGAGGAGAGGTGGAGGCTCATGTGGAGTATAAACACTAAGTGCCGAAAGGCCTGTTTCCTTGCTGTACAATCTATTCATTCTATGTAATTTAGTCAGGCCAGTAGCAGAGAGCGATTGGCCTCAGCATCCCTGAGTGAGAGAGGTAAAAAAAAACATCCTGGGTTGTCAGCTCACGGAAAGTGCATGTGTGTGGACAGCAAGAAAGGCAGGTTTGGATACAGCTGTGATTCCCCACATGGTGACACAACACACCAGCAATCATTGTCTGGGCTCAAACATGAAACACTTGATGAATGACTGGATGGCAGCTTAGCCTCCGACATCAGTCAGCACCTTCACTAAAGGACGGGAGATGATAGGAAGTTAATCATTGGTACCTTTGATCCAACTGTTCAATGGTAAAAGCATTTTAGTCCCACATCACAGGCAATTTACAAATGCTAAAAATGTACTCCCAAGGTTTTTCTTAACACGTCGATAATAGATAATAATGATTATTATTCATAATAATGGATAAACATAAAGTAGAGATATGTTGCTCACGGCTGATGGTGCATTAACGAGAGACATATTCAATCCGTGCTGGAGAGTTCCTCCCAACCCCGACACGAAGATCAGCATCAAAAGAATCTTCAGATGTAACTGAGTGAAGAAAAGTGTCAGCATTCAGAAACTCAACAATCTGTGCTTTGGATGAGATGTCAAACTGAGATTCCATCTGTCTGTTCAGGTGGATGTTAAAGATCCCATCTCACACCTGAGAAGAAACAAGAGTTTCTTCCAGTGTCGTAGATTACAATCTCCCAGATAAAATTGGTCATTCACTTCACGGCTGTTTTCGGGGTGACATTCCTGTGTTCAAATTGACTGAAATGTTGTTTCATGGGGAACTTTATATGGGGAAATGTTATCTAGTGAATGTGGGGCTTGAACCCAAAACCTTCTGGCTCAGAGGTGAGAGTGCTGTCCAGTGTGCCAGGCTGACACCTGCACAGAGAAGTGTCTTTCCCCCAGTGTCCTGGCCAACAGATAAAACTGATCATTCACTTCATGGCTGTTTGTGGGACATTGTTGTGTGCAAATTGGCTGCTGTGTTTTCCTGCAAAGGCAGTAGTACCGACCCATCTTAACTTGTGGAATGCAGCAAGCATAGAAGTTTTTCTCTTTTCATCCAGTGGTCGTAATCAAACTAACATGTCAGAGAATATCAAGTTCTTTCTTACATGAACACCATTCTCTCTGACCCGCACAGGCACCTTGGTTGTTGGGTTGTGCTGTGCTGGTTAATAATCAAGGGATGGGAAGGGAGTGGGAGGGCATGAGCTATGGATATCGTCAGGTTATCATTGGTTTCACTCAGGGAACAGAATGTGAAGTGGCAGTGTTTACCCATTTTCAATTAATAATTCCTTCGAAAAGAAAATTTGACAAGAGATAATTTCTTACTCAGGTTTCACAAGAGACCGAGCAAGTGATTGATTACTCTGTGGTTCAAAATGAAGAAAGCCTTCGGCAAGAATCCAGGTTAGCAATGCCAAAAACTATTTAAGCAGTTGATGTGTTTTAATTAACCAGGAGTAGAGGATTAAAGATTAAACACATTAAATTCTGTACTATTCTTTTTGAGAATTATACAGCTAAGTAAAATAAAAAGAAAAACCTCTGAGATTCTGTGAATTCACTAAGTACAAAATTGCTAAATTCTTGGACAATTCCACTCTTTCGGATTCGTACTATTGGCAGCTTAACAGTGAGGACTGAATGGGAATGAAAGGCGTGTGACTGATATTAGGAGAGGGGGACAAACCAATTTATTACAACCCAGACAAGTAGTGGGAAAATTTATTATCGAGAATATGTTAAGTGAGCATTTCGATATGCTGTATAAACACTGATCATGAAAAAACGGCTTGGTTTTGGTAGGTAACATCATATCCAACTAAGTAATAGTCATTTGACATCTCCGAGACAAATAAAGGATCAATAGGCTTTGGACATAGATTGCCAGATGAAATGCTGACTAATGAAATTGGTGACTTGTTTCATGACTGTTTGTGAGCCATTGCTGTACGCAATTGTGCTGCCGCATTTGCCTATCAATACACACTCACCCCATTTCATATGTTATGAAGTGTGCCATTACAGACCTGCCCGCTCCCTCCACTCAGTGGGCTCCAGCCTGCTCCATGTCCCCTGGCTTGCGAGGCCAGTGCTCCAACCAATACGCTACAGCACTCCACTCCATAGCTACGGTGCTGAGTTCACTGATCTCAGCTGGGGCAGTGCATTTGGACTCAGGACCCTTTGCTCAGGCAGACAAAGAGTTGAACTCAAACCAGGGTTCCTGGGCCTGATTGATCAAGGTGGCACCCAATGGCTTGCTTCTGATGCTCTCCAATGTTGAATAATCTGCCAATACTCACTGCCAAGGCTCGTCGATTAAGCAGCGCATTAAGCCGGCTAGCTGACGACTGTGGAACGAAACACCACATTTCAAGGTAAAAGGAGACAAAAGCCTTGGGAACTGTTGAAGAATGAGGGGAAAAAAATACTTCCATTGATTGTTTTCCAGCGCTTTGAATTCCCAGTCTTTGCTGGCTCTCCAATACAGTGCTGAGGGTGGGCTGCAATGTATAGCTTAGTGGAAAGAGCACTTGCCTCGCAAGCTAGAGGAGCTGGATTTTATTCCCGGGCAGGGCTAAATGTTCAAGTTTCCTTACTCCACACACCTCTGTTCACCTAGCAGTAAACAGGGACCCAGTTGTTAGTCGGTTGGCTGATCGCTTTTCCGGTGGTAATAATCCCTTCAAAAATATTGCTTCTGCTCCTACATTTTATGTTACGTTAAGTGCTTTGCCGACTATATTTGCGAATCAAACAAATAAACAGAAGGAATAACTAATGAATTGAAATAGCTATACTGTCCTTTCACCTGTGGGCCAAGTCCAATCCTGCCCAGACGGATGGGATGAAAGATTCCTCTGTCAGGTGAAATGGACCAATTTTGAACCGAGTTGGGTAATACAGTAAAACTTGCAGAAGTCTGATCTGTATAAATCGTATAATCGCCTAAGTCGTACATCTGCCCAGGTCCTGTTGAATTTCCTATTATTTATAAGTTTCATGTGACACATACTTTGCATAAATCATATTAAATGTATGGTTCCCAACTGATACGACTTATGTGAGGGTTTTACTGTCGTCTCAATGGCTAGTACAGGTTCATGTTACAGATTTACTCACTGCAAAACCTGGGGTTAATTGGCAATCTAGTTCACAGCAATATCGAAAGAGAGAAAAATAAAGGAGCAAAGAAAAACACAAGTAAAAGAGTGAAACAATTAAAAACATCATGTCTTTCCAAATAAATGCATGTGTCAGGATGCTAAGCAAATATGTGATTATTCTCTCCTTAAATGGTAAATTGCTGATGCTGATTAGAGATCCGTACTCATTGGCAGAAAGGTTCATCAGACACTTGCACTAATGTTCTCTGCACAGCAAACCCCNAAAAAGTGTTCCCCAAATGCTGGAACACTCTCCTCTCTCCCTCCGCCTTACCCCCTAATTCCTCATCTTCAGTTCGCTCCTGAAGATATTCCCCATCGACCGTACCTGCGGTCACCTACCCCCCAGGCTCGGCGGCGTTGTCGTGGGGGCGAAACGCGAGAGCCGATTGCACACAGCAGAGTCTCGCATTTGTGGATCGAGTGACCAAATTTGTTTTTTAATTAAAAATAACATCCCGACAGGAGTCAAGCTAATAATCATTCTAATTTACCCCTTAAACAACAGCTACCTGACCTGCACAGAATGACTTTCCTCGTCCTACACACGGAAACAGCCACTGTCAAGCGCTCTAGGACGCTACCCTGCACGAGGGGCACTACATAACTGCAAGTTGTTGTTTTAGCAAACGAAACACGACCACGAATCCAAGGCAAGAAAATGCTTCAAGGATTAACATTTTTCTCGTGAAAGCCGCTGCTGTTTGTTCAATGGTCACATCTGGTAAACATGCCGTTCAATTTGTAAACGTTGTTTGTAAGTTAAAAATTAATTCAAACGTTGCTGGGTTAAACCAAAATTGTTGAGAGAGAGGCAGCAAGATTCGCAAAAATAGATCACAAATAACACAAGTTACAAAGTTGTGCAGATCAAATCATTAAAAGTCATTTCAAGAATGGAAAATGAGTCCATACCAGCTCCTTCAGAGTATTTTCCATCAGATGTGCCTGATTCCAAATCACTCCTTGCTCTAAGTTTCTGCAAAGCTATGAAATGTCACAAAAGGAAAAGGCAAACGGTAACAATTGATGGGTAAAAGGAACAGAGGGCTCATCAGTTTGCCAGTGCTATGCACAAGTCTCCTATATAGCTTGTCCGACAGCAGGGACACCTCTAAATGTCTTTTCATGCTCTGTTAATTATCCTAGAAATACCTGGATTTTCAATTTCATTACATCAGAAATCAGATTGAACTTTCGGTGGACTGAACCTTCCCGATGGCTGCTGATATCCAGGTGAATGTGACAACAACTGTTTTAGTTGCAACTCTTTAACTCTACTCTGGCTTCAATGGGAAAGTTCGTAAATAAGTACAGGGGTCCTCAAACCATCACGTCGACGGATTATTGTGCTCCATTGGTGAGTTTCAACGGCTCAGCTGGTACAAGCAATGTGGAACTGAGTCAATCAGACAGCAACAACAAATTACATTTTACTCAGCGCCTTTCATGTCGGGAAGGCAATGGACAGTCAGAGATTTGGACCCGAGCTGGCGGTTGAGATCAGGAGAGGTGGAGGTCAGGGAGGGTAGGGGAAGGAGGGTGATCGAAAACGCAGTCGAAGAAGAGGGTCTTGAGATGGGCCTTGAAGCAGGCAAGGGAGGGGGCGAGGCAGAGTGCCTGTGGGGCGCAGTTCCAAAGGGTGGGGGCAGAGAGGCTGAAGAAAACACAATGCTGAAGAGGCATAAACTGTCGACTAAATATATAACTACTAATAATAATCCTTGCATTTGATATTCGACCCAGCTTAAGTGAAACCCATTTCAATGAAATAACTCTAGTCCTCATCAGGTGTACACGAGAAGGATTGCACACCTGCCCGTAACAAAATGTGGACATGGTGTACTCTCTGTAAGGTACATCCTGCTCTCTCTCTCTCTCTCTCTCTCTCGGTGAAGCAGTTTCCAAGACGCAATTCTATTCAATGACCAAGATGGTACAAACTGTCTTGGAATTGCTGACATTTTATAAACCACTGAGAACCAATTCAGAAATGTCTTTGTAAATGTTCACTGCGCACTATATATGGTTGAAACAGAGTCGCCCTAAATAAGGCTCTTTGATTGGTTTTTTGATTGATTGGCAAAATATCTACCTGGTGTTCATCTCATCACTCGCCATCACAAGACTAAAAAATTGCTCCAGTGGGTAAACAATAAACAATAATCCTTGCATTTGACATAGTCTTCGAGACTGTCTCAAAGTACTTCACAGAATATATTGTAAAATGAATTGACTGTATATTTTGTATATTTCGCGGCGGTCAATTGCACACAGCAGTGTCCCACAAACAGTCGTGGATTGAGTGACCAAATTATCATTATTTTTTTGTTAAAAATAACATCCCGACGGGAATCATCTAATAATCATTCTAATTTACCCCTTAAGCACCTGACCAGCACAGAATGACTTTTCTCATCTCACACAGGAAATGAAAATGGCCATTAGACAAGACATATAGTTAAAACCCAAATGAGTCGATGACGAGTCTATAAGTTCTTGGGACACAGGTTACCAAATTTCACAATGTGTTTCTAGGCTCTTAATAAAAAGCCTCAAGCAAACAGACTGATTTACAGCAGTGCAAATGGTAAGTTATAGCTTTTTTAAAAAAAAGTCGAGGAAGTGTTCAAAGTTACAAGTAGAGCTGAATTATTATTATTAATTATTATTAAGTCCGATGAAAAAGACCGATCACCAACATGCATGAGAAACTAAAAAAAGGTACCCACAATAGCGCAACCAGGAGCCTGAACCACTGGAACGCCATCCTGCAGTCCCTCCGCCTCGCCCCCTCCCTCGCCACCTTCAAGACCTATCTCAAGACCCTCCTCTTCGACCGTGCTTTCAATCTTCCTGCTTTCCCCCCCTGCCCTTCACTCTCCCCCAACCCAACCCCCAGCTCAGGTCCGAAACTCTGTCTGCCCAGCGCCTTGGGATGTCCTCCTGATGTGAAAGGCGCTATACAAATGTAATTTTGTTGTTGTTGTTGATCCCCTCCTCTGACTTCACTGCTTCTGATGAGTGTTAATCTTGTTATTACATGCACAGTATATTGCGATGTACACAGCAGGCTGCTATTAGCAATTAATAATGTGCATTGCAGAATGTCTGCGCAAGTCAATTGGAACAATGGTAAATATCCTTGGTACAGAATGATTTACTTTGTCAAAAGGCCATGACTGATATTAAATAAAACCTTTAGAGTCACAGGTAATTGTTCCAAACCCACTTCCTGAGGATCAATACGATAGGATACTTTGTCGCCCTCAATTGAAGCTGGTGATTGAGGAAACTCTGTGGGAGGGCATCAGCACAATGTCAGCACAGGCAAAGTTCAACCGCATATTTCCACCAGTCACAAGGCACGTAGGACAGAAATGGCCACATATTCCAGGACTAGATCATTTGTAGACTCTGCACAATGTGGGTTCAACCATATCATAGGGACAACAACTTGCATTTACACAGCGCCCCTCACGTAGGGCAGCGTCCCAGAGCGCTTGACAGTGTCAGAGCACTTCAACGAGCCGGGTGTGGAGATGGGAGGTGACCGTAGGCACGGTCGAAGAGGAAGCTCTTCAGGCGCGACCTGAAGTGGGGGGGAAGGAAGGGGCAAGACGGAGGGATAGAGGAAGAATATTCCAAAGTTTCGGAGCGCAGTGCCTGAAAGTGTGGCCACTGATGGTGGAACGGAGGGCACGAGGGACAAGCAGAAGGCCAAAGATCCGTGTATGAAGCAGAATATTCTGCAATCCTAAAATGTCGGATTCCTGGAGATGCAGCAGGATGCTTCTCTATTCAATTTGTTGCAGGCAATTGGTGTCACCCCAGCCACACCCCACCCCCAGCTCAATATCAGGCTCCGTACATAAATGGATAGCGTTGTGATATTATGAAACAACCTTTAGACTTTGGAGTTTAAGCAGATCCAGAAAACAGTCTGCCTGGGATAGTCAGCTTTGAACTCACACTGCGCTAAATAAAAAATACAGTTAAAAAAAATCAAAAGTAGCTTTATTGTAATCATATTAATCAATCAACTCCACATAAATTGCAATTTTAAGAACTTTTTTTTAAAAAGGTGAAGCATTTTAATCCTGCTTTCCCGGATTTCCGAACCTTTCTTATGAATTGTTCTAGCAGCAAACTGTAAACTTTGATTTGGATTCTTCGTAATTTAAATTAGCATTGCAACAATATGCATACACACACATATATATATATATACTTAGCATCAACATAACTGCCTTAAGTCAGTGAGCCTCGTAAATCAGCCATTGTATTTTAAAGAATGTAAAATGTTTAAATATTTGTTGTCGCTATAATAATAATAATAATCCTTGCATTTGATATAGCGCTTTTCACGTCGGGAGAGGACGTCCCAAAGCGCTTCACAGAACACACTGTAAAGTGAATTGACTGTATATTTGTGGTAGTCTTTGATAATACGTGTATGCTCTCAGAATGTGATAATACAACAAGTTCTTTTTAGAAACCTGAGAATTCAATCTTCAGCAACTTCAGAGATTACTGAAAACCTTCAAGGTGCAAACACAACGATATTCAACACATCAACACCAGCTCATTGACTTGGACACACATTCTTGCATTCCAACCGATCTAACGTTTTTTCACTGATTCTTTAACAAGATGCTGAGGTGTGGAGGGATCGAGGACACGCATTGATGGCTTCTTTCTTCTACGGTATTCAATGATTTTGGAGGAAATACACGGGATACTGTCGAGGTCCATTGCTCATCTTTGGTCTACTTCATTTAATTTATTTTAATAAATAAGCAAGATTATACAAATCTATACCTTGCCCTCCCACAGGGCATACTGTAAATCGTCCTCTAACTCTGTAATATCTGTGAAGAGAATCACTTACTCACCCAGACAACAGATTAGTTTCAAACATTTTGCTGATTATCACACAATGCGTTTTCCGTACCTTATTACTGCTCTTGCCAGTACCTGCTCTTTTTTTTAAAGTGCCACTTTCCTTCCTTCCTGAGCTGTGATGCAGATCCTACCTTTCATCCACTATGGAGATGACTTTGTCTCACTCCTGCCATCACTCCATTTCAACCATCGTTGCTGGTTCATTCAACTCATTCATCCGTCCATCTATTTCAGTGCAACCATGAGGTCAATGCCCTCCGCCCAACCTGACACCAGTGCAGAACAGCAGATGTGACCACTTCCCACATCAAAGCACACAAAGCAATCTTACTTACTCCAAGCTGGATGTCTCCCAGTTTAAGTCCAATCACTGTATAAAAAAAAATTCCAACCAATTTACAGTAAAACTGGGCAATCACATTGAACAGGACCAGCCACATTCTGGACAAGAGAGTCAGTGTCGATATCTGGTCATCAAGGAAAATACAATGCACAGCACAAACCGAAGATTTTTTCCTTCATAGTTAAACAATCACTGTAATATCAAATACTGTGGTGTCTCTTTCCTCCCTGCCCCAACCTTTCTCTCTCTCCCCAACATTGTCTTACCTCAGTTTGGAAAAATACTCAGAAGTTCTTCAGTCATTAACTTAAAGATAATTTGTAGCCAAGCAGCATAAATACAGAGGTGGTACACAACCACTTTCATAGAATTTGTGCAAAATATAGATCTATATATAGAGCAGCTTCAGGAAAAAGCTTCATGGCTAGTTAAGAGTACATACATAATGTTAAATATTTTGGCTTAAGATTTGCAAACATTTCACAATCTCAACCGCTCTGCGGATTGAGTGGACAGATGATTAGCAGTGGGTAGATGTAGGACAGGACACTCGCTTGTATATGGAGTTGATGTCCTGTTGCTAGATTTGCCATTACCATAAGACAGGGCAGAAAAATCACGAGAATATCAGCTAACTACCCAACACCGATTGCATGCATGGAAACCTAATGCCACAGAAAAAGTATCTGTTGTCAAAGTTTAGGGTAAACCCGCAAACTGCTCTTCAGCGACTGGGCAGGAACTGAACCCAAACTCTGTCACCAGACTTTAACTCAATTAAACTTGTAGGTTACCCAAGAAAGCTGGGTGAGCTGACATCAGGCTGCTGCTAGTTGGCAGCTCTATGCACAAAATGTATTATAAAGCCTTTGCAATATAGTGCAATATAACGTCCTCCTGACTTGAAAGGCACTATACAAATGTAATTTTGTATTGTATTATATTAGAATACTATGCCCTAACAATGACAACAGGAGTGATTTTATAATTCTTTCACTTGTTCTCGCAACATGTTCTGACCGACTTCCTTGAAGTTTCGCTTCTGAAACTCCTGGGAAATTTCCATCAACGTCTTGCCCTTGGTTTCCGGCACAAAGAATCCAATGAACAAAACGGAGAGGAAGCTGACGCAAATGAACGGCACGCAGCAGAACGGCCCCAGTCCACTCTGCAAGGGAAGGAAAGACGAGTGAGTTTGGCCATTAAAACACAACAAACCTCTGACATTCCTGAAGATGATCGCAGAGCTTTGGATTAGCAGATCTCAGGTGTGTTGCAGTTCGGGGCTCTTCAAAAATAATAGTAATAATTTGATCACTCAGTCCACGACTGTCTGTGGGACACTGCTGTGCGCAATTGGCTGCCGTGTTTCGCTCACAAAATATACAGACAGTTCACTTTACAGTACATTATAATAATCCTTGCATTTGATATAGTACCTTATCACGTCTTCGAGATATCTCAAAGCGCTTCACAGAACATACTGTAAAGTGAATTGACTGTATGTTCTGTGAGTGAAACATAGCAGCCAATTGGGCACAGCAGTGTCCCACAAACAGTTGTGGATTAAGTGACCAATTTATTATTATTATTTTTTTGAAAGAATTATTACCCTCGGAAAAGCGATCCGCCAATCAACTAACAACTGGGTTCCTACTCACTGCTACGTAAACAGAGACATGTGAAGTAAGGAAACCTGCCCAACATTTCGCCCTGACGAGAATCAAACCCAAGTCTCTCGTTTGCAAAGTAAATGCTCTAATCACGGAGCTACAAGACATATTTGTGAAGCACTTTGAGATGTCTCAATGACATGATAAGGTGCTATATCAAATGTAAGGATTATTATTATTATTATTTACAACTGGCCTAGAATTGGGAAAAGATCAGCCAAAATTTCTGCTCTCGATCATTATCCAGTGACACTCGCCTACTTCACTGGAAAGTTTGCAGGTCTGGATGCTGGGAGAAGAGCAGGATCAAGGTAATAATAATAAAAATAATCCTTGCATTTGATTTGGGTTTGGTTTTGTCGTACCAAAGGATTTGGTTGCGATGGGTCATATTAACTGCCCACATTTGAAGATAGGCCACTTTGAATGAGCAGCCTGTAAAATCCTATCTCAACAAGAGTCAAAAGCTTAGGATGAAACAGTACTAAACAGTACTGGACAGGAAAACAAAGATAAAAATAAAAGGAGGAAAAGCATTTAGCAATTAGCCTAAATACTTACGACAAACAGTGGGAAAATCATGCCGACAAGAAGGAGGTTGATCCAAAGCAGGGAACCATTGAGCATGTAGGCTACAGGCCGTGAATTCTGGTCAAAAATCTCCGTGGGTAAGAGAAATGTAACTCCAGCTAAAGGGAAACACAATCACAGGGGAGTTAGAGTATTCTAGAAATGCAGAACTGCTCAGTAATCATCTGAATCAGATGGATGGATTCAGGCTTTGGCTGTGACCCTTCATCAGATCAAACTTCAGCTGATTAGCTCCGGGGAAGTAACTGCACATGGGTCTAGACTTAAAACTATTTTCTTAACCCTAAACCAATTTGCCAACTCTGTTCCTGGATGAAGAGTATTCACCAGCGAACAGGTTAATGCTTAATGCGCTAAACAAATAAACCACATCAACAACAACTTGCATTTATATAGGGCCCTTCACGTCCCGGAGCGCTTGACTGCAACCTAAATATGTTCAAGCCTTGTAATGGAATTCAAGTCCATGGTATCGTGGAGTCCTGTAGCTCAGTGGTTAGAGCACTCACTTTGCAAGTGAGAGACCTGAGTTCACTTCCAGGCAGAGGGCGAAACCTTGGGCAAGTTTCCTTACTCCACACAGAGCCTAATAATAATCCCTCCAAAACCCAAAACAATAACAAATTGGTAATTTTCAATCCACGACTGTTTGTGGGACATTGCTGTGTGCAATTGGCTGCCGCGTTCGCCCACAAATATACAGTCAATTCACTTTACAGTATATTCTGTGAAGCGCTTTGGGACGTCCTCCCGACGTGAAAAGCGCTATATCAAATGCAAGGATTATTATATTATTATTATTATTGTTGTAGCTGCAGGAGGCAACATGAAACATCAGGCAAGGGTGAATATGAACCGGAACTCTCGGTTGGCTTCTCTTGTATCGTCAGAAGGTTCTGAGCACACAGCTGAGTGACCCACCTGGTCCAATTCCAAAGCTTAAGATGGAGGCAAAGAGGCAGATCATGCTCACATAGGGCATCCAGCTGAACTTGTTCTAGGATTGAGAAAACAACAGTATCAGCAGCGCACTCATCCACTCACCACTTCTTCTTTACAGCTAACCAATGAGCCAACTGTATCCCAGCAGGGTTAGTGAACTATTCTATTCAGCTATTTAGAAACCGGAGCTCATTGTCAGCACCACGTTCAAAAATCGAAAGGTTGCATGTTCTGTACCTTTAACACTCCTTTTACAATTTGTTTTTATTTTGTACGTTATCTTTGCACTTTGCTCGCTTACATCCTACTCTGGATAATAATAATCCCGGCCTTTGATACAGAGCCTTAAACAGCCACTACAAGAATTACCAGTACAGTAGTACCAGTGTCTTTCGTGATCTCAGTTTAATATATCATGTAAAGGACATTACCTTAAACGCCCAGTGCCACATTGGCATGTCAGTCTAGACTGTGAGTTCAGAGTACCAACGTCAGGCTTGAACCTATAGCATTAGGCCTTTCAGAGTCGATAGTGCTACCACGGAGCCAGGCTGACACCTGATCGCTGATGGGAAGGGATGAAGAAGTTGAAAGTGATCGAGAAGTAGTATAACTGTGTCCAAACACCGTGAGGGCAGTTATAAGTGAACAAGGTGCTGGGCGATGTTGACAGATCAGTGGAGTGAGTTCAATTCCCAGATGCTGACTATGTATAGCTGTAACTGGAATGCTGCGTACAGTCCTGCGGTCACTCAACAAACAGGTCTAGACTGGTAGCTATAAAGAACAGCATAAGATTCAACTCCCACCCTACCTTAACCATTGAACAGTATCTAGTAAGAATTGTATTTATTAAAATTCCAATCCAGAGATTGCCTGGAGAGAAATTAGAGCTTTTCACAATACTGAGAGCTTTTCACAGCAGGTGGGAAGAGAGGTAGTGGAGCACTTTTCATATAATAAGAATAAAACAGCTTTTCACAACTTTACTGACTATTTGCGATTACAAGATTGACCTACTTTCCCATCAATTCACTGGGATATTTGTTCCCAATTTGACACTGCATTTACTTTGCTTCTCACAATTCAAGAACTGGTTCAAACTAGATAGTTGCTCAAAAATCCTTGCCAAAATCGTTGTGGAGTCCTGTAGAGTAGAGGTTATAGCACTCGCCTCGCAAGCAAGAGGACCGAGGTTCGATTCCCAGGCAGGACGAAACCTTAAGAAAGCTTCCTTACTTCACATATATGCCTCTCTTTGCCTAGCAGTACGTTGGAACCTGATTGTTAGTCGATTGGGGGATTGCTTTTCGGGGATAATAATCCCTCCAAAAAAATAATGAAATAAAGAATAACTGGGTTCCTACTTACTGCTGGGTAAACAGAGGCTAGGTAAATGTCAGTTTGAATCCCACAAGCAGACGATAGCGAATAACCTATCCTCCGTTCACAGTCAAAAGGCGATATCCCTGGCCAAGGTTAGTGAGACTACTCCGCTCAACAAACGGTGTTGGTGTGCACGAGGAGAGTTGGGACAGCGGAATAGGTTTTTTGAAAAAGATTAGAATTCCGGATACTGGAAGTTAGTTAATTAGTTAGTGTAGTCTGAAGCTGGTCTCTACTCCGATTACTTTGCAGATTCAATCGAGGGCAACTTGCTGCTGCCCAAATGTTTCTAATTTGTTGCAAGCAACTCCCTTCCCTACCCCAGCAATCAGTCCCTGCTTCCCACACCACCTCCCTTGCACCTCTATGATTATTAACTTCCAAATAAGCAGAACAACCAGAGACAAAACCAGCCACACGGCAGCAGGGTCTAGGGTGATGGTATGAGCACGAGACAGCAGCAGTACCCACCAAGGTCAGGGCATCTTCTGGGTTGCTGTGAGGTGAGGCGATTTCAACACTGGTGCTCCACAATTCCTTTCTTGAAAAAGAAACCTTTTAGCATGAGTCAACTTAACGTTAAGTTTAATATGGAGTAAGGCATAACAAAGTAATACTATGTTTCCTGTGGCATTACCTTTATGTTACTATAACCCTGACCAGTAGGGGAAGGGGGAACCAAATCACTTGCAGCAGTGGAACTGAAGGCTGAGACTTACCTGTATGTATCTAAGATAGAACACAAATATTAGATGCTTAGCACCTTTAGGGCAGAGTGTAAGAGTATGGAGCAGAAATTCAATCTACACGTTGGAACCATCAGTCCCTTTAGGAATGTCAGTGGAACAATCTCAGTTTGCCATCAACAGCAACAAAATTACATATGTATAGCACCTTTCACGTCAGGAGGGCATCCCAAGGTGCAAGGCAGCACTCTGAGAATGGGGTGAATTATCTGTGAGAAAGAAGCTCTGACTTACCTGCAGACACAGCGAGACAGTAAAGACCGACCCCCAAACCACCATCAAGCCGTACCCTAACATAAGAGGCACTTTGCGTCCAATACGGTCAATGAATATGTTCTGTTGTGCAAGAAGAACAGGAGTTAAAGCAATTACCTTTTATCGGGGTTCGGTGACCAGCGAGGCCTCTGCTGGGATAACAATTCCTTCTACACAAGAACAAGGACATTAATACACACACCCAACAACAACAAATTACATTTATATAGCGCCCCAGGGCGCTGGACAATCAGGGGTTTGGGACCCGAGCTGCGAGTTGGCGTCAGAAAGAGTGGAGGGCAGAGGGGTGGGGTTATACTACCCAGGATTGGTAATACACAACAGCAGGAGACAGTGATGTTGGGAAAAGCAATTCCTTCCGCACATCATTCTGGTCAGTACAGCAACAAACACTCAAAATGGTTCCAAAGAGTTTCTTGGACTAAGATTTTGGACCGGACTATTCAACAACAATCCTTAGAGTGGTCTGCCTGGATATCCCTAAAATGTAATTTAGACAAGCTTTTATTGAAAAAAAATCCCATTTCTCATTTCTATATCTTAGGAGCCTGATGTATTTGTTATTAAAAATATCAGTGAAAACTGGTAAGTTCCACCGAGCTATGAATGTATTGTACGGTTCACAAAATCATGAGAAGTTTGATTTTTGAAAAAAAACTTGGCTCATTTGATTTGATCCTCCCAGAATACCCTCCCTACCGTCTTCCTGTCATAGTATCAAGCTGTTTTGTTAAATGAGTCTCAGCATGCTGATTTTAACCAGCTAATCTGTTCCAGTTATTTATTTTGTGGGGGGTTTTGTCAGTCCAGCAGCTGACACTTGCAGAATCCCATTGCCATGGTTAAGAGCATCCAAACCAAACAGTTCCGTGGATCCCACATACACATGGAAATTCCTGTGTACTGGAATGGAATGAACACTCACTCCCTATTCCAGTTATTAATTATCCAATGAGTATTTCCTAGTGTCTGCCTGAAATGCCCTTTGCAAACCTTAATAATAATAATAATCCTTGCATTTGATATAGCGCTTTTCACGTCTTCTAGACGTTTCAAGGCACTTCACAGACTATACTGTAAAGTGAATTGACTGTATATTTTGTGGGCGAAACGCGGCAGCCAATTGCGCACAGCAGCGTCCCACGAACAGTTATGGATTGAAGTGACCAAATTACTATTTTTTTTTGTTGGGGGATTATTATCAGGCATGTTGAGTAAGGAAACTTGCCCAAGGTTTCGCCCTGCCGGGAATCGAACTCAGGTCTCTCACTTGCAAGGCGAGTGCTCTAACCACTGAGCTGCAAGACTCCACCTTAACCTGTGTCCTCGTCTCGGTGCATGCAAAAGTACCGTCCTTTGTTTACTTTCTCAGTTCCATTTTAAATCATCTACAAAACATAACAACAATCCTTGCATTTGATAAAGCTCCTTTTATGTCAGAAGGATATCTCAAGGTGCTTCATAGAATTTACCGTAAAATGTGGTGACTTTTTTTGTAGGTCGAACAGCTAATTTGTAACAGCAATGACCCACAAATAGCCATGAAATGAGGGAGCAATTTTATTTGGGGGATTGTTGGTCAGAACAGTGAGAGAAACTCCGATTTCTTTTCAAACAGAGCTTTTTTAAGGTCCACCCGAATAGGGAGACCAGACCTTGGTTTGAAGTCGCATCCAAAGATATTTCTGAGAAGCCACTTTAAGCCTGAGAGCCAAGTTTGTCTAATTGGTTACTCATAGCTTATTCTTCTTAGAAGCATTCTGCATGGATACTGCACTGTGCTGCACTGGGTCTATCCTGAATACTATAGGATTTGGGTCCAGCTTTGAATTTTCAATGAATTCGTCAAACCAAAGCAAATATCAAAACTCAAGTTATGAGCCTGCTCCCAGCCCCATTCAGTTTTGTGCTTGGCCAAGTGGGATATAGTACATAATAATCCTTGCATTTGATATAGCGCTTTTCACGTCGGGAGGACGTCCCAAAGCGCTTCACAAAACACACTGTAAAGTGAATTGACTGTATATTTGTGGGCGAACGCGGCAGCCAATTGCGCACAGCAATGTCCCACAAACAGTCGTAGATTGAAAATGACCAATTTATTATTGTTTTTGGTTTTGGAGGGATTATTATTAGGCTCTGTGTGGAGTAAGGAAACTTGCCCAAGGTTTCGCCCTGACCTGCCTGGAATTGAACTCAGGTCTCTCGCTTGCAAAGCGAGTGCTCTAACCACTGAGCTACAGGACTCCACATAGGTAGTTCAGGACATATGTACATGCATCCGCCAAGAAGGTGGAAGGCGAACTAGATGGACCGTCTTTTTATCGTCTAGCATTTCTTATGTTCTTGTGTAAGTGGTGATCCTACCTGTACACCGTCCAAATGATGACACAGCAGAGAACCCTGCAAAAGTTCCATTTCATCGTATAGTTGCGCTTGATTCCTTGTTTGCAACCTATAATCTGGACCGACCCTCTACTCCTTGTTAAATATGGCCCATGCTGATCAACGTCGGTCTTCAGCTGGTCCAGCGCTGTACAGGAACCTAATCAGTGTGGGCCGGTGCAGTAGGAGTACAGTATTCTATTCACAACCCCGCTCATTTATTGTAGTCCAAGTAATGCATTCACAACCATTGCCCTGCATAGCGCAGTAATCCATTAACAGCATAATCCAGTAAAGATTAATTTCCTCTGAATGAATTATTGCTTTCACTTGCTGGGTTTTGGGGGAGATGGAAAAGTGGCAATTTGTGGGACAAAAGGATATTTCGCCCAAGGGCGTTGTCCAATTTACAGACAGAAATTGTCCCGATCTCACACACACACACACACACACACACGGAAAATACAAAAGTAAAACTTGAAGATAAAGGAGATGGTGGTGGGAGGGGGGGCAATGAGGATAATAAAAAGGGAAAATAACAAGTATTTGAGTCAATGTGAATAGAAGAGAAAGGAAGAGAAACAATAGGGATGGGAAATATTTCAGTGATACCTCACGTGGCATTACTGGAGCACTGTTGCATGGGAAGCACTATTCTTGCTGAAAATTGTTCTGTGCACACACTGGACTTCAGGTTGTGTTCAATTGAGGGACGAGTGTGCTATCTTTGCATTCATGTAAGAGGAGGCTTCCAATATGATCATCCATTGATTTTTTTTCTTGCCGATTATGAGATGATATTTTTGGTCAATTAAAAGCTCTTTGTAACCTTATCCAACAACATGCAGTATTCAAAAAAATGACGAAAACATAGACAAAATGAAACAAGCCTGCGTTGCTGCTTCTACGTGAAATCAGGCAGCACGATGACAGAATTTATGCTGTTCTGCTAAAACGCTGGGATTATTGGAACTAGTTTAAAAGTCAACCATCTTCCTTAAGGGAACAAAGAGCCTTGCAGGGAAGTGACCAACTTGGAGAGGTGTAAAAGTTTTTTTTTCCCCCCACACATTAATGGTGCTAAATGCATCAGTAGAGTCATGATTTGAGGTTAAGATGAAGTTTATCACAGCTCATCCAATTGTCTAATTTGACTTTCGAATTCAAACGGTGACTGTCTCTGAGCCATGTTACACTGGCAAATCTTCCCTTTTGTCTTGTCTCACCATGTCATCATTATCCTTCTTGTCCATGTCTCACATGTGTAAGGTCAAAGGAATTTGATAAAATATAAGCAAATAATGCCTACATTTTAAACCTAAAGGATTGAGGAGGAGGGATTGAGGCAGAGTGCAACATTCTCCTTCCCCATATTTGGGTCTCACCTGAAGATCTTCCTCTTCGACCGTGCTTATGGTCACCTCCCTACTTCCCTATGGCCCGGGGTCAGGCTCTGGAACTGTCAAGCACTCTGAGATGCCACCCTGCGTAAGGGGCGCTATATAAATGCAAGTTGCTGTTCTGAATTATTTCACAGTGAAAAGAAATGGATTATAGCACCTACACTGCTCAGTGAAGTCATGAACTCACAGATCCCAGTACCAATCGCAGCATATTGGATCTTCTTTTCAGGAATTCCTGCAGCACGAAGCACGTAGGTAGTGTAGAAATACATCTGAAAAAAACAGATGTTATTATGTGAATAAAATAACAGACAGGATTCATAGTTCCGCTGCACCTCAGTGTTACTAACATACAAACAGTCCATTCTCCACAACTTTATTGATGGGTATTTGAAGTATGAAAATCCCATTTTAATCAAGTGGCACCAGAAATGGTTATTATATAATATACATATTGCTGTTATATAATACACATAATCTGCTGTTCCATAAGCTGCCTCCATTATATAATATAAAGACAGGCTGCGTGAGCTGCTTATTCCCAGAGACCTGCAGTTAATCAGCAGAAATAACTGGACAGGAGTAAATCATTATAGAACCAGGGGACAAGTAGGCTCAGATCAGAAAAACAATATTCTCTTTGTTTGTAATTATTCTCAGTGAACAAAGAGTCTCTTTTATATGAAAGACACCATCAAGTAGTTGTTGTACTTGTGTACTCGCCCACAAAATACTCACAGTCACACCACATTGAAGGACCTACTGTGAAACACTTTGAGACTTCTCGATGACGTGCTAAGGCGCTATGCCAATGCAATATTTATCATTATTGTCTACTTTAGGGACTAAAAATCCAACAGGGAACAAACGCAATATGGTTCATCTAGACCCCGTTCAACAATACAATATTGAGATTTTGTGGAGTCCTGTAGTTTAGTGGTTAGAGAACTCGCCTCACAAGCGAGAGACCTGGGTTCGATTCCCGCCAGGGTAAGTTTCCTTACTCCACCTAACTCTGTTTACCTAACAGTAAGTAGGAACTCGGTGGAACTCAATTGGCGAATCGCTTTTCCGGGGATAATAATTCTTAAAAAAAATAATTTGGTCACTCAATCCACGAGTGCTTGTACTGCTGTATGCAATCGGCTGCCATGTTTCTCCCACAAAATATACAGTCAATTCACTCTACAGTATATTCTGTAAACTCGCTCGCTATATAAATGCAAGTTGTTGTTACTGAGTTATCTTACAACAGTAATCTATTTTTGCAAAGGAGTTAAGGCTACAAGTCATACTCACTGCATCATTCCCACATAACTCAATGGCACTGCTCAACACAAAGACGATGATCAGCTGCCTTCGGACCGAGGCGTCTCTGAACAGTTCCCATAGATTCTTCGACTTCTGACCTTCGGATGCCCTCTTCTCCTCCAACATCTCCTCCATCTCATCGGTGAGGTCAATGTTTCCATGAAATCTCCTCATCGCTGTGAAAAAGTTAAAGAGGGATGCCATTGGTAAGCAAAGTTCTGCTTAGAAACTGGTCCAGACCTTTCACTAGAAGCTGCCCTGTGGGTATATCTTACATGGAACGCTCCAGCCTCCCAACAGCAATTTTATTTTGATTTCCCTCCCCCACCCACCAAAAAATGTAACATCTTCTCCAACAGTTAGGACACCGCAATAAGGAGCTTTTGCCTTGGATAAAAATAAAATCAGGGTTCTCACTGCTAATCGCTACTCAGTGATCTCTCCTGGTAAGTGCCTAGAATCAAATTTGTAACAATAATCCGTGCATTTGAGATAACTCCATATCTCATCTTCACGGCCCTTCACAGAATATACTGTGAAGTGAATTGATTGTATATTTTGTGGGTGAAACGCAGCAGCCAATAGCGCACAGCAGGGTCCCCAAAACTGTCGTGGATTAAATGACCAAATTATTATTATTTATTTATTTTTGAAGGGATTATTATCCCCGGACAAGCGATCTGCCAATCGACTAACAACCGGATTCCTACTTGCTGCTCGGTGAACAGAGGCGTGTGGAGTAAGGAAACTTACCCAATGTTTCGCCCCACCCGGGAAGCGAACCCAGGTCCTTTCGCTTGCGAGACGAGTGCTCCAAATTTACAGCAGACTCTGAGGCGAGAGTGCTACCACTGAACCAAGCTGACACACAAAAGATAAAATGTCTTTCCTTGGGGAGGACAAGTTTGCGGGGCTATGGGGAGAGTGCGGGGGAGTGGGATTGATTTGGAAAAGCTCAATTTCAAAGACCTTCTGTGCTGTATAATTCTATGATTCCCTTTCTGAATCACTTACCCTCCAAACACAGGTACTTGTCCCCCTTGTCGATCAGCAGGTATCTGGGGCTCTCTGGAAACCACGGCAAGATCATCAGCTGGAGCAGAGCCGGGGCTGCGCAGGAGGACAACAGCAACGGCCACCGCTCATCACTCCCCAAAACCTCTCTGCAAAAATATAAATTGTAAAAACAGCTTAATTTCATTGTAAACACACCTGTTACTGCTGCAGTGAGTTCACTCTATATGGGAAGGATTGGCAGTGGGCAGAAGGCTATGATGAGTACAAAATTCATTGTGAAAATTGCTGTGTACAAGTGGCTCCCACAAAATATATAGTCACTACACTTTACAGTATATTCTGTGAAGCTCTGTGAGACATCTCGAAGACATAATAGGGCGCCATATCAAATGCAAGGATTATTATTATTAAAATATGGGTAACACTTTCCAGTCATTGGCTTTTTATTTATTGTGCTTTCAGTAATAGCAGCATTTCGATGACGAGAGGAACTGAAATCCACCGATGTGATTTGTCATAAGCTCTAAATACTGACGCATTAGGACTTACCTGAGTCCAACAGTCTGTCCCAGGATGAGTCCAGCTGCAGTGAATGGCGCGAAAGACAGAGTAACTGAGCCACGGAACTGCTTTGTTGCACTTTCACCGAGATACATGGGATGAATGTTCAATGCCACACCTCAAAGCAAATGGAAAGTGAAAAGGTGTGAGTTAAAGTACAGGCCCACACTAGTTATTGATCGAGCTTTCTCACACCTCCCTTGGTGAGTTAAAGTCCCCTTTATATCATATCACAAATTCAATTCCACTCGCTGAGTTAGTTCGGTGCTAATGAGATGGATCTGTTTTACAGCTGGGAGATAGAAACTAAAGTTGTTTGTGTGTGTCCAGGCATATACCCCTTTGTGATAGGGCTCTGGGACTTGCTTTTTCTTTTGTTAACCTCACTCTACCTGGTGTGTGTGTGTGTGTGTGTATGTGCGTCTATGTGTGTGTGTCTCTCACTCTGTCTCAAATAGGCTGAGAGGAACAAAAACCAGGCCAGGAGAGCTAAGAATTGGGCTTGGAGGTCGAGGGGACTGGGGAGCATGGTTGGTGGCTGGGAGAGTGAAGGTATGTGTGTATGGAGGTTGGGGAAACAACTCCAGATCGTAGCTGGGCGAACAGTAACTGAAAGTGGGAATCGGGGAGCTGAGAACATATACGAGTTCGGTCCCAAGGATGGGAAAGACTAGGAGGCGAGAGTGCTACCAACTGAGGCACCATTTGCTTGAGTGATGCCAAAATGTCAGCCTAATTGCTGTTTGTGTGATTCTCAAAATAACCTTGCCCTTGGTAGCATCTCCAACCCCTCCTCCCATCATTGCCAACGATTTCACTGCATGGCAAGAACATTTTAGTTTTTAATGGATTGAATCCTGACTGAGTTGCTCTGTGAAAGAGCCAGCACAAGACACAGGTGGGCACAAATAGCCTTCTTCTGTGCTTTAAATATCTACGGTTAGAAAAAAATAATACCTGAATTGATTCCAGAAAAGATTCTCCCGACTATGATCATTTCAAATGATTTAGCTATTTTGCTTAGTCCCATCAATAGGGCGGCGACAAGTATGAAAATGTTACTCAGGAGCAGAGAATTTCTCCTAAAAAGAGAAAATAAAATCATTCAGTAAAACTGAACGGAGGCTACTCCATCCAGAGAAACCTGACCACATGCAACAAATTTCACTTCTGAACAAGTCAAAATAATTTGGTCACTCAACCCACGACTTTTTTGTCGGACAGTGCTGTGCGCAATTGGCTGCCATATTTCACCCACAGAATATACAGTCAATCTACTTTACAGTATATCCTGTGAAGCACTTTGAGGCGTCTTGTGACTTGATAAGGCGCTACATCAAATGCAAGGAAAATGCAAGGATAATTAAGTTTGCTCTGTATCTCTTCCCAACCCCAATATGGAATGCAACACTTTGGTTGTTTATTCTCTGTTCTCTGGGATTTCTCCAATAGTAAATAGAAGAGATAATAATAATACTGATCACGGTGAAATTCTCTCCTTTTACAATGTTAACCATTTCTTTTCTGTGATGTATTGTAGTTTGAAGTTTCTTATATTCTTATTATAACGACTTGCATTTACATAGCTCCATTCATTCCAACGTCTCAGAGGACTTCACAGGAATAGGGTTGGAAATTGACCAAGTGAGACGGAAGAGAGTGGTGGTCATTCGCAGATTTAAAATGGAAGGATTTGAGATGTGACATATTATCGTAGAGCCCTGTTATAATGCAGTAGATGGACGATTAATATCCAAACCAGTGCAGTAACAGGGCATGATCTCTGGTCAGTGCTTCTCTATTTAAGCGCTCTGAGACGCTATACTGCATGATGGGTGCTATATAAATGCAAGTTGTTGTTGTTGCATGGCACAGAAAGATGGCTGGTTCTATCAGCACTTCACAACACCTACCAAAGGAACACAAAATGGTTGACTTCCGGCTCATCAAGTCACTGCCAAGTTGACTTCAACAGGAAGTGACACAGATGGCGACCTGAAATTCAGCCATTTGGGCTTTCTTTGTGCTGTAAATAAACGCCGGGTTCCACAACACCCCAATGAGCGAACTCACATTTTAACAGGGTTCCAATGTATTCAGCATCTGTCAAAACTATTAAGCAAGACTACGAAACCTCTCTGTTAATCAGCAGTGCATTTCAGAAATCTAGGGGTGCTTGTATAATACAAATAATTTACATTTATACATGTCAGAAGAATGTCTCAAAGTGCTTCACATGATTGGGAGCCCGAGCTGGGGTGGAAATGGACAGAGCTGAAGGGTGTGTGTGTGTGAGGATGGAGTGAAAGCGCAGTTGAAAAAAATAAAATCTGTGTTCAACAATTACTGAATTCGCAAACAAACAGCGTGGCAATCTTTTCGATGCAGATTTTTGAATGGTTTTCTCTTTTCCCGACAGTTTCAGAAATTCCAATTGAAAGAATGAACTGCAGCATTTTGTACCTTCCATATTTGATGGCCATGGGTCCAGCAATAAGTGACCCCATCAATCCGCCCACAAAGTGAGCAGTCACAATAAAACTCCAGATTATTGCAATGAAATTGCTTTCCACTTGCGTTCCATAGCGTTCAGTCCAGGTCTCGTTGATAAAGTTTTGAACAGACTGTCATTTTGAAGAGCGAGAGAGAGAGAGAGAGGGGGGGGTAAGTGGGGTTGGGGGAGTGTGAGGGGTGGTAGGGAAGGCAAAAAAAGTTTTTGAATTTATATTTGACTTTACAAATCAATAAATAATTGTTTTAAAGGCGACTTATCCTCGACTCACAACAGTTGCTGCGTTGACAGTCGTGAGATTCAACCCGTATTGTAATGTTCCTCCAATACCTGCTGCAAAGACAGTGAAGAGCATTCCCCTGCTCGGCACCTGTAAGGAATGGAGTGACATTTGCAATTTTCTAATCCAAGGGCACAAATCCAGAATATAAAGAATTATGTTTGTTAAAAATCAGATTTAGGTAAAAATCATCTTTTAATTGTTGAATTTCAACCAAAGAAAAGATATTTATTTGCAAAAAGCAATTAAAAAAAAACCTATTGACAAGCGCTCTTAGACACTACCCGGCGTGGATGGTGCCATTACAAGTGCAAGTTGTTGCTGTTGATAAAAGGGCGTTGGCCTTTATCTCAAGGGGGATGGATTATAAAGGAGGGGAAATGATGCTTCAACTGTATGCAGCCTTGGTCAGATCTCATCTGCAGTACTGCATTCGTTTTGGGGCAACGCAGCTCAGGAAGGCTCTGGAGGGGGTGCAGTGCAGTCACCAGAATGATACCAGGGCTAAAAGGGTTAAATGACAAGGACAGGTTGCATAAACATGGTCGGTATTCCCTTCAGTTTAGAAGGTTGAGGGGTGATCTGATTGAGGTTTTTAAAATAATAAAGGGATTTGATAGGATAGCTATCTTAAAATTAGAGCTAGGCTATTTAGCAGTGAAATCAGGAGGCACTTTTTCACCGAAAGGTCAGTGGAAAACAGGAACTATCTCCCCCGGAGGGCTGTGGATGCTGGATCCATTCACATCTTCAAGACTGAGATGGATAGATACTTGTTAGGTCAGGGTATTAAGGGATAGGGGGCAAGGGCGGGTATTTGGACTTAAGGTACAGAGCAGCCATGATCTTATATCCCCTGGCAAGCGAGACACTTGGGTTCAATTCCAGGCAGGGCGAAACCTCGGGCAAGTTTCCTTACTCCACACACCTAATAATAATCCCTCCAAACAAAAACAATAATAAATTGGTCATTTTCAATCCACGACTGTTTGTGGGACATTGCTGTGCGCAATTGGCTGCCGGGTTTCGCCCACAAATATACGGTCAATTCACTTTACAGTATATTCTGTGAAGCACTTTGAGAGGTCTAGAAGACGTGAAAAGCGCTATATCAAATGCAAGAATTATTATTATTATATAATGGTGGAACAGGCTTGATGGACTGAATGGCCTACACCTGCTTCTGTGTTTCTGTTTCTATGATATGATGGTTGACAACAGTGTGAAGTCTTTTTTGTTTCATTTTAATACAAACAGTGTGACCAGTTCATGTTGAATATGTTCCGTATCTGTCAACGTCCACTGAACCTTATCCCCTGCGTAACCCTGGGAACAGTGGGCATGAGGAAAAATGTGCTTTGGCACAAAGCATATTAAGTCTTTCTGACAGGTCTGATGTGAAAAAGATACCTGCAGTTTACAGATATGCTTTGTTCGAATTAATAGTTGTACCAAACAATTCTGAGCCCAGTGAAGCGGTGCCTCCTCGCAACACATTTACCTAAATTAATGAATGGTAAAGAGACAGGGAAAGAGGCGTAAAGGGAGTAATGTGGCATTAAAGGTAATCATGACTGGGCAAGAGGTTATTGATCTTTGTCCTCCAAACCACACGTTCCTCTGTCCTCCCTGCGCGATTTCCTCCTTGCTCTCTCCCTCTTTTCGCTATTTATTATTTCCCACTATTCTCTCTCTCTTCTCTTCCCCATTTATAATATAATCCTTGCATTTGAGAACGTCTCAAATTGCTTCACAGGATATACTGTAAAGTATATTGACTGTGTATTCAGTGGGCAAACGTGCAGTCAGTTTGCGCACAATAAAGTCCCACAAATAGCCATGGAGTGACCAATTTTATTTGGGGGGGTTATTGGCCAGAACACCAAGAGAACCCTCCTTCTCTTTTCGAATAATACTATGGTATCTTTAACATTAACCTGAACAGTGGGTGGGTCAACTTAGACTGTGTGATTCCAAGTCCCGACGTGAGGCTTGAACCCACAACCTTCTGACCCTCTTTCTCTCTCTTCTTTCCTTCCTAAGTTCTCCTTTCATTTGCCTCCTCTCTTCCCCTCCCCACTTCCCCTCCCCCCATTTCACCCTCCCTCTCTCCTTGCCATATTCTGTGAAGCACTTTGAGCCGTCTAGAAGACGTGATAAGGCGCTATATCAAATGCAAGAATTATTATTATGTACAGGTACATTATATAATAAGTATATATTTATTCTCACACTCTCTCTAATCTTTCAATTATCTCTCTATTCATAGAATCACAGAATTATACAACACAGAAGGAGGCCATTCGGCCCATCATGTCTGTTGTTGGCTCTTAGAAAAGAGCTATCCAAATCAATCCCACTCCCCCGCTCTCTCCCCATAGCCCTGCAAACTTGTCCTCCCCAAATAATTATCTACTTCTCTCTTAAAACCTGTTATCAAATCGGCTTCCACCAGCCTTTCAGGTAATGCATTCCAGATTCAAATAATTCGCTGTGTAAAAGAATTTCTCCTCACCTCCCGTTTCTTTTAACAACTATTTTAAATCTGTGTCCTCGGGTTACCGACGCACCCGCCAGTGAAAATAGTTTCCCCTTGTTCACCCTATCCAATCCTCTCATAATTTTGAAAACTTCTATTAACCTTCTCTGCTCCAAGGAGAATAATCCTCGCTTCTCCAGCCTCTCCTGATAACTGAAGTCCCTCGTTCCTGGTACCATTCTGGTAAATCTCCTTTGCAACCTCTCCGATGCCTTGACATCCTTCCTAAAGTGTGGTGCCCAGAACTGAACACAGTCTCTACCTGAGGACAAACCAGTGTTTATAAACGTTCATCATAACTTCCTGACTTTTGTATTCTATGCTCCTGTTTATAAAGCCTAGTGTCCCGGATGCTTTTTTAACAGCTTTATCTGCCTGTCCCTCCACCTTCAAAGATTTACTTATATGAACCCCCAGGTCTCTCTGTTCCTTCACCCCTTTAAGATTGTACCATCAGCTTATATTGCCTCTCCACATTCTTCCTCCCAAAATGCATCAATTCGCATTTCTCTGCATTAAACTTCATCTGCACTGTGTTTGCCCATTGTACCCGTCTGTCTATGTCTGTCTGCAGTCTGCTCCTGTCCTCCTCACTGTTTACTACAGTTCCTAGAAGGGTATCATCTGCAAACTTGGAAGTTGTACTCCCTATACCCAAGTCCAGGTCATTTATATAGATCAAAAACAGCAGTGGTCCCAATACCGATCCCTGGGGGTCACCACCGCACACTTCCCTCCAGTCAAAAAAACAGCCGTTCACCACCACTCTCTGCTTTCTGCCTCCCAGTCAGTTCTGTATCCGCTGTCACTGTCTCTTTAATACCGGCGGCTTCTTATTTTGTTTACAAGTCTCTTTTGCGGCACTTGATCAAACGCCTTTTGGAAATCCGTATCAGCTGCAGGGAGTAACATTTGCAACCAGTTCTCTGGCACCAACCCCGGTGTCCGAGGAGGATTCGCACACTCTCTCACACCGGCCCTGTACCTGTCTTTCTCTCTCCATCCTCTCGCTCTCTCTCTCCGGGTCTGTACCTGCTCCCTCACTCTCTCTCTCTCTCTGTTCTCACATTCTCTCTCTCCTCTTTCTCTCTATTCTCTCTCCTCTCACTCTTTCTCTATTCTCTCACATTCTCTCTCTCTCTGGGCCTGTGTACCTGTCTCTCTCTCTCTCCTCTCACTCTCTCTTTCTGGTACTGTGCACCTGTCTCTCTCCTCTCACACTCTCTCTCTCTCTCTCTGGTACTGTGCACCTGTCTCTCTCCTCTCACACACTCTCTCTCTCTCTCTCTGGGCCTGTGTACCTGTCTCTCTCTCTCTCTCTCTCTGGGCCTGTGTACCTGTCTCTCTCTCTCTCTCTCTCTGGGCCTGTGTACCTGTCTCTCTCTCTCCTCTCACACACTCTCTCTCTTTCTGGTACTGTGTACCTGTCTCTCTCTCTCCTCTCACACACTCTCTCTCTTTCTGGTACTGTGTACCTGTCTCTCTCTCTCTCTCCTCTCACACTCTCTCTCTCTCTGGTACCGCTCTCTCCTCTCACACACTCTCTCTCTCTCTGGTACTGTGTACCTGTCTCTCTCTCTCTCTCCTCTCACACACTCTCTCTCTCTCTCTCTGGTACCTCTCTCTCTCCTCTCACACTCTCTCTCTCTCTCTCTCTCAGTGCTTGTGTACCTGTCTGTCCCTCTCTCTCCCCTCGGGTCTCCGGTCCGCCGGCTTCAGTAAAGAGGCGGCCATTATGTGGCGGGAGCGGTTCTCTCGCGAGCGCGTTGTCCGGCAGTTATTTTTTTGAAAAAAAAAGGACCCGGCGGTAGCCCAAAACCGCCCAAAAAGTAGCCCAACATCCTACGTCACCCCCTCCCCCCCGAGAGGCCGTCTCGCTCACGCGCATCGCCGGTAAAAAAAAATAAAAAAAAACGCCCAATTGGGCGTGAAACCCGCCCCTCTCCCAAACCTTGACGGCCTTGTCACCTGACCCCCGCCGCCCCAGTTGGCCCCGCCCCCCGGCCCTCGCCCGGGAAATTCAAACACCGAACAGCACCGCTGGGGACCTGCGACTCCCCCTCCCACTCGGCTCCCGCTGACCAGAGCCCGAGAGGGTCGGGGTGGTCCCAGCCGGACCAGCGGTGGGACAGCTTACCGGACGGTGCTATCGATGGCCGAGCTGTGCGGTTCTAGCTGGTCAGACTCCGGCTGTTAATTACCCCGACACACACTTTGGGCTTCCCCCACCACCCCCCAACAACCCCCCACCACCCCAACAACCCCCCACCACCCCCCAACAACCCCACCACCCCCCCAACAACCCCCACCACCCCCCAACAACCCCCACCACCCCCCACCCCAAGCCTTGGCTCTTGCCAACCTGCGCCCAATACTATCTGGAATTAGGTAAGCAGCTTGCGTCCGGCCAGGGTGAGAGAGAGAGAGGAACATAGGAATTAGGAGCAGGGGAAGGCCATTCGGCCCCTCGAACCGGCCCCGCTATTCAATAAGATCGTGGCTGATCTTCCAATCTAACTCCATCCGCCCGCTTTATCCCCATATCCCTTAATCCCTCTATCCTTCAGAAACCTATCAATCTCAGTCTTGAATATGTTCAAGGACTGAGCATCTGCAGCCTTCTGGGGTAGAAAATTCCATAAATTCACTACCCTCTGAGTGAAGAAGTGTTTCCTCAACTCTGTTCGAAAGGGCTGTCCCTTAATCTTAAGACTGAGACCCTACCAGATTCTCCTACCAGGGGGGAAATAGTCTCGCACTGTCTACTCTGTCAAGCCCCATAAGAATCTTATATGTTTCTATAAGATCACCCTAATTCTTCTATATTCTAGAGAATATAGGCCTAGTTTATTCAACCAATCCTCATAGGTCAACCCCTTCATCCCAGGAACTAACCTCGTGAATCTACACTGCACCCCCTCTAAGGCGAGTATGTCCTTTCTTAAATAAGTAGACCAAAACTGCACATAATATTCTAGGTGCGGTCTCACCAAGGCCCTATCCAGTTGTAGCAAGACTTCCCTACTTTTGTATTCTAACCCTTTTGCAATAAATGCCAAATTGCCATTAGCCTTCCTAGTTGCTTGCTGTACTTGCATGCTAACTTTTTGTGACTGGCGTACAAGGACACCCAAATCCCTCTGAACGCTAATACTATCTAGTCTCTCCCTTAGAAAATAATCTGCTTTTCTGCTTTCACTACCTAGGTGAATAATTTACACTTCCCCACATTATATTCAATTGCCACCTTCTTGCCCACTCACCTGGCCTATCTATATCCCTTTGCAATCTTTTTGTGTCATCCTCAGAGCTTACTCTCCCGCCTAGCTTAGTATCATCCGTGAATTTAGATATTTTAAGTTCTATGTCCTCGTCCAGATCACTGATATAGATTGTAAATAGTTGAGGCCCAAGCACTGATCCTTGTGGCATTCCACTAGTCACATCTTGCCAATCTGGGAAGGTCTTGTTTATCCCTACTCTCTGTTTTCTTCCCTTTAGCCACTCTTCGATCCATGCTAATATATTGCATTTAATTCCTTGTGCCCTAATCTTGTGTCGCAGCCTTTTGTGTGACGTTTTATCAAACGTCTTCTGAAAATCTAAATATACTACATCTACTGGTTCCCCAATCTAACCTGCTAGTTACATCCTCAAAAAACTCTAAAAGATTTGTTAAGCATGACTTCCCTTTTGTAAAGCCATGTTGACTCTGCCTAATCATACTATGGTCCTCTAAATACCCCACTACGATGTCCCTAAGTAAGGATTCTAGAATCGTCCCTAACACCGATGTCAGACTGACCGGTCTATGGTTCCCCATCTTCTTTGTCCCACCCTTCTTAAATAGTGGTGTTACGTTTGCGATCTTCCAATCAATGGGAACAGTTCCAGAATCCAGAGAATTTTGGAAGATCAAGGCATCCACTATCTCAGCAGTCACCTCTTTTAAAACCCTAGGATGCAGACCATCAGGTCCAGGGGATTTGTCATTTTTCAATCCCAGCAGTTTCCTTAGTACTAATTCTTTACTGATGTTAATTTCCCTAAGTTGCTCACTAACATTATCTTCTTGGTTCCTCTCTATTTTTGGTAAGTTTTCCGTGTCTTCTAATGTGAAGAGAGAAGCAAAGTATTTGTTTAATGACTCTGCCGTATCTTTATCCTCCATTATAATTCCTCCCGTCTCTGCCTGTAATGGACCCACATTCACTTTTGCTAGTCTCTTCCTCTTAATGTATTTGTAAAAACTCTTGCAGTCTGTCTTTATGTTCCTAGCTAGTTTGCCCTCATAATCCATTTTCTCCATCCTTATCAGTTTCTTAGTCTTTCTTTGTTGGTCTCTGAATCCCTCCCAATCCGCGGGTTTACTGCTCTTTTTGGCAGTGTTATAGGCCTCTTCTTTTAATTTTATACTTTCCCTAACTGCTCTAGTTAGCCATGGTTGAACCACTTTTCCCTTGGTATTTTTATTCCTCAAGGGAATATGTGATCGCTGGGAATTATGTACTTTATCTTTAAAGGTTTACCATTGCTGGACTACTGTCATACTCTTTAATCTAATTTCCCAGTCTATTTTAGCTAAATTCTCTCTCAAAGTTGCAAAGTTGGCTCTATTTAAATTTAAGACCCTTGCTTCGGACTTAACTACATCACTCTCTAACTTAATGCTAAATTCCATCATGTTATGGTCACTCTGCCCTAGAGGAGCCTTAACTTCCAGATTGCTGAATAACCCTATTTCATTACATAAAACAAAATCTAGGATTGCCTGTTCCCTGGTTGATTCCTCAGCAAACTGATCTAGAAAACTATCTCTAATGCAGTCTATAAACTCCTCCTCTAACTTACCTTTGCCAATTTGGTTTTCTCAACCAATATGAAGATTAAAATCACCTACTATTAGTGTATTTCCTTTGCTACATGCTTCTCTAATTTCCTGGTTAATACTCTGCGTAATACTGTGACTGCTGTTCGGGGGTCTTTTAACTACTCCCACTAGTGTTTTCTGCCCCTTGTTATTTCGTAATTCCACCCATACTGACTCTATATCCTGATTTTCTGATTTAAAATCCTTCCTCTCTACTGTTTTTATCCCATCAGCGTGACGTCACAGTTAATAAAAAAAATTATTAAAAAAACCCAGCAACAACAACAACAAAAATGGCCTGGCAGCTACTGCCACTCGGCCATGACCTGGGAGGCTAAGCCTGCGGGCTGATGCCGTCCTGCTGATCGCTCGCTCCCGGTCTCTGCGTGCGCATTTTGGCTGCAGCCCCGACCCGAGTCTCCCCCCTAAATGTCTCTCCTCCCACCCCCCACTATCCGCTACTCCCCCTCTGTCCTTCTCTCCCACCTCCCTCCCCGCCTTCTCTCTCTCCTCGACCCCATCACCACTTCCCTCTGCTCCAGCCTGGGCATCCTCCGCCGGTCCCATCGTGGCTCCCGGCACTGGCTGTCCCAGAGCAGCAACCCCACGTGTCCCATCACTCACTCCCTCCGCTCAAACCGCCTCCTTAAGGCAAACCCAACGTCCCCCTTCCCTCATACGTACCCTCCCCAACTCTCCACTCACACCACTCTGCACAACCATCTCTCCTGCACAACCTAAAATCCTCTTCGCACCACTCTCTCCTCCCTCCCCTCCCTCCAGCAAACCCACCTACATTTCCCTCCAAAATGCCCACTCCCTCTCAAATAAAGCCCTCACCATCCATGACCTCATCTGGACAAACACCTTGACATTCTTGGGCTCACCCAAACCTGGCTCTCCCCCAATGACCCCATACCCCAGGTCGAAGCCTCCCCTCCAGGCTACACCTTCCACCACACACACACCCCCCCCCCCCCCCCGTCCAAACCTAGGTGGCGGCGGGGTGGCCCTCATTTCCAAAGCCTCCCTTTGAAAATCCTCCTTATCTACCATCCGCCCAAGCCTCCCTGGTTCCTTCTACACAGAGATCTCTACCCTCCTCTCTTCCCTGTCCCTCTGCTCCGAGCGCCTACTCATAATGGGCGATTTCAACCTCCACTTAAACTCCGCTTGCACCACTTCTACCGATTTCACTGCCCTCCTCTTCTCCCTAAACCTTACCCTCCATATAAATTCACCCAACCACAACTGCGGTCATGCAATTGACCTCGTCATCACCCACGGCCTTGACATTTCCGACCTCAGTATAGTGGACAAGGCCATCTTGGACCACTTTTTCATCTTCTCCTGTCACATCCCTCTCTCCTCCACCGAGCCCTCAACCATACTCTACCGCCCTTGGAAAAGGCTACCCCCTGAGACCCTCACAAAGGCCCTCTCATCATCAAATATCCTATCCCTCTGGGCCTCCACCCACGGATATCCTGAAGCAGCCGTCCAGCTGCTCCATGATCGCCTCTCTCGTCTTCCTAACCTCCCACCAGTCCCAGCTTGAGCTCCAGTTTAACTCTGTGAAGTGCTTTGAGATATCCTCCTGACGTGAAAGGTACTATTTTAACATAAAATTGCTGTTGCAAGCATTATAACAAAATAATAATTACAATCCTTGCATTCGCTGTAGCACCTTTCAAATCGGGAGGTTGTACCAAAGCTCTTCACAGGGTTTTAATGTAAAGTGGAGTGACTGTGCATTTGTAGGTGAACGAGGAAACCCAATTGTGCACCGCATTGTCCCACAAACAGCCATGAAACAAATGAGCAATTTGATTTGGAGGATTGCTGGCTAGGACACCAGGAGAAATTCCCTTCTCTTTTCAAATAATAATAATAATAGTATTCCTTGCATTTGATATAACACCTTATCACGTCTTCCAGAGCTTCAAAGCGCTTCATAGAGTATACTGGAAAGTGAATTGACTATATTTTTTGTGGGCGAAACGCGGCAACCGATTGCGCACAGCAGCATCTCACAAATGATTGTGGATTGAGTGACAATTTATTATTTTCTTTGAAGGAATTATTACTCCCGGAAAAGCGATCTGCCAATCCACTAAGAACCGGGTTCCTACTCACTGCTAGGTAAACAGAGGCGTGCGGAGTAAGGAAACTTGCCCAAAGTTTCTCCCAAATAGTGCCATGAGATCTTTAACGTTCACCTGAACAGGTAGACAGGACCTTGGTTTAACAACACATCCGAAGGACGGCACCTCCATCAATGTAACTCACTCTCAACACTGCATTAGAGTGTAAACATAGACAGGGGGCTTGAACCCACAACCTTCTGACTGAGACAAGAGTGCCACCAACTGAGCCAGGCTGACACACAATTATTATTATTGTTATACACAATTATATACTGTTTTATATTATGTTATGTTTCATATTATGTTTTATATCAGACTGCTGTGAAAAACAGAAACAAACATATTAGTTGCCAGATTAGGTCAGGTTTTTTTATGGCCTCTCAGTTTAAATATAGAACTTAAATTACAATAACTTGAGAAAACATTTTGTAAGTAAAGAGGTGGTGAAAAGCTACCCACACAAACCACACAGGCTCTCTGCATTAGTAAGAAGGAAAATTTATTTCATACAAAGATCGAGTTGACAAAATGATTAATAAAGAAGTACAACAACAAATTACATCTGTATAACGTCCCAAGGTGCTGCACAGTTTGAAATTTGGACCCGAGCTGGGGGTTGGGATCAGGAAGCTGGAGGGCAGGGAGGATAGGGGTATGAGGGTGACCGAAGACCCGGTTGAAGAGGAGGGTCTTGAGATAAGCCTTGAAGGAGGCAAGGGACGAAGCGAGGCGAAGGGACTGTGGGATGGAGGCAGCCAGGGATGGATGGCCTGGATGTTCCTCCTTTAACTGCAGTATTTATATTGATCTAGATTCTTGTGCTCCTCATGATATTCTGCTTTGGAGAAGCACAAAGCTGCTTTACGGTCACATTCGCAGATAGCCATCTCACAGGGTCCATTGTCACCTGAAAGCGACACACGGTAATAAGTTAGACATCGAGTCCGGGCAATGGTCTGGAGAACACTGAGCTGGGGGGATGGTGTGGGTGGGAGCTGCGATGGCCACTCTGAGACACTCTCTGGCACTGGCAGACATGTGAGAGAACACGGGGTGAAAAATATGACATTTCCTGATCGATCCTACGTGACAATGTGTATCTCTCGCTTCTGAGTCGTAAGGGTTGGGTCTTGAACTCATGTTTAAGATGACATCCCCACGCAGTGCTGGGGGTGTGCTGCACTGTTGGAGGTGCCATCCCTCAGATGAGACGAGACTAAGTTGTGTCCTCTCCAGGTAGGACATCAAAGATCCCAACGCACTATAGAAATTTGCAATGTGGAAGGCCATTTGGCCTATTGTGTCCTTGCTGGCACTATTTAAAATAAAAAGTCACTTTCCCCTGATGTCCTCGCTAATAACCTTCCAGATAAAATTAGTCATTCACTTCAGGGGGCATTGCTTTATATAAATTGGCTGTTTGGTTACAAAAACACATAGTCGCTACACCTTACAGGAAATCCTCTGTGAGACATCTTACCGATGTGAAATGCCCTATATTAAATGCAAGGATTACTATTATTATTATTATCATTATTATTATTATTTTTATTATTATTATCGCCCACAAAATATATAGTCAATTGATTTCACGGTATATTCTGTGAAGGGCTTTGAGATGTCTCAATGATGTGATAAGGTGTTGTATCAAATGCAAAGGTTATTATTATTACCATTCTCTTTTTCCTGAAACAGACTTTTCTGAACGCACAATAATCCCGAGTCTGAACTTACTGGTGCATTTGACTATGGAATCATCACAAGTGTAGGCGTAGATCTCAGTGTAAGGGTTGTCAAAAATTGGCCAGCACTCTTCCATTTCCATGGTGTCACCGTAGCAGTTATCATGGACAAAACAGCACCTGTCAAACAACATGGTACAAGCTAGACAGAGCATTTATAGAATCGTGGAATCTTACAGCATAGAAGGAGGCCATTTCGCCCACATATATACGGTCAATTCACTTTACAGTCTATTCTGTGAAGCATTTTGAGACGTCAAGAAGACGTGAAAAGCGCTATATCAAATGCAAGGATTATTATTTATTATTGTATTATTCAGCCTGTGCTGGCTCTTCGAAAGAGCTATCCGACTAGTCCACTCCCCCACTCTTACCACATAGCCCTGTAAATTTTTCGTTTTCACAGACACATCCAATTTCCTTTTGAAAGCTATTATCGAATCTGCTTCTCGTGGTCAGGATCTGTTCTTTCAACGTTCCACCCTCCTCTTGTGAGAGTGCGGATTCATGCTGATTAATTCCCACCAGGAATCAAGGGCTGACATATCTTACTCAACTTGTGATCGTTTCTCTAGCCAGGTTTGGGAGCAATAGCAAGTCCAGTTCAAAATCCAGTTGATCCAGAACTCCGCCACACGTATACTCACCCGCGCTAAACTCCATACCCCCATTACACCAGTTCTTGCCAGGCTCCATTGGCTCTCGATCACCAAATGGATCAATTTCAAGATAATCACACTCGTCTTCAAATCCCTTCATGCCCTGGCACCTCCCCACCTCTCCGACCTGCTTACTCCTCAACCCACTCCCCTTCGCCTCCGCTTGACTGGCTCCGGCCTCCTGCTTGTCCCTCATCCTGTCCATTCCACCAGCCGCACTTTCAGCCAACAAGCCCCGAAACTGTGGAACAGTCTTAGGGAGCATCATAGCTGAGCCAGTAACCAATCATGAATAGAGAGAGGCTCTGAAGAAGTTTTGCTCCTCAGAACATAAGAATTGCTAGATGAAAGAAAGCCATCCAGTTCACCTTCCACCATCCTGGTAGTCACATTTTCACACCACGACCCAAATAATACACTGTATCCCAAGATATTATTTCCTAAAACAAAATCTATCTAATTTGGGGAGGACAAATTTGCAGGGCTACATGTAGAGAGCGGGGGAGTGGGACTAATTTTGACAGTTCTTTCAAAGAGCCGGCATGGACACAGTGGGTCGAATCGCCTCCTTCTGTGCTGTATAATTCTATGGTTCTATGATAATTTGCTTTTGAAAGAAGCAATAACTTCCAGCTTCTCCCTCGGGAACCTGATCCATACATTTACGACCCACTCATTGAAATAGTGTTTTGGGTTCCCCACCCCCACCCCATTCTCCACCACCTCCTTCAATCGCAGGACATGGCCTCTGGTTCTACTGTTCTGGACAAGATAATTAACATGGTCTACAGAATCCAGTCCCTTTAGCTCCTGACGTACTGATCTAAAGTGTCCACTGGAGTCCCGCCTCCCCCATAGCCACAGTAACATCCGTAGTTGTTAAACTCCAGGAGGGGGTTGCTGTCCGGGATGGAACATTTGATCATCCCACGGAACTGCCAGAGAGCTTTCGAATTAAAGTCCCTGCTTTGAGCTCCCGCTGGAAAAAAGAAGAGTAAAAAAGGAACGTAAGAATTTGCTCGGTGAAACCATCCAGTTTCCCTTCCACCATCCTGGCAGTTGTGTGCACATGCTGTGTCCCCGACTATATACTGTATCACGAGGAACTATTTCCTAACATAAATCTATCTAATTTGTTCTGGAAAGAATTTACACTTTCTGCCGATTTCTCCCGAGAGAGAGAGAGGAAGAGAGAGAAACAAGGTGTTTTCAAACAACACGATTAATAGCGGGAGCAAAGCACGGCGCAGAAGAAACATGTCAGTACCTAGGAGCAAACTGACAAGGACCAGAGAGAACATTTTTAGGGTCTGTGCAGTTGCCTTGAGCTTGGTAGACCTCACATTCCTGCTTCTGTATATTTTATAGCTGAGGTTGGCCTTGATGGAACAAACATCTCAGGAGGTGAGATAACAGACGTGTTTATCTCGCTGGTTGGACGTGGAGGAACGCGTTTGGTTATTTATAAATTTCAAAGCGCCGACTCGACCAAGGATTGTTTATGAGAAGGCTGTTAACTCTTTGATTCCCACCTGAAAATATCTACCTGAAAAATTGGCTCCAGTGTCTGTACCTCAAATGGTTAAAGAGAGTTAAAGAGCTCAGTTGCAATCGTGGTTATGTTGTTGTCGTCGAGAACATTTTATAGTAATATAGTAATTATTACAGTGACCAAAATAATAATTTGGTCACTCAATCCACGACTGTTTGTGAGACACTGCTGTGCGCAATTGGCTTCCGTGTTTTCCCCACAAAATACCCAGTCGATTCATTTTACAGTATATTCTGTGAAGCGCTTTGAGACGTCTCGAAAACGTGATATCAAATGCAAGGATTATTATTATTAATAATGGTATTTGGGTTTTCACAGTGGCTCAGTGAGTTTATTAAGTGAGGACTGTTTAAAGGTACAATCAGGCCTCACTATCCCGAACAACACCATCACCAATAAAGCCATCTCTAAACCACTATTTAATCTCCCTAAACCCCTCCACCCACCCTCCCTGCCACCCATCTCCATCCTTCTCTGGAAGAAAATCACTCTCCCCGCCCCCCCCCCCCATTACCCCCACACACTCTCTCTATTACCCACAAGTTCTCCGAGCTCCTACCCCTCTGCATTGTCAGAGGCACCAGCCTTCAGATGAGACGTTAAACTAAACTGCCCATTCAGGTGGATGTGAAGAAACCCATGGATTCGAAAAGAGAATGGAGTTTCTCTCTCCCAGTGTCAATCTCCCAAATAAAATGGGTCCCTCACTCCATGGCTGTATGTGGGATACCGCTGTGTGCAAACTGGCTGCTGCATTTCGTGCTAAGGCGCTGGATTATTATTATTATAATTATTATTATTTATTATTATTATTCTGGGGGAATAATTCCCCCACCCCTGGGGAATTATTGAAGCCCGCAATGTGTTTTGAGGCTCTCTGCAGCACAGTAAGATCATTTTGCTCCCCACACATGCTTCAGTCTTGAATTCCGTCTTCCTCTCTACTGCAAACCTCTCAGGTGTAGCTGAGCAAGTGCTTATTCTGGGAGGACATTGTATGTTCCAGTTTGATGTGTAAAAACACACCTGATGCCATTGCACAATGACCCTGAACACAGGAGTCCCTGCAGGATACCTGGAACCTAATTTTCCGTTGGCACTCAATTTTATTTCTGCCGAGTTGCAGGTTCTTACGTATTCTCCACTGGCTCCCCATCCCACAGCACATTGAGATCAAGATCCTAATTCTCACCTTTAAATCCCTCCACTGACTATCTCCAGCCGACCTCTGACACCTCCTTCAACCCTACCGGCCTGGACACTCCATCTGTGCAGAGACATGTTTACGTAGTAGTGATAATAATCCTGGCATTTGATATATCATCTTATCGCGTCTTCGAGACGTTTCAAAGCGCTTCACAGAATGTACTGTAAAGTGAATTGACTGTATTTCGTGGGCGAAACGCGGCAGCCAATTGCGCAAACAGCCGTGGATTGAGCGACCAAATTATTATTATTATTATTATTATTTTATGTAGCCTGCCTTATCTGCCCCATCATCAGCAGGCATTCTGCCCCCAATCCACAGAACTCTACCCAGAGTCCCTACGACTCCCTCCCTCCCTCCCTTCTCTCTTTCAAAACGTAAATCAAAATGTACCTCTTTGACTGCGCCTTCAGTCATCTTTCCCCTTCCCCACACCATCCCTCCTCGGCTCCCACCCCCAAGCTCGGGGGCCCAGAAACGTGAAGTGCTTTGAATCATCCTCCCTCCGCGAAAGGTGTTATATAAATGTAATTTGTGTTGTTGATATTCTCAGTACATAAATTACCAATTGAACTGTAAAGTGTAGACACTCAATGCCACGTTACACAGATTAGCAAATCCAGCCTTGGTGTATAAAAAGAGACACAAATGTAGGAACTAAAATGAAATGACTGAGACTATGAGATATTGGTGGAATGAACTAACATATTTGAGAGTATTTTTAATTGAACATTCTCTGCTTTCCTGTTGACCACAAATTCCCATCTCAACAGGTGGCACATGGCACATGGCATTGAGCTCAGCTGATCACATTGATTTTCCGTTGGGAAAGTTATCTGAAATGAAACAAAATATTTCCAGTCAATAAGCAAGTTCCTTGAAACAGAAATGTACCAGTTGATGTAATTGGAATGAGAAAACAACAACAACAACAACAAGATTCCATTTATAGAGCGCCTTTCACGTCAGGAGGAAGTCCCAAGGCGCTGCACAGTTGGGTCATGACCCGAGCAGGGGGGGAAATGGTCAGGGTGAGGGAGGGAAGGGAGGGAGAGAGGAGGGGGGAAATGGTCAGGGTGAGGGAGGAAGGGAGGGAGAGAGGAGGGGGAAATGGTCAGGGTGAGGGGAGGGAAGGGAGGGAGCGAGGAGGAGGAAGAGAGTCGAGAGGGGAGCTGAAGGCACGGTCAAAGAGAAAGGTTTTGCTCTCATTAAAAACTTTATGGACAAGCTCCTTCACTGAGTGTGTGTTTGTATTTACATTGGTGTATCTATGTGTGCATGTTTGTATGTGTATCTGTGTGTATCTACATGTCCACATGTGTATCTATTTATGTATGTGTGTGTGTTTTGTATGTATGCGTACCTATGTGTGTACCTTCATGTGTGCGATTGTGTGTATCTACGCGTGTGTGTGTGCGTTTTGGGAGGGGTGGGTGGGGGGGAGGGTGGGGGGGGGGAGGTGAAACCCTCTGCAAAGTAGTTTGAGATGTCTTCCTGACTTGAAGGGAGAGATATCGAATGTAAGGGTTATTATAATTTTTGATTTTAAGGATTAAGGAAGACAAAATAGTGTTTCAGCCTTAGCCTCAGTGGAACGTCAAGCTGCAGGGTGTGGAGTAAGGAAAGGGGAGTGAAGCGGTGTTAGACCGGCTCCTGCCCAAAACCCTTCATGTAAGTCCGTGACTCATTTATGGAGTCCCATATCGTAATGGTTCAGAGCGCTCGCCTCGCAAGCGAGAGGAAACAGGTTCGACTCCCAGGCAGGGCGAAAGCTTAGGCAATTTTCCTTACTCCACCCGCCTCTGTTTCCCCGGCAGTAAGTAGGAACCCGGTTGTTAGTCGATTGGCGCATCGCTTTCCAGCGGTAACAATCTCAAAGAAAATCTGGTCACTCAATCTACGACTGTTTGTGGGAAAGTTGTGCAAAATTAGCTGCTGCGTTTCGCCCACAAAATATCCAGTCAATTCACTTTGCGCTATACCCTGTGAAGCGCTTTGAGACGTATCCACGACGTGATAAGGCGCTGTATCAAACGCCAGGATCATTCGTATTATTCGCCAAACAATTCGTTCAAAGAAACCGCGGACATCACAGACCGGGAAGAAAAAAAAAAAGCAAAAAACACGTATGTGGAAAGTTTCAAATAATTTATTAGGAATTTTAAATGAAATCTGAAAAAGGGTTACAGAGGTTTTGGAGATGACATTTTTGTCAGATTGTAATAACTTACTGGCAAAAAAAATAATGAAACAGAAAAGTTAAAAACGATTAAAAAAGCAAAAGCGTATCTGGCAGTACAAATGCACTGAGGGGGAAGCAAAGCATTATTTACCAGCACGTCGCTTCATCTAGAAGATAAAATAAAACTTAAAAACAAAAACAAATGCTCCCCCTGTATGCATTTTTCACAAAATAGTGTTTATTGCTGTTACAAACTACAGTATTTGCGTTTCCAGTAGTTTTAAAGAAGCAAAACTACCATCTCTCTGCAGGTTTATCAGGTTCTCACCCACAAAATGCACAGTCAATTCGCTTTACAGTGTATCCTGCGCAGCGCTCTGAGACGTCTCGAAGACGGGGTAAGGCGCTGTATCAAATGCAAGGGTTATTACTGTTATCGTTACCCTTGAACTAAAAGGACAACTTGGGTCCGCGGAGTTTAAAACCGCAACGAAAAAAAAATGCGGGGCTTCGATGCTGTGAATAAAAAAAACTTTTAACGTTTTCTCTTGTTGCTTAATTGATTTGTTTTAGTTCGATTGTACCGGCATTGAACCGGCCGTTAAAAGCGGTGGGAAAAAAATTCATCGATTTTATATTCAGATTGTTTTCTCCCACACACACGCGCGCGCGCGCGTACGCACGGTCTTACTATACGTCTTGTACCCACAAAGCAGGGACGCCCAGTTCCAAGTGCTTGGTGGTTGAGTCCGGGGAGGCTGGTACAGTTGTGGGTACAGCGGACGGGGAGGGGGGTGGTGTTGAGGGGTGCGAAAGAGTTTAAACGTAGGCGGAAGACACTGGTAAAGCTGGGAGAGATGACGGCTTTGTGGAAGTGACCTGCTGAAGTACAACATCTACAGCAAAAAAAAGTTCTTCTCAAAACTAAGGTCAGAAACAGTAACTTTGAGACTGAACCTATACGAGCTGTACAGACAGATATGTAGTGTGTGCGTGCCTGTGTTCTGTGTGCATGCGTGCGCGTGTGTGTGTGTGTGCGCGCGTGTGCGTGTGTGTGTGTGCGCGTGCGAGAGTGAGAGAGTACGTGCATTTGTTTAGCAGCTTTGCGACCTCTGAGGTACTGTTCAATTCTTGCTATTGTCCTTCATTTAAAGCGAAAAATCCGAGAGAGAGAGAGAGAGAGAGAGAGAGAGAGAGAGAGAGAAAGAGAGAGAGAAAAACGAGAGTAATTCTACAGTAAAAGTTAACCCACTCTAGTATCCGCTGCGATGTTTTATAACTAGGATATTGCTAAATTTCAGGCTGTATTATAAAGGTCTTCAGTTCACCTTTCTCTCAAAAGCAATTACTCAAAAAAGACCCCTTTCTGCAGCCTGCAAATACAAATCCAGATAGTTCTATTTACATATTTTACAGAAATGTTTATCCAATTTCAGAAAAAATACTTTTATGATTCATAGTGATTTTTTTTTACCAAAATATACATTTGTGTCCTGCAGATGTTGTGGTCGTTTCAATGATAACTGGATTTTTCAGCGTTGATTGATGACATTTACAAAGCATATCAAAATAAATTGTATTTAGACAAGTTTTCAAATCTCTTTTCAGGAGTGTTTTGCATTATTCGCTGTAGCTCTTAAAAACAATAAACTCACTCACTCGTCATTTTAAAACAAGTTCCGTCGAAGGAAAGAAAATAATAAGATTCGAGAGAAAGCAGAAGCAGAGGAAAGTGAAGCGAAATTTCCATCACGAACCGTCTAATGCAATCACAACAACGACGAAAAAAAATAATTCTTTCGGAAAGAATGTGTCTACGAATGTACGTTCGAACAAGCGACCAAATAGAAATGTTCTTTTTTAAAAAAAAAGAGAGAGAGAGAGAGAGAGAGAGAGAGCGAAGTTGCAGTTTAAAAACTTGAGTGATCGGCAGATAGAAACCCAAAAGGTTTCAAAATAAAATAAATTAAAACAAACGGAAACAAAACATTTCGAGGGAAGAGGTGGGGGAGTGGAGGGGGTGCGGGGGGGAGGGCGGGGAGGGAGGGAGGGAAAGAAGGAAAAAGGGAGAGAGAAAGAGAAAGAGAGAAAGGAAAAAATAAGAAGCGTAAACTTTAAAATGTTAGGTGAAGGGGTGAGATGTTTTCCTCGGGTTGCCGGGGTTGGAGTCGAGTTATGGTAGTAAATCAGTGTGTGCAGTAAAAAAAAAAAAAATCTTTAAGAAGTAGTTCTGAGATCCAACCACATGCTCTGAGCTCCCTCCTCTGGCTGGTAGACTGGACCCTGTGGGTGAAGCACAACGAAGAGAAGCCCGGAAAATCCCCGGTTACCATCAGTGCGCTAAAAAAATCCCGACACACAGCAACGACAAAATGACATCGTAAAGCGCCTTTCGCGTCGGGAGGACATCCCAAGGCGCTGGACTGTCAGGGATCAGCGCCCGAGCGTGGTGGTGGTGGTGGTGGTGGGGGGGGGGGCGGGCGGAACGGGCACAGAGGGCAGGGTTAGGGTGAGGGAGGGCAGAGGGGGTAGGAGGGGCGGCTGAAGGCACGGTCGAAAAGGAGGGTCTTGAGTCGTGCCGTGAAGGAGGCAAGAGAGGGAGCGAGGGGAAGGGATTGTGGGATGGAGATCCAAAGAGCGGGGGCGGAGAGACTGAAAGCCCGGCTGCCGATGGTAGGGAGGGTCGGGCGGGAGACCTGGAGCAGGCTGGAGCCCGCTGAGCGCACAGTTAATAATAATAATAATAAAAATAATAATAATAATCCTTGTGTTTGGTATATATCAACAAATATGAAGCAACTCCAAGTCTCAAAGCGCTTCACAGAATATACCGTGCGGGCGAAACGCTGGCTAAGCATTTCTCACTGGGAACATCAGCACCTGGGGGTGGGGTGGGTAGGGGGTCCCTCGTGCTTACGTGGTGCTCGCTCCACCCACACCACAGGTATCGGCTGTAATCGCTGTGGAGTCCTGTAGCTCACTGGTTAGAGCGCTCGCATCGCAAGCGAGAGACCTGGGTTCGATTCCCAGCAGGGATAAACCTTGGGCAAGTTTCCTTACTCCACACGCCCGAAAATAATCCCACATCGGTCACTTCAATCCACGACGGTTTGTGGGACGCTGCTGTGCGCAATTTGGCTGCCGCATTTCGCCCAAAATTATACAGTCAATTCACTTTACAGCATGTTCTGTGAAGCACTTTGAGACGTCGAGAAGACGTGACGAGGCGCTGTATCAAATGCAAGGATTATTATTATTATCATTATGACTATTATCATTATAATCCCACCCTTTTCTGCTGCTTTCAACAGCAACAATTCCAACAACAGTGCAGTCGGTTGCCGCGTTTTGCCCACAAAAATGCAGTCACTGCGCTTTACAATACGTTCTGTGAAGAGCTTTGAGACGGACGTCTCAACGACAGACCAAAGGACGTTCCAAGGCCCTGGGCAGGGCAGGGTGGTGATGGGAGCCAAAGGGGTTGGGGTGAGGGTGGGAGGGGGAGAGATGACGGAAGGCGCAGTCAAAGAGAAGGTCTTGAGACAGAGCTTGAAGGAGGCGAGTGGTAGAGACCGGGATGGAGACTTTTGGAGTGGAACGATGGTGCCAACCACAGCCACTAAGTCGTGTGTTGACTTGACTTAGTCTCTTCGTCGTCTCCCACCGAGACCCTTAAGACATCCGTGCCTTAGGTCAGCAGCCTTAACACTCCCCTTTTGATCCCGAATCGCTGCTCTCCGCTGTGTCTGCCAAGCCAGGCCCCTGTCTGTACATGTGGTGGGATGTTCACACAGCGTCTGAGGAAGAGCACTGAGGGTCTGATAGTCTGTGGCCACCAACACAGCGTCTGAGGAAGCGCACTGAGGGTCTGTGGCCACCAACCCCAGGTCAAGCAGGAAGTATTTGTGTGTATCTGTGAGGTGGGTGGGAGGGGGGGGAAGGGGGGGGGGGGGGGGGATAAATTTACCTCCTTTTTCAGATTTTTCGGCCCCCCCCGCTTCAGTGGTAACCGTTCGTGAATGCCGTCGCGATCAAAGGACCCTGAGAGGAGGGACACAAACGAGAGAGACACCATCACTCCCCCACCCACACAGAGACGCCATCACTCCCCCACCCACACAGAGACACCATCACTCCCCCACCCACAGAGACACCATCACTCCCCCACCCACACCGAGACGCCATCACTCCCCCACCCACAGAGACGCCATCACTCCCCCACCCACAGAGACGCCATCACTCCCCCACCCACAGAAACACCATCACTCTCTCACCCACAGAGACACCACCACTCCCCCACCCACAGAGGGACACCATCACTCCCCCACCCACAGAGACACCACCACTCCCCCACCCACAGAGACACCACCACTCCCCCACCCACAGAGACACCATCACTCCCCCACCCACAGAGACACCATCACTCCCCCACCCACAGAGACACCATCACTCCCCCACCCACAGAGAGACACCATCACTCCCCCACCCACAGAGAGACACCATCACTCCCCCACCCACAGAGACACCATCACTCCCCACCCACAGAGACACCATCACTCCCCACCCACAGAGAGACACCATCACTCCCCCACCCACAGAGAGACACCATCACTCACCCACCCACAGAGAGACACCATCACTCCCCCACCCACACCGAGACACCATCACTCCCCCACCCACAGAGAGACACCATCACTCACCCACCCACAGAGAGACACCATCACTCCCCCACCCACGCACACATAGACACACACACACCTCCCCCACCCCCACTCCGCCACAGACACACACCCCTCCCCTCACCCACACAGTGTGGTTCGGGTGGGGGGTTGGGGGTGGGGGGGGGGGTGAGGTTGCCCCCTGATGCCCTTGACCCCGGGGCTGACCACTCACCCCCAGACTGTGCCCGAATCCAGTGCTTGGGGCGGGGCTGGCGGCGCTGATGTAGCTGCTGACTCCGGAGTCCTGATTGGCCGTCCCGTACAGATCCGCCATGGGGGCGGGGCTTGTGGTCCCCAGGAACCCACCCGTGCGGGTCGGGGTGGAACCTGCCAATCACACGGCACGGTGAGCGACAATCTCCGCACCCCCCCACTCCCCCCAGCCCCGCCCCCACCATCACTCCAGGCCCCTCCCCCAACACCCCGATCATTCACTTCCTGCCTGGACCCCCCCCACCCCCGTTCTGAGCAAAATGGCTGCCGTATTGGCCGCCATGTTCCACAGCTTTGAATTGGCACTGCAGGCGCCGAATCACACACAAAACCTCTTAATAAGCCTCGCATTTGATATAGCGCTTTTCACGTCGGGAGGACGTCCCAAAGCGCTTCACAGAATAGACTGTAAAGTGAATTGACTGTATATTTGTGGGCGAACGTGGCAGCCAATTGCGCACAGCAATGTCCCACAAACAGTCGTAGATTGAAAATGACCAATTTATTATTGTTTTTTTTTTGAGGGATTATTATTAGGCTCTGTGTGGAGTAAGGAAACTTGCCCAAGGTTTCGCCCTCTGCCTGGAATTGAACTCAGGTCTCTCACTCGCAAAGCGAGTGCTCTTTAATGGGACATTCGTGTCGATCACGGGAATGAGTGTGGCCTGGGGGCGGGGCAGGGTGGGGGGGTGTGCAGGGGGGTGCGGGGCGGGGGGCGCGGGCAGGGGGTGCGGGTTTGCGGGGGGTGGGGCAGGGTGGGGTGGGGAAGCCTCATCGTCACACATGACACGAGTTGGCGATTCCGTGACGAAACCAGGGTTCCTGTCACTGGGAGCTCCTGGTCGCCCGGTCATCGCCCGGAGGCGCGTTGTTTACGGTGGTGTAGAAGGTTCCGGAATGCGGCGCCGGATCCGGTACCTGTGCCGCGCACCACGGCGGCCGCCGCCGCCGCTGCCATTGGTCCATACGCCGTCAGCGGGATCGCTGCACAGAAGAGAGAGAGAGAGAGAGAGAGAGAATGAGACGAAGAGGGTGGAGATTATTTAACGCTCTCTTTGCTAAGAGCGGGACAGTCAGGGGTCGGGACCCGTGCGTGGGGGAGGCGTGGGGGAGGGGTGGGGTGGGGTGACGGAAGGCAGAGAGGTGGGAGGGCGACCGAGGGCCCGCTCGAAGAGGAGGGTCTTGAGACCGGGCTTGCGGGAGGCGAGGGAGGAAGCGACGGGGCCCCAACGAGGGAAATGACCCTTTTTTGTGAATGGAGAACCATCCAATCTGCGCTGCATTTCAGTCTTGCACAGCAGCGCCTCCCGGTGGTCACCGAGGGGATCGCCTGCACCGTGGGATACAGCGCCGCCCGGTGGTCACCGAGTGTATCACCTTCACCGTAGAATGCATGGTGGCCACAGGGCCACACAGTCTTGAGATGGGCCTTGAAGGAGGCAGGGGAGCGGGGGGGGGGGGGGGGGGGGGCAGGCGAAGGGACTGTGGGATGGAGTTCCAAAGGGTGTGGAGGGGGATTGGGGGGGTGGGGGGGCAGAGAGGCTGAAGGCCCACCCGCCGACGGCCGGGCGGGGGATATGGAGCAGACCGGAGCCCACTGAGCGGAGACGTGAGACTCACACGAGATTCAAGTCGGGAAGGGCTCTATCGCAACACAATGACTCTTGCGGGGAGGTGGGGGGTGGGGGGGGGAGGGGGGGACGACAAACATTAATCCCGTCCCTGGAATAAATAAACTCCACAAATCATCAGTGATCGGCCAACCGAGAGAAGAGAGCAAAATGTTCTGAAGTGCTTTTTTTTTTAAAAAACGAGGGGTGGGATTTGAACTGCAGATTACTCGGTGCGTTGGTCGCAGTGTCTCCTTGGAGCTGATGTGGTTCCACGGTGACGTACTTGGCAGTGGAATGTCAGAATCCAATTAATCCTCTGTGGCAGTCTCCCTCGGTAATCCAGTTCCCGAGCCAGGCTCCTGGGCACTGCTGATGGCAGCACAGCCCGGCCTGGCTCATCGGCAGGACTTGGGAGGGCAGACCAGTCAATGGGCAACAGGAATTCTTTATCGCTCGGCTCCTGTTAACCCTGCAAGCCAAAGTCCCAACAGGTACGGTGGTCCGAGCTGGACAAGCACCAGGAAGCTCGCCAAGCAGCGCTCTTGATGGCTAAGCTACGCGGTTTTAGCTGGTTAGACCCCCAACAGGTACCACAACACACACTCTGGTTTTCCCCAAGCCTTGGCTCGTGCCAACCTGCGCCTAATACTCTCTGGAATTCGGTAAGCAGGGCGAGTCCCGTGCGGGGAGAGAGGACGCATTCCATTCCAGCCACAGGAATCCCCACGTGAAGGGTAGGCGGTGATGGTAAATACATGGAGTTCGCAGATTGGTTCGGATATTCTTGAGCACGGTGATGGGTTTCTGCTGAGCTGGTGATGGGGCAGCGAGACAGTGGGTGAGTGTGGGGGGGGGGTGGGGGGTACGGGGGAGGAGTTGGGCAAAGTTTGTGATGAGGACGGGGAGGGGGAGGGGGGAGGGTAGAAGGGAGGGGGAGTGGGTTGGGCAATAATTGGAAGGGGGGGTGGTCAGTGGGGAGGGGAGGAGGAGAGGGAGGGAGTGAAAGAGAGGGAATTGGGGAGAAGGGGTTGGAATGGGTTCAGGGATGGGAAGGGAGGAGAAAGTGTTGGAATGGGGTGGAGGGGAAAGGGGGTGGTGAAAGGGGTTGGAATGAGGACAGGGAGGAGGGAGGGTACGATGGAAGCTCACCTCCTGTGGGCCAGTCCTGGAGCAGCACTGAGGGGGGCCACTGTGAGGTCTGCAGTGCTGACTGTGCTGCTCTCC